TGGTGTCTACGTATATTCTCTGTGGTCGAATATATCTATTTAAATGAGGGTAGTGAATAACGGTCGCGATTTTAATGAAAGTTAACATTCGTTCAGTATTCGAAAAAAAAAACAAGATAAAAAAGAAGAGGAAGAAGCAGAGGCAAAAATATAGTTGTTGTTCTTCTATGATACAAAAAGAAGACTGCTCACGCACCGACTTGAACGATGGACCTCGGCATTACTAGTGCCGCGCTCTACCAACTGAGCTACGCGAGCTGATTGGTTGAGATATCGTAGATTTTGTGTTACATGACACTTAATTGTCAATATAAACTAAATGGAACCTACGTCGAAACCTGACCTCAAGCGAACTACTCTGTACATTGAAATATCACATTAACGTCTAAAGATCGGTTCGTTGAACTTGTCCCTCTCTACGTTTCAGTACATTAACTAACTCCCAATCAGATCTATCCACGTGGGCTAAGCCCCGTTCTCGAGTAAATAGCCAATGAAACTGCCATTCCACTTATGCATGGCTGCTTTTGCCAATGGAGTCATTTTCTGATAGTCTTCCTCATTGAACCTAGTGTCATAATAGAGCAGTAACTGTACAAGTCCCAAAGACCCGCGACCTGCGACTGCAACATGCAATGGCGTACCTTTACTAAACTGGGCATTTGCATCAGAGCCATGTTCCAGCAAGAACTTTATGACCAGTTTGTCTTCGCAGAATGTGGAAATGAATATATGCAGTGGTGTCGCCCCACTATCGGTAGCAGCATGTAGACTGACCGGATAGTTAACTAAGAGACTTAGTCATAGCCACACTTCCGAGGGAGCACGCCAATGATAACGGAGTGTATCCTTTCTCGTTATTGAGCTCCAAGGAGGAGCAATGAGCTAGAAGATTCTCGAATATCAGCTTTAGGCCCGGATACGTCTCATAATATGGATATGGCACACCACGCATTCGGGTTACGATAGGTATCATATGATGGAGTGGATAGTTACCTTTTCCATCGGGGACATTCAGATCAATGCCTTGGTGAATTAGCAGCTCCTCGACGCCGGTCTTCCACCGTATCCCATCAATGACCCAGTGTAGCGCGAAGTGGCCGTGCATGTCACGAATATTCACCTGTGCTCCATACCCCAAAAGAACCATGAATGGTCTCTATTGGCGATACCGGTGGAGATTCCTGTATGGATCTGCAACTTGCGGGATCTCGGGGAGTTTGCTAGCGTTCATCGGGACAATCCACTCGACACGTTAGTTCTCCGAGGCCTTGGGGGCGTTTTTCCGGCAAAGGATACAGCAGTCTCCAGATAAATGACCTGCCATCAAAGCTGACTCCTTTCTTGTACAAAGGACCTTCAGGAAAATTAGTGTCGCCCTTTGCATAGTCCTGAAGCTCACGAAAGCTAGAAAAGGCTTGGTCTTAGCCAAGACATAGTATAGCAGACAGCCCAGGGACCACATTTTGACCGCGCTGCCATAGCTTGAGCTTTCTTTCATAGTATCCAGGAGCCCAAAGACTTCTGTTGCAATGGAATTGTCTGTGCCAATGCGTCTTCGCGGCTCAGAATTCTCCCGTGTTAGCTTGCTGATCCCCAAATCGGTGGCTAGAAGCACGCGGTGGGTCTTGATACTCGTGGTCGGGTTCTAGTTCAACGGGACCCAGAGAACAGCTTACTACTCCTGGGTCCCGTTGAGGTCTCGGACTTCATCGGGACCCGGGATTTTCTGAGTCCCGTTGAGCTTTTATCCCTTATTTCATGTTATTTATGTATTTATTCACTGCTGCTTACGGGGGTTCAAATCCACCCAATTGAAATGTACCCAGTTATCTATACATCTCTTTGCAGTATATATACAATATGTATTTTTACTTAAATCCTATTTTGTTTTGACAAATTTACATCCAAATACCTAATATAAGCTTAAATTATGTATTGGGTAACTTGTAAAAGTGGTGCACGTTTGTTTGAAGGTGATATATTGGTGTAGTATGTCAACAAAGCTAAACTTATGACTTCATATCTCACACTTGGGATATCGTATAGGATCCGATTCAATTCTAAAGCAGCACTAGCTATAGATCCAGGGCGTGGAAATAGAGGTGGTGGGAATTGAAATGGCGGCATATTCTCCTATAGAATGTAAGATAGATGATGTATTGACATTGATGAATGCGCTAAATATCATTATATAATATACAGGTCCTGAGCGGGTTCCAGTTCAACGGGACCCGGGATTTTCTGAGTCCCGTTGAACTTTTATCCCTTATTTTATGTGATTTATGTATTTATTCAATGCCGTTTACGGGCCTCTAACTCCACCTGTTTAAAACGTACCTAGATTTCTATATATCTCTTTACAGTATATATACAGTATGTGTTTTTACCATAATACTATTTTATTTCGATGAATTTATATTCAAGTAGCTAATGTAAGTATATGTATCAATATATATATATATCCTACAATATCTAATTCGGTTCTAAAGCAGCATTGGCTATAGATTTAGGGCGCGGTGATAGGGGTATTGGGAATTAAAATCGCGGTATATTCTCTAGAGAATATACGTTATAATGTATTGACATTGAAAATGGGTAAATAAAAGGCGAGGAATGATTTTTGCGCTAAATCTTATTATATAATCAGAATTTCCTGGGTCCCGTTGAACTTTTTCTGGGTCCCGCCTTGTGGTTTGATATCGCGATACGTGATTCCAAGATTATGCAATATGTCAAGTGCCTCTAGTAGCTGTACATATTTCTTGTGCTTCGGTTGGCGCTGGGAAATTTCATCATAGTGACAATACTCCATCACGAAGCAAACATAATCCTGGAAGGAGTACCATCCCTTGAATTCGACAAAAAGAACCTCTTGCTTTGAGCTCTGTGACAGATATGAGACTCAAATCACTGATATGTTGAAATTTGACGAGTCCTCTTTCGGCTCGGAAGTTTTGAGTATAACCTGTTTGCAGCGATCGTTCGAAGATACCATGATGTCGAGTTTGAATGGCTCTGCAAGAGCATGGTCCATTACATGTAACACGAAGTCTCTTTGTGTTTGGATCTTTGTCCAGGAGACTTGAATAGAGCTGAAGTAGAGACAACCCATCTTGGCCCCTGCATGAGCGGCTGAGCCCCGCGGGGCTGATTTGGGAGATCTGGAAAGGGAAAGGAACCTCTACCGTCACCCTGTTAAAGGAGGTCTTTGGTCTGAAGAAGCTTTTATCATGCAGCATGATAAATACAGTCCTAGGGTATGTTTGCTCGAGATCGCACTCTGGCAATCGTTCGTTCAAGTCGAACAAGACTTGGCATGCCCTTGGTCAGATCTAGACATAGAAACCGCTATTTCCGACGAGGATGCACGGAGAGGTGGATTTACAAGTAAAAAGCGACTCGTTGCTCTGGTCAGAAAGGAACTTCCTTGTTTGGTGGGCGACCGCTATACAACCTGGTTATTGCATGTTTGTGCTGTCTTGATAAAGGAGAGGACAATGTTTTCGAGACCCAATCGCATGTCAACGACGATGATGGCATTGTGGTTGGAGTTCGTTACATTGAGAATGTGAGTACCTGACCTGAGTGGGGGACATTATATTCTGTTGACTTGACACAGGTGCTACTCAAATTGGAAGAGTTGATCATATGGCTCGTGCAGTTCTCCTTGTACAACAGAGCTGCTGATTGATCACTCAATGTCGCGGGGGATATGCTTCCATCTTTATTTTTCGGACTGTATATACTTCTTTATATCCATTATGTCAAGTTCCAGTCATCCCCAGTCCGGCTTATATTATCTCAAGTTTTCCTATGCTAGGCTGTCATGTGGATAATCAAATTGCAACGTGGGCAGTTGTCTAAGGAGCTACCACCCAGCATATATATAGCGGAAAATCTGTTCTGCGACTTGCAGAAACGGCCCTACCAAACTAAACCTAGGCTAGTATACTTAGTTTATGTCAATTTAAGAGAGTATATGAAAGAGTTTCAGATATGTGAACACCAGAAATTGTCAAGAACTATTTTTGATGTCGTTCGATTTACACTGGATTAATGTCATCTCGTTTTATGCTGTTATAGCATTTATTGAGAAGTTCTCACATCAAACAGCTCGCGTAGCTCAGTTGGTAGAGCGCGGCACTAGTAATGCCGAGGTCCATCGTTCAAGTCGGTGCGTGAGCAGTCCTTCTTTTTTGTTTTCCATTGTTTTTTCTTCTTAATGAAACTGTATCACATTATTTTTCTGGATATGGTATTTGCTAGATAAATTATTGTTCTCCTGTGCTTGCCAATTCAATTCGCATATTGAAGACAAAGCAGAGATCGAGACAACCCTAAACCCCACCTGTACATAGCCAACTGCTTCCTCTCCTGTACTGACAATTTCGAAGTCGTAGTCGTGTATTGTTGAAATTGCCAGGAGAACTATAAAACAAGTATGGACCACTCTAGATATTCTGCTGGTAGTCGGGGACACAGCTTCGGCTGTTCGTAGTCGGATTGCCACCTTCGTCCATAGAATTGAATGGAAAACTCGTCACAGCTGAGCCAGTTCCCATTTCCTGCAGGTCCGTCCCCCTTTTCTGTTAACACACCAAGAACCCCCGATTGTTTCATACACCTATCAGCCCAAGTGCCTTTATATTCCACCTGTTTACCACTCGGATCCGAGATAGAGAATTTGTATACACCCTGTAGGTCGCGAACGACCAGTTTTATGTTCGAGCTGAAGTACAATGAAATTTTTGGCTTCAAAACGGTTCCCTCAGATGTTTCATTATGCACTAATAATACTGTGATTGATCATCAAAGTTAAACCAGGTACAGCAATGAGTGCTCTTTTGCACCTTATAATAGCGATTATCTGATCTACCCTAGTTAGTTTAGAAGCATGAACAGCAAGCTATTGATACGTGCAATCAAGTTCATTGGGATACTTAGCACGATGTATACCATAGAAAAGACCTTTAAATGTTCCGATCTCCCGTACTTCCTTATTCGTTATCCTCACGAAGTTGTTGCAATGCCGCTTGATCAAAGATGCCAGGACCTGTAAGCTCCTTCCGCAAAGTCGAGATAGAGGGCACAAAGAAGTAGTCTCCTCCCCGTTGAACAACCCAACTCTCCAATGGCATACGGTGTCCGGATCCTTCCTCGTGATCAATCGTAGCGAAAGAGCGAGGCGGGTGATGCTCAAGTCTCTGGCCTACGATGGCGTCGATGCCTGGACCCTCCTCACCGACCACATGAGTCTTGTCGTCGGGGAAGTGGTGATTGCTAGCCCAGCCTGGATGGTTAAAGGTGTTAGTTGTCAGGATTCGCAGGGGCCTGAGAAGTACCTACGGGTGGTCAGGAAATTGTATCCGTTGCGAATATCGCTCTGGTAGCAGACAAACAAGAGTCCACGCTCTTTGTCTGCAGCAGACTTCCGTTCGGCCGCTTCTTCTGCTGTAACTTCTTCGCCGTAAGGAATGCCGCGACGCCAAATGACGGCATGATCGTGATTCATGTCTCCACGAGGTCTCATCTTGCGGGTGTGAGCAGCAAAGGGACACTTCTTGTGCTCATCAATGGGGTGGTAGTCGAAGTTGTTTGATGAGAAGAGCGCTTCGTTTGAGTCATCGTGAGGTGATTCGTCTACCGGGGTTCCTATACATGCTCTGTCAGGAACTAATATTCAGAGCCAAGATAATGCAGGTTGCAACAAACCATTCTTCCACCGTCCCATCAAGTGTGCCGCAAGCTTTTCCGCTGGCTTGGGATGGTCCTGAGCAAAAGGAGCAAGATGGGCATTCTCTTCCATAAAACTATGAATGTGGTCAATAAAACAATTCTAGACATCCGTTCAAGGTAGGCCACATACTTGTCAAATTCAGGAACGAGTTGCTGAAGATCACGGAAAACAAGGAAGCTACCGTCCTTGACCCAAGCCGGTTGCTTCTGCTTGTCACCCTCGTGGCCGCAAAGAACCAATCTGCACCCTGTCAGCCTACAAGCTCTTTCTTGCGGATCCGTCGAATTCACTCAGTCTTACCCTGGCTTTGCGGCTTTTGGCTCCTTGGCCTGAGGTTGCCTTTCATCCCAACCTTCAATGAGAGGCTGACTGATTCCGTCCTTGAACCCAAAGCTGAGGAAAAAAAGAATAAGTTTGACTGCCCTGTAGATAGTCACAGGTATTTCAATAGGAACTTACTGCTCCTTTCCTTTGTTAAGACCCGGTCGGACCTTTCCTTCTCTCACCAGGGTCAACTCAATAGAAGGGTCCCTACTGATGGCATAGGTGTCTGCATTGGGAGCTGTGCCTTCTTCGGCCAGGAAGTGCTGCTTCACTTCGCTGACTCGAGCATCCAAATCAGACTTTAGGCTCGAGGTCACCATGATCACACCATCAATGAGCCTCTGTTTATCACTCGTAGGCTGGTACTCCTTTCGAAGTTCCTGGGGGTTGTCCCACCCCTCTCCGACCAGATCATCGAACATGCCCTTTTCAAAAAGGCCACCGCGAATTTGGTTCCTTCGGAAGATTGGGGAGAGCTTTCTGTCTCTCTTCACTAGTTCTTGGTCCTTGACGCTTATGAATGCTCCAAGCTATATGTGGTTTGCTTATTAGTCACTGTTCAATGCCGGCGCTTGCAGTTACGACGATAACTTACAGCTTCAAGACCGGTCGAAGTAAAGGCAATGTTAATTCCTGGCAAGGCTTGAAGCTTAGCGGATTTCTTTGCCAGCTCGGCTTCTTTCCTTGCCGCTTTGATTGTCTCGCTCATTTTACAGGCATCTTGAGCTGTGGTGATCTTATCAGTGAATGTTTTGAGACGATTTTTGAAATCTGTTTGGTTTCGAATGCGAAAGAAAAGGAAGCTTTGGAATCTCTTTGGGAGACCGGGCCTTGTGATAGCGGTAAGCCTTTGAAAGAACATACGAGTACATGAACTTTATGGAGAAAAACCTACCAAACATCTCCCTGGATGTTTGCCCTCAGGGCCGGTGTGAGAGTCATGATCACGAAGTTCACTCGAGATGAATGCCTTGAGTTAGTGAGACTAAGTTGGAGAGGGAGGGGGAAGGGGCAAATATATGAGAATGTGACGCCAACTTCTGAGCCCAGAAACTAATTGCTCTTTCAAGGTGGGGTAGTGCTGCACGGTGATCCAACTGAACTTATCATTTGATTCAGCTACTACAGTAGATCAGATCGCCAATCGGATATGGGGCATATCAAATAGCGTCATTTTCAAGCGGTATTGGTAGCTTGACAGCCCCGAGGTCCAATATCGACGGCTTATCAATGCAATATTCTGTTGCATGCATCTCTATTTGACGAATCAAAATTACCGGATTACATCTTCTATTTGGTGAACAGGCACCGAGATTGGTGATGCCAGTACTTTGCAGTACTCATCTTGACCTTTGCAGATCCTGTGGTTCTACAGGCAACTCATATCATTCCAAATACAATGTGATCAGCGCCTTCACATTTCTTCTGGCAGTAGAGATCAACATAGCCGAGGGCTCCGCCAAGCACTCACAACCGGCATGTCATCTTCCAACAAATGAGATGACGCATTTTGTAATAGAATGGACACCTCACATCTCTGCACTACACTAGCGAAAGAGGCGATCAGATCATCAGCTGAATTGTGGATTCCACGTACACGATGCTCTAAGACTGCGGATCCGAGATTCGAAAGTCGCGATTCGCTAAATTTTAGGTCCCTGCGGGCAGGCGGAGCGGAGGCGGGCCGAGCTCCAATTGTTAAGGCGCTAAGACGAACTATGAACCACGATCGGCATGCAGTGGTGCTTTTGTCACTCCAATCACCAGCGCGCGATTTTTTTAATTAACACGCCACTGTGACACAAAATCCTGGCATTCTGCAGGACCCCCTTTTGATATGCAAGATGGGCACGAAGCGGAGGCTAGGTGGGCCTCTTGTCCCTTGTTTTCTGCAGAAATGAACGTCGATCTTTCACCTATCACCCACACGATCCCACCTTGAAAGTTTATGCATCTTTTTTTGCCGGCAGGCATGAAGGGATATAGTAGCAGTCAAGCTGAAATAGCATCGAAGCTGTCAATCAGTGACGTCCGTGTCTCAGATTAGCATCGTGCAGATCGTGATAGGCACTTGGCTGGTGGCAAGCCCCTCTCTGTCTTCAACATATCCCCACAAATTGTGATAGTCGAGGCAAACAAACCGGTCTAGCGGTATAGCGTATTCTCATTTACCAAAAGGTCTCCGGTTTGTTGATCACCGTGACGAACAATCCTAGGTGGAACACGCACAGGGCTGGGCTTATATTCTCCCCCTTGCTCCTGCTCCAAATATTCTTCTTCTTAGAAGCTGATTGAGCTCTCTTTCCCCCTCTTCTTCTTTTTTTCTTCATTCTCTACACGAAATTCTCGCCCATTATGAAGATTCAATGGGCTGGGGTCCTTCTAGCAACCTCCATTGGCTCCGCCAATGCCATGGCCAAATATATGGAGGAAGCCATGAGAGGAGAGCGCGTCTCTGGCTATGGAAAATCCGATAAGCCCTCCTTTGTACCGGACTTCATAGATGAATCTCCCCCTCACAACGGCATCCGACTCCCCCGTCAAGACTGGACCGTGACCTGCAGCAGCTCCGCCCCTGGGCATCCCTGCAAACGCGCAATTGACGGCAAGAACACCACTGGCTGGCGGAGTGACCCCTCTGATAAGGGTCACACCTTCGTGGTGGATCTTGGGGCGTGGTACCAAGTGAGTGCCGTCGTTGTTCTTCCTCTCCTCGATACAGGAGTGGAAGGCCTCATCACCCAACACAAGATCTGGGTTAGTGAAGATGATGAGACCTGGAGAGGTCCAGTTGCATATGGAATGTGGCCAACTACCGTCAGACAGCGGATGTCCGCATTCGAACCGTCCTCTACCCGATACCTGAGAATCACCACTGATGCCGACGAAGAGAACCCTTGGGTGGGTATCTCTGAGCTCAACATCTATGGAACTCTCTACACCATTCCGCGGGACCCCGCTCTCGGTGTCTGGGGGCCGACTATTGATCTGCCCATCGTGCCTGTCTCCGGTGCTCAGGAGGGTAATGGCATGCTTGCTCTTTGGTCCTCGTGGGCCGATGATCAGTTCCACTCCTCGCCTGGAGGCAAAACTGTCATGACTCGCTGGAACCCAATTACTGGAGAAGTTTCCAAGCGCACTGTCACCAACACTCACCATGACATGTTCTGCCCGGGTATTTCTTACGACGGTACCGGCATGATGGTAGTAACCGGAGGTAACTCTGCTAAAGAGACCAGTCTCTACGACTCTGTCAACGATGAGTGGATCAGCGCAACCGGAATGCATCTCAAGCGTGGTTACCAAGCTTCCACAACCCTTTCCGATGGGCGTGTCTTCGTTATTGGAGGCTCTTGGTCAGAGGTTTCTACCATTGACAAAGATGGTGAGGTCTATGACCCTGCTACTGGAAATTGGACTATGGTTCCTGGAGCGACAGTCAAGGACATGATGACCGATGACATGGAAGGTGCCTGGAGAGCGGATAACCACGGTTGGCTTTTCGGCTGGAAGGGTCTGAGCATTTTCCAAGCCGGGCCTAGTAAACAGATGAACTGGTACTCTGCCTATGGAAATGGCAGTGTCACTGCGGCAGGAGACCGCATGGATGATGGGGATTCCATGTCTGGAAATGCAGTTATGTTTGATGCCGTGAGGGGAAAGATTCTCACTCTTGGAGGATCTCCCGACTATGACAAGTCGCCAGCCACCGACGCAGCCCACGTCATTACTCTCGGCGAGCCAGGCGAAGAGCCGAAGGTTCAGCTTGCTGGAGGCACCGGCGCCATGCACTACGAGCGTGTGTTCCACACTTCTGTTGTTCTCCCAGATGGCAAGGTCTTCATTACCGGCGGTCAGACTTACGGCATTGCCTTTAACGAGGAGAATGTCCAGTTTATTCCAGAGATTTACGACCCTGAGACAGACAGGTTCGAGATGTTGCAGCAAAACAACGTCGTCCGGGTATACCACACTGTCTCCATTCTCCTCCCAGATGCCCGGGTGTTGAATGCGGGGGGTGGTCTCTGCGGTAACTGCACGGCCAACCACTACGACGGCCAGATCTTCACGCCTCCCTACCTGGTGACTCCTTCAGGCGAGCCCCGGCCCCGTCCTGAAATTCTCACGCGTCTACCAGAGAAGATTCTGATTGGCAGCACGCTGGATTTCAGAACTACGGGTCCGATCAGCAAGGCTTCTCTCATTCGTTTGGGCACTGCCACCCATACTGTCAACACTGATCAGCGTCGTATTCCACTCCAGGTCACCTCTACATCCGTATTTGGAAGGAGATGGAGGGTCACTCTGCCAAGTGAGCCGGGCATTCTCATTCCCGGATACTGGATGTTGTTCGTCATGGACCAGGATGGCGTGCCTAGCATTGCGAAGATCATGATGGTTGGATTGGATCCCAAGAAGACTATCAAGGCTTGGGGAGAGCCAGAGGATATGGCTGAAGAACAGAATTGTGAGCATGGATTCCTCAAGTCTTATTGGCAGTCTTGGAAACAGACACTAATTTCGCAGATGTACGACCGTTTATGAGGATGGAATTGCTCAAAAGGTGGCTCTGGTAAACCTTTCAAAACAAGGAATTGTATCTAGGCCGAATGCAACAACAAGCTTCACAATGACACAATAACTAGGGCCAAAGAAATGGAGGCAGATTCCAAAGAATCCAATGGTATACTTATGTATACGGGGCTGTAAAGAGACTTAGCTATCAACTGTATATGTTATTGAACGTATAGTTCAAATGTTGGAGCTATAACTACTTGCTTGTACCCTTTTGGCCTAAGGAAGTATCCTTCTCGACCAAGAGTCGAGAGAAGGGCAGCTGGCCGATGCGGAATCATTTCAATTGGTTATCATTCTGAGCCGGACTTATGGAACATGGAATCAACAATCTCTAAAAAGTGGACTGGTGTATTAATTAGGATGCTAAAATAGTCAAATGATACATATACTAGCTGAAATTTTATACAAGGTAAACTGGCCATGCCACTCAACCCATCAAAAAGACACCAGCCGCTTTTCTTAATATGACCGAATTACCACAGCTCTCAACATTGCATACAGGGTAGCCAATTAGGCAAACAAAAAATATTGAAAAAAACATACAACAGTAAGGATTCGCTAGTGGTCACCCACCTAACTACTAACTTACCGGCGTGTGGCTTAAGTACGGCTGAGCGGACGGGAAGCCCTGTTCTCCACACCCTGTGGTCGTATGTACTAGTTTTGCTATTGAAGGGAAATATATAGGGTTAATGCTAGAGGAAGCTGTAGCGTCGATAGGAGTGAGCCTCTCTTTGTTTACACATAGTGATCATCTCCCTCGTCTGACAATCCCTAAAAACGTTTAGACATTATGGCTAGAATAGCATAGACTGGCCGGCAGGATAGTGAACGCCCTAAATAGCGTTAGCAGCACTATCTGGACCACGAGGGTAACCCTTTCATCATTGAAATACGGTTCGCGAGTTCAATAACCCGGAAGGAATTTATTAATACAGATTATAGGTCTATAAAATAGTCCCTATATAGCCTAAGAGTCATAAATTGCTTTTCACGTATATCTTTGGTTTCACGGACCTTGGTATATTCCTAGAGATCTACACAACCACTCAAGCCTAACTCCTTTGTATACGTCGAGTATCAACGCCACGAGATCGTCCACCGTAAGAGACTACACCTAGCTTCTGATAAGTAGCCTGGCTCTCAAAGTAGACTATCGAGTTTCGGGCTTCAACGGAAATGTAGCAGACTTTGTCGAACTCGGGAACGAAGTGGTCTCCGAGGCCATTGAGATGAAGGTAAGAGGAGCAGCCAATCAATTTGCCGTTGAACAATTGGTATACAATATGTTAATAAGCGTTAGATCCTACATGGCGCCTGATGGAGAGTGGGTAATCGATTACGATGCTGATATGCCGCCTCGAGAGGGAAACGTCTTGATGGTCCCAGAAAGCCAGGGACATTCCCGAGCAACAAGCTACCTCAGAACATGACTCCGAGGATCTGTGTATCGTATGGGAACAGGTGATGATGCAAGAACAATCACTATTACGAACTTGACAGGCTCCGAGAAAAGTGTTCTTCAATACGTCATTCATGTCCCATTCCTCGCGGACATTGCAGACAACCTCAGCCTCCTAGAGCGAACAGCCCACCTTTTTACCACACACATACTGGCCGGCTGAATCTACGAAGATTCGGCTTGAGTTCCGAAATCTCGGTCCAAGCCTGGCTTCCATTTTGTCATCCCACAACCCTAGCGACCTCTCCACGGGTGCTTTGTGTATTTCAAATGATGGTTCGAAGCAGGAACGACTCATCTCCTTGAATGATTGGATTGTAGAATAAACTGCTTTGTAATCTAGCTCTCAAATCTAGATAAATCAATGATTTAATTCGTTATCTGCGAACCACGATAGAGATGAAGAGTCGGGTACTGGCAGTTAATTTTCCATCATGGCGTTTGATATACCGATGTGCTAAATGTCCAGATGGTCGTGTCTTTCGCAAGCAGATGAGGCTACTTAGCGTGTGGCTTATCTAACCAGTAGTAGGTTATCGCCCCGCCTCAGTTTAGGGCAACAGCACAATGTGAGTCACTCTCGAATTGCCTTGGCCTTGGGGCCAAAAGATAAAACCAGTCTGTCAACTTCCACCGGATTCTCCCCTTGTATGAAACCGGGGCCCTCGAAAAGAAATTCGAAGACTTATCTGGAAGGTCTCAATTCATCAGTGACTCCGACTTTAAACATGCATTCAATAGCCTCCCTCGGCCCCGGAGATCTCACTCCATTTCCCAACCCAGGAGTTCGCAGAATTGGATTTGGAGAAGATCCACCTCAATTCACCGTCGCCCATCTTCTCATCCATGGCTGGGCTGTCCAGAGGTTATCAGAATGCAACGACCCACCCATCGGCGACTTCAAAATCTGGGCGAAAGAAGTCGATTCACTCAGTCCAAAAGAGCGTGAAGAACTTCCGCGAGACTCAGACCTAAAATCTTGCCATACATTATGGCGTGATCAAATCTATTATATGTGGAATCATGTCTTTTATGATGTTGGCAATTGGATGGCAAACACGTACGGCACTGGGACATTCAAACCACCCAACACAGAGGTCTTCCCCATCGAATTCCCGAAACCCCACGAGAATGGCGATGGTGAGAAGAAACCTGTCGCAACTAAAGTTTGGGATACAGAGACTCTGCTTGCTCCGGCTTACTTAGCCCCGGGGGTTTCTTTGCGCGTTGAGACGTTTGAGCCCGGTCAAGAGAATGGTGAACCTTTTCACCCTGCGGACTTTAACCATAAGGATCGTTATAACGTTTGGTATGTGAAGAAGGGATTGCAAATGCGATTTTATGTTGAAGGAGACTGGGATCAAAGCACGGATGGGGTGGCTGCGGTGATGGTCTACGGGAATATGTTAGGCGAGCCATTCAAGTTTGTGGACGAAGAGAGTGAGGAGAGCGAAGAAGACGAGAATGGTGAACATGAAGAGTAGATATATAAAATCCTACAATATCAATAACTACCCTCAGTTTCCAGCTCGATTTCCAGCTCAAAACTCATATATCCGCGACTGAGCCTCAGCCTATAGTGAATCAGTGAGATGCTACATAGTTATTGTGATATCAAATGAATCTCTCCCCGCTTTTCTTCCTATTAGAGATGCTATCGATCAGGTTGAGGTTGAACTAGATCTAGCGCACACTGGTAAGTATCAATCCATATAAGTGCGTGATTCACTCAACATATCGAACAAAACCACACTTGAACGAAAGGAACTAATCTAGCTTATACTAGCTAGACAACTTTACATATATATGTAGTTGTTTTCTCGCCAGCTCTTCCCTTAATAAATACTTTGATATTTTTCACACCAGCAGGGTTGATAAGTTAGTATTTTCCTAGAGCTATAACATCAGCTATAAGCAAACTTGCAGATATACCGGAATAAGATGAAGACTATATCCGCGAGATATTGCGGCTGGCATTCGAATTTGCTGATAAATGAACAATCGGTTCCTTCAAAACGTAGCCTCGGATCATTTGAGGTAATGTCCGACCTCTCAACCTGTCTACAGTATTGTGCAACCACTGAATACTGCTATCATTTCCTCAATATATTGCTTTTCAACAGAATAACAAGTACATACGACCACAGGGTGTGGAGAACAGGGCTTCCCGTCCGCTCAGCCGTACTTAAGCCACACGCCGGTAAGTTAGTAGTTAGGTGGGTGACCACTAGCGAATCCTTACTGTTGTATGTTTTTTCTGTTTGCTATATTTTTTTGTGTCTTAATTCATGGATGCATGCAGAACACTGTATTGGATTTTTAATTAATAAGTTTCATTGACATTCGACATGCTATGCTGATCTTTGTTGAAGCCTAACATAGACATAAATAGGGCAGGCTGAACTGGACTAGGTCACGAGCGGAATGGTGTTAATTGTAATATTGTTCTAAATATGACCAAGGTTTGACTTAGATCATGCAATAACGGGCCCTTGAACACATGGTCTTGGCCGAGTTACACATAGATATTCCGAGTCGGTCGGATCAGAGCCACAGGCCCAAAATGTGGCTAGAGGTTTATGTTGAAACAACCAAGGCCTCAATTTACTGAAGAATGTCTCAAAAGAAACCCGGGAGTCTCTGTGTATCGCGTAATTGAATTAGATGCCGAGCCCTGGATTGGTAATTCACCTGAGGTCAATAAGGAGAAAATGCCATTTTAAAGGCTACAATGAATGTCCCCCCTTCGTATGAAAATGAATAATAAGCATTGATCAGAGCTTGAATCATCTAATCTGTACCACTCCCACCGGATCTGGTTGGAGTCGGCAGACGACGAAGTGTACGCGTACTAAGCTGCAACCTCCCCTAACGCGCCCATATACATCCAATGCCATCAAAAAGCATAAAAATTGCCACCGCATACAGATCACAGCGATCTCCATCGCGTGTCATTACGTCTTCCGTGTTCTTCCCCCTGATAGGTTTCAAGGGGTCTGACAAGCCTGCAGGCTGATTGGCCATCTACCCGCTCGGTCGTGTTTCAGGGCTAACGACGGTCTCAGCTGTCAAGCCCACGCGCCCAGGAGGTGATCCCCCCCCCCCCACTCAAGGCGCCGCGCAGTAACAGACAAATGAACTCGGGGTGCCGAGAGCTCTTAGGTTGCTTTTTTGGCTGTCCTGCCCGGAACTTCGCCCTTCCCTGGTCTAGTGACTGATCCACTTGCACGCCAATTCTGTTTCGGTCAATCGGCGGCTGCTGTGTAGAGATGTAATGCCCAGGATGCCGAGCATAGCCAAGGGTTCTGTGTTTGGTAGTGCAGGTCTGGCTCCGATAGGTGGAGTTGCGAAGATGTGAGGAATTAGAAAACAAACAGTTGCGTTTGTCTGGAGTTTGGTGGTTCTGCGCTTTCCATATAGATCTCCATCCCCGTGTTTCACTTGTAGCCTTTTGACCTTTGTTTATCATTTTTTCTTTCTGTCTCTATTGTCTCTTGATTTCATTTCACTCCTTCAATTCTATTCTTCTATTCCTTGGATTCGGTTCAGGACTGCCTGCCGCTCCTTTTGCGACATTGGCATTGTTGCATTGTGCATTCGTCCACGCCTGGAGCACTTTCTTTTAAACAGCTCGGAGAGCTATTTCTGTCTTTTGGCTTCTCTTCATTTGGTCTTTTTAGACAGGATCTTGTTTCTCTTCGCATTACATTCCTTGATATCGATATTTCAGGCTGGTCCTGGTTGTTCCGCTCGTTTTACGGCATTAATATCCTCGGGCATTCGACAAGATGCATCTCTTCTTTTCCCTTGTTGTTTTCGTTTTCTTGACCTCGAATGCTCTGTCCATGCCCACAGCACCTCGGTCCCACCTTCAGGGCCGGTCCTTCAAGGTGGACCTTGTTCGACGCAGCGACTATGTCCCTCATGGTCCCACTGCTCTACGCAAAGCATACCGCAAGTTTGGCATCACTTCGACTGAATTCACCGGCACTGAGCTGAGCGACTTCAAGCTCCTCGACACCAGCAGCCTTACCACCGCGAAAAGTGCCACCGAAGACTCACCCGACACTGAACAGTCCGGCGCCGTCAGCGCCGCTTCAGTCAATGGTGACCAGGAATTCGTCTCACCCGTTAACATCGGCGGCCAAACCCTCCCAATGAACTTCGACTCCGGATCTGCCGATATGTAAGGTCTTGCATGCAGTTAGTTGGCTTGTATATCAACTAACATGTATACAGGTGGGTGTTGAGCTCCCGACTCCCGGCCTCTCAGAAGCAGGGCCGAACTGTCTTCGAGGTAGACAACTCGACCACCTTCAAACAAGTCCAGGATGGCACATTCAGCATCTCGTACGGTGACAGCTCCAAGGCATCAGGCCTACTGGGCAAAGACACCGTCTCCGTCGGTGGTGTGGAATTCAAAGAACAAACCTTCGGCCTCGCAACCGAAGCATCCGACGTGTTCATCGAAGACACAGCATCAAACGGTCTCGTCGGACTCGGCTTCTCTTCTCTCAACACCTTCAAGCCAGGTCCCCAGAAGACCTTCTTCGAGAACGTCGCGCCAACCCTCGACGAACCACTTTTCACCGCCAGACTACGGCCCGATGGCGTCGGCCAGTACGAATTCGGCAAGATCGACGAGACCAAGTACACCGGAAGCCTGGTCAACGTCAGCGTGGACTCGTCAGATGGATTCTGGCAGTTCGAGTCTGCTCAATACTCCATCGACGGCGGCTCCTTCAACACCATCACCCAAACAACCAAGGCCATCGCCGACACAGGCACCTCGCTCTTGCTGATCAGCCCCGAGGTCGTGCAGGCCTACTACGCCAAGGTTGCCGGTGCTGTGTACGCTGGCAATGTCCAGGGTTGGATTTTCCCCTGCGCGTCAAACTTGCCCAGCCTTTCGATTGCAATTGGCAACGACTATGCCGCGAAGATCCCCGGAAAGTTGATCAATTATGCCCAGATTGGAACCAACACGACTACCGGTGCAACTCGTGAGTTACTGCTGTTAACCATTTTGCACGGATCCGAACTAACCCTTCTCCCTAACAGTGTGCTACGGTGGCGTTCAGTCCAACTCCGGCGGTTCGATGTCGATCTATGGCGATGTGTTCCTCAAGGCCCTCTTCGTCGTGTTTGATCAGCGAGGTCCTTCTCTCGGATTCGCCACTCCCACTTAGGTGCCTGATCGGTGCTGCATCATACGTTGCTTCCGCATAAAAGCCTTTTGATATGTACAGATTATAGAAATCAAAGATCACATTTCAACTGTTCTTAGCGGTATTCATGTGTCTTTGATGGTTGTACTCGGAGCCCCTTTCACCATGACAAGTAATATATTAATAATGATACTGAACTTTTGAAATTTTTGATTTTTTCATATTCTCGTGGGTATGCGTGTAGTCCATTTATTTGCAGGCGAGACAACAACCAGGCTCTTCACATCAGACATCTATCCTTTTACCGCACAGTAGCGTTCTTCAAGCTCTTAACGGTACAGATACCACCAGAGGCAGCGACCAGCTTGCCAAGAGCAGGCTTGCCCTCCTGGCCGTGGACAGTGGGGACAGCGCTGCTGTCAAAGGCAACCTCGAGGTCGCTGGTGGTGGTGAAGCCAGGTTGGAACATTTCCCAGACCTTCTTCTTAGGGTTGAGCTGCTTCTCGGGCTCGCCGTCGTTCCAGCCCTGGAAGGTGATGCGCTCACCGGCAGGGGCGTCAGCGGGAGGGTTGACCAGCTCGACGGGGCCCGCGTGGTTGTCCTCCTCGCCCTCAGCAAGGCGGGGAGAGGCGGCGAGAACCATGGCGCAGGACTTGACACCACGCATGGTCACGGGCTTCAGGTTGCAGACGGCGACGATCTTGCGGCCCTGCATCTCCTCCAGAGGCACCAGGCCGTTCAGGCCGGAGCAGACAGTGCGAACGGTCTTGCCGGTCTCCTCGTCCAGGGAGGTGTTGTCGCTGCCGGGGGCGTCACCGCAGTCGATGGTGGAGACGTACAGGGAGTCGGCGTTGGGGTGGTTGATGGCGCGCAGAATGTGGCCGACACGCAGGTCGATCAGTGAGGGGGCGGGAGGGGCAGCGGGCGCAGGAGCGGGCTTGGGGGCCTTCTCCTTCTTCTCCTTCTTTTCCTTCTTGTTGGTGCGGGGAGGGCCACCGGCGGCGGCGTCAGCGCCAGCCTGGGCCTGGCCCTTGTCGGCCTTACCTTTCTCGGGCTTGCCCTGGCTAACGACTAGGGGCTTGGACTCGGCATTGCCCTCTGGGGTTTGGGCAGCGGCCTTCTCGCGCTTCTTGCGCTCCTTCTCCTCCTTGGGGTCGACGGGCTTGGGTACGAACTTGACGTCGTTTATGTCAATGGCGACCTTCTCCTCGTCGGGGATCTGCAGAGAGAACAGGCGGGCGTTCTGCACAAAGTCCACGTGGCGCACGATGTGGTGGTAGCCCTTCTCTCCAGTGCGCTCCTCGGGAGTCCACTTCTCAACGGCGGGGGCCAGAAGAGCGTAGACAGCAATATCGGCGACCGAAGGCTTCGCACCGAGGACGGTCGTTCGTGTGGCCAGGTGGATGTTCAACTGGTTCAGCATTCCCTCGGAAGCTTCTTTGTCGCCTTTAGCCAGGGAGGCTTTCAGACCGTCGACGGTGTGCAGCCATTGCTTGATGTCGGCTTCCTCATCTTCGGCGAAGGTGACGGTGGGGAAAATCTTGGACGAGGCGTGGAGGTAATCGGGTTCAGTCGCATCGGGAGAGATGGCTGCCGGGTACGACCGGTAGAGCAGAGAGAGGAGCGAGGACTCGGGGGCAGCTGCCGTGGCCATTGTGAAGCGTGGAGGGGTTGGTGGAAGAAAAGAAAATCGAGGGGCTCGGATTTGTGTCGGGACCCGCGGGGTTATGTTTCGGGCCCGCAATGGGATCCTGAGGATATTCAGCTTGACTAAGATCCCTGGAGATGTGAGGGATCTGGTATTTATTTTTATATTATGAGTCAATCAGCTTCAGGGAAAGCCTTGACGGTTTTTGACCGTGCTGCGTGAGCTGACTCAGCATCCTAGTCCGCGGTGTCCATGGGTTACATAGAGCATATCCTCGCTTTAGTTGCTTGGACAATGTGTCTATTGAGTTGATGCTAGTCTCTAAAGTAATGAATCAATAAGCGACTCGTTGTGAAGCAACAATAAATTCCGCTTGGCCTTATTCCAAGTCCCAGTATGAGGTCTTGTGCTCTCTATCCCACTTGGTCTAGCGGACACAACCTAAGCAATGGCAAGATCTTGGACTATTCCCCCCTACTTATGATTCACAATTCAATTATTCACAGTTCAATGTCCATGTAAAGCTCTCAAGCTCATATTGGTAGCCTACCTCCGAACATGGCCACGAAGGACCCTGTTCACGAAGGAGGCGCTGAGGTAGTTGTGAGGTGTCGATGTTTTGCTGTGTGTTCGCGATCGCATGATGGCTTACACACTCGGGTGACGATGAAGAATTCTCCGAGAGGCGAGGGGGAGTAGAAAGTGGCATAAGCAGTAAGTAGAGCTTGAGACCACTTGGAAGGGTGATCGAAATCGAGACTTGTATAATTGGGAATCTGTACACGAAAATTGTGACGAGAATTGGGGACTGCAGTTAAGTACATGGCATCGTATTCTCTATCGTTCCGATGGTCTATGATGTCTTGTCTGATATGGTCGACGAAGCGAGTCTCCAATGTACCGCTTAGTAGACGAGACATTCTCGGTGGATCGGCGAAGGAACACGATGGGTTGGGTCAAATTTGAGACAAAAGGATGGACACAGGATATGAGAAGTCAACATGGATGTGGCAATTGTGGTACAAAGGCTGCCAAGTAAACTAGATCGCTAGGTAAGGAAGGGCAAAGGAGGGCCATTAGTCCACTTTTCCGTGGGAAATGATAGCCTTGCTAACTTTGATTGTATTTCTATCATGTTGTGATATCCATGTCAGTGTATAGTTGTGAGTGATTTGGTAAGGCTTAGAGATGTCTGTGTGATATATGACAGGTGTTGTCGGTTTCAATGGCCACTCTGCCGAGTTATAGCATATGCAATACTTGAGCTGCTATTGATGAAACGATTACATCTTACAGGAGTCTCATATCAATCTGACAGGTGAACGACTGTCTCTTATGGTAAAGCTTTCACAATAAAGCCGCGTTCATAATGAGATCAGTACTCCGTATCAAGATCCACATCGAGAGTGGCAGAGGCTTTTAACACATCCTAGGTATCCTATCATTGCAAGAATAACCTCAGGTATTAAGCCCAAGATATTTTAGTTCACCCCTCGGTCGCTCTTGATGGCTTTAGGCTAAAGCAAATGCTTTGTCAAGGGTAGTTGGCTCTAGATTTAGAGTCCTACATGAGCGTCTGACAACACAGGCTTAAAGTAGCCTTAATGACCCGACTTATTGAAGGCGAATGGGCACTAGCCTATAACAAGGCAACAACCTGCGCGTGTTGAGTCTGCATCGTTGAGAGAACCGAACTAAGACTGAACGTCTGCGGCAATTGAAGCCTTTGGACACGCCTTGTGCTTCTTGAATAGCGTGGTGTTTCTTGTTAAATTGATAAAAGGCCAATAATATTACTCTTATCGCGCTCTGTTAAGTTAGATAGGAGTGCTTATAGCGTGACAGGACGTCATAGACAAACAAGAAACCGGTGATCGCGAAGTTGACAGATCGATTGACGCTAAACCTCATTTGGAATACAAAGAAACCCCCGATCTTGAGCTCGGATCTCTTAACTTTCGGTACAGATCCAGTGGCTCTTCATCCTGGAGAGCGAGATGCGCACAAGCTGAAAGCTGCAAAGACCAAGAAGAGATTCAAATGTAAACGAGCATTATCCAAAGGCAGCCTTTCATGATTATGAACACCAAACTAACTACGGAAACAATTGCAGTCTTTCGCGGGAAATTATATCAACACGTTCTCAATTTTGACATGCAGTATCTGCGCCTGATCTTCCATTCGGTTAGAGCTCAGCTGTCAAAGCGCTCTGAGTTTGCCAGCCCCCCTTAGCGAGTGACGATGAAGAGTTCGTACGTCACTCTAGGCGAACATGTCGATCCACTTACCCCACCGATTGTCATGGCACGCCACAAACCCCCCCATCGTGCCTATGAAGGGGAAATCCGAAGAATGAGACTCGCTCAGGGCTGAGCTCAGCTGAGCACGGATAGACCCGAGATATACGTGTCTTTATACTGCATATGCAGTAGTATGTAAGGATCTTCAGGTGAACCATTCGTCAATCTAGAATGGATACCATGTTTACAGTAAATCGCGCAGTCAATCTTCAGGAGGAGCCAATTGGCAAGAGCAAAAGGCCCCATGACAGAGGTGCCATCTGCAACTACCCCCATTGGCATCCCAATTGACATCATAGTACGGTCCCGGGAGCACGGTTGTACCCATCCGCACCCATGAATGGGTTTATTAGGATTTCAACGCGCTATCTGTACTGTTCACATTCTTTAATTGATCTTACGACAGGCTTGTGACAGTTCTTACCAAGCCTATACCTGACGAAAATAGCTCATCCATCACACCACATCGACAATATGGGGCTCCACACGACTGACGACAAGGAGTATACCGAGCTCATGGCCCATCATGGCAAGGGCAACTTCATCTATTCTCCTGAAACATACAAGAATTTGCATCCAGGCTCTGTCGGGTACTGGAACAAGCTGGGACAATGGGTTGAGATCACAGATATTTCCGTGCCAGGCAGACCAGAGGCCGATGGATTCGGACCTGCTCCTATCCCACCGATGGATGAGCCTTCAGAGAATTTCTGGAGGACCATGTCTTCTGAAAGTGGAAGTGAGAGTGGTGGGCGTCTCAAGACTGAAGTGTCCGGATTAGCGGCGGGAGGGCCAATCGACGCTGGGGTTAAAGCAGAGAATAAGAACACCTCAAACAAGAAGGCAGCTCTCATCACCGACGAGGTCGTGAAATGTGAGAGATTTGTCACTAGAAACAGTGTGCTTATTGCGGCCTGGGTTAAGGAGAATGCAAAGAAACTCGTCAACTCGCCTTTCGGTGATGATATTAGCCGCTATGGTCTCTACGCGGTTCACACCACATATGTCACCTCGCAATGTGCAATCACCATGACCACCGACAAGAGTCGCAACCTTGACCTTGGACTAGATGTTGGAGCGACTGGAATTGCGAAGCTTGGAGCTGGTGGATCATCCCTCCAAAAGCTCAAGGGCGAAGGATGGGCGACATATGAATCCAACGGGGTAAGTTCAATCAAACTCTAAATTTCGAGATCGCATTACTGATATTGTGTAGAAGGACGGTGGTCTGGTGGTCTCGTACGCCGGAGCTCAATTTAGGCTCGCGCGTCTCGCTCGCTTTAGGAAGCATGTAAGTTTCGGATCTGGGTATATGTAACACCTGTATATCAGCTAACCAAATGAAGGCTCTGTCGGAAGTCAAGGCCGGTGAGACCACCGAACTTCGTGCTATTTGCGATGAGAACGGAAACATCACAGGATACGAGGAAGTAAAGGTGGAGGCGCCAAAGGGAGAGGAGCCAGATGGGGAAGAAGATGATGAAATCGTTTTTGAAAGTGAACCGGTTGGAATGACTGAAGACGATATCAAGGAAGAGGAAAAGGCTGCGAAGGAGGCAGAAAAAGAGAAGCAAGCTGAGTTCGCCAAGAAGGCTGCGGAGCTCAATAACATCCCAGAAGGAGCGGAGAGAGATGCGGCACGACAGAAGCTGTTACAAGAGATGATGGTTGTGCAGGAGCCCGTGATCCAGCAGCGCTAGAAATTGGATCAGTTTTGGGACTTAAGCCTTAAGATATGAAATATATATCATGCTATCTTCGTATAGCAGGACTACATATAAGTATAGGACGTGACTTCCATGCCAGATTCCCAAGGTTCCATCGAAGCAGATCCATGGATGTGACCCCAGATATGCGCTAGACCAAACTGGAACTATACCCATAAAAATGTTCTGTATGATTGGCTTGTCTTACCACGCTAAAATGAGTCATGATGAATCAAGCGCCAAGAACCAATCACATACTGCTGACTGTGGAGCCACCTCCGCTGCGGTTCATCCCTTTGCCTCAGGATTCTTTTATATGGCCTGGCCTGTCCTTCGATCCTTCCTCAGGACACGACTCCTACCGAGTCGACCCCCACTACGCAGTTGACCTAAGGTCACCCTCCCTCTAGCCCCGACAGAGCGTCACGGGTCTGCAAAGACCCGTCTAAGAAATCTACCCATGCCAGCCTGCAGTTGCTCAAGCGCCGCAGCGGTCATGCAGTCCATCCATAGGTTCCAGCCGACCCAGCTTCGGCACGCAGGAACGCCGTCAAGGGCCTGCTGAATACTCACCGTATTTGAGTTACTCTCAATACGGGGATGACCACCTTCTTTCGTCTCTGGCGCCGCCGATGGGGTCCTTCCCTTCGGCAGTGCCTGTTTGTCAATCCTTCGATATCCTCGCCCGACAGTCCGATCTCTGGGCAGAACCAGATCTGTCCTTTACTGATTCCGACTGGAATTTCGTACCTGTGAATAATTCGACGCCGTACACGCATGGCTATGATGGTGGCGATGTTCCCGTCATGGATTTTGGGTGCGGCACTGCCTCTGCCTTCCAATCTCTTTCGGATTCGGGCTCAATCGAGAACCAACACCTTGTTCCTGCATCTATCGTTCCTAGCTCGGCCAACTCTCAAGGTATGATTCGATCTCTAGCCATGGCTGGTGGGACCGGTTTCTAACTCTCAGGAAGATGGCCACTCGCACTCGCAACCTTCCCCTGTCTCTCAATGTCCTGCTCCAGTCTCGGCCACTTTTCCCAGCCCTGCTACCTCTCATGGTGATGATCTACTCGGTCCCACTGGTACCCGTGTGGAAAAGCGCAGGCTGAATACCCTCGCTGCTCGGCGTTGTCGGCAAAGACGGGTTGATCGGATGAAGGACCTTGAAGCGGAGTTGGAGAAGGTCCGTCAGGAAAGAGATGATCTGAGACTTAAGTGTTCCAAGCTGGAAGGCGAAACGGACGCTTTGAAGGGTCTTCTCACTCGCAAGAACCAGGATAGTTAGGATCTCAACTGTTGAGCTGGTCTCTTAGATATTGAATCCGATTGGGTTGGTTTGGTTTCAACTTCTTTCTTTGTAGTTTTCCTTGTAGCTTTGCTTGTAGCCTTCCTTGTATGTTTTTGCACTTGATAATCGCAGGCAATTAAGCCCGCACATACTGGACATAGCGCCAACATCCCCAGCCCCACCCCCACAAAGCAGGCAAACCACCTCGGCCAAACCGGGCTCGATGTGGAAGACGGCGCATTTCCGTCATTCCCAGTTCCAATTCCGATCTTGGCAACAAGAATGGAGGTCATTACCCGATCGTCGGGGCTTCCGGAGAGGGGTTGTCCCCAATTTGTACAACAGTTTCGTGGCACTAATCACTGACGGGCGCCATGTTCTTTTTTACTTGAGTTTAAATATTTCACCTGTGCAGTGGATCCCATCGGCTTATTGTTCTCGATATACAAGTACTTTGTGCCAGCCTCGTCCGCTCACGTTATTCGAGTAAAATTACCGACCACGCCGAGGCCAAGTCAGAAATCAGAATGAGAGCAGTTCGCTTCCATGGAAGGGAGGACATCAGGATTGACGAAGTCGAAGAGCCAATCTGTGGCTATGGTCAAGTCAAGGTAAGAAATAATTCTGCTACAAAAAACTTCAGTTGCAAGTTGGCTCGCGATCTATAGGGCTCGGGTGTCAGTTCAGTCACTAACAAGCTTCGCTGTCAAAGATCCGCCCTGCATTCGTGGGCATATGTGGAAGCGGTAAAGAAAAGTCCCTACCAATTCCAAGCCTCCTTTTGACATCATCTAGATATACACGAATACCTGGCCGGTCCTATGGCAGTCCCTGTCACCCCGCACGCAGTAACGGGGGAAAAACTGCCAACGACGCTGGGCCACGAGTTTAGCGGCACAATTGAGGAGATTGGAAGCGGCGTTACAGGGTTAAAAGTCGGTGATCGAGTAGCCATCAAACCTAACTTGTCAGACGGGACATGTTCGAGGTGTTTAGTAGGAAGGTTCAATTCGTGCGAGAACCTAGGTTTTATTGGGTATAGTGGTAAGCTATTCTCAACCTCATCTCTGTTTTTACAATCCATTTCAATCCTGGTCTGGATAATACTAAGTGAATTCACTTCCAGGTAAGGCAGGAGGCCTCTCGGACCATGTAGTCGTCGACACGAAACATGCCATACCACTCCCAGACTCTATCACCCTCGACATCGGCGGTAAGAATGAGCCAACCTTCACTCATATCCCATTCAGCTCTGACAGCGGGTAATACAGCATTGGTGGAACCACTCTCAGTAGCATGGCACGCCGTCAGCCGCAGTCCTCTGCAGGAACACGACACGGTGCTAGTAGTCGGCGCCGGACCAATCGGGCTTGCAATTATTCAAGTACTACGAGCGAAGGGTATCAGCAATATCATCGCAGTTGAAGTCTCCGAGAAACGAAGAGAGTTTGCTCTCAGCCTAGGTGCAACGGAGGTCCTTAATCCGCTTGAAGTGGATGTTGTCGCACGGGTGCGTTCTGTGACTGGGGATGCTGGTGGTGCTTCTATTGCTTTTGAGTGTTCTGGGGTACAGGCTGGGCTTGATACTGCCATGCAAGGCCTCCGGGTACGCGGCACTACGGTTATTGTTTCGCTGTGGGAGCACAAGCCTGTTATTGATGCTTTTGCTGTTGTGCTTGATGAGAAGCATGTCACCGGGGCTGCCGTTTTCGATGATGGGGATTTTGAGGCTGTTATTGATGCTATTGCTTCGGGTATGTTTGCTTGACTCTTTGCATATTGCGTCTTTCTTTCGGTTATGTTTGGGCTTCTGCTGACCCTCTTGCTCCCCGAAACAGGTAAAATCCAGCCCCGCCCCATGATTACTAGTAAGATCCCAATGGAGGATATCACCGAGAAGGGTTTCAAGGCTCTCATCGGTGAGAGGGATAAACATGTCAAGATTCTGGTTGATATTTCTGCATGAGCCGGGCGCCTAACGGTTAGGTGAGGCTTCTTCTCTGATCGGATTATGGGCAGCGATTGATGCCCAGCTTATACTTGAGCAAAGTAATCAACCCAATGGTGGCTTGCATGATGTCCCAAACCGGCCATAGAAGTGAGCCACGCGAGATCGATCGGGGTTTAATGCGTTACGTGGTTGATCGGATGATTTGCTTGCAGTGTTGTCTGCTTCTGGAATGCAACCTTGTCATTATTCATGCTAGAATATCCCTGCTAGAGCTGTAATAGCGCCAGTTAGCATTGCTATGAGCACCACACTGACGCAATGGCAACTGTTTGTGGTGCCTTGGCTTGCGTAGGTCGAGATGATTCCAAACCCACCCGATATATTTCATGTACAGCCGTCGGGATCTTAAGTTGTGGTAGCCAAAGCACATCATACATTAGCAAATACCACGTTAACGTTTTCTGGTTGAATTACCAATGGTGTATTCCGTAATAGACTGAAAAGTAAGATGGCCGCTCTATATATAGATCGAGGCCGCGCCCTAGACATAGCGAGTATCAGTCTGTAAAGGTTTATTACAGTCACGTGGTGCCAAGAAATCCAACTGTCAGGTGACGCGTCTCCAACTGTCGGGGTGAACTACATCCTGCCAATGCTAGACAGTTCGCGTCGAAGCGCTACAACCCTTTGCTTTTATCCCTATTTCTGTTTGAAACCTGAATCGTTTGGGATTTCCTTTTTCGTGTTGCATATAACGTCAATACAGCTAACAGTATGATGATCTTATGGTTACTTTTCGATAACTTCCCTGCCATAGAATACGAGCCGAGGGGGCTAGCTGACTGTGAGGAAGAAAAGACTTAGACTAGACAGTGGGGGTGGCCAAAAGTACCTGTCTTGACGCCTCCCGCTCAAACTTAGCGATGTGTCGAATGACGACTAGATCTCTCTAGACCGGGATCTCAGGATCGGCAAAGAGATTTGAGACGGGGGAAGGTTCAGTCCCACCGCACCATTGTCGCGAGCTTCCCGTTCAGGACCAGATGCCGGTCCCCGACAATGTACAGTATACGAGGTGTATGGAGACTGCAAGGATACTGGCTTGGAATGATTCCAGTATACTATGCCACGCACCATCAGGCACAAAGATCATAGGGTATCCCGTAATGCCAAATGGGTTGGTGTTTTCGCTATTTCGGCACTAAGGCACCACGTCGTCTGTGTTCGCATCTGATTGATCCACTCTGTCTTTTTTTCTGGAAAGACACGCCTCAGCCGTGAACTGAGACAAGACACCGCTCACGTCTGATATAATTCATTGGCTTATATTCTGCATAGGATGGGGCCGGGGTGGAATTTTTAGATCCTACCGTCTAATGGTGCCTATACTCTTTGACTACGCTTTGGACCCCCCTGCAGCTTTTTCTTTCTTTTCTTGATTACTTTGTCACGCAATACATCCATTTTCTGTCTTTTCTTATATAATTGAAAACATCGTCAGAATCCCCACTGGAAATCTCCACTGTTTTTTCCTTCTAGAGCACTTCTTGCCTGAAACCTGACGCCATGGGAACACCACTTACAGGAACGGTCCTTATTACCGGAGGCAATGGTCTGCTAGGCTCAGAGATCGCTATTGAGATTGCAAAGAAACAACCCTTTGTGCATCTATTGTTGACGGCCCGGGATATTCGGACCGATGATGTCCGGGATCTCATCGGAAAGATTCGATTAATCGGCCCAAGATCGATTGAGGTTCTCGCTCTCGATCTCACGGATCTGAAATCAGTGGCCAGCTTCGCCAGTTCTACAGTCGACCGGGTCCGATTTAAAGACATCCCACCCGTGACCAGCCTGATTCACTCTGCTGTCGCCACATCATACGTTGTTGACGACCTCACATCAGATGGCTACGACCCTGTGTTTCAAACAAATTGCCTGTCACCGTTTTTATTGACCATCGGACTACTTGAAGCCTTCCGTGCAGGCGATGGTACACCAAAAGGTGGAGCGAAGGTCATCAACATCGGATGTTCAGCAGCAACGTCCTGTGGACAATTGGATTATTTTGACCGCGATCATGGAAGACACGACCGACAGATTGGTTCATCACTCAGCGCCAAAGAAGGCAACGTTCGATTTGGAAGCAGCAAATTAATAGCCAGCGTCGCATTATATGCCTTGCGACGGAGCTTGATCTGGGTAAGTTGTAATCTTCAACACCTACATCATTGGCCCGTTACTGACCTAGATATAGACTGGGCACATATCACTGGACATCTTCACACTGGATCCAGGAGGCATGACTGGCTCAAGCAATCTGCGGACTGGGGCCCCAATGTCCGTTAAAGTCGTACACCAGACTCGGACCGGTCTTCGGCCTTTCTTGCGCATGGTATCCCGAAGCTCCATGAACAAGGCCAGTGTCCCAGCCAAGGCGATTGCCAGAGTTGCATTCCATATCGACTCGGTGGAGAACTGGCAAAAGGAACGCTACTTTATACTTGATACCGACTACGAAGCCGCATCCGTCATGGCGGGCTTGCGTGATGGAGAGAAAATGAACACTCTATTACTACAGATGATGCGACAGGTTGATGTGGAAACAAAAGAGATTGATTCTCCTCCTGTTCGGCCTCGAGTGAGTATGCTCTCACCTCCGACGATTGCATTGTGAGAACAGAACACCACCAAAATTAGATTAGCATAGCATTAGCATATATAAGATCTGTACATGAGGAAATTAATTTCAATTGGCCAATTCAAATCTGACATGATCCATAGAAAAAGCGTGGTAAGTAGTAAATTCGAAGTATGCAATCCAGGGGCGCTGCAAGCGGTTGACCGGATTCGGAGGCAACTTCCTGGACCGTGTGTTACTCTCACGGGCACCTTTTCTATCTCACATTTCTCTCTTTAGTTTCTTCAATTGGCATCATCTTCTCAAGCTGGATAACCCCGGGGCTGCGACTAGGCTCCCCGGCCACCAACTTCTTGGCCACCGACACAAGCGCCGTGACGGGTTGTGATAGCGCCCGCAGTCATGAACAGGCACGTCCTGGAAAAGGGCCACTCCGCCTATCCCATCGGCTCGGCCTTCTCAATTTCGCCAAACAAGTAAGCGAAGGCCCTGGACGACTTCATGCATTCTGACCGAGAGCTCTCGGAGCTTGCCGTGAAGCCCATGTCCGATCGAGAAGCTTGAAATCGGGACTGACTAGCCTCCCCCAGATTCCAGCCTCGCTCCCAACCCGCCCTCCGACGCCGACGACAATTATTCCAGCGTCTATGCCTCCTTGCTGGAGTATCATTGGTCCTCTTCCTCCTCATCTTCCCTTCCTGGCGCGCCGCCATCCTGCCGACGATTTCACTCGGTCTACTCTCTTCCACCGAAGATCTACACCTACAAACGGTCCGGTATTATGATTTATCGCAAGTGCAGGGCACAGAGAAGGGCTGGGAACGTGGAGAGCGTGTCTTGATGTGCACTCCGCTGCGGGATGCCGCGTCGCATCTGCCCATGTTCTTCTCGCATCTGCGGAACCTCACATATCCGCACAACCTGATCGACCTTGCTTTCCTGGTGTCTGACTCCCGGGATGACACCCTGAATATGCTGTCAAGTATGCTGGAGGAGATACAAAATGACCCGGACCCGAAGATGTCATTTGGCGAGATCTCCGTGATCCAGAAGGACTTCGGACAAAAGGTCCAGCAGGATGTGGAAAGTCGTCATGGGTTCGAGGCCCAGGCTAACCGTCGCAAGCTCATGGCGCAGGCTAGGAATTGGTTGTTGAGTGCCACTCTACGTCCGACTCATAGTTGGGTCTATTGGAGAGATGCGGACGTGGAAACCGCACCGTTTACTATCATTGAGGACTTGATGCGGCACAATAAGGATGTTACTGTTCCTAGTGAGTTGTTAATACTCGAGTTGCAGGGTTATTTGTATGTTGACTTGATTGTAGATGTTTGGCGACCGCTTCCGGATTGGCTGGGTGGAGAGCAGCCGTACGACCTGAACTCATGGCAGGAATCTGAGACTGCCCTGGCGCTGGCAGATACTCTAGATGAGGATGCCGTGATTGTGGAAGGATACGCCGAGTACGCTACGTGGCGGCCTCACCTCGCCTATCTCCGCGATCCCTATGGTGATCCGGACATGGAGATGGAATTGGACGGCATTGGCGGTGTCAGTATCTTGGCCAAGGCTAGAGTCTTCCGTGCTGGTGTCCACTTCCCTGCATTCAGCTTTGAAAAGCATGCCGAGACCGAAGGGTTTGGCAAGGTAAAGCAATATGATCCACAATTGACAGGTACAATGGCTAATGTGACATAGATGGCCAAACGTATGAAGTTCTCGGTTATTGGTCTGCCACACTATACCATTTGGCATCTTTACGAGCCTAGCGTTGATGACCTCCGGCACATGGAAGAAATGGAGCTGGAGCGATTGGCTCGCGAGCGGGAAGAACAGGAGCGCGCTGAGCAAAAGGAGGGTACTCAGCCCAAGTCTCAGGATTCCAGCCCCGACGGTGAATCCGTGAAAGGATCCGCCGATGGCCCAGCTGTCCAACCCGAGAAGGATGCAAAGGACTCCCCGGAGTCTTCCCAGCTTGACAATACCGATAAACTTCCCAAAGCGAAGCAATGATCCAACATCGCCTCACCGTTTCTTTCCAAACACACCTGAGTATCATGCTGCAAATTTCACATTGCATTTCGACAGGTAATTTAGCCGATCGGCTGCAACTCAGAATGCGGCCTGACCGTGATTCATACGAGATTCATACGACACATCTTTCATGCAAGGGGTTATGGAACTATTTCTTTAGACTGCGGGCGCATTTATGCCCAAGCTCGAACGAGCTTTGATTTGATGGGGGTTTTATTCGTGTATATGTTCTTTTATCTTTGGGTGGTGATCTCTTTCTTATGGAGTACAGGCATACGGGTTGGCGTAGCATTGAGAACCGATTTGGTCATCGAAAGCAATATGGACGGTCTGATTGAGTATCCCAGTATGATTAGACCCAATTTATTGTTTGCCATCGACAAAGTGCAATATTGAAGATGTCAAAATCGAAGTAGATGTTAAGCGGTGGTCCGTGTCCCCACCCTCGCGTCGCGTCCAAATTCAAGTCTTCCCTTGCACTTGGATCTTTGCAATCCATAAGACAGCAATGGCGACACAAGACTCGCGCAGTATCTTATTCACACATAATCGCCCTCAGCAGGGGTTCCGGTTACTGGAATTGACCCCAGAGCTGGAAGAACTGCTGACATCGAAAGATGCCCCCACGTAAGTCAAGAACGCGATTGAATTGAACAGCACCCAAACACCCAGATCATACTCTATTACAATCCTACGATGCTCCTCTACAAAGAAGGTCCCTATGCTAATCAAAATCACCAGACTCGAACTCAAATCCCCCTCCACGGCCCTCGCCCAAGCAGTCATCGACCCAAGCGCCCAAGACTACGTAAACCTCTGCACACCAACAAAAACCTACCGAATGCGCCAAGTCCAATCCTCAAACTCAATCCACATCCTGCGCCCCAGCGCCGGCGAGATCTCAAAAGCAGACATCAAAGTCGTCGAAGAAGAAGCCGGCGACGAAGGAACCCTAAACCTCCCCGACGAAGCAGTCACCACAATTGCAAAATGCTCTTCAACACTTGAACTGCACATCCCACCAGGCGGTTTCTCCGCAATCCCATTTCTGGAAAAGACCTTGCGGCTGTATGACCGGCGCAATGACGACAATGGAGATATAGCCATGGGTGACTCGGCCGCGTCGCTGGATCCTCTGGATGCTGCTGATATGCAGAAAATACGAGAGGCCGTTTGTGTTGATATACCCGTATCGCAAGCGCAATTTGAACAGGGCTGGATGGAGCTTTGTGCGTTTGTCGATGCTGGCGAGGAGGTTGCTTGTTGGCGGCCTTCGGCGCGGGCACGGTTGGGTGTTTGGAGGCGGTTGGTTGAGGGGGCTATTTTGCAGGGGATTGATATTGAGAAACAGTTCCTTGTTAGGGACTTGTGGAAGTCTGTTCTTGATGAGGATGAGGCGGCCGAGCCGCCGTTTCCGCGGCCATTGCTTGAGGCTGTTGTTAGGCGGATTTGTGTTGGTGATGAGCGGCCTGCTTTGGCGGATGAGGTTATATGTGAGTTTTTGGGATGGTTTGGTGGATTCTTTGTTGTGGTTTGCTAATTTGTGTTCTTCTTAGGGGCGAGCTTTGATAAGGTTGAGTGTGTGCAGTGGGTTGGTGAGACTTATTTGGCTGCTACTGCCCCAGTGGTTTCGTCTGCCATTGGGAGGAGCGAATTCCTGCGTGCGTGGAAGGATTGTCTTCCTGAATCGTGGAGAGGAGAGGCGGTGCTATCCAAGTTGACTGTAAGTTACCTCCAATTGGTGGTTTTTTGTTTACATGACTGACTCGACTGTAGAATGGCTGCTACAAGAGCCCTGATCCTACGACTATACACTTTGTCGAGCCCTCTCAGCGGGAGCAGACTGCTAAGGCTGTTCCGACTGGGCCAGCTGCCGCAAAGGCTAAGAATACCAGGAATTGGCACGAATTGCTCAAAGGGCGCCGCTGAAGAGCGTACCGATGCGTTTAAATGCCATATCATCTAATCTATGATGTCGAATGTGTCTAAAGACATCATGATCATATCTGCCGCCAAGATCGCCTGGAGCTCTGCATCTGAAGTACGAAAAACCCTGTAAAAGCAAAGAACAACCCCCCGAAATGATACCAGACGAATGAATGATCAACACCAGGCGTACTTCTCATTCAACCACCACTCCACATCCTTACCCAACCCATCCTCCGAACCGGTCCAGCGCAAGCTAGCGATGCTGTCCTTCTCGCGGTGTACAAGCTCAGCCTTCGGGTCGACCAAGGCCACAGCCTTCTGCAAGAGGGGAGTCGGGTTCCAGAATTCCACCTTGCTCATATTCCACTCGTGTGCTTCGCGCTGAGCTCGTCGAAGAATGGAAGCCATAGCTTTAACGATGGCCTGCTCTTCTGCCGGCGATGTGGGGTCATCGTATACCCACCGAAGAATGTAGAGAACGTTATCCTCGGGCATTCCTCCAAAGTTGCGGTTCCAAGCGCAATACACGCAAGCCTGGTCGTCACCAGCACCCTTGACAACCGGCGGGGACCGTTCGGGAAGTAGCTGTTCAGCAAAGAACTCCTCCCTAGCCCAATGCCACACAAAATGGTCAAAGTCAGGCAAGATAGCAATCTTAGCCTTGGATGACTCCTGCGACGCAGCAAGCATCTGATCACGCAGCTTAGCGAGAACACCCTCACTACAGACTGTTTGCTGAACATCCTTAGCAAAGAGATCCCTCGTAACATCCCCTCCATCCACAGAGCCATCCATAGCCGGTAAAGACATATGCGAGGACAAGAAAGGCCTCCACCCAAACTGAGCATAAAACTTCTTCCCAATATCGGAGAACAACACAGTAAACAGCGACTTCCGTCGACTCTCCTTCTCCATCTCCCACGTATCAAGCTTAAGCCTCAACTCCTCAAACATCCGCTTAGCATACCCCTTCCCGCGGAACTCGGGCCGGCAGTAGACACTCCCCACGCCGTGGGTAGCAACATCCTCCACCTGGCCATCATGCGCCATCAACGCCTTCTTGCGATAAGACTCGCACGAGCTGAGGATTGTGCGTTGGCCCTCGGGCTCATTGCGGTCCACCAGGATCCAGCATGTCAGTCCGTCGCGGGTCAGTCGCTGTTGCATGAGATGGTCCTCGCGCTTGATGTACGTCTCAACATCTAATGGGCCCTTCCAGGCTACGCTGTTTAGCTTGATTGAGGCTATGCGCTCTGCTGGTGTTGCCGGGACCAGGATTAGATCTGGTGACTCCCCAGCTGGAAGGTCTGGGACCGCTGCGGCGATCATGGTTGTGCTTGTCAAATGGTTCGTTGAGATGTGTGGCGGAGACGTTCGTCTGGTATCCTTGTGTAGCAACCGACAGATCTCGGTGGAACTGGTGAGTAGCTGTATGAAGTAATGATTAACGTGAAGTGGTTGCAAGATCTCGAAGATGTTTCTTTCTTTTCAAAAAAGAAGAGAAGGGAGGAAAGAGTAAGAAAGTTTGGGATATGACAGGTATCCGACGGGACTCCGACCAAAGAAAAGCAAAATCCGGGGTTTCAAAGCGGATAGTGGCTCCGAGGGCTAAGAACCATGTGTAGACATCGTCACTTCCACGGCTACCCACTGTATATACTTATAGACCTCAATTTTTGCATTTACTTGGATTTCTGTGCATATGCTCTCCGTGACTCGAGTCACGCGAATCACTTATCTACCAACCAACCCGACATCTCCCCTCTTCTGCATTCCGCGTCGCGATCCGGGCCGGAGTCGCCTGCTCTACACGTAAGAGAGCTCCGTGTTTCTGTTTGTCACCGGCCCGACGGCAAGCGAGGACAAGCGAAGATGTAACATTTATTGCTGGGTTCTTGACGTAAGTGATGCTTCTGGCTGAGGGGCGGAGGGTTTGGAGGGGTCATGTGAGGCCTTGGCGATTATGTCATTTGTTTTGCGGGGTTGATTTGTTTACTTCGATAACTTTGTGTGTTTTGATGTCTATGGCCATGATAGTGATCTTGAGTCGGTGGAGGGCTTTGTTCTACAGTCATTTGTTCTCGACGTAGGTCAGATATGCGAAACATAACTGTCCCTATTTCTTAACATAGATCTCCCTGCCGGTCTACCCTTCGTTCTCGACCCGAATCTGTTTTTTGTTGGGGTTAGTAGATTGTCGATATTACTGATATTCTTTATATCCAAGGTAAGATGAGAAATATAAGTATGAAGAGACGTCAGGGTTATCGGATTAGTACTAGAAAGAAGAATGAATGAAACTTAATTTTAACGAAGCTGAGTGGCTGAATTCATAGTCCAGTATCAACACAAACCTAGCGACAAGCTGGGCCATGATGGCATCAATTTCAAAGATGGAATCTGAAATATGAATGAGTCTCTTATCCCAAGGCCATTCATGGTTACCGGTAATTATCTGCTCTTACAGCCCATACTTTGCTAGCATCAAAGTATTGAATACTCTCTGAACCCAGGCCTCAGAGATATTACTAGGAGGCGACAGAGAGATCTCGAGGGGTAAATTGGTTCATCAAGCTTCAAAACTTTCATATATTCATATAAAACACATCTGTGATTATGAAGTGGCTACATGTGCTTGTGCTTCACTATTTTAGTATATGATGTCATCGGGCACCCGATGTCGGTCTACACGCGTCTCCTTCGATAGTGTAGATATCAGGGGTCACTCCCTATGAAGCACCATACGGTAGCCTAAACACCTTTTTATAGACCAGAGGCCGACACATCCGCTTAGTTCAAGCCAAAAATAGCACAATTAAGAGTTAATGCGAGGAAGCTCGTAGCTAGTGTTTATAGTAGGTGGTATATCTTTATCCACCATGTTGTTTCCCGAGTGTTTCCCGAGGAAATCGAAGCAAGTATGCAGTAGAGTCCACCGATCTCTTTCAAACATTTGAATTAACTTATGCTAGATTTCGGACTGGCTAGCTACTTACACGGTCAACCCCCAAAGGCTATTTTTCATCAGCTTGGTCCAGAGTATTAGGAGGATAGAAGCAATCGTAGATAGGACAAGTCAATGTAAATAAAAGAAGAGAGAAAACAGATGAACGAAGAGAGCATGGAATGTAGCATTACGGCATAAGCACCTGAATCTCAAGTTCGTTTCTTTTCGTGGGATTCACTGTGCTCATCAGCATATGGAACAGGCTTGAAACGCATGAAAGATAAGACGACATTGGGGAACTAGTTGCTAGATAGTTGAATTGGCTAGAAAAGAGAATCATGTAGTTGGAGCTTTCAACAAAGGAGACGAATGAAATACAACAGAAAAATGGGAGATGGTATGAAAAATAGAGGCCGGACCGCAGTAAAAAGATCAGCGAGGAGAGAGAACCCAAGGGATCAAGCACACAAAAAGATGCAAATGGAGTAAACGAGAAGATATAAAAGAGCAGGTGGGTAAAAAGGTAAAGAAGGATGGAGAAGGAGCGTCATGAAAGTGAGGATGGGGGAAGAGCAGGGGGGGAGATAAATAATCACTTGGGAATGAAGCACATAAAAAAAAGGAAAGATATGAACCTGATCTATGTAAGTAAATGCCATGCGAGTCCCAAAAATCGTCCGCTCCCCATTTTATGTATTTGCGCCACTTCTTGCGGACGGCAGTTCCAGAATTTCCTTCGTCCATCATGTATGTTCGATCATTGGTCACGCTAAATCAAGAATGAGACAGAAATTGGGTGTGGACAGGAGATAAAAAAAAGGGAGGAAGTAGAGATGAAAGAGGATAAAGAAAGAGATAAAAGCAGAACACAAATTCCCCCCAAGGCCTGAAACAATATCATCTCAAGTTCAAGGTGGCTGCTCCGAGTCCACCGGTTCGTTAAACTTCTGCCGTGCCTCTTCTACCCACAACTCCAACCGAAGCTCTCCTGCTTCGACGCGTCGTACCGGTACTGTTTTGGCACGGCCATTCGAGACCCTGGGGGGCGGCTGCTGGGGCTCGCCGTTCCGCAATTTCGATACGGAAAATGGTGCTGTGCACGATCGTAGGTGCACCTTGCCTGGTTCCGCCACAATCCAAGTCTGTTCTTCCTTGGTGGTCCCCGCGGGTGGTAGTGCGTCTTCGCGCACTTCGATGCAGACGGTGAAGCTAAACTCATCATCGCGGGGCAATGGGGTCAGTCGGGCACAGGCGGAGGCGAGTCTCGCTAGACAAGCCCGGAATTGTGCTTCGAGGTCGACCGACGTTGGTGCGGGGCCCCGGTCCGAGACAGGGGCACCTGGCTTGGATGAATCTTCATCTCTGTCTTCAAATGTGGTGTTCACCTCTCCCGCGGGGGCACGCGGGAAGCCCGACAGATCAAAGGCATATCGTTCGAGGGGCTGATTTGTGCGAAGAGATGAAATGATGATACTGACTGCGGTGATTGTGCCTTTTAAAATCTCCGTTCCGACTGCGATCGATGCATCGTTGATATAGTCACAGACTTTCGGGTGACGAGATTGCCGAACGGGGTAGTTGTATGCCCGGACGGGAAGGAAGGTCGCGCGCGGATAGACGGAGCGCAGAAATAGTATTTGATGAACGGAAACGGTAAGGAAGTTGGTGAAGGAGGCCGCTAGCGCCGACTGGTTGGTGGGCAGCGATTTGGTAGCGGGGACCGGGGCGGAGAAAGTGGTCATGGTGGTGGTACTACTGCTCTCACTGGCAATCGGCATTGCCGTCGAACGATCGGGTATCGTTTCCACGGGGAGGGTGTTCTTGTCGGAGTCTCAAAGAATCTGAATGTTCCACCCTGAAGCTAATCATCGCTCTGCCTTTCTAATCCATTGGTCAACACCAGTTATGTTTGTTTTTGTGTTGCTTCTTCAGGTCAAGCCAAAGCACTTTTTCGGGATTCCCCAATACTCCGGCCAGCGACACACGGTGATCGAGAGAAAGAGGCTGAGGAGATCAGGATGAGTCCAGCGACAATCAAGTAGGCCTCAACCAGGTAAGAAGAAGGGAGTAAACGGAGTGTGGGGGAGAAGGAAAAAGGATGTGGGCTGGAGGGGGGGGAGAACCGAAACGTACGCTTGGGTGGACAAAACGACAAGTATAAGCAAACCTCAAAGCATGAGGGCTGGAACGATGGAATTTCCCGGAGCGACGATCCCAAATGCAAAGTGATCACTTTTTTTTAGAATTTAAGGATTCCCTCGGGGGGGTGGAGGGGAGGAGGGGAAAGCGAAAGGAGGGGGAGTTTTTGGCGAGAGAGGGAAACCCTGAAAGGGGAAAATCGAACAAGGCTCCCAGGCAGTACGAAAAGAAAAAACACTAGGAGGTAATGGAGATGAATCGACTGGTTGATTGACGATGTACCTCACTCACTCTCATCGAGGGGAAAAGCAGAAGAAAGGCGGACTAAGGTAGGTTGGCAAAAGGTCACGGTTCCCGTCACGTGGTTGCGTCATGGGTTTTGCAGAATCCACAAGTGCACAAGTTGTTATATAGCTCTGTTTATGTAGTTGAGATTGTATGTCAATATTATATTTACATCTTTCTTGTTGGCATGCCTATTTCTCTATTCACATTTGTGTGAAATCCTCCAGGGTCATGTATGGAGAAAGGCACACAGTTTTTTGTTCCCCACTGCTAAAAGGATCGCCAAGCGAGAAAAAAAAGGATATCGGATACATGGATACATGGATACATGGAACCAATGAAAGAACCAACGGGGGTACAGCCGAGCAGAAATTAATAGCTTATCTTTGTGTGCTCAGGTACCTGGAGTATATACAGTATACTTGATTGATATTAGACAATATCGGTGTACTCGACAAAGTGCATAAGGCACCGGTATCATGGCGTACTGCATAATACGCCTCCTACCGATGATCTTCCAACACTGACGGCAGTGGCGGTAGAGAAGGGTACATTGCCCGGCAATCCTACCCTCCGTATGGCTATAGGAAATATGGCATCTTACAGATTATCAATCCCTTCCATCTGTTTCTATATGTGATCGACAGGCCTTTACCGTATTCTCTCAAGAGGGGGTCATGTTCCGCACAAAGTACGATGTGAAGTATGATGCCCTTCCCTTGTTACCCGGCATTTCCTCAGGGTAATATTATTTCCGTAACTCTGTCTGCACTGTGTACTCCGTACTCTCTCTTCCCAACCAGTGGAACTCCCTTCTTTTCCGAAAGATCACCCAATAGGACTGATCAGAGGGATCAGAGCTTGCATCTTAAAGCTCGAGCCAGTTCGGGAGACCCATGCAGGCAAATTTTTGTATGACGGAAATCTCTAAATGGTAAAAGGTGGTCGGGTCTGTCAACGGGCCATGTCCACTTGAATCCCCGAGCCCCGAAGGAAACCCTTGAGTTGGATTAGACTATCGGGAATTTCCATGCTCGAAGCCCCGGAGGACGCCATTGGGTAGAGGAGGGATGAGTCTGTAGTCTAAATTAAGTCATGTCCCGACTTTCCCACAATCCCTGTCTGACACATCCTAACCTCTCCGAGCAAGGAGCAAAAGAACCTATACCTGTGGCGGAGTCAACCCCCTGTCTAGAGCTCATTTCCACACCGTCCGGAATCTTGCTTTCTTCCTAAAGATGACCGCTTGGCTAATGCAGATCGGAGTGATCTCCCGCTTCCAAGACGAATCGGGCGTGTCTAATTCTATGGATGTGTTCGTTCCCCAAATGTGTTCCTACGTATGATGAGTCTACTAAACGGACATTTGGAGATAAGGCTAAAGAGACCGAAGTAATAGATATTAGGCCTACTTGAAACGGCAAATCATTGTAAATGTAACCGTGGACTACCGAAGCAAGTCCATTTTCCATTAAATTTGGACCTTGACCGAATTTGCAGATGCTATTGATTTTTGGGTCTTCTGGAATCATTTGACAAACTATTTGTTTCTATTCAAGGTAAACGTACGAAACTCTCTTCTCCTGACATTTGGTCGCTTTTATTTGATCAGACTTGATGTATTTTTAAACACTGAGTAGAACAAAATCAACGAACTGCAGCCACTACTACGTACATTGTTATCGCCGCATTGCTCAGTAATTGACCTCCTATTTGCATTGATCAATTCAACTGTGTCTATTCGGTTCTTTGTTAGGACAATACTATTTTTTGTCTGTCTACGCACAAAAACATTGCAAACAGAGTATAGTTGAAACAAACTAGAGGGGCTGATATTGTGGCCACCGCTGTATATCGGCCGCCGACCGCCTTTGTACTGCCCCTCCTCCGCGTCTCCTTATCTGAGACGCGCAAAACACCAGAAACCTCATTATACTTTGGACCCATTGGCCTCGAGCCAATCTTCCTTCTACCTCTAATTCCAATTTAATACACCACATTGCCACCATGGAGCAACAACTCCTGTCGCTCTTGGCAGACACCCAGTCGCCAAAGGCCGGCAGCAGAAAAGCCGCAGAGTCCCAACTGGAGCAGCTCTATGGTCATGAAGCCTTCCCAACCTCGCTCACAGCAATCGCATCACACGATTCGGTCCCAGTCCACCTCCGCCAGTCCGCCCTATCTATCCTGCGCACCTTCATCGCCGCCGGTTGGTCCCCAATCCTCGACGAGTTCAAGGGTCAGATCCTCGTCAACGATGCCAACAAAGTACACGTTCGTCAGTCCTTACTAGCCATCGCCACTTCGGATATTTCTGAGCGCAAGGTGAAGAACTCTGCCAGTTATGCTGTTAGCAAGATTGCCAGTGCCGACTTCCCGGACGACTGGCCGGAGCTCTTGCCCTCGCTCCTCCAGATTATCAACGACTCTTCCAGTACCGATGGTCAGTTGCACGGCGCATTGAAGGTTCTCCTGGACCTTGTGGATACCGGATTCAGTGAGGAGCAGTTCTTCAATGTGGCTCGTGACCTTGTTTCCTCCCTTTTCGCCGTGGCTACTTCTGAAGCTAGACGGCCAGTGCTGCGCGCTTTGGCTGTCGCAGTCTTCCGCTCTTGTTTTGATACCCTAGAGATGGTCCTGGAACAACACAAGAACGCCATTAAACAATTTATGGATGAGGTTCTCAGTGGATGGTCACCATTCCTCGATGGCACTTTGAAAGCACCCCTGCCACAACCTCCTAGTGAAGAGGAAGCTCATAAACAAGGGGATATTGCAACGCAGTGGAGGGGTGTCGTTGGATTGAAGATACAGGTCGTCAAGGTATGAAGAATCCCTATTCGAAGCTTTATTTACACCCACATTCAAGGGCCCTTTCGGAGCTACCGGAAGTGTCATTGAATATCCGCTTGAAGCTTATCCATAGCCTCTGTCTTGGGCTCGACTAACTTCTTATATTACAGACACTTATGAAAATTCGTATGGTTTTCCCTGCTCTTTTGACAGCTCAGAGCACACTATTCTTTTCGACTGTCTGGGCCGAGCTCACCAATGCTTTGTCTGTTTATCAAAATTTTTACATCGAGGACGAGCGACAGGGCAGACTAGAAGATGGAGATGGTCTGCCTCATTCGCTTGACTTCTTGATACTTGAAGAGCTCGACCTTATTCAAGCGTTGTTGAAAGCTCCGCCTGTCAAGGCAGAGCTTCAACAGCAACTGCAGAATGCCGGCGCTACTGCCAGTACCTCTAGCTGGCTCCCAGAGATTATGAAGCTTGCCAGCTCCTATGCACAAATCACTACGGAGGAAGAGGGTCTGTGGGAAATTGATGTCAACCTCTTCCTTTCCGAAGAAACATCTCTTACGGCTAACTGCACTCCTCGTACCAGCAGTGGTGACCTCGTCATCAAGACTGGTGAATGGCTGAAGAATATCGCAGCTGAGGGTCTCCTTGGCTACATGGACACACTTTTCGCTGATAACACTGTTTCATGGAAACCCCGCGAAGCTGCTCTTTACATTTTGAACAGCATGCTCCGCGACTTCAGTGAAGTTGACCAAACAATCTCCCCAGAGCTGGCAAGCAGGTTCACTAAATTTGTTCAATATGCCATCCAACAGGAGCAGGAGCTTTTGCGTGCTCGGGGCTACCTCGTAGCCGGTGCTTTATCCAAGGTTGCCGGCGAGGCTTTCCACCAGACTACATCCTCATATCTCGAGGCGACTCTCAAAGCAATTGCAGAGGACCCCGCGGAGGTGGTCAAGGTGGCTTGTATCCGTGTGCTACAAGATCTCATGCCCTCCCTGCCCTCAAACCTGGCACGCCCATTCCAGGCCTCAGTCATCTCGGCAATTTCAGAGTTCATTTCGGCCCATGATCTTCGTGAGCAGACTGACGCTGACGATCTCAAGGTCACCTTGGCGGAGACTCTTCGGGATACTATCATGGCCGAACCTTCCGTGGTCCTTTCTTCTGTTGCCATTGATGTTCTATTCAGCATCGCCAGCAGCGGCGCTGACAACTTCCAATTGACCATGACGGTCACCGAAGCCTTTGAAGATATCGTAGACCAGATTACCGAGCACGGTCCAGATGCATACATGCGTCTCTGCGAAAAGGTTCTCCCATCATTGATGGGTGCCATTGACGTCGGAAATCTGACAGAGGAGAACTCATTGACGGTCTTTGCCGCAGATCTCCTCCGCGCCTTGGCCGAGCGCAGTCTCGAGCCAATGCCTGCTGGTTTCATCGAAACTGTGATGCCAAAGGTGAACCGCCTGTTGCTGGAATCGGATGAGGCTGAGTTGATCCGACCTGCCACTGAGGCCGTGCGTCACATGCTTTCCCACGACTTTACCCAGTTCGTTGCCTGGCGTGACCCTCAATCCGGCAAAGAAGCGCTTGAGGTCGTGCTGGTCATCATCGACAGACTCCTCGGCCCGGCCGTTGACGACAATGCCGCGACAGAGGTTGGCCAGCTGGCTGCAGAGCTCGTCGAAAAAGCCGGCTCAGAACGTCTCGGTCCCTACCTACCCCAGCTTCTGCAAGCTGTGGCCCAGCGACTGGCCTCAGCCCAGAAGGCTCAATTCATTCAGAGCCTTATCCTCGTTTTTGCCCGTTTGACCCTCATCAGTGCCCGCGAAGTCGTCGACTTCCTTGCACAAGTCAACCTGGACGGCCAGAGCGGCCTTGCAGTCGTGCTCAGCAAATGGCTCGAGAACTCTGTCAACTTCGCTGGTTACGACGAGATCAAGCAAAACACATTCGCCCTCGCACGGTTGTACGAGCTCGCCGATCCACGAGTCGCCGAAGTCCCCGTGAAGGGCGACCTTATCATCCAAGACACGGGCCGCATCAAGACCCGCTCGCAAGCTCGCAATAACCCCGACCGGTACACAACGGTTCCGGCGCCATTGAAAATCATCAAAGTCCTCGTTGAAGAACTCGCCGCTGCATCCGGCAACAAGGAAATCGACGCCGCGACTGCCGCTGCCCTCGACGACGCGGACAGTGATGATGGTGATGACGACTGGGAGGATATGCCTGGCCACACCCTTGATCTCGGTCTCGGCGTTACAAAGCAGCAGCTGATGAGCTTCGGCGAGGGTGGTTCCGAGAGTGTATTCGGTGTGCGGAAGCGCGATGATGAGACGCAGGGTTTCCTGGTCGAGTTCTTCAGACAGGCTTCTACGCAGCCCGGATTCCAAGAAGTCTATTCTGCTTTGACACCCGATGAGCAGGTTAAGCTGCAGGGTCTGTGATCTGTCAGACCTGTCGAGGGTCTCGTCCCGGTCTGACTACACTGGGTTTGTCGGGCTGGATTTTGGATGTTAATGATGGATGCATGAATGGGTTTAAAATATACGAGTGCATGTACATGAGCTTGTGTAGCATACATTTCAACCGGGGTGTTCCACGGGCTGGTTTTTGTTTTTCCTGTAATTGTGACTTAGTACTTTCTTTTTGCTGTACATGTAGCTGTCTATACCTGGGACCCTGTTCCTTGTACCTACGCGTAGTTTGGAATAAACCCGGGCAATTGGTTCTGGTTCTGCATGCAGGGGTGGCGCAAGGATACTTCCAAGGCGTGTTCTTCCAGCCTGCCACGTTTATGTTCGCTGCAGTGTGCTGGCTTCGACAGTGTTTTGACAAATGAAAATAGTTCATCACATCCTCGCCAACGTTACAGTACAGTGGAAAGTATATTAATGTGCATAAATGCGTATTTCTCGAACCGTTAAAGACAAATATACCACTGCGTCGGGGCAAGCATGAGGCCTATTTGGGATGGCTCTGATTTGGTCGGGCACACGCACATCTTGGCGATGGCCCCCCAACTAGGGTAAATTTTCAGTCCGTCTTGTATATTGAATTATGATAGAAATCCTACCCAGGGTGTATCGGGTTGTGTCCAGGACAACATGGCCTGAACATACTACTAAACAATACTGCTGAAACCTTATTCCAACGTTAGCCTAGAGAAACATGAAGTCAATATAAAGTATCGTGAAGACCAAAATGCCTTTTACCATTGTCAAAGATGTAAATTTCACGAATACGCGCCTAAGACCATTGATTACATCTTTCTTAAAGACCTGTACACCTTCTCTAACAGTCCAGTAACGGCTTCTGCAGAGGCAATCGATATTCCAAAATCTCATCCCCGTCCAGAAAGTCTGTACTAGAGACACGATGCGTAGCAGCCGCAGCGTCAGACAACACCGATAAGGATGCGGCTGCTGGGGTCTTTGCTTTGACTGAGTGCTAACATAAGTTAGCTGAAGTTAAGCTTGAGTACTTTCATTCATAATGTCCCGATATTTGTCGGACTTCGTTCGGGCTGGCCTTACACTGAGTTTTCCGCGCTAGGCGGTCCACATGCTCGGAAAAGTCTAGATTGGATATGGTCATGGCGATCAATCTAAAATGATTGAAATGGGCGTGGAACGTCGGCTGCCTTCATGTGTCAAGTTTACAAAGTTCCCGGTCACGAGCGGAGGAGACGGGGTTACTTAGGGCTCCGGACTATGTGGGGAGCGGGAGTCTGAGCGTGGCGGGCCGCCCGCCTGGCATGTGTAGACGGGCCGCCATCCTGAGACAGTTTCTGGGGAGATTTTATCAGGGAATTTGATAAATTTGTGCTTTAGCTGGATTGCGATATACAGCATATAATTCAATCTTAAAATGTGCGATAGTAAGACGAGCAGTGAACATGTGAGGTTAAATTATAAAGTACGAACTTATAGCATGTATTTTATCTATGCTAGATGCACCAAGTGTCCCCGTTGTATTCGAACAAAGATGGCGTAGAGGCAGCCAGCAATGCACACTGCAATCACACTGGCAACAGCGGGCCATTTGAATTGATCAGGCTTAGAGAAAATCATCGTAAGAATGTACGAGCAAACCTCAAAAAATGTTTGCCATGCAGCTTCAGTCGAGGAAAAGGACCCTCGGCTTGAAGCTTCGACATCCTGTTGTGAAGTACTTGTCAGCCACCAGTGTAGCTTCAACGTCCCATTGAGCGCAGTAAAGCCAAAAGAAAAGTGCAATTATCTACTAACCTCTTGTACAATGATCTGCACGCACAGATCAAACCCTCTCAATCCCATGCGACTGAGAATTGTACCACCCACAAGACCAGAGGCTGAGGCGAGGGGATTTCTCGATTTCCAAAAGATCACTGCCCCGCATATTAAGCAAAGAATCTGCCAATTTACTAGCCAAATACCGGCACGGATAGGTCCGATCTTTCCCATAATTGAGGGCGCAACCCACGTGGCGAGCACCTCGAATATTACGGACCAGGCTCTCGCAGCAGAAATTTGAGTTGAGTCATAACCTGCGGCCAGGAGCCAAGTGACCATTTGTCCCGAAAATGATAACACCGTCAGATAAAGCAAAGCCCCTGCGAAGGATGGGAGGAACATGCGATGGTGAAAGTAAGAGCTGAAGTCTGCTAAGGACTTTTGTGCCAGGGTGCAGCAACTACTCCAAATAGTAGATGCTTTACTTTGCACGGCCAAAGCCTCACTTGTAGACAAGGGCTTTGGGTCCTGTAATCTGTGCACTCTTCGATAGACCTGTTGAGTACATAAGCATAATGCGTGCAAGTAGTTAGCCATCCAATGAAGGCCATCAATAGTTGTGAAGCCGTACCTGGGCGATCGATGCATATTCAATAACAACTGAACTAGCACTCATTCCGAAGTTGACGCAAATAGCAGTCTTCGGCGATGAGCTATCAATGAACGCAATGAAGAGAGGCCCAATCAATTTGCAGATAAGATCGATTCGTCTCATCTGGGCGTTCATAGCTGAATCGAAACAGAATTAGCATGCGCTCATATTTGGACAAGTCTTATAACACACACTTTTCAGACTTTCGTGGTCTCTCCCGGCGACTATCACAACCTATCAGTAGCTAATTAGCTGTGCATTACTGTGGAGAGCGACATGCATTTTACCCAATCCTTTTCCACCGAGACCATATTCATAACCGAACATACTTTTTCGATGCACGCGAGAAATGCCAAGGTGGCCAACAAACATTGATTAGCCTCTTTGGAAAGATTCAGTCGAATAATCAGCAAGTAGAATATCACACATGATGCTGCGACAGCGCAGCGTTGCAAGACTAAAGTATACTAAGTAAGCAAACAACCCGCTTTATCAAATCAAATTAAAGCAGAGATGACGTACCAATTGAGACTTGAACAACCCGTAACCGGTTCCCAGTGTCGATGTAATAGCCCACAGCCGGTGCGAATAGAATTGCCGCTAGACCACGCGAGAGCGCATATACAGACATAGGTAATAGAGTGCTTGGGTAGATAGCGGCCAAATAGAGAACGGCTCCGAATTCGAACACGCGGGAATTCCATGTCGACAGAAAATGTGAAATGTACAGACGGCGAGTAATACTTGCTGAGATATGATCCTGGGAATGTCTTCCTAGCTCTTGTGCAGGGATCTCATCTTCTCCGCGATCTATGAGAGGAGTAAAAACGTCCGTACCCGTTTGCTCACCTGTTATTTCTGGCATTGCTAGGGTGATGCGATCTGGAGGACTAGTTGATTGCTTTTTAAGACAACCAAATGTACATTAGAGACTCGAGAGGGCAAGCATTCAAAGAGTGGCTGTGAAAGATTCCAGCAAGCACGAAACTAACAGAGAGAAATACAAAACGAAGGATGAAAAGAAATCATGTTTTACAGGTCGTCCTGAAAGGGTCTACTTAGTTAATTTTAATCGTCTTTTACTCTGTACCGGCCGTACTTTGTTCACATATGATGTTAGACCCGCTAAATATGGGGCTTGAAAAATACCAAAATTTCCGGCGGTCGAAATCGCCGGTACAGTAACAACCTTGGGAAACATTCCTTATATTGAAGAAACTCGTCTGTTGACTGGCCAGGGCCGGGCTTTCGAGCTTTTGCAAAGGCAGGCTCGGATAGAATTGTATAGTCGCTCAACCATTGTTTCTGCTTATAAGAGGTCAAACCTCCATTCGACTAAAAAGACCCAGTCTTTTTCGCTCTGTCTGCCGTGGTCATCGCACAAGTTCCAAGCCACACCAGCCTCAGCACAAATTTGCTTTCTTCCTGTACACGAGCGACCTCACTCTGCGTCAATTTGCACGTAGCTAGGGACCGCATTGTATTAGCAGCTGACATGAGAAGTTCCAAGTCAAGCTGTGCTTGTGGATTAAACGGGTGGATGACTATGTCAAGAAATAGTGACATAGCGGCGGTAGTGAAATAAGATGTAAAGAATCTGCGTGGTAAGGCTCAGTATATTTTTTCCCCCACAGCCAAGCAAAAGGGAGGGAATAAGACAACAGAGTCGGGGAAACAATGCTTACCGGAATGCTTGTTCTGCAATGGTGCCAACGAGGGCTTTCAGACACGCGAGCGTTGACCGGCTCGCCACGAGGGATAGATCGAAGCTCGAATGAACTACGGCATGAAGATCCTCGGTTTCATCAGCAGCGTCTGGTGTGCATTTTCTTACTGTCGTGTGGACGACAGTCATCAGGTGGTGATAATCCAATTGTAAAGACATGCGTCGAATGACATGTGGGATGCCCTCTTCAGGTGAATTCGACAAGGAGTTTTGAGAAACAAAAAGTGCGGGACGAAAACCGGTAGGAACGGACAGTCGCCAGCGTTCGATTTCATCGTCTAGCTTCCTGATATGGAGAAGGAGCTGGTCATCGTTATCTTTCAAGGCTTGAGCGGAAAAGAGGTTCCGACACACTTTCTCCTTCAAATGGCTAAGGCGAGTATCTCCAGGTAGATGAGGGGTGATAATCTCATGGGTCTTATTAGTCATTTCGAAGAAATCATCCAGCGCTGGCAAGTAGGTGTAATAATGCAAAGAGTTAACGGGTGCGGTGAGGTCACAATAATCCTCGGTGAGGAGAGGAGGGTTTCCAGTGCGAAGCGCAATGTCTTTGTCGAGCATATAGCACAGCCAGAATAGTGTTCGGGTTTGATGGGATTCGCGTTCGGAATGAGAAATTTCGCAGAGGGTTGGCGGCTTGTAGATGTGCCCCCTCAAAGAACAAACAATGCGACATGCCATGGAATTCAGGAAAGAAGCACCTTGCCACTTTCCACTGAATGTACGTTGAATTTGCTAATTCATCAATTGAGCCTGAGTATCAAAGAGAGGGAGAAGGAATGTCAGCATAATCGGGGCTTACCAATAAGAGTATTGCCTGGAGAGTATCCAAGCTGATATCCCCATACAAATGCGTTAGAAGGGAGTCTGCCTTGGACGAGCACAAATCAGCATCTATAGAATAGTTGCTCTGTTTTGTGGCGTTCAAACGAGTCGCAATCGAGAGAGCCCCCAAAACACACGCCCTAGCTGCGGCTTGTGTGGGCGATATTAGATGAGGATTCACGGGCTTGTATGCAGCTTGCATACTTGTCTCAAATAAAACTTCGTCAAGAACTGGGAAAGTAAGTTTGAATGAAGACCGAAAGAAGACACTCATTGTTTCTCGTGTTGCATCTTGGTCAGGCAAATCGCATTCCTGAGGAAAGGCTGAAAAGGAGGAAAAGTCCACGGGGATACAAAATTCAGCCCATTTTATATCCTGATCGGTTCTTCTTGAAAGCCACTGACGGCCTTCTTCAGAGAAAATGGCCATGCCATTGAAAAACCAGTTTGGTCCCAATTGATTTGCAGATACATTGATACCAGCGTCATGATCTGCAGTGGCATAGTGATATGTGTTGATAGCTGGTGGTGTGAAGACCAAGGAGGACGGGGAGCTGTCAGATAGGGCAAATCGTTCCCTGCCACTGGGTGAGGTCGAAATGCCCCGGGACTTGACTTGCGAGGAAGCAGTTATCTGTGGTTCTTCGGGATTGGCCAAGTCTGGAGTCGACCTCTTTCTCGGCCCAGCTCGGACCAGGGCATTCTCAAGCTGCTTGATGCGCTGAGATAGAATCTGTACATCACTTGAGGCCTTGCTGAAAGAAGAAGGTCCGACAGACAATGAGTTAGAGGAGGATTTATACTATAGAGTGGACAAAGAAGAAGCTACATACCTAGTCTTGCGTTTCTTTGATGGCTTTTCCCGATTGAAAGTACACTCAAGACTACGATGAGCGCATCGCTCGCAGGGACCTTCTGGGTTAGGGAGAGAGCACGTAGTCTAAATCGGAGAAAAGAGGGTCAGTAAGGTCAAAAGTTCGGTAAGATTGAACAAAATAGCTTACCTTCTTTGCATAACAGATATCGCACGCTTTTTTTGGAATGAATGCGTGTTTCGGAGGCATGGCAAACGGTGGTCTTGATTTCCGGAGGCTGCGGAGGTTACGATGGGTCAGTATTCACATTATGGCCGGTCCGGAACCTCCGAAACCTCCGAAACCACAAGCTCCGGACGATCATGTTGATACAACTGTTGGCCCGAGTCAGGCCAATCGTAGTTATAAATTTATCTCCCCTGGCACCTTTTCTGTACCATATTACTCACTCTACTCACTCTACTCCCTCCACGGAAACCTGAGTTCTTACTCTCACAATGCCCATCGTCGCCAAATGCCACAAGCTTTTGGAGAATGAAATCCTCCGTCGCTCCTCCCAAATTGTTTCAGTTGTTGGTGATCAAGTACACATCTTTGGTGGCGAGCTGCGACCGCGGGAGCCTCGAGACAATGATGTCCACGCTGTGTCATTAGGCAGTAAGTTACGAGTTGACCATCGTGGGAATTTTCCGATCTGAACACGAAACTAAACCTGTTAACAAAATTTAGGCAATGCCATTAGTTCCAAACCTACAACATCTCAGTCACCCTCCCCACGTGTTGGGACTGCAGCTTGTACACAAAACGGCAAGATCTATATATTCTCCGGCCGAGGCGGTATCGCAATGGCACCCATTGAAGAGCAGGGCGCAATCTGGGAATTTGACCCTGCTACAGGAAACTGGTCGTGCATTTCGCCATCAGACCCCAGTGTGGCCCCAACCGCTCGCAGCTATCACTGCATGGCTAGTGACGGAAAAGGCACACTCTACCTTCATGCTGGATGCCCTGAAAAAGGAAGATTGTCAGACCTATGGGCTTTTAGTCTCTCCAGGAGAAAATGGACAGAACTTGCCCCGGCATTTGATCCCCCACGTGGAGGTACTTCGATTGCCTTTGCAGAGGGCAAGTTGTACCGGATGAATGGGTTTGATGGGAATACTGAACAGGGAGGAAACTTGGATATTTACTCCCCTGAAACGAACTCTTGGGCATCGCACGTTTATTCCCCTGATGGAAAGGCAGGCCCATCACCGCGAAGTGTAAGCTGTCTACTGTCAGTTCGTTTGGGAGGTCGGTCATTCTTGGTCACCATGTTCGGTGAGCATGACCCTAGTTCATTGGGCCATCAGGGAGCGGGGAAGATGTTAAGCGACATGTGGGCATTTGATATAGAGAGCAAGATGTGGGAGGAGATTGTTGGTGGAGATCAACTTCCTCTCGCACGGGGCTGGTTTGATGCCGATATTGTCGGTGCAAATACTGTTGTGGTCCATGGTGGGCTAGGAGAATCGAACGATCGGTTGGGAGATGTGTGGACTATCGAACTTTCTTGATAATCTCGATGGAGAGCAGCATTATATCTGAAACAGTTATTTCATAAGCTCTCGCTTCAACAGATATCCTTGAAACATTCTTGCAAACCCCTAAGCAATATCTCTTCACAGCCCGGACGTTTGCTCGTCAGTCAAGTGCAATGCCATAAACGGATGAGATCAAAGTGGTAACATAAGATGTGATTTTATACTTTGATAAATCCGATCTTATCAAAAAACGCCAGATAATGTGTTGTTTGAAGTCATGATTTTATGTACCGCCTCTGTAACGTTACGAGGCACAACAAGAAATGATAGATTTGGTTACGATAGAGCGGTCAGAGTTTTGACATTTGCTTAGTATGCGTAAAAAGTGGCAAACAATAAGCACACAGACAAAAATGGAAGCTCAAACTCGAATACCCAAAGCATCGGTAACGCCAAGTTGAACAAAGAAACCTTGAATAATCCCAAATCTAGACGCCTACCGGCCCAGTAGGAACAGACCAGGGCTTACCCGTCCCGTGTGGAGTCCCGAGAAGCTGGGTCGACTTTCTTTTCCTTTTTCTGTTTTTCTTTTTTCTTTGTTTTAAACTTGTTGTTTTCCGTATTTTGTCACTTTCTTTGCTTTTCCCTTTCTTTCTGATTCCTAGTGCGGTTCCCTTGCATACAATGGAACCGATGTGTCTATTCACAGGCGGTTGGCTTAAAAAGCGGAAGCGGACAAGGCCAGTAAATTCAAGGTTTGGGTGTAATATAGTATAGTGCATCGTATGATATGAAATATCCAGAAGAATATAATGGACTACTACTCCGTACCGAATATGAAATAGTAAAATAATAAAACCCGTACCACTCCCTCGGATCACTGCGGGGTCAAGGTTCCTTTGGGAAATCCTCCCGGGTTCCTTTCTCTCGGGATTTGAGCTTCACGTACTTGACTTGACTACATTCTCTCTCTGTCTCTCTCTCTCTCTCTCTTTCTCTCTCCCTCCCCCCTCCCCTCCCTCCTCTCATCCCAGAATGTCACAACCCAATCCGGACGAACGCATCCAAGTCGACGTAAGTCAAGTGGACCCTCACAACCCCCTCACCGCAAACCCAACCCATCCACATTCACACATCCACATCCCCATCCAAATCCACACATTCACCACACAACCACTAAATTAACCCACAGACAAGCGACGACGACTCCCTTTTTGACACAAACTCCCTCCTAAGCTCAAATCTCTCTTTCGCCTCCTCAGTCCGCGACTATAGCTACGAAAATGGCCGTCGCTACCACGCCTACCGACCAGGCCAATACCCAATCCCAAATGATGAAGAAGAACAAGACCGCCTGGCCCTAATGCACCACCTCTTCAAACTCCTCACAGGCGGCGATCTGCACCGTGCCCCAATAACTGGCCCCAATAACACCACCACCCCACAGCGCGTCTTGGACATCGGCACGGGCACAGGCGTGTGGGCTCTCGAAATGGCAGAGGCATACCCGACAACGGAGATAATAGGGACTGATTTATCGCCCATCCAGCCGAACTGGGCGCCGCCCAATGTGAGGTTTTTTATTGATGATGCTGAGAGTGAGTGGGCTTTTGGGCCGGCTGAGAAATTCGATTATGTCCATGCGCGCAGTATGGGTGGGGGAATTGGGGATTGGCCGAGGTTTTTGAGGCAGGGGTGGGGTTCGCTGAAGCCCGGTGGGTGGTTTGAGGTCCAGGAGTTTGAGTGTTGGGTCAGGTCTGATGACGGGACGCACGAGGAGGCGAAGAATTTCAAGTATTGGATGTCGTTGCTGGTACAGGGTAGTGTTAAGCATGGGCGGCCTGTTAATGTTGCCAAGTCTGTTAGGCAGTGGATGATTGATGCTGGGTTTGATAATGTTACTGATGATATCTATAAGGTGAGTTACGTAGATAGGGGAGATGGGAGAGGCCCTTGCTAACTTGGATATATAGTGCCCTGTCGGTGGATGGGCCAAGAACCGCCGCTTAAAGGACATCGGTCGTGTGGGCAGAGTTACTGTCCTTGAAGGCCTTGAGCCTTATTCTCTTGCTCTGTTTACTCGCTACCTTGGGTTTACGTACCAGGAAGCGCAGGAGCTCATGGATAAGGTGCGAGCTGAGGTGGTGAGCCCCGCGCATCATCTCTATATAAATTTCCACTACGTATACGGGCAACGGCCTGTCGAGAATAACGATGGGTCCGATAGGCCGTGAATGTTGCGACTTGTTGCGATGAAAATAACGACTACGATGCCCCTATCTTCGACTTGCATCTAATCATGAATGATGACCCTTGATGATTATTGTATAGATGTTTCTATACGCTAGAATTCTTGTTTCGTTCCTGTTGAACAAGATCGTGATGCGTGATGCGTGAAGCGTGAGGCGTGAGGCGTGAGGCATGACGCATGACAGACATGAGACGAGGTCTGAGGTGATATGGTGGAACGTCCCAGACAGATCCAATTCCATAGCTCCCTGTATCGACCAGCAACACAGGGATATAAAGGGGCTTCCGTTGCGGAGGCCTGACCAAACACATTCTACTTTGATCCCGTTTCAATCCGCACAGCAGACTCGAGAGACCGATGCATGAGATCCAAAATCCCAGATCCGTATCTCATTACACCATTTCACGTTACTGCCCACTCCCAATTCCAAGAACGCGACAGATCCCAGAAACAGCCTCTTCGGGTGATGCGCTCGTTCGGACGACCTGTACAACCTGAGCGACGCTCTGTTCGTCGCAGCTACCGATCGTCTCCAGCAACGTCTCCAAGAGCTCCTGCTTTCCCTGTCCTTTCCAGGAGTTGGGGATTTGATCCATGATAGCTGGGGAGGTGATGTGCTGGGAAGTGGGATTGGCAAGAATGGAAGGATCGGCAGCTACCGCAGGCGTCGGTGTTGGGACTGGAAAGGGTGGTGCATCTGTATAGGTGTTTGGATTGGTGGCGATGTTGATGTGCGAGGTCTTGGCAAATGTGTTGATAGAAGAATGAGACGGTGTTTGACGCGGATATATTTGTTGGAATTGGCCTTGTTGGCTATATCCATCTCCCCAATGAGGAATTGCTTCTCCATATTGTGCCGATGGTATGGGATAGTTGACGCTCTGGTCAGGATAGTACGGGAGAGCTTTACCCGCCTCGGTCATCATATACTCCATCCCATCGGCTCCATATATTGGCGCATGTAAACTCGCAATCCCATCTTTCGGAGGTAGCCCGCTTGGTGGTACACCCATCACTGGGACTCCGGACATATCGCCCGGAGAAAAGGAAGCTCCAAGACTGCCTGCATAGTAGCCCGACATCATCTGGTCTTCTATTGAACCTGCAAACGCGTCAGTTCAACTGCACAAAATCTCTCCTGGCAACAGAGAAATAGAAGACACTCACGTCCAAGGACAACATCACCAGAGACACCCGATCCATCCATATCAGCAACCTGCGGCACATACCCTGTCGCAAGAGGAAACCCAGAGCCAGATCCTGACCCAGAGACAGAACCTGAACCTAACCCTGATCCATTCTCACTCCCTGTACTCTCAGGACTCATAACAGTCGCCGAGCTAGTCATGGTAGAAGAAGGCGATGACCCGCGCCAACTCCCCTCCCCAGGATCATGTCCATGTCCAGTAAGAAACCCCTGCGCATCACGCGAACCGTACGCAGCTCCATATCCCACAATCCCTTGCTGAGACTGAGACTGGTATTGATTCAAATATCCATGCGCAGGGCCAGCTCCCGCCCCAGAGCCGAACCCTGGCCCCGGCGTGTATTGTCTCCGCTCATCCCGCTCCCGATCGCGATCGGAGCCCGGACTCATTCGACTGCCCAGGCTGGGACTCTTGCTCGGATCTCGCGGCGGTTGATTCAGGCGCCCGCGCAACTGGGCGACTTCACGGCGGAGTCGGTCAATTATCTCAGCTTGGTTGATGTGGGCGCGGTCTTCGGCTGTTGTGAGGTACGTGCATTCGGCTTCGATGCCGCGGGCTATGCAGGCTTTGCAGGGGATGGAGCGGTCGCACTGTTTTATTGGGGTGAATGGGTTAGATTGGTGTTTGTTTGGCTTGCTTTGGAGTGTCTTGGGGTGTTTGGGCTTGGGTTGGAGCTTCTGCGATCGGATCGGAAGGGCGAATGGTCGAAAGAAGGGGAGAAAGGAGGAGAGTAAATACCTTCACTTTGCGCTCACGGCATTTTAGACAGGATTGCTGGGGGCGGATTTTGGTCTTTGCGTCGGGCATGGTGAGGTTGAAGCGGTTAAGATCGAGAAACCGTTAAGACGTGGGTCACATCCTAAGCTTTTTCGATTGCAAGATGGCTAAACGGGTGAGTTAAGCCTCATTTTTGTGGACTTTTCTCTCTCTCGGAATCTGCCCTTTTCGAGATCGATGCCGCTCTCCACTTGCAGATCCTGTTGTCGCGGATCCCTGCCCTACGCATTGGGCTTATGCACTGAACCTCCTCGCTCCTCTCTTCCTATACCACCGTCGCACTGCTAATGTCTGATATCAAAATGGGACGCTGGTGCGGGGAAATGTTGAGATGCAGGACATACTCAGACATATAACCCCTGGCAGTGCAGCTAATCCCTCCAGTTCTCAAACTCCGCATTTTCAGAGTACAAAGTCTACACTCTCACTCTAACCCCAAGTCCACCAATTGACTGTTCAAAATGAAAACAATGTCACCCTGGTCGATACCAAGTATAGCCAACCTCCTAATGCTCCCCTTAGTCCCAGCCCAAGCCTCAACAGAGACCCCAACTATCCTCACAACCCCACCAATGGGCTTTAACAACTGGGCGCGCTTCATGTGTGATCTAAACGAGACCCTCTTCACAGAAACAGCCCAATCAATGCTAAGCCGCGGACTCCAGCGCGCGGGCTACAACCGCCTCAACCTAGACGACTGCTGGATGCGCCATGACCGCGCCTCCGACGGCTCACTGCAGTGGAACACCACCTTATTCCCGCAGGGCATTCCCTGGCTGGCGAAGTACGCCACCAGTCATGGTTTCCACCTTGGGATCTATGAAGATGCCGGCAATATAACTTGTGGCGGGTATCCCGGGTCCTATGGACACGAGCAGCAGGATGCGGAGACATTCGCCAGCTGGGGAATTGACTATCTGAAGCTGGACGGGTGTAATGTCTGGGCTGAAGATGGTCGGTCGCTTCGTGAGGAGTACCGTGTGCGCTATGGACAATGGCATGATCTTCTCACAGGAATGGAGAACCCGCTTATCTTTTCCGAGTCTGCGCCGGCTTATTTTGCCGATAATGCCTCTGACTGGGCTGTTGTTATGGATTGGGTGCCGAGATATGGCGAGTTGGCGAGACATTCCACTGATGTGTTGGTTTATGTAGGTGAGGGTAGTGCTTGGGATAGTATTATGAATAACTACGACTATAATACCCTGCTGGTACGCTACCAGGCTCCTGGGTATTATAATGATCCTGATTTCTTGATCCCCGATCATCCTGGGTTGACGCAGGTCGAGAAGGAGTCGCATTTTGCGCTTTGGGCTTCGTTTTCCGCGCCGCTTATCATCAGTGCTTATATCCCTGCCCTTTCCGATGAGGATATTACTTACCTGAGCAATTCTGCTCTTATTACGGTTGATCAGGATTCGCTGGCTGAGCAGGCTGCTTTGGTTAGTCGGGATGGGACTTTTGACGTGCTGACTCGCTCCTTGGCGAATGGGGACCGACTTCTCACTGTGTTGAACCGCGGGAGTATCACCGCGAAGACGAGTGTTTCGATCGCTCGTCTTGGTTTGGCGTCGGAACCACACTGCGAGTACCGCGCTCACAATCTTTTGACTGGCCGTGTTTCGACTATACGTGATGCTGTTGATATCAAGCTTGACTCGCACGCTACCAGTGTCTTCCGTATCACGCCTAGACACTGTACTTCTATCACACCTACTGGAATGGTGTTCCATACTCCGTCCGGTTTGTGTATGACGGCTTCTTCTGGAAAGGTCACTTTTGAGAAATGCAGTGCTTTGGACTCCCAGGTCTGGAATGTTGATGCCAAGGGTAGCAAGCTGGCTCTAAGTCCGCTGTCAGATGGAACAACTTGTCTTGCTGCTTCGAATTTTGGAAAGGGAGTTTCTCTCGCCAAGTGTGATGGTGCTCGCACGATTTGGTCGCACTTTGTTACTGGTCATTTGCAGAATGAGCATGTCGGGGGTTGTCTGACTGGAGGGTCTGGAGGTGGAAGTATCGTGTCTTGCATGGTTGATAGTGCGGCGCAGATCTTTGGGCTGCCTAGTGGTGTTCAACTAGGTGCGAGTGTCTGAGTGTGACTATACATCCTGAGCGTAGATACTTGTTGGCGATAGACAGATCTCGATAGGTTCAAATACATAAATGCATATGCATGATCTCATATATACACAGAATCCAATAAATCCGCAACTTAATCTCTTGTCAACTCCAAAATCTACCCCTGCAAAGAAAAGCCAACCCCCTCCCCAGTCCCCATCTGAACAAGATTAGCCCTCATTCTCTCCGCCCTCTCCCCAACTCTAAAAGTAGCATCATCCCGATGAACCCAAGCCCCAACCCCATGCTGCAAAACAGCCGTAGCCCGAACTTTTTTTCTCTCCTCAACATCCCCCTCTCCATCCCCACTAGCCTTCAACCCAATACTCCCATGGAGCGTCAATCTCGTCTCCACACCCCCCTCCTCCTTCCCACGATAAACACCCCGATGCAAAATATTACTATTATAAAACACCGCATCACCAGGTTGCAACTCAACAACAAGCTGATCAGGCAAAGAAGCAGCATAAGGATCAGCCTCACGCTCCGTCTGCGTCCGTGCCCGTCCATGCGTGCCCGGAACAACAATCAACGATGCATCAGGGCATAGCGCCAGATTATACTGGCAATGGCCCTGTCGCCCGTTCGGTGCTTTAGCGGCCAATTGAGCGATTTCCTCTTCGGCCGTTGCATGCTCAGAGATATCATCTCTGTGCCAGCGGAGCTCGAAATCCTTCGTTTCAGGCGCTACGAGGAGGTTGAACAATTCCATCACGAGGGGCTCAGCGGATGTGGAAGCTGAGCTGGAAGGATTCACGCCCATCAATTCCTCTGCGACGGCAAGGATCGAGGGTGAGAAATAACACTTGGCGAAACTGTCTCGGCCTGGCATTTCTGGGTGCAGAAGGTGCTGGACGCCCCAGATTCCACCCTCCGAGGCTGGTGGTGGGGTTGTTGGCCATGGGGGGAATTGCTTGGGCACGGTGCGGAAGTGTGGCCAGCTTCCGGTTCTTGTGAGGGTTGTTGCTTTTGTGGCGGTTTCGCGGTAGTTGATTACTTCTTCCGGGGTAAGGAGGTTGCGGACTACTACGAAGCCGTCACGGCGGAGGGCGTCGAGGTGAGGTGTTGCCATTTCAATTAATGTATTCGAGGTGAAGTATGGCGGAGAAAAGAGATGTGGAAGTGGAAGTGTAGGTGTAGATGCAGAGTAGATATAATGTGGTAAGATCGGAGATACGTTATGCGGGGTTGAATGCTACCGTGTCTATGGAGCATCAGGGACTCAATACTACCGTGGATCCAATGCGACCATGTCAACAAATAATTATTCTGCAGTTAGGGTTATTTGTAGCTAGTTAATTGTAGTTCGGTGTTCGCAAATGATTATCCTCCGTAAATGAGCTTACTTATTTCGGTACTACATAGGCCTTCTTAGGTTGTTAGGTAGCTATTAGGTGCATAGAGCTTATTCTACGACAAAAATAGGTAGAAATTAGAAGAGTCGGCGCATAATACTAGTAGTATACTCGCACAGCCTGAACCTGCCCAATAGTTCCGACGTCATTGGGATCGTGCCAAGAGCCAAGAGGCTGAGCAACGGGGCTGCGCTTTTTTTATTCTGACTGTAACTTCTTATTTGATTCTATTCTGTGTTCCTTTGTAATACTATATATCCTCCCAAGGTCCCCTTGCAACCCTGAACAAACCCCCACCATGCCCCTCCTCCACGCGGGCTCCGCTCTGCTCGTGCTGCTCCTCATCCTCCCGCAGGTGCATGCATTCGGAGCTGGCAGTATGTCATGCTTCCCATACATCCCAAGCTGAACCGCCCTAACAAAACCAGACATCGCATCCATCTCCGCTGTCGAAGGCAAGAACTGGCGCCATGGAGACATCGAAGATATTCTCAAGACCATCGCATGCATCCACGGCCACAAATGGACCTCAACCATGATCAAGCGCGTATACTTCGGAAACTGGCTGCGGGATTAGTGAGTCAGGATATAATTCGGGAATGAGCACCAGCTAATTGTTTCTGTAGCTCGCAGGCAATGGACGTCGGCACGCTCAAAAGTCTGCAGGCCGAGACTATCCGCATCTTGGTGTGGGTCCTTTCGTTCCTGAGCTTCGGGTATGCGACTGGTGAATTCGAAGTGACGTCTGATCGCTTGGGCGTTTACCGTCCAGAGGAGCATATCGAGTGAGTAGAAAACACAGGTCGAATACCTGCGCAATGCGAAAATGGCGACAGCATGACTAATGACTCTTTCATCAATAGCAACCCCAAGGACTATGCCGACAATGAGGATGCGCGCCAATACGACAAACGCCTGCGCCCACCCGTTCGCAACATTGAACTCGAAATCGACCCTAACACCGGCATGAAGAACTACATCGCCAACGAACGAGGCGACTGGGCCACCAGCGCGGCATACATCAAGTTCAGCATGAGCCGCAGCATCCACTACGGGCGGACATACATCCATGGCGGATCGAACAAGGGCAACGAGGACGATTTGTGTGAAGCGCTGCGGTGCATGGGACAGGGCCTGCACACATTGGAAGATTTCGCTGCGCATACCAACTATATCGAGCTGGCGTTGCGCGAAATGGGCATGCGCAATGTCTTCCCGCATACTGGCACGGCGACTGAGTGTAATATCCATGGGAAACACGTGTTCCCGCTCGTCACGGGTACATTTGGTATGGTTGATTTCTTCCATTCTGTGCTTGGAGAGGCTACGGATCACTTCACGCAGTCTGAGGTTAATGAAATGGATATTGCTCTGGGGGATGCTGAGACCACTGCTCAGTCTAATAACTCTCTAAATGCTTTGACTGGATTGCTCGGCAAGATCCCTGGTACAAAGGATCTTGTCTCCGAGGCTGAAAGTTTGAAGAGATCATCTGCCGCGCAGGAGTCCGCTAATCGGAGCCGGAGTGCTGCCACTGGATATGCAGACACTACCCGTGCCCCAGGTGGTAATCAGTCATCTGGGGGCTCTGGCCCCGGCACAGGGTTTGAGGGCATGCCAGACTTCAATCCACAAGAGACAGTCGCGAAGATCTATCCCATCCTGGCATTCCGCGACAAGGTCGTCCGCAAGCTCAACTCGATCATCGAAAAGATTCCCGGACTCGAGGCTCTTGTTGAGAAGATCTCTGAGACTCTCACTGTCGTGATCATGTCACTGCTGGCGCCGTTCGTGCGTCCTCTGATCAAAGCAGCTTCCAAGTCCCTGCAAACCGGATCAGCGGGTGTCATCGACGCCTCGGGCAAGCACCAGTACGAGCCTTGGACCGATCCCCACTGCACTGATCCGACCCACTCCCTGCTCTCAAAGGATCATTTCGCCAATGTGCTCAACGAGCCCGCTGGTCAAGTCGCTTCTGCTATCGTGCAGTATGTCGCACCTCGTATTCTCTATGCTTGGCAGCACATCGACGTGTCCGAGCACGAGGTTCTGGAGGATTGCATGCGTGTCTTCCACCATCCTGCTCTGCGTGATATGCACAACGAAGCTCACCGGTCGATGTTCCAGGTCGTCGAGACTTGGGCCCACTCTCGTCCGGACCGTGGTCATTCTCTGAATGAGATTCTCAGCTCAGAGGGTGTCAGGTCGGGTCGTAATACCGGCGGCGTCAGCCATACCCACAGCGGTGGCCATGGCGGATTCCCAACACTCGGGGGCAAAAGCCCAACAAGCATGGAAACGGTAACAGTCATGCTCAAAGCCATGGGCAATCATCGGGTGGCTTCTCGTCTTTCTTCCAGCAGCAATCAAGCAGCTCCTCTTCAAATCACAACAACTCCTCCTCGTCCAGTCTGCCCTGGGACAAGCTCTCTTCCCTCCCAATTCCCGGCATGTCCAATCTGAATAAACTCGAAAGCAAAATCTCAAACTTCATTCCTGGCGGTTTGACTCGTGATATGGGTGAAGATAACGGGCAGTCGCGCGGTGGGTATGAGTATGGATCACCAACCCACGCAGTTGGTGATTCGCGAGGGGGCAATGTCCAACCAGATCATAACTTGCAACCCGGCTATGATCACGTCCAGCATGGATCGTCGCATCATGCAGAGCACGGCTCTAGTGGCCATTCCCACCACCATGAGCATGGTGGTCATCATGGCGGTCACCATAGCTCCCATTCTGGGCATGGCCATGGCCATAGCCACGGCCATCACCACGAGCATAGATACTGAGAGAGTATCGAGAAAGCGAGGATGAATGTCGATTCGGTGTTCTGATGATGATTGCAGTGGGCAGCAATGAGATGATGAAATGAAGCGATCAGACGACTGAATGAAGCTTGCAGTAAAAAGACGATGAATGAGGCGAAGATGAGAAATGATATGGATCTCACATTGGTGAAGGTTGGAGGTTGGTTGCGTGATATCAGATGTCGATATCAAGAGACGGTCATTTCACTACGTTTTGCGCGTTTGCTCGAACTATTCTGCGTGCTATCTCTCTATCCATGTATCTGTCGATGTTTGCTTTGCAGTGCGAAGACTGTCAGCACGGATTCTAACTTTATTGTCTATTATTTCCCTCGAATATATCAAAATAGATAAATGATGAATATGATGAATGATATTAGCTATAATGCATCTCCTTAGGGAAGCCTTCGCGTTTTGTGAACAAGGGGATAGTAGAACCAGAGATGATCGATCATTCAACTTTACGCAGTTGATAAGTGCAGCTATGAAAGCTTGCTAGTCTCACGAGTCCAAGGGACCAAGTCTTTTTACTATGATTCTTAATTCTGTAGGTACTGATCATATAAACTCCTTGATATGATCCTACGTCTGAGTAGCGTGACAACCTTATTTTGACATCCACGTCCCTTTTTGCCTTTTAGTCATTTAACTATAGCCATACCACTTGCAGGGTATTGGCGAGTTACCACAAATAGGTCGCTAGCGCTCTGTAAAAGAAAACCCACCATATCGACGATGGGAGTAATCCTCGTGCTGGACGCCTAAAGCCGAAGCGTGAGAGCCAATCATCACTGCCTAGAATCTTGTTCTTATTTTAGAAAACGGATTTTCAGTAAGCACTACTTAACATTAATCTCAGTATGTGGGCTTTATGTTCTAAATATCACTTGCCACGTGAGGCGTCCAGCTTTGTTTCATCGGGACCCTACAACTGATCATTATGTGGTCATCTAGGGTCTCAGGCGATGACTTGTCCCATAGTCTCGGTATAACTCTACTTTAATAGAACGACACAGCCATAAGATTACGTAGATGTTTCTCGTGTCCGTCTCCGGCAGCTGAACTTCCTAAGACCACAAGTGAAACCATAAAGGAGTCGCGATATAAAAGCCTCAAAACCACCCGCGGTATACTTTTTAAATCAACATTTCATTGGCTCTCACTACCCAAACCACAATCGAGTCTAAAACAACGAACGACGAAGCCGACAACATGAAGTTCACTTCAATCTCCACTCTCGTCCTGGCCGCCGCCTCAACGACAATGGCCGTACCCCGCCGAATCCGCGATCTAAAGCCTCTCGAACTTGCAAATATCAGCGCAAGCATTCCGTTTACGACAATGCCTACGACCACCATCTTCGGATTTTCTCTGAAGGACCCGAACACCAACATTGAAACCAAGTGCTCTTCTTACTGGTACGTTCTACGTCATCCCCGTGCCTCTCCTAACATGGACAGCAACAAGAACACATGAGAATCCCACATCCAGAGAACTAACTCTGATACAGGTCAGCTGGTCAAGCCGGAAGCAAGTCCTACAACTGCACTGATAAGTCATATCAACTCAAGCTCTTTAATGGAATCTACAACATTGAGGAATTTGACTTTGGTGTTGCTCGGGCTGATGGCTCCCCGAGTGGACGGTCGACTTTGAAGGGTGAGTCGTGGAAGTGTACAAAGGGAGATCAGGAGCCTTTGGAGAATTGTCACTGGGATGGGATTTTCCATCTTGATATTGCTAAATAGGTTGATTGGGGTTAACTGCGGGTAGCAGGGCTTTGCTAGATGTTTTTCTTTTAGTGTTTCCGGTTGTGCTGTCTTGTTTCATATTAAGTCTTATGAGTTTACTATTGAGTTTAGATAGTCATACAACTGTTGTTGGCTTGGAAGCCTTGAACTTTCAGAATAAAGGAGTGTGATTTGTTGTTAAATAATATACTAAACAATGTATAAATGCAACATTTTCAAAATTTGAGAGCGAATAAAGGCTTAAGAGGATTTCAAGTAAGAACCCTTTTTCTGCCGAAGACAGATAAGGTCGATGTAACAATCGACACCAACACGATCCCTTCAGACGGATCAGAAAGAGACCGAGCTTCCTTCGCTCACACCACCAGAAGCAGTGAGTCTAGCAGCATAGCTAGCATCAGAATCGTGACTAGCAGACACATTGACACCCATAGTAACCCAAGCGAGAATACCATCCTCAATCGAGTCACCAAGCATGGCATACTCAAAGAAGGGATCAGAGTTAGAGTCCTCAGTCTCAACCTGAACAACATGGTCATCACCATTCTCGGTAATAGCAACAGTGCTAGTGTTGTACGGGTAAGTAGCTTCAACCTTAGTAATAAGATCCTGATCGAAGAACAGCTGGCCAATGTGCGAGATATGGCCACCAGTCAAAGTGTTGTTGGGCAGGACATGAGCATTGGTATGGGCAATAACGTGAATGTGAGTAGCACGACCAGAGTAGTGACCGGGGAAGAGAGACTTGAACTGGGCAACGCCATCAGAGTCGGTCTTCTGGATACCACGGAGGAAGGTTTTGTCCAGGTTTGTGGCGTCGTTACCGTTGCCATTCATGTCGCTCTGGACTCCCGAGTAAACGCCGGTGGAGTTGCAGTTCCACACGTCCCAGTACAGGTTCTGGATCGGTTCGCAGGTGTTGATGTCGATGAATTGGCCGTCGATGATGACTGGGATACCGGCCTGGCCATCACGGATGTCGTTGCGGATCAGCTCGCCCTTCACCCAGAAGGGACCGACTTCGCCCTCTGGGGAGAGGATGCAGGTGGGGTTGTTGGAGAAGAGATCTGTCTCTGGGGTGTTGGGGGTGACCTTCAAGGTAGAGTGGTGCGAGGTGTTCACGACCTTGTCGGTATCACGGGGGAAGATGGCGCGCTTCTTGTTGGCATCGAGGAGGGCAGCACGGCGGGCTTCGGCGCGAGAGTTGACACCGCGACGCTCAAGGTGGCCTGCACACTGGTCGAGGCTTCGGCGGGCATTTTGCAAGAAGTCCCGTTTGGTGACTTTGGTGTAAGAGCTGTGCTCATGGGCACCAGGATGGGCCACAGCAAGGCCAGTCAAGGCAAGAAGTGCAACCTTGGAGAAATGCATTGTCTCAAGGGAGGTTTAGAAGTTGAGTGTTTTACAAAGATGGCTTTCTGTGTGTTGAAGTTCCAGGCTGATACTGAGGAATCGAGGCTTTTATAGCATTATTATGTTTCATGATTCATTATTGGATGTCTTTCTTGTCAATATCAATGGCTTCCGAGGCGTCATTGTTGTCGTCAGCCAGGTAGTGATCTAGGGGCTGTGGTGGATGAAAATATGCATTCTTGGCAAGCTGCGGTCTAATCAACTTGCATATAATGAGTATAATTAGTTATATGGTGACGACGCTGGAGATCCTGCAGCAAATTGGGCTGACGAATGAAACCATGGTTATTGGATCTCAAAGACAAGCACCGGAGAGGTGGACCTATAGGAGCAATGAGAGTTTAGTTCCTGAATTTGTGGATTTCTGTGATCTGCAGCCAAGGCTTCCAGTGTGGGTTTGTATGATACTTTGAGACACACACTGTGGAGGAGCGTTGGGAAGAATAGCAAATAAGGTCGAGAAGTTCCAAGGTCTGTTGTCTTCAATTCTTATTGAGAGTCGATAGAGCTTATTAAAAACCGCAACGCATTTTCCACGGCTTTTGCTTGTTCCACTATCAAGGAGATAGTCCGGGGTTTAATTCATAAAGTAAAAAAGGGTCAGCATTTGATCGCTGAAAGCACGTAGAGATGGCATAAAGATGACATAGAACAGCGGTAGGTCTCCGCATCCAAGGCCAAGGTCCAGTGGTTGCATTTACGTGGATACGGAACGGCTACTAGGAATCAAGGTAATAATCCATAGAGCACAGATAGCACGGTGTAGAATATACTCTGTACTGATCCTATAGATGGTCGGCGGTATAGCCATATAGTCACAACCACCCACACATATGAATCATATTCAACGTTTTTATATACTTAAATCCAGTCTGCTTTCCCTCACACATTCCAAAATTTATCTAATAGCCTCAGATGCAAGCCAATATCAAGGCACGGAACGTCGGGGCCTGTCTTCCGCTGACTCATCACACTAAATCTTGGCGCAACGCAAGCAAAAAAGGCATTGGCGTTCCACCAGCAACGATTTAAATGGTGGACGTAAAGTGGTACTTTCAGCTCAGCCTTGCAATAGGCTCGTCACCGTCAAAAAACGTTGATGATTCAGCGGCGATGAGAAGCGTCGTACTCCGACCTCCAGTAACAATTCACCATTTGTCTCCCCATTGGGACTTCCAGTGCCTCACCTGAGACAGGATCACTATCAAGCCTAATCTTTTTTATGGATGACACTACTGGCCCACGCGGGAAAGGGCGGAGTGCCTGCGATCTATGTCGACATCGGAAGGTATGGCCACGCACGCACTTTGCATGCACAATCAACCCCCTAACGATGATACTTGCCCAGATCAAATGTGATAGGAGTGAACCAGCATGTGAGAACTGTCATCTTGCAGGGCTTCCATGTACATTCTCTCCACCGGCAACTCAGCTGCGGAAGAGCACTCGGCAGTAAGGCCGCCGCTAGACTTTCCTCCAGACAGGCGCTAACGGACGCACAGAGAGCTTGCCGACACCAAAGCGCGTGTCCGGGAATTGGAGGCGAAACTTGTTGCATTTAGAGAACACACTAAACATAGCCACAGTGGGCTGTTGCCCCCTAGCAGAGGTGCTTCCCCGGTTCCGCTCAGTCCGCTTTCCCAGGCTTCTTCATACACATCTTCGGCTGCGACGTATCTGCCTGATACACGCGATTTTGATACTGCATTGGCAGCGTTTCAATGGCATGTTTCATACTGTGGGCTCGGAAGTCCTCTTTCGACCCAAAGAGCTGCATTCTACTCGCTCATTGAACAGCAGACGGGATGTACGTTCAATGTGGACGTTTTTGCACATGAGGTCACACAGTCATTCCAAGCAAAGCATCTCAAATCATCAAGAAAGTCTATTGGATTGAAGTGGCCACCCTCTGCTCTCGTTCAGCGTTGTCTGGAGTACTTTGACAAGAATGGGCTCTATTCCATATTTCCCATTGTTGATGTCGAGGCTATGCAAATCCTCCTTAATGCGAATACTTTAGAACAGCCACCAAGCATGACTCGTGCTTCTAACCGTGCTTGTCTCATTGCCTTTGCTGCAATGGTCACTCAGATTCACCGTCATGAGAATGCCTTTGCTGGCTGCGATCCCGATGCTTATTTGCAAGCAGCGCTGACGCTTCTTCCTGAAATGATGTTGGAACCCCCTGACCTGAGGACTCTAGAAGCAGTGACTACTATGGTAAGACTTTTACGGTGTTCGTTTCTTCTCACACCCAAGCTGATTGTGTGCTACAGATGCTCTATATTACTCCTCTTGGTAGACCTCAGGCAGGAGAATTACTGCTTGGTGTGGCCGTGCAACTTATCTATAACCTTGGGGCAAACAGAATTCAAACACCCCATGAGATACACCGGACAGATCAGCGCAGCCAACATATGCGAGCACTATTCTGGCATTGCTATGCTATTGATAAGGAGTTTTCCATCCGAAAATCTCAACCACCATTGATAAACGATGACGACTGTGACTTGGATCTGCCTACAACATATGCCCAGAAGACATCGGAACGCCACTTTTACATGAAACCATTATCATCCAAGGAGCTTCTGTTCCCATCCGATCTTCGCTTTTCTTTACTCAAGTCGAAGATCTTCCGGCTGCTGTACTCGGTTCATGGTCTAGCACTCCCCGAAGCAAGACGCCTTCAGCACATTCGTGAACTAGATCAAGAATTGAGTGACTTAAAGCAGGGCTATCCTGTCGACTGTCGGCCTGATGCATTTGCTACCGAGAGCGCACCGGAATATCTCTTCCACGATCTCAGCATCCGCGGTGTGAATATCCACATGGAATATTATTATTGTCTAGGCAAGATTCACGGAGCCAGCAGTTCCTGCAGGATAGCCGCCCCACAAAGCTGGTCACCTCTCCCTTCAAGCGCAGAGTTGTGTTTCGAAGCGGCGCGATCCTCCTTGATCTATATATGGCGAGTCCGTCAATTCGTGAACCATCATACTTTTTGGTAAGAAGCTTCATCCCGTGCTAAAGCCAGACAAATCTCCATACTAACCTTTGTTCTATTAGGATCCACGCCCAATTCCTCCTGGCAGCTGTATTTTCCGTCTTCTGGTATCTCATCACATTCCCAGCATCAGCGACATTCACAAGAGATTTGAAAACTTTGGAGGATATAGCGGGTCTTTTCGCTGAACTTAACAAACCGAATGATGAAGGACAGACTTTCCCGCCATTTTATCTGGCACGGGCTTTTATCGAGAAGTTGGTCTCGCTGGCGAGACATTCTTTGCCTAGGATTGCGGGTCAATGATGGGGTAGCTGGCGTTCTTCAGGTTCGCTCTACTTGTGGGAAGATAGATTTATAGAAAAGCCATGAATTGGAACCAGATACCTCATATTTTCTATAGTTGCAACCGTGTCGGATCCGAGGCTTGAAAGATAGATCGGTACTATAGGCTTCCTAGGTCCGATGAACCACATAGAACGGGGCCTTGCATGAGTAAGAGGTCAAGAACAACTTGGAAGAATAAATCAAGAAGATGTTTATATTTTCCACCTTTCATATTCAGAATGAGTGAAATATCCTGGAGATTGCAAATTACACCTACCCAAGTGAAGTCAAGCCACGTTGCATGTCGCCCTACCCCGGTTCCTTTGTCCCCGATTGAACTCCACCTAGCCCCTCGCCCCCTTCCCCATCGTCTCCTCTTCTTCTCTCTCATTTTCTCCTTCTCTTATTCCGCTCTTTTTCTTGATGGGCAGCTACACGTTGACTATCTAGATCGCTCGGACTCGCGCCACATTCTATCCAATCGTGGACTCGAGCCATAGTCAACCACTTCCCGTCTCGCGGTCACTTCCTTCTCAGACATTACAGCAGCACATTCCACCTAATAGTCACATAATCGATGCTAGCTAAACCAGCGCCGGTAGGGAACACATCATCTGCGAACGACAGGGACATACCGATTGATACTATCCCACCTGGCAAATACACCCTAGTTTAGCATTCAAAATGTGAAGTCTCATGCACATGCAGTCATCTTGCAGGTTCCTGTCTACTCGGCGCTCACACCAATGTGTTTGCCACGTCCAATACAACTAGAAATGATTTGACTACAGAATACTAACATATCCTCCTTCTCCATCTGAATCATGATAGTGCACCGATCTTCAACAGCCCGGCCGGGCTAGCTCAATCGGTAGAGCGTAAGACTCTTAATCTTAAGGCTGCGGGTTCGACCCCCGCGTTCGGCTATTCCTAAACACCGTCCTCGAGTGAGCGTTTCTTTTTTTTGCTGTTATTTTTTATTCCATCGAGTCGAGCTCATTTTCGAGGATTGGATGAATTGACTTCGTGTTGGCGGTGGTACTGTTAGGTGGTTGCAAACAATAGAGATTTTTGGGTTGGGTTTTCCATAGCGCACGGCAGTGCATGGGCTGGCTCTTCTTTAGATACGATTTGCGAAATATATATATATATCGGTCGGGGTATGCTGTATGCAAGTAAATAGACAGGGGGTACACTTTTCAAGGCTGAAGAGGTATAGATGTGTATCAATATTCCCAAACGGTCTATATTTGTTAACTGTATTAAAGAGCTGGGCTCATAACAACAAATCATCATGTGATAACAATAAAAGGAATACAAAACTACCCAATACTCCTTCGCATCCAGATCAAAAATGCATCGCTCAAAATCACACACCAAATTTAGCATTACAGCTTGGTTCCCTCGCGCCCACTATCACTAGGCCTCCTAGGTCGGAGAGGTCCTAGCGGTTGAGCAGTAGTACTGCTTGACCCAGCGGTCGACGACGAGGCCATCGGCGATCGAGGAGTTTCATTTCCTGTATTCGCTCGGACAGCTCCTGTGCGCGTGCCATGGAGTCGAGGATTCATAAGCCATTGGACTTGCATCCGGACACTGTTCACTGCGGCATTCGTGTGGGCCATGTCTTCCTTCATGCGTATACACTCGTTCATCAGAGCCATGCTAGCACGCGCGTCTAGATCTGTGAGGTTGTGTTTTATTTGCTCTACTTCCTCACGTAGAGATTCGTGGAGGGAGAGTAGATACGTTGTGGCGTTGGATGAGAACACACTCGATGAGATATCCGTTGGATCATCTGTGTTTGTTTCGGTGCGAGTAGAGGGCTGATCTCTGCCATTATTGGCAGATTGCCCACTGGGAGCAGCACTGGCGCCGATGCGCGCGGACTCGACGAGAGTGGACCGGATGTTGGCAAGCCCATCTTCAAAGATCTCATTCCGTTGCTGGAGGTGTCGCATACTTAATTCCAAGGAATTGAGCCGTGTATTTTGCACCTCAAAGTAGGGAATCATCGTGACCAGCGGACAACTTTGTTCATGCATTGCGATGTCTGCGCGACGGACCTTGACAGGACATGCGTGTTTCGCTGCCGCGCAGGGGACAATAACCTCTGGACATGCTTCGACATGTTCCTTGAGTGCCTTGCGAGAGACGACTGTTTCACAGTCGACACAACTAGTCTCCAAAACCGGACAAAGCTCCTTGTCATGCTCCTATATTAAATCCCGAGTCAGCATCTATAGAGCGCCAAGACAACCTATGCAAGACGACGAACCTCATAATCCTGCTCCATAACATCCTCTTCACAGCGAGGACATTGGCGCAGCACATGCATGCATTTCCCATCTAATCCAATATCCTTATTCCGAATCAGCCTATCGCATGAATCATCTGGGCACGGAACCAGCCGATACCCACAATACTTCTCAACATGCGACTGGACATGGCCTCTAGGAACGATCTCATGACACCCCTCAGTTATCAAAGGACATCGCACCCGGATCTCGTCGCACATGTTGATCAGCAGGCGGGGTACACTGGTCGACACCTCGCGGGTGGGGGTTCGGCAAGAGGGACACGGAAACTCATCCGAGTCGGCCGAGCGGAAGGTGTTGATGGCGGAACTGAGGCAACTCTGGCAGAAGACATGGTCGCATTGTAGACGGACGGGGTCAACGAAAGGGCAGTGGCAGATTGGACACATGAGGTGTGAGTCGTAGTCGGAGACGAAATCCAGGCCGCGAAGGTCAATGAGCTCATCGCGGTCGAAGTTATCCTCCATAGCGAGGAATTCTTGGAGATTCATGATGCGCGGGGTATGAGCCTATCAAAGGCCTGATGAATGTTGCGACAGGTATGTATGCCCCTTTTCCCTATGTTGCTGTTCAAGTATGCGAATCAGCGCGCGGGTTCATGCAGCAACGTGCAGATGATGGGGCGGGTCAAGGTACCGAGGTAGAGCAGCAAGCACTTTGGATCCATGAGTGTGCCACTAGATCAGGGGAAATTTGTGTAAGGCTTCGTGAGAGAATGCAAATGCCAAAACATGTTCAACCGAAGGAGATGGACTGCGGGGAGGAGAGGCGAAAGGCGGAAGGGCGGTTGATCCGCACTCGGCCATCTTGTTGCCTTTGGGATCTCCGTCTCACCCCAACTCAACCTGTTAACATCTCAACCCTGAACCCTTTTTTTGTTTGGCTGATCGGAGGTCTTTCTCCGTATTGATCGTCCACACGCCTCCGATCCCTCATATACCACACAGACTGCCAGCCCCCGAATCCCGACGCCATGACGAGCCCTTCGCAGCTATTCCTGCTCGCCGATCACATCAAATTATCCCTCCTAGAGCGCCAACGAGCAATTTCACTTGATCTAGAACCCAATTCTCAAGATGGAGAGATCTCCCGATCCCTCGAGTCCCTCCGCGAGGGAATAGAAGCCGTGGAAGCCGAGCAAACCCGTCTAGCCAACTCCAACGACAGCGCAGGCGCCGCTGCTCTGAAAGACCAACTCGGCCCCCTACAAGCTCAATACCAAGATCTGTCAACTCAGTTCCACGGCGCAGATGGCGAACCAACGGAGAACAACACGGTGCAGGCATCGAACTCCGCAACGCCCCCTCTCAAGCAGCCGGTCCCTCAACACCCTCCTTCTAAATCCGTCCGATTCATGGATAACTCTGCCGCCGCAGCCGCTGTGCAAGACGAAATAGACGAAGAAGAAAACCGTAATCGTCAGAATCTCTTCCGCCCATATCGCGATGAGCCTTCACCGCCACGTCCGGACCAGTCCGGTATGGACAACCGGCAAATCTATGACCATCACCAGCAGACCATGCGCGACCAGGATGACCAGCTCGATCGGCTTGGCGAGTCCATTGGTCGGCAGCACCAGCTGAGTATCCAGATTGGGGATGAACTGGATGGCCACGTTGCCCTGCTGGACGGGATGGACGGAGACGTTGAGCGTCACCAGACTCGGTTAGATGGTGCCAGACGGCGCATAGATAAGATCCGACGCAAAGCTGGTGACAACTGGAGTATGATGACTATCATTGGATTGATCATTATACTGGTTATTCTGATTGTGATTTTGAAATGATACCTCCATCTTCTCTACGTATAGGATCTGGGCTTGTTGTTCTGGTGCTTCTTTCTCTGGCGAGCGGGCGTTTCTTTAGCTATATGCGATGAGTCGATTGATTTCGATGTTTTTTTTTTTTGGATTCGTTTCTGGCGTTGAGGCAGTTGAGTCATTCCTAGACTCCTCTCAAGTTATTGGTCATGCTACATCTACGATTCTACCATTCTTTATATCCTTCCACGCCAATACAACAACACTTAGACCCGACGTGTGCTTTTACATTATCATTGGTAACTGCGATACACTTCAATTAATAGTGTCCCTCAATAAGATAACCTCACGAATACATGGTACACAAGAAAGAGAAACCAAAGTTCTGAATAGTAACAAAACAGCTCGTCGCCACCTTATTGCTTCCCAGAGCTCTGCTTGTGGAGATAAGTTTTCGTCTTCTTCTGCATCTCATCGAAAGTGACATTCTCGCCATCAAAGTCACCACGGTCCGCTTTTACCTATGCCAAACATGTCAGCTTTAACTGTATTCACTGTAGACTTCGGGGGATCCTTACATCTTCTTCACTGGTACTGGCAAGCTCAGACTTCCACTTCCCCTTGCCCTCCTTGGACTCCTTGAGACCTTGTTGCTTGTGCGATTCATAGTGCTCGGCGAGATCATCGCGGTCTGTGAGTTGTTAGTATGGATTTTTCTCATTATCGGGTGTTCTCGGGTTGGGGACAGGCATCGACTGACGTCTATCATTCTCCTTCAAGCTGCGTACAGCTGAAGTGTGGAAAGTGGAGGTGATGGCGTAATTGGTGCGGAGGGCCTGGCGGGATGCACGGATAGATGTGAGGAAAGACATGGTGATGATGGTGGTGGTTGTTTGTGGTAGGGGAGATTTGTAGGAAGGTGAATTGGAGTCGACAGTTAAATAGACCTAGAATTCCTGGGGTTTCCGGTATTTGAACAATGCACCTTGGATGACAGCTTGGTTGTGCAGGATGACATCATACTATTGGTGGGCCCGAGGTTAATTGTTAATCGCTCGTTGTATAGTGGCTGGCTGCTTGTTAGGTGTTGGTATTTTTTTTTATAGTCTTTGTATCCAGAGGTATTTTTTTTCTAAATTGAATTGGGTATAGCTATGCGATTCTTCAAATTGTGGATGGTTGGTAGGATGTTACCGCTAACCAGCTATCAAACACTCTACGTGTATAGTCGGCAGGACAGCCTACATTTCCTCTATCTTTAGTAGTTATTTGAATATTGACTGGTTTATAATATATTCTAGCACATTCATTCAGTTAGATACTGTTCTCGTTGTACATGTACCAAGTCAAGTGCCTAGATACGGCCAGGCCGAAGCGGATTGGTGCGTTTACTTAGGATTATGATACTCCAGACAGCGAATGGGAACAAAACCCAAGGTCAGTTTAAGGTTATCTGAATTACGATATGCACTGGATAAAGAGCCTGAAAAGGGAGGAGCAAACAGGACAAATTATGGCCTGAAGCAGCAGGCAGTGTGCGTAGGCCAGCAAGTCAACCTGGCACAATGCTGCATCATTAATCCAGGTAGCTACTTCTCACACAAAAGGGTGTATTAGAGCCACATGCACAGCAGATCAAGTCTAGTCTGTATCTTGAATTTCATGATGCTTCGAGTGTCGATATTCAAGAGTCTTTTTAACTCTTCCAGGGAAAGACATTTCGTGAGCATGGTTCGAATGTAAATTATGATCTTGGTAGATTAAATCTTCCGATTTTTCATGTCCCAGAATGGATTCTACATGTGCTCCTGTCAACCCGATTTCGGCTTACAGCATATGGCCAAGGTAGAGGTTCAGATAGTCAGCCTTAATCGAAGCCTGTCGAGGGTTGATGGAAATGTAAGAATATATATATTCGTGTAACATTATCAGACTAAAATCGCAAAATACAAATGCAGAGCACAATGAAGAAAATAAGGGTGGCACAGTCGAAGGTAACACGCGACATTTCAAGGTGCCTTGGATTTTTGGCCTAAGGCCACACCGACGGCTCGACTTGGCGTTCTTACTTCTTTTTCCTCTCTTTCGTACAGTCCATATTTGAGAAGAGTTTCACTCGCAACACTCTGTCTAGACCAAAATTATCGGCTCCGACTGCCACTCCCCTGTGGCAAGGTGTCCGAGTATAGGCATAACCTTGAGGCAATGCGCCACCGAGTGCCGTGGGGGGAACCGTGCACAGCCGAGAACCTCAGTTTCGGGGTGCCCGGGTTCCGACTGCAAGCGTCCAGAAGTTCTCTCTCCCCCAATGCGACATAGGAATCCCTCCCTAGGCCACTTCCGGCATTCTGATCCAGTGTACCTCGACATTGATCATAGCGTCTACGCCACGTGCCGCCTCCAAAGCGCCCGATCCATGGCGCCCAGACAACGCTCGTGTTCTGATAGGGTTTGGCCAGGTTAGCCCCCAGAAGCGTCTCAGCCCGCGCGGGGATATTGATAGAAGTGTAATTCCACCCAATCGCAGTGCCGTCCGGGCTAGAGAAAAACAGGGATTCGTCAGATGGCTGACAGGGCTTCGGCTGGCTTTGCTTTTTAACTGGCTTTTTCGCCTGGACTAATGTCGTATCTGGTATAGGGCGGCTTGGACGTAAATTAACTGACTTTTTTTTTCTCTCGCTCTCTTTATAACCCCTGTTTAAGCCACTTCTTAAGTTTTTCCTATCTGAGATGTCTATCTGAGATTCTGAGATAGGGCATATCTTCGATCTTACGAGTTTGAACCCTCCTTCCAGGTTCTTATTTCAAAGAGCACTTTTTCGTTCTTTGTTTTTCTCGGCTCTGCTAAGGTATCTCCGCTGTACGCCTTTACCCCAGACTTCCCCAGCGCGAGTCCCACAACTTCCATTGCGCCACCAGCATCCATTGCGACAACTTCACTTTCTACGACGCAGCCAGACTGAACCCTTGCGACAAATCATCTCCATTGCAGCATTAAATCAGCCCACACTATCTAAAGACCCATGCGCCAAACCGATAAGCGACAACCAACACCTTGACCTAGCCATTCTAGCTTCTTGATCGACTGCGCCTTGCCCATCCGTATCAACAGATTAACAAAACAGAAAGACCAAAAAGGAACGCAAAATGGCTTTCGGAAGCGACAAAGACAAAGAGACAAGCGGCGGCGTGCTAGAGACCACAGGGCTCAAGTCCGAAGGTCCTCGGGATGTCCAGGAAGGTGTAATGGCTTCAAATGCCGACAACCTCCAGCGTCATCTTGGAAACCGTCAAATCCAGCTTATCGCAATTGGTGGTTCCATCGGAACTGCTCTTTTCGTGAGCATTGGTACTGGTCTCTATCATGGTGGACCCGGTAGCCTGTTCCTTGCCTTTACGATTCAGAGTATCTTCTTGGCCATGGTTAACAACTGTCTTGCTGAGATGACCACTGCTTTCCCTGTTAGCGGTGGTTTTATCCGATTGGCTGGAAAATGGGTAGACGATGCTCTTGGTTTTATGGTCGGCTGGAACTTTTTGTCCGTTTTACCCCACGTGATGCCAGGCATTTGGAGTAAGTTTGCTAACATTGCATATAGTTTCTATGAGGCACTTTTGATTCCATTCGAAATTTCAGCCTTCACACTGGTACTGTCGTTCTGGGGTGATGTTGTCACCGAGCCCGGCCCAGTTGCTGGTATCTGTGCTGGAGTTATTATTTGCTATGGGTAAGTCATCCTGACAGCCGGATCGGCCCGTCCGTTCCCTCGCGGGAGCCACACTTCCATCTAGATTCTAACCTCGCATAGGTGTCTTAACATCCTTGCTGTCAAGGCATATGGTGAAGCCGAATTCTGGCTATCAGGCGGCAAGGTCATCCTGATCTTCTCTCTATTCTTTTTCACATTCATCACGATGGTTGGTGGAAACCCACAGCATGATGCATACGGCTTCCGTCACTGGAACAACCCAGGTTCATTTATGGAATACCTGGACACCGGTGCTCTCGGCCGCTTTGAGGGTTTCCTGGGATCTTTGTGGTCAGCATGCTTCGCTGTCGTGGGTCCCGAGTACATCTCAATGGTCGCCGCTGAAGCCAAACGTCCTCGCATTTACATCAAAAACGCTTTCAAGACTGTCTACATCCGATTCGGTCTTTTCTTCATCGGTGGTGCCTTGGCTGTCGGTATTATCTGTGCTGCCAATGATCCTGCCCTGGTTTCAGTTGTGACAGGTGGTTCTTCCGGTTCAGCTGCTGCATCCCCCTATGTAATTGGCATGCGCAACATGGGCATTAAGATTTTCCCTTCCATTGTCAACGCGTGAGTACAAAACACAAATCACAATATAACATACTAACATTGACTTCAGACTCTTACTCACATCCATCTTCTCCGCTGGTAACACATACACGTACTGCGCAATCCGTACCCTCTACGGTCTTGCCCTAGATGGAAGAGCCCCCAGAATCCTGACCCACACCACTCGCAATGGTGTCCCAATCTACTGCTTCTGCATCGTGATGATTTTCCCAATGCTCTCCTTCCTGCAGTGTTCCAGCAGCTCCTCCATCGTCATCACCTGGTTCGCCAGCCTGGTCACAGCCGGCGGACTGATCAACTACATCACCATCACATTAACCTACATCTTCTTCCACCGCGCCTGCAAAGCCCAAGGCCTAGACCGCAAATCTTTCTCCTACTATGCGTGGTTCCAGCCTTACACCGCATACATCGCTTTCGTCTGGATGATCGTCGTTACTTGCGTCTACGGGTATCCAGCTTACAAGCCCTGGTCTGTCTCGACCTTCTGGTCGGACTACACCATGCAGATTGTTATTCCTCCTCTCTTCCTCATCTGGAAGCTTGTCAAGAAGACGAAGTTCGTTAAGGCTCATGAAGCTGACCTTGTCTGGGAACGACCCCTTATCGATGCGTACGAGGACAGTTTCCTTGACCCACCCACTGGATTCTGGAGGGAGGTTCTTCAGATGGTTGGCATTGGGCGTGTGAAGGGTGGCAATGACAAGAGGAGTATGTCTGTTGCTAATCCTTCTCATTCGAAATCTTATCCTCATGGGAATGAAGAGGGATCTAGTGCCTGAGACGAAGGTTTATCTTTCTGCTTTTCTTATAGGGTTGTTTCCATGCGATGCAGATATACTTCCGCGAATTTGGAAATGCCTTTGATATGAAATACCCTGGCTATTTCACCATGGGTACTTTATGAATGTATATGTCTTTCGCTATCCATTTTGTACATGATACCTAGGTTCTATTTGTACCATACTCAATTCCTGGATAATGCATGCATTTGGTTGAGATTACTCGGCCATACTGTAAAGATTGTTGTCGTGTTTTAAAAGACTGGTACCCAATTCGTGGAGGAGTAGATTTGAAATCAATGGAGTAGATCTAGATGGGAAAACGGATCTATATTGAAGATTTTAGCACTTTGGATTTGAATGCTTACGTGCTTCGTACGTTGCTGAGAGCTCTTCCTCATCTCCCGAATTATCGAGCCGAGTGTGTCAAAGGACGGACGATCCTTGGATAGGAATCTTTTGAAAGACTACGCCATATACGGCATAGTGGACGCGCATTTTACACTAGTTCATGGATCGGTGAAGATGCGCGATCAATGAGAGAGCAATACATTGCTCCCCAAAGCTCCGGTGCTTCTTCTTTTTCCAAGGAATCTTGCATAGAAGACAATTTTCATTTCAACGCTATTTGAAATGGCCTTCGAAGAATTAAATCGCGTTCTCAGACTGCAAGCCAATGCCATGCAAGATAGTATCATTCTCTGCGTGTGCTTCCACCACATGGTCATAGACGGAGCGGGAGCAGTGAGATTGAGCGGCCATCTTGTAGAATGTTGCATTGCAACAACCCTTGCGTAGGCCATGATACTATCGGAACCAGTGCTCACTCAAGACGCCCACTTATCGCGGAACATAATCGTCTTAGCCATGCTATGGCTCCGCATTATCCCATCGCGATATCGCGACACGGACGATCATCTACCAAAGCAGCTAGATCGGAACAAGTCCCTAAGCCGGCTAAGTCCTATGTCTTGATAGTATCGGACATACGAAAATTTGGCAACGCACTCTACCTAATTCGTACATAAGAAACGCCTTGATTTTGAGCGAAGCATCCACTACTATCGATAACGTAATCTCCACCGTGACTTAGGTGATGCCGGCCCGTTTGAAGGATATATATACGCCTTAGGAAGTGCTAGAGGTTATAGAGGGCGTGCAAAGGGATAGTTTGATCATATAAGTTAGTAAAATTGCAACAAAAGCCTAAACTTTAGAAGTGATGTCAAAGTCTTTGCATTGACTAGACTTTCAGTATAAGCCACGTGAGAGCTTGGCGGAAACCGTTGTATACTTTCATACCAAGATCCCCTTCGTTACCAAAAAAGCAAGAATAAGTTGCGCGTATTTACTCATTTAAGACATCGAATACCACAAGGATCTTTCAGATGACCACATAAATTGATTGCCAGGCCGAGCAGGTGGTTGTTGGCCTAGAAACCAATTGACCAGATTGTCTACTTGTCGAATCTTTATCAGCTTCCTCCCATGCAATATCATTAATATCTTCGATTACCAGCTCCGCGCATTTCCGGCCGCAAATCTTGCCAATGCGACTTCCCGCCGCGGCGAGGTTTTATACTCAAACAGAATAGCTACATCTCATTGCGCCCATGAAATCTCGAAGCTAGCCACTCAGCGGTCTGCCTCGCCGCATGTATAATCCTTTTTACTTATTATAGTTTGGGAAATGCTGACTGCATATGGTAGCGGTGTGTCAAATTCCATGATGTATAAGACTTACAATTAGTAGTATAGCAGAATAGACACCTTTCTCTTCCCCGAACCACCTCTTGTGTTCTGTTCTCCTACTATTCCTACTACCCCTAGTCGCCGACCTATTTCGCAGACAGGCCGGCAGTGTCGGGTTTACCTTTACGGGTTCCCGTAATATGTGAACTTACGGATCGACGCCAAACACGCGGTGAGTCGCTGACCGCCCAAGATCCCTAATCAGATGGGATGGTGAGGGGTCTTGAATCATACTACGTCATCTCACTTTTCCATGGAATTAACGGAGTTAAAATGCCATTGAGATTTAGGCGCAATATAAAAAGGCATTGGCAGTGACAGGAGCACACATTCAATTTCAACCCCCTGCTTTACATCTCATATTAAAAAAGACCCAGCCGAAAGTCCTCACCTGGTTCTATCCACAATGGAGATCCAAAGACATCCTCGTCTTGGCGGTCTAGTGGCCATCGTTACGGGGGGCTCACGTGGCATTGGTGAGCGCATAGCATTTGAGCTTGCAAAAAATGGAGCGAAAGTTTCCATCACCTACACTTCTCCTGGGAGCGAGACACGTTTGAATACCCTGATCGAACGAATCAACGCCCTCAATAATGGCGCCTCCGCCATTGCCGTCAAGGCTGACCTGCGGGACCCGGCTTCCCCGAGCCTAATCGTCACAGAAACAATCCGGCATTTTGGTGATAATATTGACGTATTGGTCAACAATGCTGGAGTAGAGCTTGTCAAGCCTATCGAGGATATCTCGGTAGCTGATTTCAGTTTCGTCTACGACCTCAATGTCCGCGCCCCTATGCTCATGCTCCAGGTTGTTTTACCTCATTTGCGGGCACCTGGGCGAATCATCAATATTGGATCAGTTGGTGCACGGCATGGTTTTAAACAACTTTCTGCCTACTGTTCCTCAAAAGCAGCCTTGGAAGGCCTGACTCGGTGCTGGGCTGCTGAATTAGGTAGCAGTGGACATACCGTCAACTCAGTTAACCCAGGCCCTGTTCAGACGGAACTCATGGAAAACATCCCCAAAGAGACTATTGAAATGCAGAAGTCTCAGACTCCGATCCAGAACCGGGTAGGCACCGTTGAGGATGTTGCCCCAGTAGTGGTGTGGCTCGCAAGTGAAGAAAGCAGATGGATTACCGGACAGGTGATCTCGGCCAGTGGAGGATGGGCTATGTATTAGTGGTGAACCGCATTTTTCTAGCAGCCTCCTATGCGCTAGATTATTATAGTAAAGTACAAGTAGAACCCTATAATAGATCAACGCGCCACGACTGCTATCAACGATAGGCTCTGAGAGAGAATGTGTAATCTACATGTGAAAGCATCTCTATTCGACGAATGACAGTACTCTTCGTACTAGTCTCCCTCAGTGCGATGGTATTTCAAGCTTCCTGTGCGCGGCTCAACCAGGCCATAATCCTAAAGTAGAGTGCGCGTATATGGTCCCCAGCCAACGCTTCCAGATACTTCCATCATACCCATCTAGTACAATATACATTATCCGGACTCAGGCACTCATTCAAGGATTGGCCAAAATGAAGAAAAACAGTGATGCAGTCGACTCATTTGGCACCAGCTCGCACCCATGGTGGATAAACTCTTTGCCCAGTCGGCATGGTCTCGAAATAGAAACTTAAAAAATAGCAAGAACGAAAAAAAAAACATACAACAGTAAAAATCACCCACCTAGCTACTCATAATCAAATGGGCGAATCAAGTCATCTCCCTACTCCTGTCTTCGAACGGATGTGGACAAGACGCTGGGAGGTCCTAACACAGATAGCCTTTTCAGCGAGCTAATCGTTCTAAGCTAAGCGTCCACTCAACTATTCTACTCGGCTCTAAGACAGTCCCCTCATCCAAAAGAGTCGATTAAAGAAATGTAATGCACCAATAATCCTTTTGAATAGTGCCAAAGGAGTTGGACCTGTGCCCCTCACAGTTTCTTGGATCTTATAACAGTTTTTAGACATGGAACTTCGTATCGTATCTTGTCAATGATAGGTCCCTTTCGACGCACTTCTCAGCTCCATTAATCATTCGTACGGCACAGGTCACAGTGGAATCGCGAATTAGTAAGCCGATTGTAGCACTACAACTGAACCGAGCAGGAAGACAATTGCACATAATCAATAAAGCCAATCATTACAAATAGTTCCACAAATGCTGCCAAGGTAAGCTGTGAGCTAGCGAGAATCACTTGGAGAGGCGCTGATCGCACGTGATACTTTCAGCCTAGCCAGTAAACGGCCAAATGGTGACCCCCTCCCCCCGTATTTCCATTAGATACCACTGTTCATATAAGACTCATACGATGGAAACAACAACAACAGAGGAGCTTTCAGTTGAGCACGGAATATCCACCCTCTGGCCCAGCTTGCAAAACCAGCAACAACAGCCATCACACGGAGCAACCTCGGAAATAACTGAGCCTCTTCACATTCAGCCTGCCCCTTCCACAGAACCCAAATATCCAATAGGCTCTAAGTTTTGGTGCACCGTCTTTGCACTATGTGTGGTTATGATTCAAGGAGGCTTAGATGCTAACATTGTCGCTACAGCTGTGCCAAGCATCACCGACGACTTCCACACTGTTGCTGATGTGGGATGGTATTCATCTGCATTTCGTCTCTGCACCTGCGCGTTCCAATTCGGGTTTGCGAAGCTGTATAAACATTTCTCGACCAAGATTGTATTCTTGTTAAGCAATGCCATTTTCATCATTGGCTCCTTACTCTGTGCCATAGCTGCTACGTCGACTATGTTCATTGTAGGAAGAGCGGTGACTGGTCTCGGGTTCTCAGGGGGTTTGGCTGGATGTTTTGCCGTCATAACGCAACTTATACCGCTTAGCAAGCGGCCATTGTTTGCGGGTTTGATGGCTTGTGTGGAATCGCTTGCAATAATTTCGGCACCTATAGTAGGCGGTGCATTGACGCAGTCTTTGGGATGGAGGTGGTGCTTCTGGTAATCCAGTATCATCACAGACACGATAAACTTAGCTTACAACTGACTATTTCACAGGATCAATCTCCCTATTGGTGGTGTATCGCTGGCGACCCTGCTTTTGCTTTTCTCGGACCCAAGAGCCAGTGAAGTGGACGACCTCACATTCGCTCAAAAGATTAAAGAGATCGATCTCGTTAGCAATTTCTTGTTCATCCCATCTTTAACAGCACTCTTCCTTGCCCTATCTTGGGCTGGAACAAAATATTCTTGGTCAGATGGGAAAGTGATCGCATTATTCGTTGTTTTCGCTGTTCTACTCGCCGCGTTTTTCTTTAATCAATACCGACGCGGAGACTCGGCAGCACTCCCTTTCCGCATTATTAAAAACCGAAATGTCATTGCCGGTTTCGTCTTCACGGCGTGCACTAACTCGATGACGAACGTCTTGGAGTGGTACTTACCAACGTACTATCAAGTCGTTCGATCCCATGTATTAATCCTTGGCTAGTGTTTGACCACGGTACACTCATTGACAATTTTTAATTTTCTAGACCCCAAGCGAGAGCGGCTACCTGATAATGCCCATCCTTGTTGGAATGATGCTCGGCCTCTTCCTTCAGGATATCGGCACTACAACGCTCGGCTACTATGCCCCTTTCATGCTCCTCGCTTCCGTGTGCATGCCAGTTGCCGCGGGCTTGATGACAACGTACGATTTGCAAAAATCATCGTATGTTCCGGATTTGTAGGTTTCAGTGGAGGCATCGGCTTTCAAGGCCCTCAGGCGGCTATGCAAACAACGTTAAATACCGCAGATGTCAATATTGGGATCGGGGTTATCTTGTTCGGGCAGAGCATGGGTCCGGCCATTTTTATCGCTATTGCACAGGTGACATTCACGAATGAGTTGTCGTCAATTTTGAAAAATGTGATACCTGGTTTGTCACCTGCTTATGTCGAACAACATGGGCTTGACGGTATTAAGACCGGGGTTCCTGCGCAGCAGTTGGGTGAGGTTCTGAGAGGTATCGATCGAAGCTTGACGCATACTTGGTATATCCCTGTCGCTTTGACTTGCACGACAATGGTGGGGAGTCTTTTGATCGAATGGCACTCGGTAAAACAGAAGCAGCCGTGAAGGAAATGCATGGAACAACATTTCGGATGATCAAGTTTGCAGATAACCCAGTCTTTTGCAATGAATATGATGCCCAGTCAGTCGATAGTAGACCTCGGATTCTTGGATATACTCTTACGAGACTATGTTCATTGTTGCATATTACAGAAGACGACCCTGATTATGCTTCTTTCTTTACTTCGCATGATGAGAGGTCTACCAGTACCGGTATCGAGACCGCTCAGAATAGTGTGACTTGACCCTCAGGTCCGATTGCATCAGCAGGAGCTAGTCCACAGCTTCTTGTTCAAAGAACCGCAGAAATGCCATTATATTCAGCTCCATCGAGACAAAGAACGTTAAACCGAAATTACGGACCCAGTTTATGCTGAGTATTGGGCTCGTCCATGGCCCTCGCTCACACCGTATCCCAACGATGACGCTTGAAATTATTTCTGGTATCCAATAGATTGCAAAACACCCACCGAGCTGAGGAACACGCTCTCTGAACGGGTCAATGATACGATTTCGGCTCGTTTTGTCTTGGATCGCTGGACGACTGGCGCTCAGTCTACCCATTAGGGATAGTAGTAGCTGTAGCTAGTGATGCAAATATGGCAACCATATTTTTAAATTAACAAATTGGCTTAGAAAAAGAGATACAGCCTTGAAGCCAGAATGAAAATATCCGTATCGTTGCAGCAAAGACGTTGGCAGGTTCTTCGGGTCTCCCGACTCAGAACCGCGACAGGTTAGAGAGCAGGACCGGCAGCATCCCGCTGAATTTTTGTCCCCGTCCTCTCTTTCCCAGTATTATCGAATCTGTTTTGTTCTTCCCACCTGAGTGATGCAGCGGTAAATTGAACTTACACTTTACGCAACTGGACGGGCGCAGTCGTTGGAACCCGTTTATGCGAGTGCAAAACATGTTCGAGGCCACATGTTTAATCACATTCGATATTTTAATGTTTGATTCGATTTCATACCATGATACTGTTGTGTGTTTAGGGGTCCGCTTATTGCATGTTGTTTGTTAGCAAATCTGATTCTGCTTATTCCATCTGCATTGGGATGCAAGAAATGAAGTCTCTGACTGTTATCATATTCACACGTGTTCTATTAAACTAAGTTTTGATCTAATTCATCTGCCGATTATGTGGCAGACTGCGGTTCTCCATCGGGATCAATTTGTAAAGGGAAGCTTTCCCAGCCCGAAAGTACAAAGGTCTCATCATTCCATCGCATGCCAGGCCAGACACTTCTCAATAACCTCGTCGCCCTTTCAAAAGGGAGTGGTCTCATGTGGGGACTTAAACTGGAAAGGAACTTCTGCCAGCGTTCCGGGTCGAGTTTACCGATCTCCTGGACATTGGGAGTGTCACCTAGTGATCGGATGAGGAGGAAGGAGCGGCCTAACTGTCTCAACAGGCAGTTTTCAAATTTCCCGTTGTCTCCACCGTTGATTGCAAAATCTGCCTGGCCGATCGGGATCACTCGAAGATTTCTCAATAGCCGCGCTGGTTGATTCGAGAATACGAGCCCCCACATAGCCTTGACAAGGTTCACGTCTGTGGCGGCGTTTCTGAAGATTTCTCGTACAAGGGAATCATCAAGCCATTGAGTGTATTGTTCGGGTTTCGATCTTGGATCATATATCGTTTCCAGGACTAGCGTGTGAAGCCGAGTGAATTTTCCTAATGCTCTGTAGACATTGCATTCTTCCGGTCTGCCTCCAACACGTTTAATAGGGAGGAGAAGTTCCTTTAGGTTTGGACAGATCTTTGCGATCTCGATGATTTGTTGGCCGTTCAGCGGTGGGTACTTATATCCGATATCAGTATTGGGAGATTTGCGACGATCTGAGGAGGATTGGATCATAAGCCCTTTGAGTGTATCTCCATGATATATAAGGATCTAATCTGGATAGTAAGTATATCGAACTATGAGGTTCAGTGATAAAAGCGGAATTTCTCACCTTGTGAAGAGCCGAATAGGTTCGCAGCCCACGAACTGCAAGGAATCGAAGCGGATTAAACTCCTGTATCAGTCCCACCATCTCGGGATCATCCTCCTCCAAATCATCATAATGTCTTTCCTGAAGATGCATGTTGATAAAAAGCCTCTGCAAATTGGGGATGATTGAACGGACGTTCCGAAGAAGACTAGGCGCCCGGGAAACGCTGATATCGAGAGACTTTAATCTCGATAGGTCAACGAGATGAGAAATGGACATAAAGACATCCTCCCAAGGACAGTAGGCTTTAAACATGCCACCAAAGGAAAGAGATTTGAGCGAAGCCACTGGCATAGGCTTAAGGCTTTGCATAGATTTTTCCCACTGAGTCTTCAATTTGGCCAGATCTCCTTTGGATGACCCTCCATATTCGAATTGCAGGTGCTTCAAATTGGGAGCGGCTAAAAGGAACGGAAAAGTTTCAGCAAAATGACTGCTTTGCTCTCTAGCGTCTAGATGGAACTTATGTTTCGTGAGGTTATGGCTCACGCTTAAAGCGTGAAGATTTGGAGACTGAAGGGTGTCCAGCTCGAACGGGTCCTCGGCTTCAGAGTTGATACCGCGGAATTTGCCGCACCGAGCAATTTCACGACTGAATGACTGGGGCATCCAGATATTTAATCGACAGTTTGGGTGGCGCTGGCGTATAGCATGATAAAGTGCTGGAGAAAACATGTCCTTGATAGCATAGTTCAGTTCTGTAAGATGATCCAGACGGGCAATCAGTGAGACCAAGGGCTCCCAGTCTTTCTCGGCAAAGAACCAAAAGACTGCCCGGTTGTATTGGGTTTGTTCGTCATAGACTCGGTCCAGATAGTCTTCAAGAAATGTGTTCAGAGATGCAACAGGTGCGTAGTCGGTATAGCGCAGCCGCGGGTTAGGCTTTCCACTCTCTGACACGGCTCTTATAGGCGCCGGAAACTGAAACCCATCCAAACAGACTAGATCAAGTCTTCGAGTATAAAGCTGAAATAATCGTGACTGTGGCCCTTCGGAGACCTTTGCGAGTTCTTTTAGGAGATGTTCCCTGTTGTCGAATACGATTTTCAAGGTGTCGTAGACAAGAGGAAGAGCAACCTCATGCCAAGTGCGATCTATTCGACCCAGCGAGGAGAGATCGTCTTGTGAATAGGATTTGACCTAGGGAAAAAAAAAACCAGTTAGCCAGTTGAATTCGCTGGTTAGATGAGTAAACTCCTCACAAAGGCGCAAATTAGTCCCTTGACCTCGAAGGGGAGTGAATCCATGGCTTAGAATTCTTATGGAGAGCTGATGTCCCACCTGCGCAAAGTCCAGATATTATTGGGGAAATTGGGCTTAAGCATGAACGAAAGATGACCCGGTGCAACTGAATATGTGGGCAATTTAATATGCACCGCAACTTGAAGGTGGAACCGAGTGGATAAGAAACCAAGGATGAATTGTGCCAAGGAAGCGGCCTTTTTAGTGGTAAACTATCGGTAATTTCCACTTGAGCAAATCAAAAGTTCTTGGTATTAAATAAGCACCTTCGAAAATCAATGAAAGCTGAATAAATGCACAATGAAAATTTGAAATGGTTCAACTGCAGTTCATGTCTAACCGCTAATATACCAACTAAAACCTGAAGACGTCCAAGTCAAACTTCACAATCGCATAGTAGTACCCCTCGAGCATATTCAATTTAGCAAGAACAATGGGCTTCAACTTGGAGGCGCTTGGCATGGAGTTCCATTGAACCTTCATAACAGCCGTAGCTGAACGAATCTATTTTTGGGACCGGTCGAGTTGATGTCCACCCAATCTGGCCACCACCCATCCCAAGCTTCTACCAGTGAGGCATTCAGATCAGAGGGTTTCGATGGGTCGCTGTCAATCTTCTCAGAGATACTGCGCAAATCCTCAACAATCGGATTCGATGATTTATTCATATCTTTGTCTATTTAATGGTGTTATACGGCAATTGCTGCCTTGATATCCTTCAGCGCAAATTCGGGCTTGGCCGTGTTTTGAACAAGAGTTGTCCATTTAATTGAATCAATCGGTTGCTTGTTGCCGAAAATCTGCTAATTGTTAGCGTGATAGATCGTTGAAGTTTATAAGCAGCAGCTTAACCCTGGCTTTCATTCTATTCACGGCCTTTTGCAAGAGGTAAAACTTCTTTCGGTTCGTTGTCGTACCCAGCGCAGCCATGATGCGGAAGGCTGGCATACCACCCTCTGTGTAGGGGTCTCTAGTGTAGTGTGGTCTATTGAGTTCAATGAGCGTTTGTGCAGTCTTAAAGAGGTCACCCTGCATAGACACCGTGTTTCCACTTTGGGGCACGCCCAGAGGAAGGAAATATTTGCAGTTCAATGCTGTGAAGCTCGTTGTACTGCCCGAAGCGAGTTTTCCATTAGTGGCCCACTTGAAGAACTCGCCTGTCACCTGAAGCTTGAGCATATGCTCTATATCACGCATACTGCCTGTGTTAGTGATGAAATCAACCAGGGGATTGGCGCAGTCATTCGGATTTTGATAATTCCAAGCCACTTTGAACACCACATTAGTTGATTTCCATTTTCCAGCGCTGGGATAAGGGGCTGGCTTCATCTTCAATAACCGACTATCAAGCTGTGTTCCACCGCAGAACGCTCAATAGCTCTTTGAAGCGGCTCTTTTCTCAAAGAAGTCCAAATCCCGAGTGGAGACGTCCCGTTCCTCGTTGTCATCATCGCCATCCATATCGAGCTGTTCCTCCATGCAGAGTTCAAGATCGACATCAACGTCGCAAGGATCTCCATTGCAGAATGGATCATCTTCCTCGGTAGCTGAAGCAGAAGCGCTTCGGAAGTCTTGTCGGCAGAGGATGTTCTGCGTCGTTGAACGAGCGCCCATCTCCCAGAAGTATCCGAGGCCTGGCACATAAGGTTGCAAAATTTCGAGCTTAAGACCGAGTAGGCTAGCCTTTTGGTCCAGGCATCCCAATCGTCGGCCTCATTTTGTTCTTTGGGTGACAATTCAAAACGTGGCTTCTTTAGCAGGGGCACCAAAATAGAGATAGCGAAATCAAGATTGGCTGTACTTTTGCTTTCGCTCCGTCGAGCAAGATCAGTGCCGTTACCATTCGGGCGATAATTGGCAGTCAAAGAGTCTTCTCTCGTCATTGAGCTTTCGTCTTATTCCGTGGGACATTTTCCGTCAATCAGATAATTATTGAGAGCATCCCGGAACTGTTGCATCTCAGGGTTTACTTCAATTTTTAGTGACAGAGTAATTCGGCGAGCAGCACCATGCTCGTCTTCCTCCACTGCAGTCATTGTTATTATCCGGCTTCCCAGACCCAAGACCAATTTTGTCTATAAGGCATCCATTCGCACACCTGTCATCAGACTCTCCATCTGGGATGGCTCAAATTGAGCCATACCAGTCGCAGTCCTCCCAGTTTCCATCCTTGACATCGGAGCCACAGCACAGCTTGCGACTGGGAAAAGCCCATGTGTTTTTCCAAACGTCGATTTCGGTTGCCCAGCACATGGCATCGCCACTGCCAGCTCTCTCCTCGACTAATATATCGGACTTGGAGCCACCGTTTGCGAGACAATCCCCAAGAGCACAGTTGCCCGGGAAGTGGTCTAACCATTGCAGAAGATCAACATAAAGCTTGGTGCTATCTTTCACCTTCTCACAAGAAGCAGCTTGGTAGCCGCTGCTGCATGCAGTAGTGGTCAGCCCAACCTCAAACATGACATTTGGGCACGTGGAATCACACTTGCCATTGTTATGGGTGTACCAGCCACATTTGGGCACAGCCTCTTTAGAGCAGCAAAGGGTATGGAGCAGGCCATCCTCGCAAACTCTTTCCTCGAGCATCAGCTCGCCATCTCTGTGGCCAGGATCAGAGCGACTAACAGCCACGTAGTCTCCAGTGCAAATTTCACCACAGTTGCTCCACTTACACCGGGAAACTTTTTGGACCTAGTTGTAACGACATCGTTATCCACCTCCCAGAGTATCATTGATTTGGACTGAGGCGCCCACCCGGCAAGGGTGTTGGTAGATTTGCCATCGGCGGTATCATGACTGACGGCCCAGACTATGACACCACCCAAACAGGTCTTCTGAGCGAACTCGATCTTGAGCTTGTAGTTATCATCGTCGTCATAGGATGCCCACTGATCAGACCAGTGGAGTAGCTCAAAAAGCAGCATCTTTATCCAGTTTTGGATCGACGCTTTTGAAGGTTGAATATGCGAATAGAGAGTAACGTTCGTTTAGAAAAAAAAAATCACCATATAGGCTCAGCAACAATAGGAACTGTAGCCAGTACATTGGAAAATTTGTCACATGAGAACATGGGGAAGGTCATGTAGCAGGAGGCAGTAATTCAAAACCACTAGCCCTTAAATTTACTCTCAGAAATCTCGTTCTTATCCACCCTTAGATGCTCTGCTTCGGAAAGCTTCTAGAGGATAGCTACTGTTTGGCCCTCGCTAAGCTTGAATGATTTCCCTATCGTGAAGTATGTCCGGGTAATTAGATGTACTGCCTTCGGGTCTAAGTGTTGACGCATTAAACTTGGCCCAAGGGATGCGACGGTGACGGGATGAGCGGGTCCAATTTTCGTTAACCGGGATCTGGGCCGAACGTACAACGGTAGGCTCCGATTCGGTAGTTCTAAGAGCGACATAGGCCAGAAGCCGATCGATCACCACGTCCACTGGTACAGATTCCAGAGTCGAGTGACGATGTAGCTCCTCAAGTTGCAACGAGAACTGGATAATCTGGGGTGGGGTGATAGCAAGAGCGGCCGTGAATATAAGCTTGGGAGTCGATATAGGTACGCAGAATTGATGGTAGGGGAAACTTTGGATGGGATGAATGAGTAATGGCCGTAGAATGGAGAGGCGATTGTTATCTATGTAGCAAAGTCTTAGATGAGTAGACGCTCCGTCAAATGTTTCGCATACCCATAGGACCAGAGAAAATTGTTTGAGCGATATACAGATGATGTTGCAATATTTTGTATATATTGCCACTCATAATGTGAGGAGCAACTATTTAGTTTAAGGGTTTGAGAAGAGGGATTGAGGATGCGGAGTACACTAATGTAAGAATGGAGGTTTAGTGTTTACAGGATAGAGCCTGTCAATTAGGTAGGATCAAAGATGTCTCGGAACAAGTGGTATTGGAGTTGGAACAGAGACTGGTTCTTGGGGAATTTCTAGTTTCACCAAGAATGATCTATATAACATGACCAAAAGAGATGGCGAGGTGATTCTGACGAGTCTACAGGGATAACCATTAGTGTCATTGACATTTTTGGTTTAGCGGTAAAACCCCGCTTCATTTGTAAATAAACTGAACGTTTCCGGCAGCAAGTTTTTTTTCCATTACGGTCATGACTCCGTGAGGCTCTGCTGTTGATATCACTTAGATATCGCCTCCATGCAGTTATCCCTCAGACCTCTCCCACAGTTCCTGGTCATTTGGTGATACTATCCGTCCTGTATCGCACAATGGCACCAGTCACGAGAAGAGCGGCTAGGAAGGCCTTCACTCCTTCAATCTCGACTCCTCCAGTTTTGGAAATACCCGAGGTTCTAGAAATGATTCTGCTTCAGATAGATATGCGCACTCTTCTAATATCTTGCCAACGTGTCTGTCGAGATTGGCGTGATCTAATCACTAAGTCACTATCGATTCAAAAACCCCTCTTCTTCACTCCAATCAAAGAATCCGAATGGGGCATGGGAGAAAAGCTACCCAATCTGCTGCTAGCAGAGATGTTCCCTGCTATTTTTCCTGCCGAGGGCGAGCCACGCAAGCGCGACTTTCTTTTTTCCGATTGCGTGATGACCAAAGATCCCGCAAGTTTGGATCGGTTCGTCCAGAAAGATGCTAGCTGGCGCAGGATGCTCGTGCAACAGCCTCCTATTTTAGAGCTTGGCCTTTTCCATATTGATTCCGCTAGGGGTGGCGATAGCGCTCTCTGCGTTATTATACCCGTTATTATTGCAATCTATCCAAAATTGGATCTCCCGGCTAATACGGTGCGTTTAGGCGAATCTTATGAAGCAAAAAAATAGAGACGAGGGCCTTCGAATGGGAAGACTCTTCGGGATCTTGCTATTCGATTCGCCTATTCGAGTTGGAAAGTTCAAGAGTGCACGTCTATATTGGTTACTAGATGAGCCGATTGATTTCCATTCAAGACAAGAATCAAATAAAGATGCATTTCATCAAATGCTTGGTCAAGTGGGTCTGGTTCTACATACCAAGCAAATAATCCAGTGCGCGATGGGTTTCGGGCGTGGATTTAGTGGCGTTAAGACGACTAAGATGAAAATTATTGCGGCCTATCGAGAGCATGGCTTGGACGTTGATTCCCAAGCAGAGGAGATGAAAGCCCGCAGAAGGTCGGCGGAAGAAATAGAACTGTCAGATATAGATTCTGATGAAGCCGACTCGGAAGACCTTGATTAGTCGTAGGGAAAGGTCGATCAAGAAATCATAGGTGTTCAGTTTTTATATACTCCATAGGATACGATGGCTATCAAGATTTGAGATGTTCTGATAACATAGCGGGAAGTCAACCAACTAGCAAACTATAAGCAATTCTTGCGATTATCAGATCAAACTTCCTTGCTCCGAAGCCTCAGAGAAACCTCTCCCCCTCGGAGACTATTCCACAAGAACTCGATCTTTCTATATTCATGTTCATCCTCTCGTTTCTCAATATTGCCTTATCATTTCTTTCAGGTCGCGTCGTAAATCATAATAAAAGAGAAAGAAAATCTCTCCTAAAAAAGCACCCTTCAACACCAGTTCCTATACAACATCCATGAATGCGATTCCGATCCCCAATATGCGCTTAGGGCGAGAATCTCCATCATAATAGTGAAATAGTGATAATGCTTGATTTTGACAATAGCACTACTTCGATTATTTACATGGTGGTACTGGTTTTGGTCTTGATGCTTCACGGTTTAAATCAATAGATCGAAGGCTGCAACGCTTCGTGGAATAAGAGAGTGTTCCTATGTTTTCTGTTTGAGTGACAAAGATGGCCATGCTTATGTCACACATAGAGGTTGAATTATGTAGGATGTGATGTGCTGGAAAAGGGATGATACCCCCCTGCATCAATCTTTGCCCGCCACGCAGAACACCCCTCTCAGGTCCGCCAGAAGTAGTCTATTCCAACGCCGATGTCTTGTGTCTTGCAAGTTTTATCAGCTCATTATTTCTAGAAATCTGAGAACATGAGACTATCCCAACCTGATCCTGCCGAACTCAAGAATGGCAAAGACAATGCAAACCAAGGAACATTGATCAAGCCACGCAAGACCGAAGATCGAGACTTTCTTCAATCACCATCGCCTTCCATACTGTCAGGGCCCGAGAAAGTCCTGTCTATTATCATTGTCACCACCATGACTTTCCTGGGCCCAGCACCGATGAGCATCTACTTTCCCATCCTGGGCAGTCTGTCTCGAGATCTGCAGGTCTCCCCCAGTGAAATGAGCCTTACAATCACTGTGTATGTGGTACCATACCACTATATCTCTTACATAGTATTAAGAGCAACCGGTTCACACCTTTTAGATTACACAAGCCCTCTTTTCCCTGCTAACGGCAAGTTTCTCGGACCAACTTGGACGTCGACCGGTCTTCATCGTCCGCCTGACAGCTTCTTTGGGGGCCAACCTTGGCCTCGCATGGCAGACCAGCTTCACCGCACTTATGGCGCTACGCTGTCTGCAGAGCTTTGGCAGTAGCAGTCTGTCCGTGGTGAGCATCGCCACCATGACGGATATCATCACCCGTGCTGGGCGTGCGAAGTACCGTATCTACACCTCCTCGGGCTACACCCTGGCCAGCTTGCTTGGATCGGTCACAGGCGGCCTCCTCGCACAGTTTATCGGGTGGCAAAGTGTGTTCTGGTTCCTAGCAATATATGCCGGGGTCATGCTGTTTATCACCCTGGTATTCCTGCGCGAGTCGTGCCGCGCGGTGGTCCGCGACGGGAGCGCGCCTCCCCAGCGCTAGAATCGGGCTCTGGTTGACTAGCTGTATCCCCTTGAATACTGTCAAGTATCGACCCCTCAACCTCCCTCAACGCTTGGACAGGGGGTTCTCGATACAATCAGACTCCTCGGCAGCTGGCAGACAGGTCTGTTGGTAGCATTCCAGGCCGTCCTCTTCTGTGGCACCATGGCTATCTTCGCCAACATCCCGCTGCTTTTCGAGCGCCAATATGGCTTCCAGGCCTGGCAGGTCGGGCTAGTCTACGTGCCCTATGCTGCTGGAGGATTTGCCGCGTGCTGGATAGTCAGCCCTCTCACGGCAAGGAATGTTCGGCGATACCGGTGCCTTGTCGGCGCGGAAAGCATGGATCACCGCCCCCAGGACTTCCCTTTTGAGCGTGCCTGTCTGGAGGTCATCCTCCCTCTAGTCTACCTGGCCTGTGCTTGGAAGAATATGTCTCTTTATGGGGAACGAGTCGACAGAGGATAGGACTGTGAGCTTATACTGTTTTTGAAATTTGGGTACGACGGAATTGACTAGAATTTGGATTATTTTAGAATTGCCTTTGGACATCCGGTGTCGGGAACGACTGTCAAGCTTTCCCAAGGGGATCATGGGGAGCTGCTGATCAAAAGCCCAGCAGTATTCTCGCAGTATGTACCATCGTTGAGTATGCTATACCAAACAGCCGTCTAACACAGACCGAAGCTATCTGAACGACCTCGCTGCTACAAAAGCCGCATTTACAGACGACGGGTTCTACCGAACAGGTGATCTGGTGTCGCGGGAAGACACTAAATATTTCTTCCATGGTCGCGCCTCAACAGACTGTGAGTGACCATCGGCCCACAAGTCATATTCACGACGGTATATTCTCACACGCTCGCAGTCATAAAATACTACGGCTATAGGATTCCCATATCCGCCCTCGAACAGAAGCTCAACGAGCTCCCGGGGATGAGGGAAGGGTACATCCTCGCCATGCCAGACGTAAACTGTGGTTACCGCGCCGCAGCCCTGATTCGACTCACCCAGGATGCCGATGCTGACCTTCAAACAGCCACATTTGCGCGCACAATTGGTGGGTGACAAGATAGCCGCATTTATTCTGCCCACAGCTTTGCGATTTTTGCAGGCGGAGGAGACTATCCCGCGCACAGTATCGGGCAAAATTATTCGCCGAGACGCTGTAATGCGGTTTTTTCCTATGGACCAGGATGGACGCAGCCCGGCGGCGGTACAGGTGTTCATGGCGCAACCGTCGGCATGTCGGGCTAGCGCCACGCAGGCGTGGGATTGGGCTGGGGCGCCAATGGTGTGAGGATCGACCAAGTGCTTGACTTTTTCGCGTCCTCTTGAGCTAGAAAAACCAATACTCGGACCCTTGATGCTTACTTAGGGACCGGCAATAGAGCTTACCTCAAGGCCCATGAAAGGGTATTGTTGCAATCTAATTAGAAGATTTTAACCACTTCTTCTTTGAGAAATAAACATGAAAGTGGAGGATAAATAGAGATTCGACGCATACACTGTGACCTGAACTCAACGAAGTTGGGCAGAGGCAACAGCTTAACTAAGCATCAAAGGCCAGAACACTTAGGGTTTAGGGGTTAACAGAGTATACTCGAAAGCCACCAAAAAAGCAAACATAATCCACGATCGATAGCCCATGTTATCGTACATATTAGAATTAAACATGCTAGTCTATCGCCTCGTAACTGTGACCTGTCATTTCGGTACAATATGCATGATGCCTGCCAAACCACGGCACAGCGTATCTCCTTGCAGGCTACCATGCGCCACCGCTATCTATATTTCAGCTAGCCACTATACTATGTCTCTAGTATCTCTAGAGCCAGTAAATACAGATCACATTAGCCCAGCACCTCTCTCATTCTCTCCCGTAACGCCTCCAAATCCAAATAGACAGTGAAGAACCTAATCTGGCTCTCGCTGACCCCCTTGCCAAACACTGCAAGGCCCTGTGCTTCAATCTGCCGCTGCTCAGGATCCCCCTTGACGATATAGGTGACCGTGGCTTCTTGATAGATGCGCTCCTGCGTGACATCAACATGGCGTACAGTATGTCTCATGCTCTCGAGCCGGGCAAACTGGTTTCGGAAATGCGCGATGATGGCCGCGTGTCCATGTACTGGTGGCTGGCCGAGGAATTGCATTGTACAGTCGGGGGCATAGAAAGTCTCAACCCATAATTCAGGAGAGAGAGAGTCGCCCATGCGGTGGAAGGATTGGAGCCATTCATGCGCAGCAGCTGTTGCCGGTGCTTCTGTTGATGGATTGTTCATGATTAAAGCTTTGATTTGAGGGCTGAATTGAGGGAGAAAGGTTGGTGGTATAGATAGAAACATCTTGGAAGAGACTGGTTGAAAGTGCTGGTCATGGCAAGCCCCTTTGTGATGGTCTACTGTACTGTACGGATAGTCTATTTCCCAGAGCCCAGAGCCTTGGTCCATGCAATATAAAATCGATAGCGTAATGTGCCTAAGACCGGAGACAAGACCATCAAATGCATGGCGGCCTGCATTGAGGGAGATATTCTGTATTCTTGATAAGGTGCGTCGTCCACACCAATCGTACATCCTGCCTGCATACGGCTCTAATGGCGATTCATATGCATAATATCTCTGGGTCTCACCCCTCACATAAATTTCAAGAAGCCATGGAAAAACCGAGCATCTTGATCTTTCTGTCAATTCTCCCAAATGAAAACGGTCAACGTCCTAATCAAAAATGATATTTCGCTCGCGACTGTCGCTTCCTCCGGTTCCCGAATCTGACGTGTTCAACTACATCTTTCATCGCAGCCGGCGAGACTACCCTCGCGGCCGTGTGCTCTACCGCGTTGATGGAACCAATGAACAGTTGACCCTGGCTGAGTTGGAGGCTCAGAGTCGACGTTTGGCTCGTGCCCTCCACGCTAACTATAGCATCAAACCAGAAGATGTTGTCGCCATCTTTGCCTGTGACAAGGTAGAATCCTTGCAAACTTCTCTAGATAGTTTCTTTTGTCTAACGGCCATCAGATCCAGTATCCTATCGCATACTTTGGGGCGCTGGCGGCGGGTGCTACTGTTGCCCTGGTCCCCGTGCAAGCATCTACTGCCGCCAGCGACATCGCCCGTCATCTGAAACAGACCAACGCCCAACTGCTCATCACCGATACTGATGTGCTTTCCCTGGCCGAGGCCGCATCCGCCCTGCTAGAGAAGCAAGACCTGCCCCTGGTCACCCTCGACGAAACTGCCAGCAGTCAGTATCCCTCCATCGCTGCCCTCATCACCACAATCACGAGCAACTGCCACGACAACATCTTCAACCTGCATACCCATGAAGCAGCTGACACCCATACCGCCTTCATAAACCGCACAAGCGGCTCAACCGGCAACATGAAATGTGTTCTAGTCAGCCACGCACACTTCATCGCCACCCTTGAAGGCACACGCGCGACCATTCCGGCCAACACTTGTCCCGACACAGATACCTGGATTTCCCCACTATCACTCGGCTACTTCATCAACGCGAAGTTGAATATGGGGCTGAATATCGTCCTGGGAATCCCGGTCATCCTAGTACCCTCAAAGCCAGACCTCGACGCCACATCAGCCGTAGACCTCATCTCCCGCCACCAAATCACCTTCCTGTTCGTCACGCCTCCGCTAGCAGCACAGCTTGCGCGCTTTGACACATCATCGTCACAGACAAAGTCAATAAAGTGGCTGCTTTCCGCCGGTGCCCCAATCCATGAAAATCTTCGGGCGGCGGTATCCCATCGTTTCCACAATATCCCACTGAGTCTTGAACTCGGCACTGCTGAAACGATGCTGGTCTGTATTCAGTTTGACGAGGACTCTCGCGCCCCTGGGTCAACGGGTACCCTTGTGAGTGGAACAGAGGCCAAAATCCTTGACCTAGCAACGGGACTGGAGCAGAAGGGACCGGGCCCCCAAAACGCGGGCGAGCTCCTTATCCGCAACTGCCTCGCTCGGTACCGGGGATATCAGAACGATGCAGTAGCGAATTCCGCTGCATTCGATTCCGAGGGATGGTTTCACACGGGGGACTTTGGATACCTAGATGAGAAGGGGAATGTGTATGTCGTGGATCGGATCAAAGAGATGATCAAGGTAGGCGGGGGATACGGGGTGCACGTGTCAGCAGCGGAGCTCGAGGCGGTATTGTTTACTCATCAAGCTGTTGGAAGTGTGGTAGTTTTGGGAGTACGCGAGGAGCGGAATCAAAGGGATTTGCCGACAGCTTTTGTAGTGCCCAAGGGCAGTGAACAGGGGAGGGACATGGGGGAGTTGCAGCAGGCCATTGAGAGGTTTGCGGAGGAGAGGCTCACCGGCTTGCAGAAATTGACTGGGGGTGTTTATTGTCTTTCTGAGTTGCCCCGTAAGGGATTCAAGGTTGATCGGTCAGCTTTGAGAGAATTGGCCAAGGTATAGTTAGTTGATTGAACTTTTACTTCGACATTTTGATGTTGAAACTCGGACCCTCTACCTCTTGCAACTACAACTATACTAAAATAACCTATCGATTATATATGGATACAGCTCTATCCGTCCCTTTTTAGGAAGTAAAGGTTACAAACAAAGGGTAGATAGATATACAGGTCTCAAAAAGGCGGTTGAAAACTGGGACACGCTGCCAGAGGTGGATTAAGTTTGAACGATATATCTAGCATGCATGAATAGAACCAAAATGATTATCTATCTAGCAAGGCCCAACCAAAGCGGTCAGAATGATATCTGCTTAAATGCCGCCCCAATCCCACACCCGTCTGGTTACCATCTCCTCCAACTCTATGTCCCAAACCTCAACCTTGCCTGATAACCCTCTAGCTTCCCTAGGGAAAAATCTCTGCATGGCAGTATTGCGTGACAACTTTCCCTCTGGACTACGTGGCAGCTCCTCATCACTATCCACCACACGCAACGCCGTCGGCAATTTGTACATAGCCAGCACTGTAGCCAAATCCTTCCGCAACTTCCCCAGTGTCAAGGATGTTTCTCTTGCAGCTAAAAGCACAAGCGCGCCGACGCGGTGACCGTATCGGTTGTCTGGTATGCTAAGCACGTATGCCTCTAGGATGTAAGGCAGGTCGCATAGCTGCGATTCGACCTCGTAGACTGAGACGCGGAGCCCGTTGAACCGGACAACTACGCCACTGATCAGTCGGTTCCTCGAAATAGGAAAGCACGGGTAAAAAGACAAGAGAATAAGGTAACTTACAATCGGCCGATGCACGGCCGTCAAAGACGAACATACCCTGGGCATCTTGGTGGACAAGATCTCCCGTACGATAGAAGCCGTCGGCATCGAATGCCGCATGCGTGCGTTCTTCGTCGTCGATGTATCTGCCATGGTCAGACTAAATCTTGCTGGCCACGACATAATGTGCGAGGATTTACCCGATCATCACCGTCGGGCTCTTGATCAGCAACTCCCCATGCTGGCCCTCCGTCAACCTGACTTCAGTCCCAGCCAACGGACGCCCAATAATTGGCTACATTGATCAGTTAGTCCGTTCATAAATGAGTGACTCTAATTCAGATCACCGGAATGCTTACCTTCAACGCCGCGCTCTCACTGGAGAACCGAAACACCATCGCCTCCCTTCCCAATTCGGACGCCCCATACTTAACTGTCCACTCCTTCTTCCCCCGTAAGCGTAACCAGAACCGCTTCGCAGCAGGCAAGGGCATCCCGCCCCCGAACCACACGACTCGAAGATTCCGAACGCCCTCATCATAGAGGATACGCTCATTCTCAGGTAGGGCTCGCAGCCTCTCCTCATAATGCGTCATCAGCACCTGCCAGAAGCGAGTAGCACCCGCTAGCACGGTAACTCCACCACAGCGGAGCCGCTCCCAGATCGGTGCTGGCTGGATACCACCAGGGAAGAGCTCAATGCGCGCGCAGACATACACCAGATCGCTTAGATTCAGGACTCCGGGTAAACCATTGACGGCACGGTAGACGATGGCGGTATCGTCGGCGGTGCAGTCGGGGTCAACGTGCGGGAAGAAAAGTTGGCGAGGTAAGATAGCGCCCTTGGGAGGACCAGTTGTTCCTGATGTGAAGAGAAGGAGGCCTGGCTGAGTGGAGGGGAAAGTTAGGGTTGGGTCAATCTGGGGTAATGCGAAGGATGGGTTTGGGGGATGTTGAATTGAAATCACGGGGATGAGAGGATCCGTTGGTTGCTGGGACTGGATTTGGGAGGCAAGAGAAATATGCTCTTGCTGAGCGAGCAAGCAGATGGCGTTGCATTTCTTCACGAGCCAGTCGCCTTCTTCGGGGAGAACTTTGGTTGCTTTAAAAGGTTAGACGATTATAAGGATGGGGCATCAACCGCCTACATAATGGTACGGCTGCAGCACCTAGGGCGACGACGGCGTATAAGCCAACGATAAAATCGTAGCTGAGGGAAGCGAGGATAGCTATGTAGACTCCTGGAGTCTGGAGTCTTCCCTGGGAGTTCAAAAGGTTTTGGGGTAACTGAGAGAGGACTTCCTCCTTGAAGGCCACGACATCGCGAAGGAATTGAGCTGTGGTGGCATCCTTATTATGGGCTGGATCATGTATCAAGATGTTTGGGTTAACTTGGGCGTTATGGAGCAGCTGTTTGAACAGGGCGTCATTGGGGAGACTGGCTGCTTTGGGGCTAGGAAGACGCATGATGAAGGGAGCTGTTTCACGGTTTGCTGAGAAGGAAGATAGGGAGAAAAAACCAGAAAGAAATATGAATGCAGCTCCTAGATCAACCAGGAATCTGGTGGCGCCGAGATTCACCAAGGTACGATCTATCGAAGTGTATATTTTGTGATCTCTCGAAGACAACCTATGACTCGTCATATTTCTACAGATCTTAAGATTTACCTGAAGTAGCGGTAAGCAATCCTCAGAAGAAGCAAAAGGACGACAAAGACTGACACTGTTGCTACTCCGTGAATCACTCATTTTATATCCGCCTTACCACAGTGTGGTCCGTATAGGCGCTTTCCACCATGAGCTTCCCCAACGAGCCCTTCTTCCGACGTCTGGTTGAATTTGCCAATGGCCCTACCCGTGACATTATCAGCGATGACATATCAGGCATTAAAATCACCTATCGACAGCTGCTGTCGGGGGTGCTTCGATTCCGGCAACTCCTTCAAGAGCGACTGCCTCAAACAGCCCTGGATAGCAGCGAAATGCTTCGCGAGCCTGTGTGTATAGGAATCCTCGCCCCAGCCAGCATAGAATTTGTTGTGGCGTTTCTGGCAATCTTGTCCCTCGGTGGTACCATTGCCCCATTATGTATCTCGCCTCAATCATTCTCCCTGAGAGAAATGTCCCGACTGACAAACATTCACAGCTACAGCCGAATCAGCCGAAGCAACCTGGGACCGCATCGCGAAATGCAACGCTGCATGTGTTTTATACAGCCCACAGCAAGCCGAACTCATGTGGTTCATTCGGCGCCGCGCTCTCCTCACCACCGGCAATGAAATTTGCTCCATTGCCATCAGCGCTCACGCCGGCAACACACCTCCAACTCTCCAATTTACCACAGATCAGCCGACTAATTTCCCATCCACGCGCACCGCGCTTCTGCTCTTTACCTCGGGAACTATGGGCCCGCCCAAAGGCGTCCTTCACTCGCGGAAGTTCTTCAACACCGACGTCGATCCCATTGGCGCCGAGGATGACGCCCTCCTCTTCACTCGAGCAGCAGGCTACATTGGTTCTATCCGCCTGATAGTCAACATGCTTCTGCGGGGTATTCGCATTGAGCTGTGGCCGTACCTGGTGGACGCGGACATGATCTGGGAACGTCTGCGACAAGGCGGAATTACCGTACTTCATCTATTGCCGACCACGTGGCGGAACCTGATGCTCGTGTACCGGGATAAGTTGAGTGTGCTCCCTCCCGTAGAGTGCGAAGAGTACTGCGCCGGAGCGCGCCAGCTGCGCGAAGTGACTGCTGGTGGGCAGGTGATGCTGCAGGAGGTCAAACTGTTTTGGCGAGATATGCTGGGTGGGCGATGCGTTAGTGTTATCTATGGCGGCACGGAGATGGGAATTTCACCATTCAAAGCGTTGGGAGACGATTCTCTCGTGAAGGTATGATTCGTGCTTTTTCGAATAAGAATGTTTATGAAAGGCTGACAGCGAGGGGCTAGCGAACTATCGGAAAGCCTGTACCCGGTGTAGACTTTAAGTTGAGTGAGGGCAGCAGAGGAGAGTTGCTTGTCAGGACTCCTGTGCTGTTTACCGGGTATTTTCCAAGTCACAAGTTGAACTTTTGCACTGCCTAATTAGCGTCTATAGATATCTGGAGAACCCCCAGGCAACAAGCAATGCCTTTGACAACGATGGATTCTTCCGCACCGGGGATATCATCAGCTACAACGGCAGCGTATATGAGATCGAAGGTCGGGCCGAATGTGACTGTAAGTGTTCTGGTAAAAAGCTTTACTCATAATTCTTGGGCTATGCCCAACTAATTTCTCCTGCTCAGTCATCCCAACCTTCGGTGGCAGGGTATTAGCGCCCAAGATCCGCAAAGCCCTCCTTGACATCCCAGGGGTGATGGAAGGGCACATCTTCGCGGTCCCAGACCCCAAGTACGTCAATCACGTCGCGGCTCTGGTGCGTCTACGGGGTGGTACCACCCTTTGCCAAGAGCGAGGCATGCTAAACCTAACGACTCTACGACGGGATCTGGCGCATTCACTCACAGAGCACGAGCTGCCGACTCTTCTCCGACTTGTGGGAGCCGGGGAGGAGATTCCCCAGGGTGTATCGGGGAAGCTTTTGTACCAGAAAGCGCGCGAGATGTATTTCCCCCTAGGCTCCGCATATCTACCTGAGGTCCAGAGGCTTTGAGTGATTTGGTGAGCTTGTAGCTATCATTTATGTAGAGGGGCGACACACACTCCTGTTAATGATGTAATTCTCAAAATTATTATCAAAGGCAAGGGTAAGGGGAAGTCCAATATAGGAATACGACTAGAAATACGAATGGTATCAAGAATCAAAATCTTCCAAAAATGCTCCAAAACCAACTTCAAGAGGAAAGAGTCGAAGAGTCGACTGTGAAGTTAGTGCTACGTTGTCAGAAAGTTAGTCAAGATTCTCTCAGTTTTCGTCTTGCATTCCTCTCAGCATCCACTGCCGTTCCAACAATTTTTGGACAGCTGAGAAATCAAGGCCTCCACCATCGTCTGCCTCACCATACGTGTGTTTGATGAAGCAGGGGCATGCTGATAGTCACTTCCATGTGTATGTTGGGTGGAAATTGCCGATTAGTCGGAGATTGTGTTGAGCATGGCATCTAAAAGACGCTCAAGGATCTGTATTTAGTTCTCAAACGTACCTCTTTTAACTAAAATAAAACCTTGCAAAAGCCTCTCGGTATACTTGGGTATATTTATTCTAGAATCTGATATTCGAAGTTCACCTGCATACTTGAAGCAAGGGATGTTGACTTGAATGGTGGGGACCTGCTTTTGTGTCAAATATCCCCTGTTTAATCTGAGGGTATAAAAGCGGAATGGTCCCAGTTTGACTATTACCATCAAGTTCAAATTTTCTAGCTGCAGCACCAGCAAAATGTGGGAATACTACGAAGGAAAAGTCATCCTTATTACCGGAGGCTCCGGTTTCCTAGGCACAACTCTGGTCTACAGAATTTTGCAAAAGGCCCCCTGTTCCCATATCTTCTTGCTCTATAGAAGAAATCTCTCGTACGTGCCTTATCCTTTGTTATGCTGGTGATAACTTAACTGACTTGGCGGTCTGCAAGGAACCTTCGTGAAGTATGGAATCAATGGCTACCGGAAGAGATCGTTCTCAAAATGCTAGATCCAAAAAGAGTCACCATATTAGATGGTGATATTACAAAGCCCGAGTGTGGATTGCTTGTGAGCAATATCAACATGTTAAGGGATAAAGTCAACATCGTCGTGCATTGTGCTTCTTCCATCAACCTGGTACATCCGTTGGGGAGAATTTCTCAGAACATCATTGGTGCGACTGAGTGGTTGGCCAATTTCGCACTGCAGCTCACAAACCTAGAGCGCTTTGTCTATGTCTCAACCGCATATACCAATACTCACCTCTTCCATGCGACACCCGAAGGGGATGTTCGAGTGAAAGAACAAATTTACCAGCTTTCCGCTACGCCAAATGTGCAGCTGGAATGGAGCGAGGTGCAGAAGAAGGGTTCAAGTGTTGAATATCAATCGAACAATTTTCCATGGGCGTATGCATACGCAAAACAATTGACTGAGCGGCTACTCTACGATATATTTTCTTGCACCGGAAGTTCGCATAAGCTTCTCATTCTGCGACCGTCTATTATTGGCCCTGCGCAGAAGTACCCGTATCCTGGGTTCAGCTTCCCGCTTTCCACCCCTATGACAATATTCACTGCAGCAACCGCATTGTGGCCGACCTTATGGGCACGAATTTCCACCCGGTACGAAAGACCCGAGACAGAGGCGACAAATGATGAAGTGCCAGTGGATGTAGTCGTCGACCGTCTCCTAACCCACTTAGCTTTTGGGACAACCGGTCCTGTTCATGCTGTCAGCGGGGGTCATGCTCGCCGTAAGCTTCATGACGTGTGGACTGAGGTATGCCAGTTTCGACGATGGCCATGGGTTCCCCGCGTTGAATGGTTGGCGGATGATTGGCATTCTGACAAACAACATTTTGTTGTGCGTCAATATGTGATTTTGGGAACTTCGTTCTTGTTCTCTGACGACAAAACGACAACTTTGAGAGACAATTCAATTGATAGAGACCTGCAAGGGCTTGAGCTTTTCACTCTCTCTGAGCGCCCGTCGCCTGATAGCTCCCTCAAAAAGCACCAAATATGGCACTGCATGGAGCGGATTGGAAGAAGAAATCTCATGGCTCGGTGGATGACGGTATTGTTGTATCGGTCATATAGGCTCAAGGATCTCAAGAGGGATATCGTGAGAAGATGTACTTGTTCTTAAAAGAATGCGAAAACCTGATCCCGAGCTTCTTTTGCCCCTTGAATCCAATATCGCTACCCGAGAATGTAATATGTGAATATAGAGTCTTCCTTCTATTCTAGCTGTGCTTTTCGTAAAAACGGAACTCAGGCTTGCTTAACAACTCTTTCAGAGCCGCGCATACCCCTTTTGGGAAGGCGTTGGAACTGAAGGATCACGTACATGTTCAAGCCATCGCCAGACCTCTCTATGGAGTGAGCCATGAATGCAGAACCCAGATTTTTCTTTGTCTTTGGTGGTAATAATCAAGTCATGGTACTCCCATCCAAGATATGCAAAAAGATCTATCACTGGTACATGGAAATCTGCATAGTAGGGCTTGACCCCGGGCCCAAATGATATATCATACCAGTCTTGATGCGCTGAAGAGGAAACTTGGATATTGGGGCGGTTTGGGTTAAGATTGGCCGGATGCAACGGTTGTTGGGGTCCCATCGATTCATATCTCTCACGGAAGAGCTCTAAGCATTCAGGGCTACGCGCGGCGCGAACAGCATGGCGGATTTGAATCGCTAGCATGATGAGCTGGTCATCACCATGAGTCATCTCAATTCCCTGCGCCAGGGGAATTGATATTGGCCAGAAAGTGTTATGCAGTGGTGCCGACTTTTCTAGATGATGGTTGAAGTTGTAGATAAAGCCTATAGGTGTAGGAGACAAGCCTGGGAACGCTTTAATAGTGGCCTATGGGGAGCATTAGCCACTGTTCAATAAATTGTAATTGGTGAAGTTTTTGTACCTGCGCAATCATTGCCATGAGGAGGTCGTGCCTTGTCACGTGGACCTTTTGCTTCCTGGCGAGGTCATCCAGCCGATCCAGAATAGGGCTAGCAACGTGCATAGTTCGAAGTGATCGCTGACCTCGAGAACAGACTCGATAAAACCATTGAGCTGCGCCATATAGAAGCATTCTGCTCACACCCGTGGCCCATTGTTGACATGACGCATGATACAACTGCTCAGAGAGCGGATCAGGAGATACAGGTCCCCGCTTGGGTGCCTGAAACTGAATCTTAGATGGTCGTGTCTCCTCAATGGGCTCAATTGTCTCACCCCGAAGTAGAGAGGCAAACGCAGACACAATACGATGAACACCTTTGTAGGGATAAGCAAATTGGGAAACTGAGCCCAGTGGAGGACGGCACGTTACCTGCACCATCGCAAAATACATGCTGGACGGTGAACTTCAAAAGACACCCATCTTGGAAATGTACAACTTGCAAACGAAATACAGGAGGAAAGATCTGGGACTTCAATGACTGAGAAAATTGAATTATTTCGTCCAAATTCCGTCGTTCCCCCTCGCTGAGGTCTTCCTTGGCTAAGCAGTCGATGGGGATATATTCGGCCAACGGGGCGTCCACAGTCTTGGACTGCCAGTGCATCCTGGTGTCATCCGTTGGAAAGGCACTGGTACGCTATAAGATCATTAACTAGGCATTGAGATAGCATTTGCAGGGGAAATTACTTGCCGAAAAATTTATATTTCTTTGGAGTATTGGCCAGGCCAACAAGAGTTGGTCAAAAGCATCTTTTAGGCGAAATGGCTCTATTTTTACCCGGAAAACATATAACGCAAATGCCTGCAGGAATCGAGGACCAGCAGTGTCAACACAGTGGAAGATCATTTCAAAAGACCTCACGTAGTACTGCTTCCAACAAATATAATGCTTTCAACAATTATTGAAGATGGATTGGGGGGTGGGGGTACATATTACTTACGAGTTCAAGTGCAGATTGGTCAGACAGACCATACCACAATTTCCGATCGATCGATACCCGAACCCTTGCATTAAGCTGTGCAATTGATGCACAAGCTTTTCAATTCCTTGCATGAAGTAGACAATAGATTTACATGCTATGGCATCATCCCTTGCAGCATTGGGAATTGCCATCACATTCCTTCTTCGGTCAGCTCCTAATTTAAATCCACACAGACCGCTAATTGTGTGCACTAGAGCATTACTTTTAACGAGTATCTTTCAGTCACAGGAATTCCACCGCTCTGTCAAACTTTATCACGTTCAACCCTTCTCATTCTTTCCACCCTGCTTCCCGACATGCGAATATATCGGTTTTCAATTATACTTGCCACGGGCTCTAGTGTCTTTCCAATAGTGGGTGCTGTTTTGGGTACCTCTTGCGTTGGTCTTGCCGGAGTCATGAAGAAAGTTCCTGGTCTTTTCGTGGAACACTCCCAGAAGATCGTGTGTGACGCTGGCTGTGAGCCGAAATTGGACCTCTGGGACAAATTCACAAAGCCAGAGGTTATTGAACCTCTAGTTGCTGATGGGGCTGCCTACTGCGGAGTTCCAGAGGCCAAGGACGCGGCTGTTGCGGCATTTGATAAGTTCTTTCAAGCAATTAAGACCGCTTGTGGGGACAAACTAGGAGCTAGCCATCTGTGTGACCACCCCGAGCAATTGCAACCTTTCATGGACTGCGTTCAGGGAAACGCATTCTCGACCGCGATCACTTCTCTATCCACTCTGATTCCATACATGTCCGAGGGCATGTGTAACAGTATGAAAGAGTATCTCATGAGCAATCAGCTATGGGACCAAGATTTCCCAAAACATGGCAGCAAATATGTCCACCAATGCCATGAGTTATGATAGTGAGGCATTTACATTGGTGAACCTAGATTGTAAGTCTCCAGCAAGCACTGGCAATTTACATTACAAACAAGGACTAACAATGGCTAGGCCCAATTTCTCTCGACCAATTTACTGCTTTGATGCTCCCGAGAAACGCTCAGATGGCAGAGTGATGGCAAATGAATGATGCAGAAATTGAGCAGAGCAATTCTTGGGAACCTTTGCCGCAAGGCTACGGCCTGGTCCAGGTAGAAAACAAACATTGAAATGGGAATGGCTCGATGGCAGTCTGGCATAGCAGACAGGCCGATATCATAGAAGGAAGACCTTGAAACACTCCCAGGCCATGCGTATCGCTCTCGAGAATGTGTGTCGCATTCACCCCGCTATTACTTCATGTAGAATGAATCTGATGAATGAAAGTAAGGTGCATTCTCTACTGCTCTATTGTCTAAGTTCTAGCAGTATCAAGAAGACTGAATGCTAGATCAGCGGCCAGTTCGCGGACTGAACCACTCCCAATCACCTATCCGTGACTACATTCCCCTAGAATGGACGCTCTTGATAATGAGGATGAGAGAACCACACAAACTATATGGCCAGAACCTGCCAACAAAAACAAGCCCTCGCCGGGGACTAGCAAGCCACCTCGGGAGGAGTTCTCGAAGACAACGTAAATCATGATACACCGATACACTTGCACAATGGAAATACCATGGCTGGTTAGCACATTCCTGGTTTTTCGGTTTTAAGGAGTGACGGCGAAGGGTTTCTAGGTTTGATATCGAAATCCATTCCGCGGTTGATGTAAATGCAAAATTCAATTTTTGTCTATATTCTGTTCATTTTCCAATAGCTAGAGATAGACCTTTCATAGCTCTTTTGATTAGAAATTGTTTAGTGCGGTAATATAGTCTTTTCAAAGGCCAAAAATTGCCAGTGATCCCACAGTGTATCAATTTGTGAAAGCCGCTGAACCCCCAAAGGGGCCAGAAATGGCATTGTTTCTGACCCGCACAATGCAGACATTTTTGGTGTTACCAACAATGCCGGTGCACTTTGTTCCAGAGGGCAGTCTAACTTTGACCTCAAAATCCATGGTGCTGGAGGTTGAAAATCCCGCGACTCCGGGAATGTTTTGGATAACGCTGGCTGGTTTAAATACGTTGGAGTCGGTGCCTCCACTCGTTGCGTCGATATCTGCCGACAAAGGACCTGCGCCGTCTTGATTTACCTATGTGTTGAGATAGTAAGCAATGAGCAGTTAAAGTAGCTTCGCAACCTGTGACGAACCTGGTGATAAATCATCGTGATGACTCCCTCGTCAGAAGCAGAAGGCAGTCCACTGACAGAACCTTTGCCAGAGTAAATCTCAAGTCCGTTTTCTACAGTACCACTGGGCGTAACTGCACCAGATTTTGCCCCTGGCAAAGCGCCTGCCACATCATCAACAGCCGATTGCGCGCCTGTTTGGTCTTATCAGTCTCAAATTTTCGTATATCAAGGAGGGCGGGTTTACCCTTGATAGCACCACTTAAAGGCGTTTTATCGGCAAGATCCTGCGCGCCTAGAAAAAAGTTAGTTACCTTTCTTTTCTTTTCAGGCGGGATAGAGAAAACATCTTAATACGGACCATTGAGAACAGCTCCACCAGCATTAGTGACAATACTAGCCGCGTCATTAATCAGTTGGCGAGCTATGAGAAACATTAGTCCCTAGTATGGGATTCAAAATGGAAAAGAGTCAGAGACCTTGAAGGAATTGGCGGGTGTGAACTCGTGTCCCGGTATTAGGTGTCATGAAATTCTCGATCACCCTCTTAGGGTCCACAGGGCCTGAAATTAAAGTGCGACCCAAGGCCGATGCTTTGATGCTTCCCATCTCCTGATCTCGAATCACTGCGGTATCTTTCTGTCCGCCGCACGCAGCAGAGGGACAATCGCGTGGGACACCGTCGACAACTAGAGTCAAACAATTAACCAAATTCAAATTCTAAAGATTTAAGATTCCCTGGATAGCCTATTACCTGTTAGGCCTGGCATCTCAATGCCGTTCGCTCCAATGATGCGGGTAATGAGGCCGTGCGAAGCAACCTGAGTAGAAGCCAGCAATATGAGAGATAAGAATTTGGTGAGCATCATGATTGATGGCAGGAGATGAAGGCCGGGAAGCTGAATCAAAATTCTTTAAGGATATAGGGAAAGCAAACGAGTATAACATTCCACGTCTGCTATTTATATTTGATTTAAAGCTCTTCTTTAGATTTAGTTCTTCTCCAGACCTCGGCAGGTCTCATTGTGAAACAATAGATTTGTCAAACTCATCACAGCTTCATCCTGAAACTGGATGTCTTGGTACTGACTGCTCTACGCATGTTTAAAGCAAGAATTGTCGCATTGCATGTGAATGTCTGAATTTATATCCGTCTTCTGTTTCTGGGAGAAAGTCAGATCTAAGAATAATATTAAGTTTGCATGGCATTGTTAGAGGGTGAGACTAGCAGGCCTAGCTCCAAGCACTAACTTAGTTTGTTTCACTATCTCAAAATTACCCAGTAGGATCCCGACGGCCAAAAAGCTGAATTTTGGTGTCAATTGACTTAATATATATTCATGGGTAAGTAGCATCGAGCAAACCCTGCATGACTTCATTAGTCTTGAGCTGCTGATCGAGATCGTCAACTTTTTGTGGCTTGGTTTATTTGTAGATCACGCTAAGCTATATTAGGCCATCACATGATTCCCAGATGGACCCTGTTTTCAAGTGCTTTTTTAAACTTACGTTTCACTACCCAGGTTTACCATTTAAAAAACAGGCTGCGTCTAAGATTCATGTGAAGGCCTAAAGGGGATTAGCCCTCGGTACAAACTAACTTCGCCACCTTTACTTCGTAAAGGGCGAGCAATGGACAGAATCCTTCTGCGTCTTGCCCGTTGTGGTGAAATGACTCCGAAGAACGACAAGTCTGATCAAGCACATGTACATCTTCACTTCCTTGATACATGAAGACCACGGCACCTTCAGAGATCGAAGTTAGCCCATCGGAGGCCACATATCTTGAAGTTCGCTTGTGACGCCAATAGTTGGCTCAGGAATGAATATGTGGAACACGCCGATCATTTTGTCGAAATCCTTGCCGGACGTCTTCCTGACTTTGTGCCAACCCTCGTGTCTGTTGGACCGTCGCGCTTGTATCTGTTATAGCGACAGCGGTCGCATGGGTTGGACGAGTATCATCTAGCGCATTGGACTTGATATGGTCATCAAAGTGGTCATTGGAATCGGGGATCCCTGTTCTGCACTGGAACTTTATGGAGTTGTGGAGATCGCCTTACTTCGATCGCTGATCTTTCGCCAGAACGCAGGCAGGGCCGTCCGACGCCATGGGTCTCTATTGCCAGTGTAAGTAGAGTGCGGTCGACGGGTGATAGGTGTAAAAGACATGGCGGGGAAGCGAAGAAAGCCTTATACAGAGAAAATTCTACCCAACTGAAATCGCTAGGTCATCATTGCTCGGCGAATAGTGTCCGTGTTGCGGAAAGGATACGTAAAACTCGCTCGAGGTGAGCCGCAAGATGTCATGATGTCGATGCTAACTGCCTGCTCACCACGACCAACTTATTGAAACATCAAGTGGTTTTTCTTCGAGTGATGTCTCTGGAGACGTCTAGGTCGGGACTAGCCGCATGTCATCCTGAGAGAGAATCTGTATCTACGCGTATATCCCGAGTAAGGTAAAGCCTCGTGACGGTTACCTAGTGGACTTAAATGGAGTACCAATCGACTTCTGGTTTACGTTCCCAGCTAGCTAGTCTGAAGAGAAACAGTGCTTGATACGTGAAGCGATCTAGAAGGCAGGGTTTGGATCAACCCCTCTGCATCGGATATGGACTACAACAGAACCTGAAGCTGCTGCTCTTGCTATTTTCAATAGCAGAAAATTCAATTTCGAGGTAAGTCAAAATACTAGCAATAGTGATTCGTCAACTGAACATTTTATTCACTGAATTCTTAGCCTCGTGATGGAGTTCTAATCTGTGATTGTGGAGGCGGTACAGTGGTAAGGCCCCGCGATATATTATTTGCACTTGATGATCTCACACTATGACTAGGACATTGTAACATACTATGTCGCGGATATTGACACAACACTTTGTCTCGATCGGATTACCACAGCTACAGGTATGATGTACAAAATCAAGGTATAACTAGCTAAAAGACTTAATTACTAATAGATTACAGGAGCTCAGTGCGGTGGAACTGCTATTGATAGCAGATTTTATCAACTACTCTCTACTGAGCTAGATGGAGCATTTGAAACCCTGCTGTTTAGTGATATTAGACTAGGGAGCTCGTTCATGAACGGTTACACACTTGATAATTATGTTCTTGGCCCACAAGGCCCTCAGGGAGATCAAATATGAGAGATACCGTAATTTGCGGCTCGGTACAATAACCGTTAAGGTTAATCGTTTCGACGAAGCATTTTGTAACATTAGTACTATACAAGGGACCTTATCCACCACGTCGTGGTCGACCACGACCACGACGACCAGACGGTGTTCTGATCCTCTCCTCCTTATCTTGCCATACACGCCTTTTATCCAACATCATTTGCCGCGGCGTTCTACCCTGTGTATTGGGTTGATCCATCAAAGTGTCCTCGCCCCCAGCCGCTTCGTGTAAAACACGAATCATCTCATCCTGTGCTCGTATCTTCTCAACAGAGGACCGCACTAGGGGAATATCGCCACCCCCTATGCACTGGTGAAACACCGTGTTCCCTTGGATATTAACAGCATTAAAATCAGCCCCATGACAAAGCAGGACCTTCACTGCCTGCACCTGCTGTAAATTTCTGGACGCTAAGTGTAGAGCTGTTTGGCCATTCTTATCCACATGTCTCGGATCAGCACCGTGTGCTATCAAGAGTTCGAGCAAGGTAGTTTCATCATCACCGTTCATGCAGAGCGTGCAAAGTTTATGGAGAACGGTCTGATTATCGTTATCTTGCGCACTGACATCGGCGCCTGCGTCTAACAAGAACTTAGTTGCAAGCTCAATATGCTTGCTCCCACTACACGAGGCGTGGCGCGCAACCAAATGATGAAGCGGTGTCATTCCCTCAGAGTCTGGGGCGTTGACGGTGTCTGGTTTGCCATATAAAAGAACTTTGAATGTGTTGACTAATCGGAGAGCAACATCATCATCGGGGCGTGCACACTCACGCGCATCGAGACCTATGGCCGCCCAATGGATTGGTAGACGGCCATCGCTATCACGCGCTAGCACTAAGTCTGTGATCTCGCGATCATCAAGCAACGCTTGAATGCCGTCCGAATTCCAACCCAAACTGCCGATATGAAGCGCCGTGACATCCCACGGAGAGCATTCATTCTTCCCACAAAATGTCCAGTACCAATACCGCTGTTTATTGTGTACGTCGGCTCCTCCGCTAAGCAGTCGTTTAACCAATGGAGAGCTAGCGCGCAACATAGCCAACCCAAGAACGGTATGTTGAGGCTGTCTTGGCTGTATATCAGAGACTCGGTGTGGGAAAGAAGCATCTTGCGTAGGGGCACCTCGGTCGAGAAGAATATGCATCAGCTTCTCGCCTCGAGCGATACGATCGCGAATCCATTCTTCGGTGTCCGGATGTATTGACCCTAGGAAATTGAAAGAGCATGCAGCGGACATCAAAGCGGTAGTATCGTAAATTTCTCTATCATGAACCGTCCCAAACGGAGGCTGGCTATCCAAAAGGAAGAGTATAGTCTCGATTCTCGCGTAGTAGCAGGCTTGATTTAGCAGTGAGAACACCTGTTTTGCGGGTCCTGGTGTGCGCGAGAAGTCGCCAAATCGTTCTAGCATCCAGCGTAGCACATCAGTGCTCCCACAAGTGGCCGCAATCCAGAACGGATCCTCGCACAAAACTGGTCCAGGGTAGGGATATCCGGGAGACAAGGAAAAGTATTGGTCTAACATTGAGACGTCATTTTGTTCGATGATTGCGAAGAGGAGTCTATCTCCTTCGTTATCGTAGAGCGTGGAACCATCCCTATCGACAAGGGTCAATAGAGATCCGCGTGGGTGAGTATTGAGTCGAAATTTGCTGTACATCTTAGGTTGATGAAGAGGAAAGAGACACGGAGGGGAAAATCTATGGGTCAAATATATATTACCAGTTGTAATTTACGATTAATGGTGTTGTACATGCAGTTATTCAACTCAACACATAAAGTAGTATTTCCATTATTGGAAGACTTACCTAGTCCACTCTGATCTCGAGCTTTCATTTTTTTTTACAGATATTTACATATATTTTACTGTGGCATATATCATGCTCAACCGTGAGGACCGACCTGGTAGGGACAGTCAGGTGACCATTTGGGACGGTCATATGACATACCATACATATATTGTACATAGTCTAATTTCACCTAGCTATGGTTGGTTGTATACTTTACTACCCGTACTGGTATTTTCGGTCAGTACACAATCAACTGCGTGAGCCTAAGACCGGGTCCCTTCCGTTCCGCAGCCCGGTTAGACAATAGATGTTCTCCTCCCGGCAGGGGGCTGGTGAAATTTTGTAATAATAATGATGCCAACCTTGGAGTTAGCCTTGAGCATACTGTGTGAGATATTATAATACAGTGACGCAGCAAAAGTTTTAACACCCCAATAAAAGGTTCTGCTGGCAGTACGATGCTCGACCAGTGGAAGGTTAATTATGGCGAGCGGTATACCTATTTTAGAAGGCGGTATAGATAGGGGTGCTAAAACTTTTGCTGCATCACTGTATGTTGGAACTTATTGTCTTCCGTAACTTGCTCAGCCAATAAGGGCATTGAAATCTTTCATTTATTCCTTGCTATTTCTTGCTATCTATGCTATGCTCATCATTAGTTATCCGCTCATTCGGAGTTACTATAATTCCGGTTCTCAATCCGTATTCATGAATGCAGCACTGACATCTAATAAACACCGGGGAGCCTATGCTTATGCGCAAGAGATGTGGGAAGACAATTCCACATCCACGACAAAGCGCGAGTGGGATGATAGAATGAGGGTGCATTCAGCCAATGCTGACTCGGTGCGTTAAGACGAATATGATCCTATTAGACAGAAAGGTCTACACGGATCAATTGAACGTGCTGTACGTATATTCAATTTACTTGAGACTACAGTGACTTCCTGTCTCACATAAGCCCGTAATTCTATTGCAGAGAAAGCTTTCAGTGATTATGAATGGCACAGGAGCAAGATCCCCTATCTCGCAAGGACCAACCTTCATTTCCAAATACTCACACTTCCAGACCTTACGAACTTGATTGAGATGGCTCAGCTATTACCAGTTAGGCCTAAGTTACTATTTTCAAGAATGGCTTGGCGTCATCCTTGTATAATGCACATAGCGCAGGTAACCTCCACCTTTTCACTGACGACTTTTCCCTGAGCTGCGATTTAGCCAACAAAGCGTCCCTTGTATTACGGGACTAGTGTCAGATTCAGACTATGCTCGACCACAACGACCTTGTCCAGTGCCTGCTTCAGCTAGACTTGGAAGAACATACCTAAAGGACCGCGAACAGGCCAAGCTTTGTAGGAACCGAGTTATCCTCTTCCAGGTACCACGAATCGTAAATCAGACAGAGCCAAGACACGTCCTGGGCATGATAATAGTCAGCTTGTAACGTATTGATTTCAAAATGAAGAAATTGATATCAATTTTAGATATCATTGCCACCGGACTAAGCTATCTGCAGGCCCAATACTTTTTGAATCCAGATTCTATTCGCATTAAACATGCAGATCGGAAGAACCTGAGTTAATTGTCAATTCAACTATCGTGCATCAGATGGAGAGATGCGGAGATGCAGACATAGTGAATTCTCATGCCCGAATAACCTTGTTCGATCTTTAGACTTCACATCTCGGGTCGCGTGGGACAAGGAGACAGTGGTTGCGTAATATCAGAGAAGTGGCAGTCAGAGAAGCGGCAGTCATCTATCCACGTTAATATATATTCAATGGCCAGTAACACGTCCATGGAGGGTTGTTGGACAACCAACATTGTCGGGTTCAAGTATGGGAAGAGAGGACATATGGTTCGCATAAATTACTATGGGAGCTAACCGAAGGCTATTTCAGAATAGATGAATATGTACATAACGTCATTCCATTGACTTATAGCTCTATATGGGTAGATCGCCAGGCCATCAAGTGCCATTTGCGGGTTGCTTATAGACAACGCCGTCTATGACAGTAGTCAATGTACCATTTGCTTCAAAGATGTTTGCCTGAGAATCAATGGTCAAATTAAACCCACCAGGTCCAGTCTTCTTGGTTGCTGTAACGACTCCAGTCTCGTACAGGTCCGAATACCATTCAAGCTTGCTCAGCCAAGGCTGCGATGGTGTTCTGGTAAGGGTGACAGACTCGGTCCCTTTTATGGAATAACCATTTCCGTCCGAATAATTTTCGTACTCAACAGAGACAGTCTGGCATCCACCATAGGTCGGGTCGGCAGTGATGCTCGTGTGCGCCACTCCGTGGACCTTCCCGTGGAGCGAATAGTCACCTACTGGCAAAGCATACTGAGTAGGAATCGAAGCACCGGGATGGAATGGAGTCGCCCAGGGAATTCTGCTTGGAATTTTGGAAACTGGAGCTCGAAACTCGACTTGACCCTGCTTGTTGGTCACGCCCGTAACCTCCTACCCAGATTTACCCAGGTCACCCAATGGGCATGCCAGTGGCAACGACAATCCGTGGGGGACAATGTCGTGATGATAACAAGCACGCAGTCATACTACACCCACGTCCAGGGCCCTACCCAACAGCTTGCTATCACATGGGGACGCGCCATTCGGGATGACTCTCACCAGGAACGGAACGAGCGGGAGACGTGCAAGATTCTCACCGAGTTACCAGGAAACCCTCCTCGGTACTTTTTGACGGACACCCCGTTCGAGACTTCCCCACATCCAACCCTACATCCAATGTATTGGTGGTCTGTCCACGGAGTTACAGAACACCCTGAAAGATATTGGCAGCCAGTTCCGCCGTGCATGTGACCGCCGGGACCGCGACAGTACTCAGGCCCAGCTCCAACGCTTCAGCACTATTCTCCGAGGGGATATACTACGTCCAGGCCACAGAGTGCCACAGCCCTGGTATCTTAGTGAGTACACACCAGATCCTTGGTGTTAGGTTCACCTGCACCCGTGCCAGATACGTGGTTATCATGGAGCCGGCTCTGCTAAAGTCAAGCGAGGAGCAGTCCGCCGGGAGAATCCATCGTATCGGTCAGCACTACACCACCACCGTGTGGCGGCTCTACAACAACACAAGCGAGGCCAAAAGGCGCATTCTACAGCGCCACCAACAGCGCCAGGGATTGCGGGAGCAGCAATAAGAGAGACCGGTAGAGTAAGGGACAGTCGTTAAAGCGTAAATTTTGAGTTGAATATACGGCTTGATTTACTATCTTTCCTAATACTGCCACTTTGCCCCAAATTCTTGCACTGCTTGATGTGCACCAGGAGCTTTCCTAAGATCTTTGTATCGGAACCATTGTGTTTTCGTCTCCCCTTCAGATTGGAATATGACATGCACAAATGCTGTGCTCAAAGTCAAGCCTTTGCTTTCTGTCGTATACTCGAAAGACTTGATTTTGAGCACTAGAATGGTATTATTCTGACTCGTCTAATTAGAGATAGATCGTGTTATAGACGAGGCTTCCGAGGTTGGGCTGATCTATATACATTAAACGTTGCGCTAGCGCTGAAAGCTCTCCGACAAGCTGCAGTTCTAGCAAACCCACTACTATTGATATCAATATGCTATGTATATACTTTGATTTTTTCTCAATCACATATTTTATTGTCTTTCTGTCACTTCAAGAGTTTTGCTGTCTGAGCTTGAGAATTAGCACAAGGCGTAATGGATGGGGTATTGGGGAGGGGGGCGGTGGGTTTTGGGATATAAAGCCGCTTGTCTCGCACGCATCCTTCATTACAACAACAGAATACAAACAAGTCTTTTACCAATTATTGAAAAGAGCTATGCACTAAGCTAGTTGTCTATTCTTAGCGAGAATTTCATTATATTATATTATTCAAATTTCTAGTAGTCTTATAGTCGCTACCCGATTTCTATCGATGTGTATAGAATTCCCTATCACTATAGTATAATAGAGTCATAACCACTTTAGCCTCTCTCCTTTTCTTTTACTAGTGACGTAAGTCGGTCACGAGCATTGTTGACCTAGTTTATTGCTTCTTGGACGGTTTGAGCGGCTCGGGTCTGCGCGGTACATCCGCAATTTATATCGTCTTTATTAGTAAATACCGGGAGAGGAACTATGAATTAAGATAACCACATACTGTTGTGACTGAGTCGTATCTATAGCACGTATATACTCCATAAGAGCTCCTCTGACGCTCTATCTAACTTGAATGCTATGTCGACCAGCGTTGGCTATTCGATAGTGACAATGCTACTATCTCGAAAGTCTCTGATGACTGCTGCTTTACCGACACGCTCAATAACGGACTGTTGAGTCACAAGATCACGAAGTTCAGTTTCGACATGGGTAAGGCGATAAGAGCAAACGAACATGATACATACTGTGCTCAGAAGGTATAGGTGCAAGAGAATTCTCAACATTTTGAGATCTTGGAACCAAGCAGTGGAAATAGGACTGAAACTGTGGTATTTGGTTCAAAATAGGAACAAAAGTTGAGTAAATCCGATTACTGACGAAAACAGGTATTAAAAACCGTATTTTATTGAGATTAATCAGCGAGTTATGTATCCTAATCGGTAAATTTGTGCACAAATGGGAAATGCATAGGATCCCAATGAGTGGGAAGTCAAAAGAAATTTCTCAATAGGATATTGGGAATAGGAAATAGGAAGGCTTCGGGGCTGTTGGGTCCTATTTAGCGAGAGGTCTCTAATAGAGATCTTGAGGTTATGGAGCAGAGTGAGCAGAGTCCTAAAGACGCTGGGCGCTCACCACCGCTTGCACCACCTTTAAAGAAGGAGAGAGCTTTACTCAGCTATACGAATACACGCTGCCTATATAGGCACTGGACACCAATGAACAGCAATTGAGGCTAGATAAGGATGTCGGAGAATAGGGTTTGATCTTGCAGCAGTATATAATGGCTAGGATCTTGATGCGAAGGTGTTCATATGGAAAGTGAGAAGAGGACAGGGTTTGAAGAGGTAGAGTTGCATCCACGTATTCATTTTGTATTTATTGCCTATTAGTAGTGAGTTCCTTATTTAGATTAGGGTTTTTGATATTGGGATCACGGATTTGGCTTATTGGACTTTTATGTAGGGCTAGTACTCTCTCTTATTTCGAGAACCAGCTCAAGTTCTATACTAGAGCAAGATCAGGCTTGCTTTAACTACAAAAAAGCGCCTATATAGCCTATTACGATACTATTTAGGCTCTAATAGGTCAATAGAAATTTGGCAAATTGATTAGCGGGAGATACTAGCCCTCTTAATGTTTTTCACGAGGTCTAGTATCAGATCTTAAGTATATTGACAAAGTAAGGCAGACGAGGCAGACTACAAGGTTGAAGATACCTTAAAGAAAACTAGTTGTATAATGCTTTTACTTGTGGTTATATTTAGATACCAAGATATCGAGTGTTTTAGGAGGAGGGGTTAAATCCAATAACATTCTATTTCTGTTCAGCTAAGGGGGGGTCAGTGCAGTGGTCGCGCGACCTAGGTGATTCTCACCCTAATTCTCACCCTTCTCACCCCCGGTCGCGCGACTGTAAAGCGGCTCTCATCCTAAACTCACCCGGGCGACACCCACCCCATTTTGTTCTACAAGAATATGGGTACACATTGGAGTCTCACCATCCTGAGCTGCATCAGTACTTTGCTTGTTCCGATCCCGTATCTTTACAGATATGATCCCGTCTATTCGTTTCATAGCAAGCTTGCGCTGTCGCATTGCTCTGAGGGGATACCTAACTGGTTTCTAGGCGAGGTTTTGACTTAGGCGGGTGACTATGTCATGTCGAATTAGACTTTGAGCTTGAAAAAAGTATACCGGGTTAGAATTTGCCGAATTCTAACTAGACCTAGGATAAGTTGGGTCGGGTCGAAGCTTCATCATTTGGATTGAGTTATGAACACTAAAGTACAAGTAAGCTTGTCTCGGGATCGTAATTATCTAGCCGAGACCTTGGATTCTAGCTCCAAATTTCCTTCCTTGGTGATGAAGATCTCCATTGGTCCAAGCTGTGATGTCAGAATCATCATAGACCGCCCAGACCAACTTTAAGCCCGATAAATCAGGCAGAACATTGCCAAGCCTTTGGATTATATTGCTGACCGTCATGACCCCTTGAACAAATTTCCTGTACAGGGACCCTGATTGATGTGTTTAGAATTGAGATCGGTTTCCAACTTGTGATCGTGCACCCGCTAACATTGATCAATACTCAAATTCCTGATAGTTGTCGCCTATGCTCCCTCACGCCAAGTTCTGGAGAAGCGAACGTGATGCTGTGGCATTACCTTCGCCGACCAACATCGTCCCATTCGCCGGACGCATTGGTGCAAACCAAGAATTCTCAGTGGACGCGAAAAATAATTGCACGCAGATAGAACTGCTGCAGAAGTTTCCCGATGCTGCACCCTGGATTCCATTGAGAGATGCCCTATCTTTGCGACACATTTTGCAGCCAGAGTTATGGAAGGCCGCTACTATTGAAGCAGTTGGTCCGTGATCCCTAGTTAATATGCAAGTGACATTGATATTCACAGTACCAGGAACATGTTTGTTGGTTTACTTGACCTGCTTCATAGGTGTGGGCCTTGGTGAGCTTGTCAAGTAAGTTCTTCCTGGGCTCTCCCTGTTGGACCGAGATATTAACGATGGAACTGTAAAGCACGTTGGCAACTGGGGCTCTTGTACCAAGTTTACTTGGTGGACTGACGGCGATCCTCGTCCTTCCGTTGTTGATCTTTGCTACTGGTCCCGTTTCTGGAGCCCACCTCAATCCTACCATCACTTTCGCCACGTTCTTTGCGCGCCTGGCGACATTGCCGCGAGCTATCCTTTACGTAGGGTTTCAGACCTTGGGTGGGGCCATAGCAGGTTTGCTGTTAAGGGCGAGCTTCGACACGAGATCTGTGAATTGTGCCCTTTCCATTTGGCCGCAAACGTATACTGACTGATTTACAGTTCATGGTGCCGGGTTGCTATATTGATTCGACAAAGGTCTCAACAGGCAGTGCATTTGCCCTTGAATTCACTACAGATTTTGCTTTGATATTTCTTTCTTTCGGTGTTGGCCTTGACCCTCGGCAGCGCTCTGTATTCGGGCCAGCCTTGGGTCCTATCTTTGTGGGCATTGTTCTAGGGATGTGTACTTTTGTGACGGGTTTCAGTCGTATTGGATACACTGGATTCTGTAAGTTTTTTTTTAATCGGCCATATCCTAGAAGACTTGAGACTCTTGCTGATTCCAAAAGCGGGGAATCCTGCACGGTGCTTCGGGGCAATGGTTGGCTCGCACTTTGCTTCGTATCACTGGGTACATTGGGTTGCGCCGCTGAGTGCATCTGTCATACATGGGATGCTATATCACTTTATTCCACCTTACTCTCGAAAGAGTACTGCACGTGCAAGGGCCGAAACATAATGAACTTCATGCCCGGCGCTAGAAATTTTGCCAGGAGGGGCTCGGGCATCGTCCTGTTTACTGTCTATCGCCTAAACATAGAATAAGCCAGGCTTTTTTAATTTGACTACTAGTATTATTCAACGGGAAAGGGCGGCTACGAGGACTTTCTATTTAGTACAGTATATGAATATCATGCATAATGACCGGCGGATCTACCCGTTTTTCCCGAGAAATCTGTCGATCGAATCTAGGAGCATAAGTAGATAGGATGAATTTGGAGGATTTTTGTCTAACGTGGAAATCAGTTTAAATGGTGCTAACGATGCAAGCGTCTTCTAGACCTCAGCTTCTACTTCCGAGTGTTCCGTGAACTGCTTTAGGTCTTCGTGCGCTCTCGTCCCTCGCAGCTCAAGCAGCCCCGCTAAGTACTATTGATATAGAGGAGAGAGAGAAAGAAGGGTCTCTAACGATGATTGATAGATTATCTATAGAAGAAAGCAGACTATATTGGCCCTGGTAGACGGCTAGTAAATAGTAGGTAAGTAGTAAGCGAACAAAGCTCGAAAAGCCAGGGTATATGAATCTGACACCTGTATATAGAGTTATATTGAAAGTTATTCTAGAAATATAGGAGAAAAATATGGCTTGATGAATGCCCAAAGCCAGTCCGCCACCATTGGAGCTGACAAAAATACAGGTAAGAATTGATACAGTAAGAGGTTGAACTCTTTGTTACTGTCAATTAATGATAAGAGGATATCATGGATTTTCTGAAACATCTCCCAGCTTTTAATTAGTCTCTTGTGCCAACCTTCAATGATATTCACTCTCTGGTTTGCCCCTGTTTCAGCCTCTATGTCTGGACGTCGAGCCACATTTCTATGTAAGTATTTTCATTCAGGTAGTTTTTGAATGCCGAAATATATAATTTGGTGTTGTTTTTTTCTCTATACTCGAGTAAAATACAATACTATTCAATTTATATTTGTCAAATGCTCAAGAAGATTTACAAAAAGGTGAAGTGCTTGGGGTGCGCGTGCGATTGTCCTAATGAGGATGGAAAAGCTCGAGGCCCATCCCAGGCTAAACGACGACGTCGTAGCCAGAGTCAATACCCTCCTCCAAAGTTCCATCCTCAGAGCTTTATAAACACACCCACAGGAGAGTATAAGTACAGGTTTAGGACGCTTGGGCGATTCCACGTAGATCTACAGGGAGAGAAATCGTCAGAATGGAGCATTTATGATCATCTTGTTGGACAAGAAATCATCGTTGGCCTAAGCATTGGAAGAAGAGCTGGTCAAAACTGGAACATGAGCTCTCAGGCATTATACTCAGATAGCTACGATACTAGTACTTTGAGGCATGTCATGTCCAAAAATGTTGTAATCGAGGAGCTCGCACCATATATGCAATGGCCACTCTTTCTTTAAAAGGAAGTTGTGGATAGAGGCTGATGGAGTCTTGATGAGACTCCGGCACGGTGGCATCGAATATCAACTAATTCTGGGCACTAAGTTAGGCAAATCAGTGGCCGCTCTTATTATAGGGGCTTTTGATCGAGGTACTATACATATCGCTCAAATTACTGTTTGGTGCTACGAAAGCATGTCTCAAATACGATATAATATTGAGCCTATTGTTCCTGATCCAATAGCCGAGCCGGTGACTGCGCCGTCTGCGTCAGCTACAGGGTTGAACCCCCATCAATTGGGTCCACCCAAAGATCTATATCTAGTCGCAGAGGTGATTCGAGCAAGCCATATTCAAGTGGACGTTCTATGACTTTATTGTTATTTTACATACACTGAGACCCTTGGGCTAGTTCTGTGAATAACACCCAGATTTATTCTAGAAGTTAGCTTTCGGGTAAATAGACTAATGAAATAGCACAAGGCCAAGAGCGACAAATTGTTCCAATTTGGATAAATACAACCTCGCGTCTATAAAGCTGTTGCGTGTGACCATTGGCGCGGGGTTACACATGATAGGAGAGGAAACCCTGATTGCTGTATGGAAGAATCTGATAGTATCGCTCTACTTAAGGCCAATAATGGAAACAGACGGGTTGCCAAGCTACGCGGAGTATCGGTGATTTCCCCAGAAATCAGCAGAAACGCGGGGTATAAGCCGTTCAGGGTTGCAGAAACTGACGGCAAAAGGGCATTTATTCTCACGCTAAGTCGAATAGCCAAAGTCACTTGTGTCGTCTACATTCCGAGGTTCCGCCAGCCAATCAACAACGGGCCTCGACAGGGTCCGAGGGCCCAGGCGGGATAGCTAGCCCTACTTCCTTGCATACCCCGGTGTAACGGAGCTGCCCAGGGGGGTCACTGCCAATGCGGAGATCAAATTGTTGTTCCTGATTCAGTACAGTGGCCGGCCCGTTTGCCCACTTCTATGTATTCAAATCAAGGTCGGAACTCAGCATGGCGCCCAGAGCGCCATGGAAGACCAAAGTGAGGGGGGTTTAATGTCGAGGAATTCAAGCCCGTTCTTATGGCAGGGGTTTAAAAGGGCCAAACCTGCGCGCCCAAACGAGGCTTTTATCCAGCGCATCTTTGACAGCGACAAGGACCATGCAGTATCTCCTTTTTTCGACGCTAGCTTTTAGCGCTAGCGTTCACGCCTATGGCTCCGGTAGTGGAGGCTGGGATACAGCTTACTCAAGAGCTAGAGCAGCTCTAGATAAGCTGAGCCAGACTGAGAAAGTCGGCATTGTCACCGGCGTAACCTGGGAGGGAGGGCCTTGTGTGGGCAATACCTATGCTCCCAGCTCAATCGACTATCCTTCTCTGTGTCTCCAGGATTCACCTTTGGGTATTCGCTTTGCCAACCCCGTGACAGCATTCCCGGCAGGGATCAATGCGGGGGCAACGTGGGACCGTAGTCTTCTGTATGCACGTGGTGCTGCGATGGGTCAGGAGGCGAAGGGTCTCGGCGTCCACGTTCAACTGGGTCCAGTAGCTGGTCCTCTGGGCAAGAACCCCAATGGTGGTCGAAACTGGGAAGGATTCTCGGTTGACCCGTATCTCAGTGGTGTCGCCATGGAAGAGACAATCCAGGGTATGCAGGACTCGGGTGTTCAGGCTTGTGCTAAGGTCAGTGGCTCTCTGTGTCTTTATATCAACTTTACTCTGACATGTTTAACAGCACTGGCTTGGAAACGAGCAAGAGCATAACCGTGATACCATGAGCTCCAACATCGGCGATAGGGCCGCGCACGAGCTATATGTATGGCCATTTATGAATGCCGTCAAGGCCAACGTCGCGTCAGTGATGTGCTCTTATAACAAGGTCAACGAGACCTGGGCTTGCGAGAGTGATGCCATCCTGAATGAGCTTATGAAGAAGGAACTCGGATTCCCTGGATATGTTGTCAGCGACTGGAATGCGCAGCATACCACGGTCAATAGTGCTCTGGCTGGTCTCGATATGACAATGCCTGGAAGTGACTTCAACTCTCCACCTGGCAGCATCTTCTGGGGATCGAACCTGGCCAAAGCTGTTGCTGACGGCTCCGTTCCACAGTCTCGTCTCGACAACATGGTCACTCGAATTCTGGCTGCTTGGTATCTTCTTGATCAGGACCAAGGCTACCCAGAGGTCTCTTTCAGCTCTTGGGATGGTGGCAAAGCAACTGTCGATGTCACAGGTGATCACGCCAGCGTCGTTCGCACTGTCGCCCGTGACTCTATTGTTCTTTTGAAGAATGCCGGCAATGCTCTACCACTTCGACGGCCCAAGACCCTGGCCATCATTGGAGATGATGCTGCTGTTAGCCCGGATGGTCCCAATGCATGCAGCGATCGTGGCTGTAACAACGGCACACTGGCTATGGGATGGGGCAGTGGCACTGCTCAGTTCCCGGTAGGTTTCAAAGCTTTAGGAGATGAAAGATCTTGGAATTGCTCACAATGCTTATCTAGTATCTCGTCTCACCCCTGGACGCAATCCAGGTTCAGGCCAAGAGGGATGGCACCAAGATTATTCAGAGTACCACCGATAGCACTACCGATGCAGCCTCTGCTGCCGCTGCCGCCCAGACTGCAGTGGTATTCATCAATTCGGATTCAGGTGAAGGGTGGGTATTCTAAATATCCAGCCAGTAATGTCATTTTATTAACATTCGTTCTAGGTATATCACAGTTGAAGGCAACGCCGGAGACAGAAACAACCTTGACCCTTGGCACAACGGAAACGAGCTCGTCAAGGCTGTCGCAGCTGTTAACAAACATGTAATCGTCGTTGTTCACAGTGTGGGCACAGTCACCCTAGAGACAATCCTGGCACTGCCATCCGTGAAGGCTATTGTCTGGGCAGGACTACCTGGTCAGGAAAGCGGGAATGCATTGGTGGATGTGCTGTACGGTGCCGTCTCCCCCAGTGGCAAGCTTCCTTATACCATCGCCAAAGCAGCCGCAGACTACGGCGCAACCTGGAACGACGCACAGGTTGACGACTTTACCGAGGGTCTATTCGTTGACTACCGCCATTTCGATCAGAATGGCATCACCCCTCGCTACGAGTTCGGATACGGTTTGTCATACACAAAATTCGCATACAATGGAATTGCAGTTGATATAGTTGCCCGAGCGGGGCCATCAACTGGCAAAGTCGTTCCCGGAGGCCCAGCCGATCTTTTCAAGTCCGTCGGCACAATTTCTACCACCATACGCAACACTGGTAAGGTAGCTGGTGCTGAAGTTGCACAGCTTTATATTGGTCTCCCGAATTCTGTGCCGGGTACTCCCCCTAAGCAGCTCCGCGGGTTCCAAAAACTCAGGCTTGAGCCGAGACAATCAAGCAGGGCGACTTTTGAACTTACCCGACGTGATCTGAGTTACTGGGATGTGGCGACTCAGAAATGGGTTGTCCCCTCTGGTACTTTCCGCGTTTACGTTGGAAGCTCTAGCCGTGATATTCGTCAGCATGGCTCATTTACTGTTGGTCGCTCATGGGGCAACTGAGAGAGAGAGAGAGAGAGAGAGACAGAGAAGGATGGTAGTATACGGCATGTACATACTATACTAACCGAGTTTTCTCAGGCCTATGACGGACTGAGTAATCCTCAAAGAGCCTGTCCATTCTACAGATGCAAAACAGATGCAAAAGTGATAAAACTCCAATGACATCTCTCACCTGAGTTGGCTATTCTTCTACAATGATTTTTATGGCCAAGTACATTCCTTGCCGGAGAAAGCACATAGTGAGAACCCCAAAAGTGGTTGTCCATGAGCACAAATAAAATAGATAACACGCTATCTTTCATATATCGTGGTATTTATTCGTTCTTTGTTACTGTGCTTAGGCTCAGTTGAAATTGATGCGGACATGTACACTGTGGAAACACATAAATTTCTGCTATTAAAGCACTTCGATTTTCCATGCAGATATTGTGTATCGAGGCTTCTATAATTCCTCGAATCTCCTACCCAGCTCCGCCATGGCAGTTCCGCCAATATGAATGGCGTAAATACTACTGTTTTGCTGTGTTATGCCTTATAGCCTGGATGCTGATGAGGACATAGTCGTGAGAGCAATCACAGACTCTTTTACTGTAGATGAACTTGGTCAAGATCTAGGCTGAATGGCCAACCTTGCAGGAGATCTGCAAGCCCATCGGTGGTTGCGGATTCCCGTCTGGGGATCAACAGCTTGATCGGGTAGGCTTAGCCACGGCGGAACGTGGGGAATGACGATGGTTTGGTCCATGTCCGAAGTTTACCCGTTCGTTGAGCTTTATAAGAACTAAATCAACCCCAGTTTTTTTATACTCATCAAGTACATCGTGGGTTCCCCTCACTGCATTCCTGGTGCTGTGGGCATTGACAGTACAGGTGCTTGCCAAAGCCGTCAACACCAGCTCCTTCTTGGCAATCCCTAACAAGCCAAGAGTTTGCATTCTCTCGGATATATCAAATGAAGCCGATGATGCCGAGTCCTCGACCAAATATCTTCTCTAAGCAAACCAGTTCGACGCCGAAGGCATCGTGGCCACGACATCTAGATGGCAGAAGGAAGTTCATCCAGAGCAAATTCTCGCAATTATCAATGCAGATGCGCATGTGACCGATAATCTGAATCGTCATGTATCTCCCGACTCCCAGAATCCTTCGGGGAATCATATTCACGGTCTTTTGCGCACTGGGCCTGCTGTAAGTTCACGTACGATTTACCCTCATCCGGCAACACTCTTAAAGCTATGGTATCACCGCCGTTGGCAAGAATGTGGCCCTTAGCAGTGGAGGCAAGCTACTTCACGGAAGCCTTCAAGCAAAGTCCGACCAAGCTTTATGGGTCCCTGCCTGGGGAGGAACCAACGTGCTTGCACAAGTCCTCTATAAACTCCGTGACACACTCGGCATCCGGATTTGCAGCCATTCAATCCCGAATCCGTGTCTACGCCGTCTCAGACCAAGACGATACTGGGGCATGGATCCGGCAGCAATTCCCCGACTTCTTTTACATCTCCTCTACATACGGTTGGAACCAGTACGGCCTTGCAATTTGGATTGGTATTTCTGAAGAAGACAACTATGGCGTTGACCAAGGCGGACCCGATAACACCACCGTTTCGCACCAATGGCTGCGGAAGAATATCCAGGTCGGTCCGTATGGCAAAGAGGCCTATCTCGACTTCAACTTCATCTTGGAGGGCGATACCCCCACGTTCCTGTATCTCATTCATATTGGACTTGGCGTTTCCGATGAGCCTTACTACGAGTCGTGGGGTGGTCGGTACTAAAAGGTCGAGGCGTCGGCTGTTCTGAAATTGAACCACTACAGCGATGCCGCCGACCGGCGTTGGAAAGAGCAACAAGACGTTCAAATCGAGCTAGGCAACAAGGTTGAGAGATGCCTACCAGAATGACTTCGCTGCTCGCATGCAGTGGTCTCTCCCGGCGAACACGAGCAAACCAAACCATTACCCCATCATCTCAGTCAATGGTAGTGCTCAGCGTGCTCCACTGAACATCAGTGTCGCTGCTGGATCGACTCTCACGTTCAATGTTGCAGCCACGTTTGATCCGGATGGCGACAGGCTGACTTTCAATTGGTTGCAGTACCAGGAGCCCGGGTCTAGCGAGTGGAATGTTGCAGGTCAGATGCCGCAATCAAAAATCAGCTCAGTGGATGGTGGCCGAAAGGCCCAGATGCAGGTTCCTGCAGGTAGTGAGAGCTGTGACGGGCAAGCTTCCACTTCTTCAGGTTGCTGGTTGCTCCATGTTATCCTTGAAGTCACGGATGATAGATACCATCCCCTGACAAGCTATCATCGGATCTGGATCCAGACTACGAGCACTATGAAAACATCGTCTTAATCGGCAATGATCACTTGGGACGGCTTGAAGGCACACAAAAAGCTGTGTCGCGCATTCCATTATCATAATAGTCTGCTTCGGGCTAGTAGCGCCTTTCATTTATTTAAGTCTGCATGCAATATATGATGTTTATGATATCATAAATTTGGTTTTGCTCCTTGACCGAAAGAGCTGTGTTTTGCGGAGTAAATAAACTTTCGTCCACGTCCTATAGGGAGCCCCACGAGCTCGCTGTGCCTGTATACATAAATGTATGCATAAAACTTCCAGGGGTTCAAAAACTCGGCACGGCAATGGCGTAAACAATCCTCCGATCGCATCCAGCTGTAGATTTAATTTCCCCGAAGTTCCAAGCCCCCCTGCTCACGCATCTAACCGAAGCGGGCCTTGGGCAGAATGGGGAAATGGCATTGTCAATCGTCGGCAACCCACAACTCTAGCGTAGGAACCGTTTCTTCTTGGCTGCGTGATTCTTCATGTCGCCTTATCATTCATGGATTATAACCTAGACCACGTGTTTGGTTTATTCAAGCCTGTTCTTCCTTGAAATCTTATTGATTAGTTTAATCTACGCCACAGGGCTAACGTCCAGTATACACATCCCCAATCACCTTCCCACGTCTCCTCCACGTTCTTCAGGTCCTCATATCCTTGGATCTGTGACACTGAGACGGTTTTCTTGTTCTTCTCATTGGCCCTCGAGCGGATTCTGCAGCCCGCGTTGTCTATAATCCAGGTATGGTTAGATGCTGTCGAGTATCTAGATTACACCGCGCCTATATAAAGGCGTCCACATGCCCTGGACATCATATTTACCATAAACCCTAGATCCGCAAAAATGAAGACTACGATCCTGAGCGCTCTTATCCCGGCTTTGGCCAGCGCCGCAACCAGTGGTAAATTCACCGCGCTGACGTTCAATGTCGCCGGTCTGCCTGAGATTCTTCAATCAAACGATGTCAATGGCTCCAAGTCTGAGAATGCCGGAGAAATCGGTACTTACTTCGCTAAATATGGCTACGATATCATCCATGTGCAAGAAGTAAGACACCACATTCTCAATTTTTGTCCATCAAATATAACTAACCACCCTAGGACTTCAATTACCATGCCTACATCTATGCAACAGATAACCATGCCTACCGCACTGCAACTTCAGGAGGCGCAGCAATTGGAAGCGGACTCAACTCCCTCTCCAACTATGACTGGGTTGATTTCACACGCGCCAAGTGGAATACATGCTCTGATGCCTCCGGCTCCGACTGCTTGACTCCTAAGGGATTCACCTTCATGCGCTGGAACCCTGCTGACGGCGTGTTCATTGATCTCTACAACGTCCACGCTGATGCCGGGTACGTATTTCCCAGCCCAAACTTATATGCAACAAAAGAAAAAGTTCCAAACTAAACCCTTTACACAGTACCGAAGCCGACGACGAAAAAGCCCGCAACTCCAACCTCCAACAAGTTGCCGACTACATCGACACCTGGTCAACAGGCAATGCAGTCATCGTAATGGGCGACACAAACAGCCGTTACACGCGCGCCGACGACACAGGCGTCCGCGTCTTCAAGTCTCAGAACAACCTCGCAGACACATGGGTTGATCTCGAAATGAACGGCGTGTACCCAACCGCCGGAGCCGACGCACTGATGTGCGATAACCCATCCTCAGTTCAGACCTGTGAGATCGTCGACAAGGTCCTGTACCGAGGCTCCGACGTCGTCACTCTGGGGGCAGACAGCTTCGCCTATGTTGGTAAACTCTTCACGAACACGAACCCCGATTACCTCGGTGATGTTCTTTCAGACCATGATCCCATCCTTGTGGACTTTACCTGGTCTCTTTCGAACTCGTTGCGTCAGAGTCAGTTCTCTGGTGGTCCTCATGGAACGTGGTTCAGTGATTTGACTGGTTTGCCTTCGTCGCCTGCTGCTTCTGTTATTACCTTCCGTGGTGCTGAGAGGCTTGATTCTGTTGCTGTAAAGCTGACTGATGGGACTCAGTTTTCGCACGGTGGCACTGGTGGTTCGGAGGTTTCCCTTACTCTTGGCTCTGGCGAGTATTGGACCACCACGGAGCTTTGCACTGGTGTGTATAACGACAATACTCGCAACTTCTATATTAAGGCTACTACCAGTGCGGGTAATACTCTGGAGGCTGGCACTGCTACTGGTAGCTGTACAACTTTCACTGCCGATGATGGCTTTGCTGTTGTTGGATTCGTTGGACAGGCTGGTGACGAGATTGATCAGTTGGCTTTGGTCTATGCTGCCTATTAAGTTTTGCAAGAGAAGTAACTATGTTTGAGAAAGAGGTAGTTAGAATGAATGTGCATGTTCATATTCCATTTCGTACGGTACCAATCAAATCATTTTCTATGCAAGTATAAGTTACCCAAACGCCAAGATAGAAGCCGTATCCATATGCACCACGCTGTGTTAAACTCGCGAACAAAACAAACAACCAAGGAGCTCCTCATTCAATCATGTCCTCCGGAAGGACATCATCCGGGTTCTCGCCGATAGCCTCGCCAACCGCGCGCACGACACGCTTGATGGCCTTGGAAGCCGGACTATCCGGAAAGTTGTCGACAAAGCTCTCACCAAAGTCGCATGCCATGCCGACACGGGGGTCCAGAGGAACAGCGCCCAGGAATGGGATACCCATTTTCTTCGCCAACCGGCGACCTCCACCAGTCGTCGCACGGAAGATTTGAGACTCGTGCGTGCAGTTGGGGCAAACAAATCCAGACATGTTCTCGACCAGTCCTAAGACACGGATGCCGGCCTTCCGACAGAAGTCGACTTCCTTGCGCACGTCCAGCAACGAGACCTCCTGCGGGGTAGTCACGACGACGGCGCCGTCAACACCAGACTCCTTCAGTAGAGAGTTGACCGACAGATGCTCGTCGGAGGTTCCGGGAGGAGTGTCGACAATCAGGTAGTCGAGTTCGCCCCAGTCCACATCCTTCAGGAATTGTTTGATGAGTCCGTTCTTCTTCGGTCCGCGCCATATGACCGCATCGTCGCGATTGGGCAGCATGAACTGCACACTCATTGCGCCGAGGTTATCCGTCACCCAGACAGGACTCCAACCCGCGTTGCTCACGTGAATTGTTTCCGATTCCACGCCCATCATTTTTGGGATCGACGGTCCGCAGATATCAGTGTCCATGATGCCGACGGTCGAATCTGGGTTTGAGGCGAAACCGTGCGAGAGTAGGGTTGAGAATGTTGATTTTCCTACTCCTCCCTTGCCGGAGAGGACTAGGATCTTATGCCGTATCTGAGAGAGGCGCTCGGTAATGATTGGAATGTCGGGGTCGGGGCCTTTGGGTGCGGTTGCGCAGATTTGTTGGTTTGGACAGCCGGCGCAGGCATCGCCTTGGCCGGCTTGCTCAGATTCAGGGCCTGGGCAGTGCTCTGGGTGATGTTAGCAAGTAGGTTCAGTCGAGCTTCTGCGCATACATACCTGGCTCAGGTGCGACGAGGCTGGGCGCCACCTTGGACGACACAGCCAAAGACTCCTCGGCCTCCTCCACGAAGGGTGCCATTCTGATATACTCAGTGTGTAATGTGAGCAAAGTAGTATTTAGGTAGAGACAATATTATTCAGTAGAGAGAAATTCAAGCTCCGGTGGCGGATTGATGCTTGATAAGCGGGGATGACTAAAGTGTCCCTGCCATTGGCGGGGTTAGGCCTCGGAACCTTTTAGCAGATGTCTACAAGATCAAATCAGTTAATTAGTATAGGTTGAATCAAAGTCTTCGTTTAATAGATTTTTTAAACATTTTAAAAATGTAAGTCTAAGGTGGTTGACTACATGCCCTGTCAATCTTATGAATATGTGTCAACAGAGGTCTTATATACGTTAGACTCATGCGGCATTCGACCCGACCTCACATAGCCGAGCACGACTTTTGGAGACAAGGTGCATGCGTAGTGTCCTACGTGTAATCGCTAATGTAAACCCCTGCTCGGGTCGAGAGGGGTCCTATGCAACTAATTATCGGGCCACCCACACGATACGCCCACATGCTGCAGAAAACAGGGCTCTCCTGGTCCGTCAGAACTTAGCCAGGGGGGCCCAGAATCTTGATTTGGAACCCCCACAGCAGCATGAAAGATTTGGCATCGCGCAACAGAGAATAGCATCCAAGGTTGTGCTTTGTATGGGTAAGACGGAACGCGGGGGTGGGCTGCATGACGATATCAGTCTTTGTGGTGCAGCTTAACGCTGCGTGGTGCAGAATGACACGATGTTGAGTGCTCATTATCAAGATTGATTCTATAACGCACTGACATCAACGGTGCCTGTCGTGTTGTCGTGTGTGCATATCGATTAACGCCATTCAAAGATGCGGATAGGATGATGTCAAGGACCCCACAGGGCGTGGTACACCTCATTGGGTATACGAACCCGATCATAATGCAAAGTGTATGCGGGGATGGCTTGAGCACGCACAATTATATCAATCTATGAAGTTGTGGAGGGCACGAGCTGCACCGGCTTCCGCAGTAGCCGCATGTACAGTGATGTTGATGTACCCCGCGGTCACAATGCTGTTCCATTGTCGAATTGGTGTAAGACACATAGCCCTAACCTGTCCAGTTCAGGATTAGACACAAGTCCCAACAATTCCCAAAGCTAAAGCCACTTAGCGTCTTGGTTGATCAGACCCCGTTTCTGTGCCCTTCCGCTCCATTCGGGCCCGCTTCCTGTAGGACCTGTAGGAGAACAGGCGCAGTTTCAATGGTTCCACTCTCGTTTTCGCCTATAAATACTAAGACTCGCTGCAGATTAACCGGGAGTTGAGGGAAAGAAACAAACTCGTAAACAAGGGCGGAAGTAATTTGCCCATGCCAACTGACTAAACTAGATCCGTTTCTGTCACATGTCACATGCTATTGTCGTCACTTTCGGTCTCAACACTTTCAGTTCCCTCAACTCTCTCTGCGATCTTTCAACATGGATCAAGGCCTTTCAACAGGGGCCCATCAAGATATTGATGGGCTACGCGAAAGAAATGTGCGCACCGATTCAACAGTCGGTCGCGAGGCACTGACTGCGACTGGGGAAGTGGAGACCAAGGACAAAGCCGGCAACGAGCTCAAGACCTTTGGGAGAACTCCCGATGGAACAGGTAAGCCTTTTAATGGAAATATGCTCATTGCGATTGATATACAGGCTCTACCTGTCATCAATTCCCCAGGGCTTTCGAGGACGTGTGGCTAACCGAGTCCGGTGTGTCTTAACAGTGTTCACGGTCCCGCAGACGCATGACATGGTCTCCCAGCTTCTTTCACCGTCGGAACCTAAGAATTTTGGTGATCTCGTGGTAATTATCTTACTGGCAGGCCACATTCTGTTTCTCTGGGCACTCCCAGCAGGCGCGAAAATCCCGGTCTTTGCGGTCACCTACCTCTTCTGGCGCATGGCTTACAATGGTGGAATTGGATGGCTGCTGCACAACCAGTCGCATCACAAGACGCTGCTGAGGTGGGCTGAGAAGACCAAGGTTTTTGTTAATCCCGCCACTGGGAAGAACCCGCACCCCAAATTGTATAACTGGATCAAAAAAGAGCTGGAGACCAAGATCCCGCAGGACTACTCGTTCGACGATGCTCCAATTGAATACAACACCTGGCTTGTCTTTAGACGTCTTGTGGACCTGATCCTCATGTGTGATTTCACTTCCTATTGCCTTTTCGCGATTGCTTGTGGCCACCAACCGGTGGACGAGAGCCTTGTCATGGCCATTCTTCGCTGGTCCGCAGGTATCGTGTTAGTGCTGTTCAACCTCTGGGTCAAACTAGACGCCCATCGAGTCGTCAAGGACTATGCTTGGTATTGGGGAGATTTCTTCTACCTCATTGACCAGGAATTGACTTTCGATGGTGTGTTCGAAATGGCACCTCACCCCATGTACTCGGTCGGCTACGCGGGATACTACGGAATCTCCTTGATGGCAGCCAGCTATAAAGTACTGTTCATCTCTATCATTGCCCATGCAGCACAATTCGCCTTCCTGGTCCTCGTGGAAAACCCGCACATCGACAAGACCTACAATCCACCACCTCCCCGAAAGCGCTCTACCGTGGACTCCACCAGTCTCCCGATCGATCTAGACACTCCAAACGCGACAACCCCGTCTGAAGATCAACCTCCCAATGCGACCTCCTCGTACTCGGCCAAGCCACCCCAGTCTGTCCACAACCTTCTAGGGCTGCACAACCTGGACCTGTATAGAACCACGGACTCTTCGATCTTACTCGTTCAGATTCTTGTATTCTCAATCACGGCTTTGACGCCATCCACCCCATGGTATCAATTCTTGTTTGTGGCCTTTGCGGCTGCTTCCAGGATTTGGTATTCAGTAGGCATTGGATACCTGCTCCGAAACCAATCCAACACCAAATCTTGGACCAGACACTTTGTCAAGTATGGCGACACGCCACAAGAGGCGTGGAACCAATGGAAGGGTACATACCATCTTAGCATGATACTGTGTTATTCCACCTTCATCGCCGCCGTGTGGAAGATGTACACTTTCCCGGCTGACTGGGGCTATGGTCTCGTTTTGTTCCGACACATCCTCGGAGCAGGTCTGATTAGTCTTCAAATCTGGACTTCAGTCAGCATCTACGAGTCCCTCGGTGAATTTGGCTGGTTCTACGGTGACTTCTTCTTCGATGAGTCCCTGAAGCTTACCTACAATGGTATCTACCGCTTCCTCAACAACCCCGAGCGCGTCCTCGGTCTGGCGGGTGTATGGGGCGCCGTCCTCATAACCAGTAGCGGAGCTGTCACCTTCCTCGCTTTGCTGAGCCACATCCTGAGCCTGGCCTTCATTCAATTCGTGGAACGCCCGCACATGCAGAAGCTGTACGGCCGCAGCCTTCGCCAGGATGCCGGTCTCGTCAAGAGTCTCAAGCGGTCTTTACCTCCCTCTCTCCAGCAGCTTCACGGAAGCGTTGACAAGATGTTTGATGACTCTTTCGACTTCATCGAAGAGCTCCTCGACAATGCCCGGCCAAAGCTCGCCGCAGGAGTGAACACCTTCGTTAAGGATACCACAGCTCTCTTTCAGAAGTACCCCGCTCGTGTCACTATCTCTCGGATCGATGCGGATCTCGCTGGATTCGATACCTGCGACTATTCCCTGTCTGTGGAGGGAACCAATGCCGTGTCTTTTGAGGAAAGCGGCAAGAATAAGGGCCGCGAGGGTGCCAACGCCCAGATGCCCCTGGACCGCCGTGGTGACCTCAAGGACCTGACCTTCGAATACGGTTCCCCAATCAAGGTCAAGTGGACTGCGCCTCTCAACCACAGCAAGAAGGACTGGATCGGTATCTACCGCGTCACAGACAACACCTCTCGCGAAGTGACCCGTGTATCATCGCAAGGCCGCTGGGTCGCAACAAATGAAGGCTCATATGATAACCTGACTTGTGAGAAGGGCATTCTGACAAGCGATGTTGTCGTCTCATTGCCCCAGGGCACGGACAAGAGTACCCGTAAGTTCGCCTCTGGCGAGGTCGTCCTTACTGGCGACAAGCTCTTCTGGACGCAAGGTGTCTTCGAGCTGCGCTACCACCACAATGGCATGCACAATGTCATGGCCATCTCCCGACCCTTCGAGATCCGCATCCGTCGCTCAGACGAAGATGACACCGTCGTGGACGCCGAATCTATTTCGGAACCTGCCGTTGAGAATGCTTTGTTGCCCGTCGTTCGAAACTGCTTTGACCGTGATCCTGAAATCGCTCCGGAGACTGCGGAGGAGCAGTTCGGCAGTCTTGTCGAACGTGATGGCAAGTTTGCTAAGCGTGTTGTGTTTGCTGTTCATCAGATGTGAGTCCATGTCCCAGCGAACCTTCCAGCCGTATCCTCCATTTGCTAACCCGTTATCCAGGTTTGGTATCGAATTAGCACCCGAGGTTGTGAAGTCCGATGGCAATGTCCGAAACCTCGCCTGGAGAATTTGCAATGCGAAGAAAGTACTGGTAAGTATTGAACACCTGACTAAATGGCAATCTTCCCTTCGACCAAGGACCTGATACTAATGAAGGAATCACACAGGCTCCTTACAGCATGTCCAGATCCAACGGGACGACGACACCGCTCGAAGAGAATAAAGAATAAATGGTTAAGAGAGATATTCGTGTAACAAGCGCTGTATGCGGACAGTCACCAATGTGACATGGAAAGGCTTGTTTTGTTTCTTAAAGGGCATTTTGCTTTACGGGGAAGAGTAAGGCAAGAATTAGAAACGGTGTCATGAAGAAACGGAGTTGTTTTGCTTGTTTGCTTGATTCGCTTGATATGCGAAGGTTCAAATTTATGATTCCCATGGTGTTTGTCTTTAGATTTTAAGGGGGTGGGCGGCAGTGGTGCTTTTCATGGGCCTTGCGACTGGGGACCCCCTGGAGGTTAGTCACGGCGAGATATTTGGCCGTTTTTTCTTCTATATACATTGCTTTAGGGTTTAAATATTGCTTTTCTTGACCTCGCTTATTACATTGGCATTGTACGAGTGGGAAATACTAGACAAATTCAAATCAAAAAGATTCATTTTTGAAGGTTGGTTTAATATATATGGGCAGACCTATATCTTGAATGCTGTCAGCAGGATTCACAAAGAGCAGTGATAGCAGAAGCAATAGCATGAAGCTTAATCAGCCAGCCGGTTAACTCATCCCATCCCCTGTTGGCCCCTCGCACCAAGCAGTCGCCCAAGACGGACAAGCTGCCCAACACGAGGAAACCAACACAAGTCAGATTGCAGTACCATGCCGCTGGCAAGACAACAGAGTGAAAAACGAACTCAGTCAACGACTTAACCTAAAGTCCTCCAAGTGTCCACAACCTTCCTCCCCCTCACATCCGAAGACATGAAAGGTCCAGTATAAGGGAGTTGGAAGACATCAGATCGACGACTGTATTGATCACACTGCTGTACGGCTTGGGTGCAGCCCGAGAGGCGGCTCTCACAAGGAGATCATTGAATGGATTGACTAGGTGTCATCATAAAAGGTGAGGGTATTGTGCAATGGAAGTGCGACGATAATGTACCTTTTGAATGGAGAGGAAGGTTAATGATGCACAGTGCAAGTTACAGGACCTAGACTTTTTGACTTGTCAGTGATCTTGTCAAAGGAGAAAGACTGTAAGGCAATAATGAGAAGGCTCAAGAAGTATCAGGTGTTTTTGGTAAGAATTTTGTTATCTTCAAAAATTTTGCAGAAGCAGAACTGAAAATGGTTTTTCATCACTTGAGAGGGTTGAAAAAAAGGAACAAAAAAAGTTCTTACCTTGTTAGTGAAAATTTTCGCGGAGCTTCCCCGGACACTTGACAGCGACCAATGAGAATTCTGAACCTGTCTGAAGCTATTGTCAGTCACTGATGCACAAACAGAGTAGTAATAACAATAGAACGTTGTTGTCTTTGTCAGATGGTAGTGCATGTTGTTCTTGGCCCATTTTTCGTCGCCGAACAGGAGGTTGGATCTCTCTCGTCATATAGACAGTGCAGTGGAGGGGTATGATGATACTCACGTTTATAATGTTAGTAAAGCATAGATAATCAAGCATCAGCGAAGATGCTATTCAATTCCCTCGACATTAGAAGGACTCTGGTAAACAGAGATGTGTGGAAGAAAGAAAAGAGAGACGAGCAGAAAAGTCAAGAAAAACCACAGACGCTAGGCGGTGGGGCCGACAAACCATGCAAACTCCAAGATTTCCGTTTCTGGGACTTCAACCATCGCGACTCTCGACAGCTTCAGCTTTACGCTAATTCACGCTTAATGGCCGACAGAAGACGTATCAATGGCCCACCAGGTGGTACAAGACCCCCAGTCTTTGCCTCTGTTCAGCAATCCTCCACTGGTGCCGCAGACCGTGCCCGGCGCCAGCGCCAGCCCGCCGAACTACGGAAAATCTGTATGAACACATTGAGCAGCTCCTACTTGATCGCAGCTAACGTCGTTCACAGTCTTGAAAACTGGATTGATTCCAACTGCCTCAGGTTCTTCATACCTTGAATTTGAACCCTCCGCCTCCCTCGCCGCCGCCCGCTCCAACCCCAAATCTCTGATCCCACCTTCCTCAGCTCTCAAGCTGGCCTGCACAGTCCACGGACCAAAGCCACTCCCTAGGTCTGCAGCATTCTCGCCCAACCTCGTTCTCACAACTCATGTCAAGTACGCGCCTTTCGCTGCCCGCAAGAGGAAAGGGCATATTCGCGATGCTAGCGAGCGTGATCTGGGCGTACATCTAGAGACTGCCATTCGCGGCGCAATCGTTGCTGAGCGCTGGCCCAAGAGTGGACTGGATATCACAATCACCGTTATCGAGGCAGAGGATGACCGCTGGTGGGGCGATGCTCCCAATTCGCACGACGCCTCGTGGGGAATGATGAATGTTCTTGCCGGGTGTATTACAGCTGCTTCTGCCGCAATTGCGGATGCTCGCATTGACTGCCTTGATCTTGTTTCAGGCGGTGTTGCTGCTTTGGTTGCGGATGACGAGAGCCCCTCTTCAACGGGAGCTCCACGACTCATGCTTGACATGGATCCCGCGGAGCATCAATCCATTGTGTCTGCCTGTGTAGTGGCATATATGCCTGCCCGTGACGAAATCACAGAGCTCTGGCTTAAGGGAGATAGCTCAAGGGCTGCTCTCGAGAAGGATGATGAGCGGACGGGCCATGAAGCTTTGGTGGATGGAGCTGTTGATGCAGCTCGTGGAGCGAATACTGTTCTGGCTGAGGCTGTGAAGGAATCTATGGAGAGATCTATCGCTCAGGTCTAGGATAAATGCATCACATAACGAATGAATGAAGTCTACAGACATCCAGTACATGTACCTGGGAATTACCTACGGTTGTCTATTCAATAAGTGTACTTCAACAATTTAAGACTGGTGTATTGCTAAATAAAGAGGACATTGTCCTCAGGAAAGCTCAAACACGCATAAAAGATAGCAACAAAGTTCAGGAAATGATCATAAAACAGGCTACAGAAAAGCCTGAGTCCTTTCACCTCTTGGTCACAATTTCTCCGTCCTCGCTGCCATCCTCATACTCAATATCTTCGCCTTGAGTAACTTCAGCCTCAACTTTTCCGGCGACAGCCTCATCAGACTCCTTGTCCATCTTCTCCTTCAGACGGTAGTAGCGGTTTCGAACTGCAGCGTGCTATCCATAGCGTTTCCAAATGGCCGCAATTTTGATCGAAATAAAAGATCAGATCAATAAGTTTGGTTCATCATGTATAATATGATATGAGTAGTACCTGGATGTTGGAAGTTTGAAGAATCCCCAAGAGAAAGCGCAAGGCATTTTCCCTGTGTGCTTTATCAACTTCACGGCAGAAGAGCTCGGCACTGGGCTTCTTGCCCTTGGAGGCAGTGGAGTTGGCCTCAGAAGCTATTGCAGATGCTGACTAGTTTGGTTCATTATGGCTTTCTTGGGTAGAGTCGAATGGCAGATTGAAAATGTGGAAAAGCAATTGAATGTTGAAGTGATTGAATATTGACAGAAGGAAACACGGAACGGAGCAGCCTGTTCATTTTATAGAGCTGAACCGCGATTTCACGGCTGCCAAATTTGGCCCGTTGGGATATCAACAATTCCAATGGCGTTCTCCTGCTCTCAGTCGTATCAAAAACGAGCTCGGTGTCGATCTATTGGGGACCCGTCCAACATGAGTCAAACTTTTTCCTACTGAGGGCCAATATAGGGCAAGTCTTTCGTAAAGACTTAGCAGCACTAGATCGCACCTCTCTTCTCTAGTATCTTATTGCTTCTGATGTCTTCTGTTGCGTTTTGTTGATTGCAAAGTTCAGGTATTCGACTCGACAGCTGATTGGTTGCGGACTAAGCTCATGAAGTCAATTGATCTTTAAAAGAGAGAGTCTTTCTCGGGGATAATGAATGAACTCTGCAGTCCCTTCTTTTGCATCTCTCTCGCAGCTCTCTTGCGAAATGGGAAGTCCTGGAGAGAAAAATCCTGTTATTGCCCAATTCTTTGACTGATAGTCCAAGATGTTGGTGGTTCTTTATCTTGGCGTAGCTCTGAACGGCTTTTTGCAGCTCATCATAGGCTCACTTCGGCGGTCATTACACTGGTCGCTTAGTAGTACGTAAATTGGTCAGCACATCCAATGACAGTGCAGGGCATATGATTCCTTGTTCAGGATATCTTACTTCCACTTCGAAGCAGTGGCGTATATATAAATATTTTATGGCAATTTTAGGAAGAAGATATCAATTTGGAAAGAGGTTGGCTCGAAGAGTTTACTCACACAGAGAGAGAGAGGAGCATGCGGGTTGAGAATGTGAATATTGAACTCAAAGTATAAAGTTATGTTTACATAAATTCTAGGTCTAGCTAGATAGAGGGAAGAAGGATACTAAATTTATCTAACAATGATAACGAGCTTTATAGCTCCATGGACCAATGGGCTCTGGATCTCCATGAAAGACACAATGGATTCTATACATAAAAGACAGCTACATCTGACCACTTGTTGCACAAGGTTCTATTATCATATAGCTTTAGTAGCTTAAAATAGTCCCTAACATTGGAAATCCCCCGCAATGTTGAAGTTTCTCTGTATCAAACACGACTCTTGTTGAACGGGCTTCGAGCACCTCAGAACGCAATACAATTACGCGTATCACTGCTGTCAAGCTGTATAGAAAGAAGTGCAGCCAAGAGGCGCTTATACGCACGATTCACAGGTTTAAACACCAGCTTAGGAAATATTTTAGTCACTATTATGTATAAATTGATGGGAATAACGCAGTAGGCGCATTGCTGGCCGGAATTCAGTAGCAAAGAGTAGATGATTTATGGAGAAAGCAATTCCAGTATGCAATTTTCCGTAAGACAGATAATTGTCAGCGGCATTATACGGAACGTGTAATATGCAAGTGGGGTGTCACCTATCAATAGATATTCATTCCTGTCTCATTGTTGCCTTATTGCACGAGGATCCCATGAAAAACCAAGTAGGAGCGTCAAATACATATACCGGTACTCTGTCAGCAAATATATTAGATTCTCAATCAATGATATCTCTACAGAGTCTGTGCAGTAGATTGATAGAATACTTCAGGTGTCAACTTGACTAAAGTACGTAAAGTTTTCTAGCTGTTAGTCTAAATGCCAGACAGCCAATTATGTACTTTTGCTTTCATTTCCCCCTGAGCTATTTTTGGTACACGTATGGTACACGTAGTACTTTGCACTATAAAAAGCACTCAATGGCTGTACATTAGTCTGTTCAAATGTTCTAGGAGCATTAAATAACAAAAAAAAAAAAAAAAAAGCCAAGCATGAACGGCATGCAAACAGGGGTTAGCTAAAGTTGACATTCCCGGACGGTTAAACGCCAACAATCGGCGGTGTCAGTGTGATGACGATCGGACCCATTTATCGAAATCGAATCGAAATCGGAATCGGAATCGATCGATCTCAAGAAGCGAAGGGCAAGAGTTCGTGTAAAGAACACATTGTTACATGTTCATTCTGTGTAGATTAAGGAACTGACGTTATAACATCTCACGTAACGTGACTTATGCATGTTCCTGCGTCGCACCTCAGGGTCTCACGACAACCAAGGAACCACCAAGGATTCGGGCGGATCATTTGCATTAACTTACGACTAGTGTTTCAATTTGCCCCTGAGCTTTTATCAGTTGGCCTGTTTGCGGAGTTGAACTGCTTTCCCCAAAATTGGCCTTTTCGCGTTCCTTTGTTTCTCGCTTGCCCCCTTGTCACGCTGACAGGCTCCAGTCGAAGCTACTGGAGATGATGTTGAACTCCGGACGTTCGGTTCGCGGGTTCATCCCGTTCAGCACGAGACGGCTGGACCTTTTGTCGATCACCTCGTCACACCAATGACGACTCGAGCGGAAATTGGGGGCTCCATCGTATGCCACAATTCAAGCAACAACCCACTTTTGTTGTGCTGGTCGGCATTTGAAATTCATCATTGCCATTTTGATTGGGCTGATCATGAGGTGGATGTGGCTGCTGCAAGGAAAATTATTATTGTTGCCTCCAATGAAATGAATTTGGCGATGTTGGCGTTTTCGCCTGTCAACAGAATTCCCATGTGGACCCCCCTTACCTCGGATGGGGGCCGACTATGTTAGGACTCCCAGCCTATTATGCAGCCTGAACGTGCTGCTCTGGAGAGAACGGTCTACTAGCTGCATGCTTAACTCCATTCGAATGCAGGTGTCGAACCTGTACGCACGAGACCGGTGATCATAATCGTGAAGACTCGAGGGAGTACTCGGGCCTCGAACTTTGTTCCCCGAGGCAAACTGTGAACAGAGACACGCGATGGGGTATTCTTAAACTTTTAGCGTGCGAACCGCCGCGCCTCATCGGCCACAGGTTCCGCTCGACTGTGATCATGGAGACCGGGTCACTTTCCCCTGATCCAGACACAGAAAGGTAGTAGATCTGCACGCCATCTACTGTACCAGGAAGTGACCTGCTTGGCTCATGTTGACTTTTCTGTTCCTCTTTCCCCATCTCCTTTTCACCATGAAATGTATACTTGAACCGTGTGACGGTCTTCCATTCTTTAAGTGATGCCATGACATCAAGTTGTTTCATTCTTTACGACGACTGGATCTCGTTACTCCACTGATTGTCAGCTTGACACTTTTCCTTCTTTTCCCCCAGCATCACCGCAGTGGTCTTCTATACCGAGTAACACAGCGTGTCGTTCTCCAATTGCGCACAGGTTTTGCGCTTGAGTACATTCAAAGCTTCAAGATGGCTGCCTTGAAGAAACTTTTCCTAGCTGAAAAGCACCCTCGACCGGTGACTAGCCTTGGATTCGAGGGCAGTCCGATGAGGGATCCTTACTTTCACATGACGGTTGATTCGCCTGCACGAAGCCATTTTGGCGACTTCCCGTCAAGCGCTTCGCAGTCTTTAGATGTGGCTCACCATTTTGACCAGATCGAGAAACAATTTGAAGATCTGCATGATTCTCTCCAGCGGCCCATATCTGCTGAATCAGAAATGCCGCCTTTGGGTGCCACTGATTCCACAGCCAGACCCCAGAATGGCCGTCATATCGATTTAATGGATGCTATAACTACCTCGGAACCACCCCAGACAATCCAATCAGAACCTGTCTCCCCACTTGCCGGTCCATACAATGAAGATGTCGCAGAACGGAATATGACCAGATTCCTTCGGATTCAATACAGAAATGGACTCGCAAGCTCGCGGATTCTTGCTGCACTGTACCAAGAGGATGTAGCAGACCGAAACATTGCGAAATATAGTAAAGATTCTCGCACTTTGTCGAATTTGAGCTCTCAGTCATCTCCTGCCGCACCTGGAAGAGTCCGTATCCCAGACGGTGTACGGCGCAAAGCCAGAAAGCGGGATCATGGCAAGCCAACATGGGCATCGGCGGAGAACTTACGCAGGGGAGAGGACTCTCGGGATGATGGCTCAGGCACTTCGTCTCAAGGATCATCCAGCCAAGATCTTCGACACCAAAGATCGGCACCTAGTTTGTCAGCGGACGAAGGCTTTGTGTCCCAGGAGAATGCACCACCAAGCCCTGTTCAGCGCTTGGGCGTTCCCCCTGTTTATAAGCTAGGCAAGAGATGGAGCAATACACCTCTCCCAGACAGTCCGACAATTCCCATTCCTATGGGTGATCGCGGAGGCGCCGCCGAAGCTCCCTCGGTTCCGCGATCGCCTGCTATAATTAGTCGCAGTTCATCTTCGACATCAAGATCGCATTCTTCATCACCACCACCCCCACCAGCGCCAGGCTCTAAGAAGAACGTTCGAGATCTCTCGATCAACACCAAATTGGCTTCTAAAGGACGACCAAAGATTGCACACCGTGCAATTCAGCCGCCAACCCCATCAACCGGCAGTATGAAGCGGGCTCCCAGCATCGCAGAGGTGATGAACAGTCCCCTGCCCGTGCCTAGTCCTGCCAGTCCCCCCAAGGAATCACCACGCTTCAAAGCCTCGGAATTGATGGACTTGTTCAGCAAAGCTTTCACATCAATTCCAGGCAATCACCCCACATACGAGACTCTACAAGATGCCATTGTTCGCGAGATCAACTCTCACGAGGCATTCCGGCGTGTCCCCGTACCGGCGCCAGGACCCCCATTCACACCTATATCCGAAAATGACAGATTCGCTGGCGCCAAGCACGAACCAGGTCTCCTCAGCCGCAATGCCTCAGCAAAGGGCCGACTGGCAAGCAAGGGCTCGTTCAGGAAACACAAGCGCAACTCCGAGTCTCGCCGCAGCATCTCATCCAGCGTCGGCTACGACAAAATTCGACGAAAGGTGGCCGGCTCTCCAGCCCGCCGTCGTCACACCGATGCTCCACCTCCAACCCCGGGTTTCCTGGCCGATATCAAGCCTCAAGAATCCATCGCCCCTCGACTCGTTGCCGGCGAACCAATCACCTACATGGATGTCCTACGTGCAAGCAATGACATTGCCACCTCCGCCCCTAACTCCAAGATGCCCGCTGCCTCCCGCAAGCGTGGCCGCTCAGAGTCCGCTGGTACCCTCGCTACTTTGGCTCGCACTGCGCCAGATGCACCCAGCACCCCAGGCACAATTTACTGTTTGCAAGCACATTCGACTCCATCAGCTAGTGACTCGCAAGAAGACAGTGATGACGATGATATCATCCACCTACCCAGTGTGAACATGGCTCCTCGCGTGCAGATTGAAGGCGTGGACGAGAACAACGTTCGATATGTGATTGACGCTGCCTCTGATGAAGCCCAGAAGTTCATGCACTGGCCACAGCGTACTGCGCGGGGTGTCAACCGCAATGCCTACGAGAACAGTCTCTCACCGTCGTCCCCTGCACGGATGCAGCTTCGTGGTTCTCGCTCTGTTGAGGCCTACTAATTGCCTTTAGGTCGTTCTACTCAGACGCTTTTCTTAATCTAGGGGGAACATCTGCTTTTCTCCGCATGATAATGATGCTTTCATGACTTGCGCTTTCTCTATCTCTCTCTCTCTTAACAAAAGCCTTGCAGTCTTTTCGAGCCTTTCTCTCCAGCCTCCTTGGATGTGATTTCGCTCTTCCCACACTCGAGCTTGTCGTTCCCCTTTCCTATTACTCCAACTCTCGGCCTGACACTTTTCGGCCTACAATACCCTCTCTACATTCACCCAAGTCTATCTCTCAGTCCCTGTCTATTTCCTTTTGTTCTATTACGGGCCTTGCCTGTCATCCCTTGTGGGAATATTCTAAATTCGTTCTTATCCTAATACTGCTTGCATAATCTGGTCGGAGTTTTGCCATACCATTTTTTTTATTCTTACAGCTATGTGTTATTTATCAAATATTTGAGCCACCTCACCTTCATACGTACCTGAACTACTCTCCAAAGTGCAGCATTCAACCGAGATCACTCAAATGACTTGCCATAACTATAATTGTCCTGTTATTTTAGCTTGAGGGCCGGGGGACCATGATGGTATGAGATATTTAATAGAAAAATCCTAACATTCAACTTATTTTTCTATCTCAGCTTAGGTACAACAATCGATGATACCTTCAAACGGCTGGAAGGCCGATTCTCAACTGGCTCGGCTCAGGCAAAGCCGCCTGTCGCGAGGAAGAACCCCAACTCGTGACATGCATGCCGGTGGGAACTGTCCACTTACTTTCGCCGCCGTCCAGTCCATCGCAATAAGCCATTTTTCATTCTTCTCCGCGTCTGTGCTCAAGTACGCAAACACTTTTTCGTTATTACAATCCACATCCTCAAAATCGCCGTAAACAAAAATGACCTTATGTAGCTCCCGGTGCCGGAACGCTTCTTGCCAATATTGCCGCTCTCATAGCTCGCCTGTTACCTAGAACGCAGAGGCCATTTGAGCCTCCACCTTGATGATTTTGTATTCATCGTTCACCTTCATCCAAGGCGTCACTTTAGGCACCGTGAAGCCCGCGTGTGGAGCTGCACTCCATTGCATCGGCGTGCGAGCGTGGTCTCTGGATTTCTTTTGCAGCAGCTCTCATGCTTTCTCAAGACCTTCAGATCCAGCCGGATGAAGCTGCTTCATTTCCATCCAAAAATTAAGCAATTCAACATCTTTGAGTTCGTTTCCGGATCCGAATACAGTCGGGAATTGTGCATACCGATCCCCTGTCCTTGATAATACGCTGCTAACAAGCTGAAGTATATATATCCTCGAGCGCACCACATCTCCTAAATCTAAGTATAAGTAAGTCACTGCTGGAGATCAAACTTCCTGGACGGCAAGATTGACACTCTCATAATGGTCGTGCCAGATCAAAAGGATCACATACTTTGTTGGGCCTTATCGTACATCCATTCGTGACAAGTGTGTGGCTGCATGTCAGTAGAATATGCCCCAATTCGCTTCGCTGGATGCCAAGATCAAACGCTCTGTTGGACAATGGCACACATATCCCGTTCCTGCGGTTGGTGTGGCTACAAGTCAGTGGGTATTTCTTGACTACTCCTGTCCTTGGAGAATGACGAGATGGGAATCCAGCATGCTAGGATCAAGCAACTTGAAGTTCGCTCATCAATGTCCCTGCGAGGCAGTCCGCAACAGTGAAGACCGCGTCCGAAGTCGATAGTCCATGTACTGTTTGATCATGGGGTGCTCTAGTTAGGCCTGCAATTGAGCATAGAAGTACACTCTTCTTCCTCAGTTGGCTTTTTAATTTTCTAACATGTAGGTCAGGTAACTTGGCTCGCAGGGGTAGAATTGGGAAAAATGCCCGTCTGTAGAACGTTGATTGTCTTGCTTTGTGCCTCCATGGGTAGATGTGTCGAAAGTATCTAGTCCCATCGAGTAGCAAGACTAATTCTCACTTTACTAGCTGACTGAGGCTTCTATAATGGTGGAATGGAATGAACTTGTAGTTCAAAGTAAAAAGGAATCGTTCTTCTCATATTCTCATTTCAACTACATGGCGCAACGCCTCCATAAGCCCCCAAACTGTATAAAACAAACAGACAAGGTATCAATTGGATATTCCACATCACCAGGATCTTATGCAACCAGCTTTTGTCTTTCGTTTTGACTCCCCACTTACACAGAAAACTCGATATGATTTGGAGACAGGTAAATGCAGACGATGGCAAGATGATAGATCAGCCAGCTTAGTAGGAACGGCCGAAGTTACACCACTTCTCGGCGAAACGGGTGCAGTGGGGGTTCAAGCAGCGAGTAACACCGGCCTCGATACCCTCGGGCTGATCGAAGGGAATGCACAGCGACTTAGCGCCCATGCTGGGGGCCTTGGCATCCTCGGCCTCACCAGAGTCTTCCTCGGCCTTGCGAGCAGACATTTCCTTAATCTGGTCCTCACACTCCTCAACCAGACAGAAGGGAATAACACAGATGTTCTTCTCGTTGAGTGCGGGGGTGAAATCGTCCCAGTTGGTGATCTGCTTGCGGTGGGTCTTGTACTCGTGGTCGGCACGGTTGAAGAGATCCTTCTGGATGGTCTCGAGCAGCTCGGGAACAGCGGTTGCCAACTCGGGAATAGGGATGGAGGTCTTGCCCTCCTTGCCCATGTCACGGCGGGCAGCGGTGACGAAGTGGCCGGCGGACTCGCCGGGGCCGAACTCAAGGCGCAGGGGCACTCCGCGCATCTCCCACTGGTTGAACTTCCAACCGGGAGAGTAGCTACGGAGGTCGCTCTCAGCACGGACACCGGCGGCAACGAGGACAGCGACGAGGCCGTCGACCTCAGCCGTGAGCTTCTCGCGCTCCTCTTCGGAGTGCTTGGCTGTGATACCGACAGGAACAATGATGACCTGGGTCTCTGCCACACGGGGAGGGAGAACCAGACCCTTGTCGTCACCGTGGACCATAACCATGACACCGAGGGTACGTGTCGACAAACCCCAGGAGTTCTGCCAGACGAGGAGAGGGTCCTTCTTCTCACCTTCCTTGGCAGAGGGATCTTCAACGGTGATACCGAACATCTTACTGAAGTTCTGGCCCAGACCGTGGGATGTACCACCCTGAATACCACGTCCAGTGGCAGGGATATAACCTTCGACGGTGGTAGTGTAGAGACCACCGGCAAACTTCTCCTTTTCGGTCTTTTGACCCTTGATAACGGGAACAGCGAGAAGCTCCTCGTAAATCTTGGCATACCATTCGAGAATAATCAAGACCTCTTCGCGGGCAGCAGCTTCTGTAAGGTGTGCGGTGTGACTAGCGGAATATGAATTAGCATGTTTTCTGCAATAGGTGGACCAACGCAAAAGCCGTACCCTTCTTGCCACAAGAACTCTCGTGTACGGAGGAACGGCTGGGGGTTCTTGAATTCCCAGCGGACGACGGAGTTCCACTGGTTGAGACGCAGGGGGAGATCACGGTGACTGCGAATCCACTTTGCGTAGTATGGGTACATAACGGTCTCGGAGGTAGGGCGGATGGCGATCTTCTTCTCGAGAGGGGTGGAGCCACTTATATGATGCGTTAGTGTATATAGCATCCAAGGCTTAGGTGATATCTTACGCGTGGGTAACCCAGGCGACTTCAGCGGCGAATCCCTCAATGTGGTCCTTCTCGCGTTGCAGGACATCCTCCGACACGAACAGAGGGAACGAGCAGTTCTTGACACCAATACTCTTGATCTTCTTGTTGAACCAGTTCTGAATCTCCTCCCAGATGAAGTACGAAGTGGGCTAACAAAGTAAACAGATAAGCGCAACTCTCTCCATATCTTGCTCAATATCACAGCTTACCTTGAGAATGTAGCATCCAGAGACATCGTAGAAGTCGAGCATCTGACTCTTGACTACCGTCTGCTGGTACCACTCGGGGAAGTCGGTGTCCTTCTTTGCATCAATTCCAATCAGAAGGGGACCCTCGGCCTTCTTCTTGGGAGCCTTCTTGGCCTCGGTCTTGGGAGCCTTTTCTTTCTTGTTGCCACCGGCCTTCTTCTCAGCCTTTTCAGCAGCGAGCTTTGCAAGCTTTGCGGCCTTCTTGGCGGCGTTCTTTGACTCACCCGTCTGGTTATCAGCGGGGTTGGCGGTGCGATCAGGCAGAGCCTGAGGGGCAGCAGCGCCCTCGACGGCGGGGGTATCGGTGGGGTTCTGGCTAGCCATGTTGGAAGGTCAAAACGAGTGTCTGACTAGACAAAGGAAGGAAGGCCGTAACCAGGAGTATATTGGGGGGAAGCGAAGTCGGGTGTGACTCCTCAAAGTGGGATGCGATATCGAAAATTGGCCCACCGCCTTGGCAGAACTTTTAGTGCCCACAGCAACCCCCCCGAAGCCAGACAGCTCTGCCATCGCACTCGAATAGCTCATTTTATTTCGTCTGTTATCATGGCAGGCATCTTTGAGGCACCGCGGAATGCGGACACACTCTGTGAGATCTTTACGATTGACTGTTGTTGTTTTCAATGAACTGACCAATCTCGCACACAGTCTTGGGTGGGCAGAAAATCACCGGTGCTGATGTCCGTGAGCAGACTGGTATGTCGAACTATTGATTGAATACGCTTTCTTCGGAGACGGTAGCTGACTTCCTGAAGTTCTCGCGACTCAGGCCATCGCAAATGTCATCAAGAGCTCTTTCGGTCCCTCCGGTTTGGACAAGATGATGGTGGACGACATAGGGGTATGGGAACACATCAACCCCGCAAAGCTTCGCTGCAGCTTCTAACATTTGGCAGGATGTTACCGTGACGAACGATGGCGCTACCATTCTGTCTTTGCTGGATATTGAGCACCCTGCGGGCAAGATCCTCGTTGATTTGGCCCAGCAACAGGATAAGGAGGTATGGGTCTCTGCATCCACTATTCAAACACCTGCTAATCATATTTTTTCATAGGTCGGGGATGGCACAACCTCTGTCGTTCTTATCGCCGCTGAGCTTTTGCGGAGAGGAAACGAGCTAATTAAGAACAAAATCCACCCTACGACCATCATCACAGGATTCCGGCTTGCCCTGCGCGAAGCCGTCAAGTATATGAATGAGAATGTTACGACGAAGGTGGATAATATTGGAAAGGATAGCTTGGTCAACATTGCGAAGACTTCCATGTCCTCCAAGATCATCGGTTCCGACTCTGACTTCTTTGCGAACATGTGTGTGGACGCGATGCTCCAGGTAAAGTCCGTCAACCAGAGAGGCGAGGTCAAATACCCCGTCAAGGCTGTGAACCTGCTCAAGGCCCACGGAAAGAGTGGTACCGAGTCCGTTCTCGTGAACGGATATGCTTTGAACTGCACCGTTGCTTCTCAGGCTATGACGACCCATGTGACCGACGCCAAGATCGCTTGTCTGGATATGAACCTGCAGAAGGAGCGTATGAAGCTTGGTGTTCAGATTACAGTGGAGGACCCCGACCAATTGGAGAAGATCCGCGAGCGCGAGTCTGGCATTGTTCTCGAGCGTGTTGAGATGATCCTGAAGTCCGGCGCCAATGTCGTCCTCACAACAAAGGGTATTGATGACATGGTTCTCAAGCTCTTCGTCGAGCGTGGAGCCATGGCAGTTCGTCGTTGCAAGAAGGAGGACTTGCGCCGCATCGCCAAGGCCACCGGTGCCACCCTGGTCAGCACCCTGTCTGACCTCAACGGGGATGAGAAGTTCGACGCATCAAACCTTGGAACCGCCGAGGAGGTTGTGCAAGAACGTATTTCGGACGATGAGTGCATCCTCGTCAGGGGCACCAAGGTCCACAACTCTGCTTCCATCATTCTCCGTGGTGCCAACGAATACAGTTTGGACGAGATGGAGCGCTCTGTTCACGACTCTCTCTGTGCCATCAAGCGGACTCTGGAGAGCGGAAGCATCGTTCCCGGTGGTGGAGCCGTGGAAACAGCACTTCACATCTACCTTGAGGAATTCGCAGTCACAGTGGTAAGTTCAATTGGTCGCGACTACACTTTGTTCTATATGATTTCTAATGTTTCTCAAACAGGGCTCTCGTGAGCAACTGGCTATCGGCGAGTTCGCACAGTCTCTTCTCGTCATCCCTAAGACTTTGGCAGTCAACGCAGCCAAGGACTCATCCGAGCTCGTCGCTCAGCTCCGTGTTCGCCACGCCCTGTCACAGCGTGTGCAGGACGGTGATGCCAACGAGGAGGAGAAGGCTATCGCCAAGAAGAAGACCTACCGCAACTACGGTCTGGATCTGGCCAAGGGCAGGGTTCACGACACCTTGAAAGCCGGTGTCTTGGAGCCCAGCATGAGCAAGGTCAAGCAGCTCAAGAGTGCCGTCGAGGCTTGCATAGCCATCATGCGCATTGACACTATCATCAAGCTGGACCCGGAGCAGCCAGCTGATGACGGCCACGGTCACTAAGGCCGAGCTTGTGTTGACTCCTCCAATTATCAAAAAAGGCAGTAATATGATGTGAAATAGACGATCAGCAGTAGAAATCTCATTTTCCACTGCTACTGCATATGAACAAATCTCTCAAGAGTAAATACATGAAACTGTAATTCTATAACTCCGACCTTGTTCGTATATATCACTGCCGTCTCTCAGCCATCAACCGACGATACTCCTCGACAATATTCCTCCGCTCACCTGCCAACTCCTCTCGCCGTCTCAAACTACCAACAGCAGTAGGCACATTGGCAACATCAACCTTAGCACCACCACGCACCTTAAAAATCTCACGAGGTTTAATCAACGAAGGCGGCGCAGGCGCAGTCTCAAACGGATTCTTCTTGCGCTCCTGGTCACGCTTCTTCAGCTTCGCCCAGGGATCAGGATCATCATCGCCACTATCAGGAGCACCGTCCTCCCCATCAGCATTCTTGCCCTGTTTCTTACTCTTCCGTGCCGCTGCAGCGGCAGCACGCTTTTTAGCAGCCTTGCCTCCGGCCTCAATCTCCCACTCCTTCCACTGCTGCAATTCATCCTCCATCTCAGCTTCACGCTCTTCCCGCTCCGCCTGCTCTTTCTCACGGATCTTCTTATCCTCCTCACGCCATCCAGACTGCAGGCGCAGCAGATGCTTCTCATGCTTCGTCAGCTTGTGCTGCTCATTGGTCTTAGCCTCGCCGGACTTAGTTGTCTTGGTCATTTGCGACAAGGGCATTTCGCGGTCAACTCGAGCGGAGAACTCGGCTAGCCTTTCACCCGGCAGGATCTTGGGCATTGCGTTCTTCTCCGCGGCCGGTTTGGCTTCTTCGGCCTTGGCACCTCTTGTAGGCTTTTTCTTTGACTCAGTTGTGGTCTCTGTGCCGGCGCGCTTGCGCTTCTTATTTTCGCCAGTTTCCAGTCCTGAAGGGGCTCGTCGGCCTGTTTGCTGGAATTGCATTATGCGGCGGAATGCGGCTGGGGTGTCATCTTCGGAGACGGTCTTGCGGCGGCTGCTGGGTGCTTTGTTTACGCTGGGGTTCTGGTCTTGGCCTTGATTCTTCTTGCTGTCTTGCTTGATTGGCTTGCCGTTCTTGCCAATCTTGGGCTTGTTGGCGTCACGGACTGGGAGTGCTTTGGCGATCTCCGAAGGTGGTAGGTTGAAGAGACTGGCGTGAGGACTCGTTAGACTTGGAATCTAGATTAATGGGTATAATTTATACTCACGACTTGTCAGCCTCTCCGCGTCTCTTGTGTTTGTGAGGCATTGTGGGTGTTCTTTGGGGGTTAAGTCTTGGGGTGGTATTCGCGCAACTTTTTTTCAACTTTGTAAGGTCAACCGCTCTTATCTCTTATCGCCCGCTTGTATGCTTTCTACTTCGGCACTTCACCTTGAATTTATATCTTCAGACGAAAGCGAACAAATTCAACTATAATTACGGTAATGGCTAAGTGAATTTTTTTTCCTGCTGGATTCTTCAAATATCGTCGCAAGTTTTGCCTGCCCAGAACCATGCGCTTGGCTATTTTCTACTGCGGAAATATGTAACAGTACTCAAACATTTTCGATACATAGAAAACTAATCAATTCAGTAGTCAACTAAGAGTATAATTAAAATTCCGAGAGGGTGCAGACCAGAATAAAAACGGGTATGCTGCGCTAGAATCGAGATGCCCTCCCAAGCGCCAGGGAAATGCCCAACAGTGAAAAAACCATCCAAACGCCATGAATGCTGAGAGTACAAAATCACAAAACAAGCAGGATGAATCAGTCGTCTTTGTCGTTGTAAGAGTCTTTCATATCAGCCCAACCACACTGCCAGCGCTTGCCCTCGGATTCACCGCCGTTTCGAAGCTCACGAGCCTCAGGTCCTTCACGCCAGCAGCGAGCAGTGTAGTCGTCACTCACAGTAATAAGTTCACCAGATTGAGTCCATGACATGCCGGTGACTTCCTTCTGGTGGCCTTCAATAAGAGGGGTACCGGATTGGTGGATCGGAATGGTGTCTTCAAGACGCCCAGACAAGCCGATTCCGGAGTTCGTGCGGCGGAGGCCAGAGCGGGTGGTAAAGAGAGACGTCCGGGTTGGCGGACTTTCGGGGGTGTTTGCACAGGGGGATTGAAGTATCGTTCATCGGTGGGGAATAGAATTGGACAGAAGTCACTGCTTCCAGTGGCTAGTATCTCCGGGTGATCGGCAGTCGCTTTGCGGACGGCCAGCTTCACGTAGAAGGTAGAGACCTGGAGACGAGGGTGACGGAACCCGTATAGAGGACCAAGGCCATCCTTGTCAGAGCCTCCAGTCCGACGTGGGCGGTTGTTATTGACCGAAAGTTCAGGAGCGTTTCCGAGGATCAAGTGCGAGGTTGAGTACGTGTATACCGTGTTGTCTCGGCAAAGAGTATACAGCCGTGCACCATCACCGCCAAATGCCATGGAAGTAAGACCGAAGCGTCGATATTTAACGTGGCTTTCCGGTTCCTGTGTTGTAGATAGCGGAATCACAGGTCGACCACGGCGGTTATTATGTGCGGTTCGCAAATCCCATAATCTCACACTTGCACTGGCCTCGGAGGCTGTAACGAAAAGATTTTCACGTCCAGGAGCCAGGAAAGCGAGCGAGGTCACGGTGATGTCGGTCCGGCCAAAGGGCGGTACTTCATTTTTGTCCATTGCAGGTTTCTGAAAAGTTGTGTAGGCATGGGCCCCTCCAATGGTGTTGAGAACATGCGGGTATAGCATTTTTGGCGGTGCGGTAGTCGAGGGGTTCTCGGCTTCGGACAGAGAGCATTGGACTTGCAATGCAGGTCGTTCAAACCCTTTGCAACGAAGATCCCAAATGTTGACATTTCCGTCTCGACTGCATGTAGCAAGAACTTTGTTGTTGGAGGCTGGTTGGAATTGGATGCGCTTGACGGACGAAGAGTGATTCGATAGGCAATGGATGGGTCGTTGTGTTGTCATATCGATAATAAGAGACGTTTGGTCGCCTGATGCCGTGGCCAGTAGCATGTCATCAGATGAGAATTCGAGATCCATGATCGAGTTCATGTGCGGACGGAAACCGAGATATGCATCAGTGAAGCCGGCGTCTTCGTCAATTGAGGAGTCTAGTAGTCGAATGCCACCCTCTTCGTCGCCAACCGCGACGAGCGAGTTTGCTGCCCTTGGGTTAGATGTTGGTTGCAGTCAGAGCCTGTGTGACTTACTGTTGCATGAAGCATTGCAGAAGGGCAAGGCCAGTCCGTCTGATGCATAGCTAGAACATGTGTGACGGTCTTGGCTTTGAGAATAAAAGTCGGACGTAAGATCTTGCCATCCTACATAGAATCGTTAGGAACGAGCAGACAAGGTATGTGGTGAATACCAACCAGCGCCATAGTTGGATCGCAGAGTCGTCCTGTTTGCTCTAGAGCCCATCACAGTTCGCATGAACAATGCGCCAGAGGCTTGCAATGCCTTCGACCGACGCACAGGAGCCACCGGTTTGGATTGTTTTGGTGGACTCGGCAGAGTAGCTTCCCTATGGCGGAGATTGATATCTCGAATTGTCATATCATTTTCCACTTCGCCTGTCGGTGACCGGACACGAACTCTCTTCAGCGGCGAGGATTGTAGAGGGGAAATGGCAGAAGAGAACGAGTTTTTCCGCTTCCTGCTCGGAGTACGAATGAAGTCTTCCGGTAAGCCATCGTGGGGGCTTCTGGTGCTACCAGCCTTGGAAGTTCTCGAGAATGCTGGGCCCAGGCGGTTGACGGCAGGCGAAGTTAGAGCCCGTAAGGCCTGACGACTGGTAGACGGAGTAGTCGAATTATCTGCGATAGGCAGGAGAGAGCGTGGGGTAAAGAATCGGCGGAATGATCGAGGTGTGACCGTCGGTGGCTTTCTGGCTCTGCGGCGGCCACCAGCATCGGAGGAAATAGACGGAGGGGACGAGGGCGGCTCTGGGGGAGGCAGGACTGGCTCTGAATAGGGCACCTCCGGTAAATCGAAGAGGCCCATTGTGTGACGAAAAGAAGAAAGAAGACGAAAAACTACAAGTGCATGGGGCGGCTAAGGGGATGAATCGGGGAAGATTGGATCTTTTCGTGTCGCGACGTGACGCGATCGTGTCAAGGCATTTCACCCCTCCAATCCAGACCCCTTCACCATTGATCCCACATTAATTTCGTATTTTATAATGACTTTATTTCATAGTAATCTTGTACTGGGTATTCCTTTCTCCCGAGGCCTTTTTCTCTGTCTTCAAGAATTACCATAGCGGGGTGGGGGCGGATTCTAGCCCGTTTTTGCTGTCAACAATCGCAATTCCAGCTACTCAATCGACCATGCTCGCTGTGGTTTGCATGCTTGATGTGAAAATACAATTTAGAGTGCTCTTAGGGTATTGTAGACCCGTCAATTCTCAATATATGCTCCAGGGAAGAGATTACCAAGCTTCAGCGCGGTTATATAGAGTTGTTTATATTTGAAGTATAGAGCTCCCAGAAAAGGCGATTTCTCAACATGTGTTGAATAAATATATATTCGCGACCGAAGTCTTCATAACGAATAATAATTTTCTGTGACACATTATCAGAAATATTACAGTGTGTTCATTAAGCAAGTCATTGGTTTAGCGGATTTTATAGCCCCGTTGATATAATGGATCGCCCTTGTCTTTGACGCAGACAAAGGTTATTGAAGGGACCATAGTTCGGACAGTAATACTGGACCCTAGTCATTCTATATAAATAGTTATCATGATCATAATTTCATTCATGGTCAAGCTTCCATCTTCAAGCTTCCATCTTCAAGCTTCCATCTTCAAGCTTCCAACCACCGTCTCGCTACATCAACAACAGATCATACTCGGTAGTCATGCCCTCTCACGTGGCTGAGAGGGTAAATGGCATTCTGTATCTTCTGTCATGGACGCTGTTATGCTGCTGAGCACTTTTTGATGCAGACGCCGGTCCCAGCCAAGAGTCTGGTTTCAATTTTCACATAATCTTGACCTTTGTCACCCCGAACGAAAAACGAATTGCAAGCACTGTTTGGGCGACTTACTGAACCCATCGTACTCGGTAATCATACTCTTTGGCATGCCTGGCCGCGTGACTGGTTCTTATGTTCTATCAAAAGCCATATGCATGCTGCTATGACCTGTTGGATGTAGGCAACGATACCGGAGATGAGTCTATTTTCCATGGCCATCCCATACCCACTCATTTCACGCCCGAGGAAGACATAGCCTCAGCCAATACTTGGGAAGTGAATCAGAGCACCCCATATCTGTGTGCTCTCAATGCCACATTTTTTTCACAACATGATCTTCACCTACAACCGGCCGATGCGGGCATTGTCTATGCATCGGTACTGACGTTTCAAACGGCATGGAACGGGCTGTTCTCACTTCTTCGAGCGGCAAAGGATATGTCCTATAGATCTCGATATCTCCCTGGTCTAATTTGTCTCAACCTAGGGAATTTGGCTATCCGTCATGTTTCTCCTACTCCTCTCCCGACAGACCAGCAAATAACGACGTTTTTGCACAAAATCATCGAATTGATCAAGCTTGCCCCTGAGACGGAGTACAAGGCTTTATGGGAGGGTGGGCAAAATTTGTACACTCTTTACAAGAGCCTGTACTTGAAGTTCCATGGGGTGCGATTCGCACCTTTGGGGGTCGCAGGTCAGCTATTGCAATAAACGGCCTGCTCTCTGACTAGAGAGGTCTGGAGCCCTCATCACTTCACATTTGTTTCATGGCCTTCATCAGTTAGTTCTTCAGCTGTTATCAGAAATGAATCAGTGCTTAAAGGAAACCCGCCGGGCTGAACTAGCGGAAATTGCTCTTGATAACTTTCGTTGATGAAAACTCTTGCTTCTCGCCAATAGCTTGATTTTATCGGAAACATTTTTAGAAAGTCCTCAAATCCTACGGTCTCCCAAAATCCTGACTATCCCAAAATCCCTCTTACGTGAAAAAAATCCATCAACTATGCCGTCGGCGCCAATATCACTTTTAACCGCATGATATTATATGAATCCTCGCTAATCTATACATCCTTTGCGAAAGGAAGTTACCTATATCATTCTTATCAATGGTAGAACAAGCACATACGACCACAGGGTGTGGAGAACAGGGCTTCCCGTCCGCTCAGCCGTACTTAAGCCACACGCCGGTAAGTTAGTAGTTAGGTGGGTGACCACTAGCGAATCCTTACTGTTGTATGTTTTTGCTTTTGTTTTTTGTCTTTTACCCGCAGGCTGCTCTTTTCGGGATATTTAGTGTCCTACTCCTGCGTAACAGAAGACTTCATCATATTTGCTCTCTCTCATCCTCTCAGCATACAACTATCAAGCTGCAAGTCCGTTGGACTATTTACTATATATTGAAATGGGGATGGCACGATGGCAGTCTGACATAGCAGACCGGTCGATACTAACGAAGAGATCACACAACCACTCCCATGGTCTGATGTAGACGTAGAGAGCAGTCTCTGAAGGTGTAAATCGTACTCAGCCTGGTGCTATATCATGAACCAAGAAGTCTGGTGAATAACTGTAGTCATATTTGAGGTTGTTTGATCATGCTGAGATCCCCATGTAGGAGAAGGCTGCATGTCTGCTAAGGCATTTGTAATACCTCAGGCCGCTAAAACTACTGTCACGGGAATCACCACTACAATATCTTAGTTCTGCAGAGCTTTGGGCAAATGAGTAGAAGGACATCATGCTAGTACGAAAGGATGCGTGCGACGTATAGTATCGTATCAGAACATGCGGCCATGAAAATAAGCAGTGAGATAGATCTCACTCGATCTTCGAATTATCATAGTTACCCATTATCCCTCCTTACTACTCTCAATATTCCTACTCATTGTTTTCACCCACCATGCTCAACATATTCTTCCACCAAATATGCTTATCATCATTCTCCACCATCCTCTATCACCATCTACCCTCACCATATCTCCTCACAGCCTCCCTCCCAGCATCTTGCCCAGCATCTTACCTCATGTCTTCCCACGCGCTTGACCGGGATAGCAGTATGTTTTCCATGACGTAGAGACAGTGCACGTTAATAACCACTTCTATCATGCAGACAATGATCCCACCGATGAGCCCACGGAGCCCGAACCCATAGATCCTCATCCCTATGGCGAGCAAATTCAGATTTTTATCAACCCACATGGAGATCGACTGACTGCCGAAGAAGAAATATTCATTCATTTCGTGCGCCCTCTCGCCTACAGGCTCATCCTCGAAAGTGTCTTTACTTACACCCAGGAAATGCAGCAGATCGTACAGGCCTCGGAGCTCACGCACATTACCGCATGAGATCGCATGCTAGAACTCATTGAAAAAGTAGGAAAACTATGCCATGACATCTAACAGCTTCCTGGCTTCGTCTGTATCTGCTTCGAGAATGGCATGCTGAGTCATGAGCACCCTGCAGTGCTCTCAACTATCCCACAGATGGCAGCACTCTTTTCTCAAATCCAGGAGATTTCGGAAATTGCCGCTCAAACTGAGCGCATGATTCACTCGGACACTGAGTGCAACATTTTGTCGCTCTGCACTGACCTTTATGACAGCATGAGTGCAGTGCAATTTGAGCTCTTGCTTATTGCAGAGAAACTCGAGGACTGAAAGTGGAACCATAAGAAAAGATTTGGAGAAGGGCTTGGATGGATAGGATAGGATATTTGGTCTCTCTTTGCCTGTTGGGAATTGCAATGCACAGTAGGCAAATATCTACCATAGGTCATGAACCAACATTATCTTTCTAAAGAATACGTACCTGTTCTCTGGCTTTCAAGACATGTAGACCTAGTTACCTGTAAAATACAAGGTGGGTACACTTCGCTTTATTCTTGATAATACAGAGTCAATCTTTTGAAAGATTGTTAAAAGAACTTAGGCTAGTTGGGCGGTAGGTGTATCGGGTGCTAAAATCAGCGCAGTAACACATAAAACAGTAAAGCTTGGGATAAAGATGCCCCTCCAATATCTGGTATTGTACAAGAGAGGCTAGAAGTCCTTTCATTTCTCCACCTTGAAGCGATTTAGACGACCAAAATGAGGCACTCCCAAATGGCCAAAAAAGGGGTGAAAAGAAGAAATGGGAACTTAAGGTACAAAGAATGTATCAAAGGATACAATTGCCTCAAATACCTTGTAGAGGAATCGTCTCATAATTCATGGTACACAAATTCATGACCCTTGTTGTAGGTAATTCCAGAAAGTTAGGGCACGTTCTGGCACGTTAATGTTCGCCATAATTTCCAGGCGCCTAAATGCTGACTCATGATTGCTCCCGTAACCTACACCGCCAAGAAGGTTCTGCCGCGACTCGGAATTTTTTTTATCTTTTTCTTGAGGATCAACCCGCAATCTGCAACAGAGCACGATTCGGTTTTGCCTGTTGAATTATGGCGCCAATTAAGCGCAAGGGGAATGCCCCTGAAGAAACAGCTGCTCGCCAGCCCCAAAAACGTGCTAAGGTTGGAGCGGAGGAGAACAAAAAAGAGCATAAGAAGGAAAACGATGCCGCCTCCACCGCCGCGAAAGCTTCAGAGCTTTCCGTGCTGCGCGACGAGGAGCCTTCGTTCCCTCGTGGTGGTGCAAGCGTCTTGACCCCATTGGAGCGCAAGCAAATCCAGATTCAGGCCAACAAGGATGTTCTGTTCGAGCAGAAAGGATCCCAGAAGCCTTCCAAGAAGCCCTCAACCACCTTTGAAGAGGAGAGCGATAATGACGTTGAAATGGAGGATGAAGAGACAACCACAACCTCCAAGAAGTCTCGGAAGAAGAAGACAAAGGGCAAGAAGTCTACAGATAAGGATTCGGCTGAAAAGCAAGAAGTTCGCATTGAAGGTCTCAGCTTCAAGGTAGGTTATGGGAAACCTTTTGCGTCGCATTTAATCTGACTGTCGCAGCGTCTTGTTCCTGGAACCATGGTTCTAGGTCAAGTCTCCAGCATCAACGCCCACGACATCGGCCTGTCGCTGCCTAACAACCTTACCGGATACGTCCCTCTTACATCCGTCTCGAAGGGACTCGAGGACAAAATTGAGAAGATGTTAAATGACGAGGAAGAGGATGACGATGAGGACAGCTCAGACGACGAGTCTTTTGATCTCAAGGACCACTTCTATTTGGGTCAATACCTGCGAGCATTCGTTGTCTCCACCGGTGGCAACCCTGCAGACCCCAAGACCCGTAGCAAGAAGCACATTGAGCTATCAATCGACCCCAGACAAACGAACACTGGTCTCACAAAGTCCGATCTCGTCGTAAACTCGGCTGTTCAGGCATCCGTTGTCAGCGTTGAGGACCACGGTGTGGTCATGGACCTTGGCATTGAGGGCGCAGACCTGAAGGGATTCATGTCCTCCAAGGAGCTCGATCACGGCGTGGAGTACTCGAACCTCAAGGAGGGATCTGTCTTCCTTTGCATGGTCACTGGTCAGAACCCCAGTGGAAATGTCATCAAGCTGTCCACCAACTTCCAATCATCCGCCTCGATCAAGAAATCGAACTACCTCAGCTCGGCTCCCACAATCAACACCTTCCTCCCCGGAGCCGCCGCCGAAATTCTCCTTACCGAAGTCACTTCAAGCGGCATGATCGGAAAGATCATGGGAATGCTCGACGCAACCGTCGATCTGGTTCAGTCCGGTGCCAACAACGGCAAGATTGACCTGGAGAAAAAGTTCAAGATGGGTGCCAAGATCAAGGGTCGTATTGTTTCGACCTTTCCATCTGCCGAGCCCTTCAAGGTTGGCTTCTCGATGCTCGACCACGTCCTCAAGCTTTCTTCCGATTCCCTTGGTCCCCGTTCCTCCGACGAGGCCCCTGCTATCTCCGCCATCATTCCTGAGGCGAAGATCGTCAAGGTTGACCCCGGTATGGGTGTGTATGCTCAGATTGGAGAGACCAAGCACATTGGTTTCGTTCACATGTCAAGGCTCTCCGACGGCAAGGTCGAGAGCATTGACGAGACCTCCGGTGCTTTCAAGCTCGATGCTACCCACGAGGCCAGAGTCGTCGGCTACAACCCCGTTGATAACCTCTACTTGCTTTCATTCGAGAAGTCCGTTCTCGAGCAGCCTTTCCTCCGCGTCGAGGATGTTACCGTTGGTGCCATCGTCAAAGGAAAGGTCGAGAAGCTCCTGATCGGTGCCAATGGCATGGACGGAGTGATCATTAATCTGGCCGATGGAATCACTGGCCTTGTCCCTTCCATGCACTTCGCCGATACCCAGCTTCAGTTCCCCGAGAAGAAGTTCCGTGAGGGCCAGAAGCTTTCCTTGAGAATTCTCTCCGTCAACGTTGAGAAGCGCCAGATCCGCTTGACCCTGAAGAAGAGTTTGCTCAACAGCGAGTCTGCCATCTGGAAGGACTACAAGGACATCACTCCTGGCTCCCAATCCCCCGGTACCATTGTCAGCCTCCAGACCCACGGTGCTGTCATCCAGTTCTACGGTGACGTCCGCGCTTTCCTTCCCGTTTCCGAGATGAGTGAGGCCTATATCAAGGACCCTGCCCAGCACTTCAGACAAGGACAGGTCCTCAATGTTCACGCCTTGAGCGTGGATGCCGCCCTCGGCAGACTCACCGTTTCTTGCAAGGACCCCTCTACATTCACTGAGCAGTACCGCAAGGCTTTCGAGACTCTCCACCCCGGTCACCTTGTTAGTGGAGTCGTCTTCGAGAAGTCCAACGAGGATGTTCTTCTCAAGCTCGACGAGTCTGGTCTCATTGCTCGTATCGACTCCCAGCACATCATTGACGGACCCCCCTCCAAGCAAGCCTCGATGATGTCCAAGCTCCGTGTTGGCCAGAAGTTGAACGACCTCTTGGTTCTCGATATCCAGCGCGCCCACCGTCTCATCAAGGTTTCTAGCCGAGGCAGCATGAAGAAGGCCGCCAAGACTAAGTCCATGCCCAGCAGCTTTGAGCAGGTGCAAGAGGGTTCCACTGTCACCGGTTTCGTCCGCAACATCACTCCCGATGGTGTCTTTGTCGAGTTCCTTGGTGGTCTTACCGGTTTGCTCCCCAGACGTCTCATCGACGACGCCAACCTCGAGCAGCCTCGCTACGGTCTGTCCAAGGCACAGACTCTCACCCTCAATGTTCAATCTGTAGATATGGATTACAAGCGCTTCATTCTGAGCATGAAGCCCGTGGATACTGCTCCTGTTATCTCCAAGAAGGCCCCCAAGCAGCAGACCGATGACAACGTTGCCAACCCCATCGACAGCAACATCAAGACCATGTCCGACTTCACCTTCGGCAGAATCGTTGAATGCAAGGTTGTCTCCATCAAGGCCACTCAGGTCAACGTTCAGCTGGCGGATAACCTGCAGGGTCGTATCGATGTCTCCGAGATCTTCGATGACTGGAAAGACATCAAGGACCGCAAACAGCCCTTGCGATTCTTCAAGGCCAAGCAGACCCTGTCTGCCCGTATCCTCGGTGTCCACGATGCTCGCAACCACAAGTTCCTTCCCATCAGCCATCGCTCTGGCAAGTACCCTGTGTTCGAGCTTTCTCTCAAGCCTAGCTATTTGAAGGCCTCCAACCCCGCCCCTCTGAACATGGAGCAGGTTCAGGTTGGATCTTCTTGGATGGGCTTCGTCAACAACGTTTCCGACGACTGCCTTTGGGTCAACTTGTCCCCTAACGTCCGCGGTCGCCTGCGCTTCATGGATGCCTCTGATGATCTGTCCTTGTTGACCGATGTTGAAAAGAACTTCCCCATTGGTTCCGCTCTCAAGGTCCAGGTTACTGCCGTTGACGCCGAGAAGGGCCACCTCAACCTCACTGCCAAGCAGGGCTACGACAAGCTCGCCTTTGGTGATATCTCTGTTGGCATGATCCTTCCCGGTCGTGTCACCAAGGTCACCGAGAGACAGGTGATCATGCAGCTCGGCGAGGCCCTCGTCGGTGCGGTCAACTTGGTTGATCTCGCCGATGACTACTCGAAGGCCAATCCTACCGTGCACAACAAGAACGAGGTTCTGCGTGCCTGCGTCATTGCCGTTGACAAGGCCACCAAGAAGATCTCTCTGTCGCTGCGTCCTTCCAAGGTTCTCAGCTCCTCGCTGCCCGTTCAAGACCGCGAAATCTCTTCCTACAAGGATGTCAAGGTCAACGATGTCATCCGTGGCTTCGTCAAGCGTGTCACTGACTCCGGTCTGTTCGTCGCTATTAGTAACGATGTCACCGCTTACGTGCGCGTATCTGATCTCTCCGACTCTTACCTGAAGGAATGGAAGGACTCCTTCCAGCCCGACCAGCTGGTCAAGGGCAAGGTCACCTTCGTTGATGCCGAGCAGAACAAGCTGCAGATGAGCTTGAAGGAGTCTGTTCTAGACCCCAACTTCAAGGCTCCCATCACCCTCAAGGACCTCAAGACTGGCCAGATTGTCACTGGTAAGGTTCGCAAGGTTGAGGAGTTTGGTGCTTTCATCGTTGTTGACGGCTCTGCCAACATTAGCGGTCTCTGCCACCGCAGTGAGATGGCTGACAAGCGTGTCGAGGATGCCCGCACCTTGTACGATGAGGGTGATGCTATCAAGGCCAAGGTCATCAAGATTGATCACGCCGCCAAGAAGATCTCTTTCTCGCTGAAGGCTTCCCACTTCCAAGATGAAGAGGATGACAGCGCGGATGAGGACGAAATGAGCGTCGATGGTCTTGGTGGTGTCGAGCTGGGTGAGGATGACAGCGAAGACGAGGACGAGGATGACGACGAGTCCATGGGAGGTGTCGATGTGGAAGACGACAGTGAGGAAGAGGAAGAATCCGACGACGAGGATGTGCCAATGCAAGACGCCAAGCCCTCAAAGACTGGCGGTCTCGGCGCCGGCGGCTTCGACTGGAGCGGCAATGCCGCGACGGAGGATACTGCTGCTCGCGAGGACAGCGATGACGAGGACTCCAAAAAGAAGAAGAAGAAGAACCGCAAGGCCGAGATCCAGGTTGACCGCACCGGCGACCTGGATGCGAACGGTCCGCAGTCAGTTGCTGACTTCGAGCGTCTTCTCCTTGGTGAGCCCGACTCCTCTCTCTTGTGGCTGCAGTACATGGCCTTCCAGCTGGAGCTGGGTGAGGTCGAGAAGGCCCGCTCCGTTGCCGAGCGTGCCCTGCGCACCATCACCATGGGCCAGGATACCGAGAAGCTCAACATCTGGGTTGCGCTGCTCAACATGGAGAACACCTACGGCGATGACGACAGTCTCGAGGAGGTGTTCAAGCGTGCTTGTCAGTACAACGAGCCCCAGGAAATCTACGAGCGCATGATCAGTATCTACATCCAATCCGGAAAGAACCAGGTATGTGATCAGTCATCAACATCAATATCAAACCATATACTAACTACTTTACAGAAAGCAAGTGACCTCTTCTACGAGGCCCTCAAGAAGAAGATCTCCTCGCAATCCCCCAAGTTCTTCTACAACTACGCCAGCTTCCTCTTCGACACGATGAGCTCCCCCGACCGCGCCCGCGCCCTCCTTCCCCGAGCCCTGCAATCCCTGCCCGCCCACACGCACATCGAGACAACCTCGAAGTTCGGCCAGCTCGAGTTCCGCTCGGAGAACGGCGACGTGGAGCGTGGCCGAACTGTCTTCGAAGGTCTCCTGTCCTCGTTCCCCAAGCGCATTGACCTGTGGAACGTCCTGCTGGACCTTGAAATCAAGGTCGGCGATGCGGAGCAGGTGCGCCGTCTGTTCGAGCGGGTCCTTGGCCTGCAGAGCGGCAAGAAGGGTGCAGTGAGCATCGACGCTAGCAAGAAGCTCAAGCCTAAGCAGGCCCGCTTTCTCTTTAAGAAGTGGCTTGCCTTTGAGGAGAAGCTGGCTGCTGATAATGGTGATGAGAAGATGGTTGAGGAGGTCAAGGCTCGTGCTGTGACTTATGTCAAGTCTTTGCAGGAGTAGATCTTTCCCTAAAAAATGTACGCCGTGGGTGTTTGGGAGCATTGCATGTATTTGTATATAGATATCACCAGGAAATATGTCTTTTTCTTTGTTCTATCCTATCCCAGCGCAGTATCATAGCATGTGTATAGAAAGTAGACCGAGTACCAGATCGGCAGTTGCGGGCCAATCATTTCCGGCGCCTCCGCAACATGTTCTCAGCCCTGCGAGATCTTGGCTGGTTTCTCTTTTTCACTTTGAGGGACTTTTTCGGGAGTATAGCTGAGCTTATAACCAGGCTATAATCTCGATGTTTCTCACCTTGTCTGTTTTCTGGCTCCAGTTTTTCCCTCTACACTCACTATGAGCGTCCAGCCTCCCCCGCAGAATAGCTCCACCTCTCTGGACGCTCACTTCGAACCCTACACAGACTCAGTCAACCCCGAAGAAGACACAAACAAAGTCAATGTGCACGTCCAGCCTGTTCGCGAAGTGGGGCGCCCAGCCCGTCCATGGCGTCGAGTATTGACCGGCTCAGCTTGGACATCAGTTTCGAGCGAAGATCCCCAGCTTGCAGAACAGCCAACACTCAAGCAGCGATCTTGTTGCTCGAAATTTCTGCGCGGGCTAGTGCGCACCCTAGTCGGAATCCTCATCATGCTGTAAGTCAACCAAATCCGACCTCTACCGAAGGTCCGGAGCCAGCCAATCTACAAGTCCAACCCCGATAGAAGAGAACAATCCACTAAACAAAACGCAAAACAACAGAGGCATAATCCAATTCATCTCAATAGCCTGCGGCATCGTCCTCTCCTTCTTCCCAGACGAATATGACCGCGCAGTGAACAACTGGCTACCAAGCACAAACAACGACCCAATCCAAATCCAAGACACAAGCACAACCCCAATTCCCCTCCCAACCCGCTGGCCAACCGATATCTCCCGCGACATAACCCCAGTAGCATGCCACTCGCACAACGACTACTGGCGCCGCGTACCCCTCTACTCAGCCCTGCAAGCAGGCTGCATCGGCGTCGAAGCAGACGTCTGGCTCTTCGACGAAGAGCTCTACGTCGGACACACGACGTCAAGCCTCACCCGCGAACGCACTCTCCAGTCGATGTATGTCAACCCACTCATTTCAATTCTCGAGCGCCAGAATCCTATCACGGAGTTCCACCCGTCACTCGACACTCCAGCCCACGGCGTCTTCGACACGGACCCTGATCAATCGCTTATCTTCTTGATTGATTTCAAGACTGCCGGGCCGGCTACTTATCATGCCGTCGTGGAACAGCTTGCTCCCCTGCGTGAGCGTGGGTATCTGACGCACTTCAATGGCGAGGAAATCATTCAAGGTCCCATTACTGTTGTCGGAACGGGGAATGCGCCGTTCAATCTTATCAATGCAGGTTCCTCGTATAGAGATATCTTCTTCGATGCGCCGCTCGACAAGCTTGTAGATATCCCCGAGGACGACTCAACACCAGATTCGGATTCAGAAATGGAAACCGATTCCGAGTCTGAGTCCGAAGCAACCCTAATCAAAAGATCCAACGACCACGGTCAAGGCCAAAGCGGCATGCCGAACAAAATAACAGCAAATACATTCAACGCCACGAATAGCTTCTACGCCTCCGTCTCTTTCCGTGCTTCAATCGGCTTCCCCTGGCCATTCCACTTCACCCAGAAGCAAATGGAGCTGATCCGGACTCAGGTTAGGATTGCGCATAAGCACGGGCTGAAGGTTCGGTATTGGGCGTTGCCAAGTTGGCCGCGCAGTTTGAGAAATCATATTTGGAGGGTTCTTGCGCTTGAGGGGGTGGATGTTCTTAATGTTGATGATCTTGTTGGTGCTACGAAGGGGGAGTGGAATACGCGCGTTTTTGATTGGTGGCCCTGATCTTGGTTTGGATCTTTGATGGATTCTTGTGGTTATGATTTCTTATGAATGGGGCGTCCATCTTTGGCTGTTCATGATACCTTTTCTTATGGCTATGTTAGTGTTTCATAGATATGCTTTTCTTGCTATATACCTTGCAATTCATTCATTTTATTCTATGCTCATTGAAGATCGGGATTGTGGTATTGATAGATACTAAATGATACAGAGCTTTTGGAGACGATATCAAATGAATATCAATTGTGAAATAAATATCGCGGTAATCATATTTTTGACATCTGCGGCACCGAATGCTCTGCAGAGAATAATGCAAACCAAAGCCTCAAATCAGGGGGTAAGTATGAATGCCCAATGCCCTGATAGCCGACAAGCCAGCGACGACGCCAAAATGCTTCCAGTAAATGAGATCAAAATCACATGCGCATACAGATGAGAATCGCCTCGGACGATCTCAGCATGAAGTCAGAAGTAAAATGCAATAACAAGGTCATCAGATAGATCATTTGAGAGTGTGTGCATGTGGCATCCCTCGACCAGCCGAGAGAACGCAGCATCAACACACCACCAAGAAGAATCAACCAAACAAGAATCACAGGCAGAACAGCGCCTCTTCGCCGAATTCGCGAATAACGCTTCCCTCCTCCCGGATCAACCCACCAAGCCAATGCTTGGCAGTCTCAAAGTCCTTAGCTCCAAACTTCACAAGCACGAATCCAGCTCGAACCCGCGCCGCGGTCCATGTCACATCACCATGATGGCTAATAGACGGTTCAGGCACAGCAGCAGAAGCATGATCAGACCAATTACGACTACCAATGCGCGGCTGGGTCTGAAATTCGTGTATGAGATACGAGCCCAGTGCTTCAAAGACGGGACCGGAGAGAATTAACGTGCCAACGACACCATGGGGCCGGGTTCGTTCGGCGATGATATTCAAGGGCGTTAGGCCATTTTGAGGTAGTTGAGGGCGATTGGCAGGGCGATTGGAGTGGGAGTTGGAATGATTGTCAATACCGTTATGGATATTCACATCCGTACGCTCGACTTCATCCTCCGAGAACTCGTTCTCCTCATCACTCGTATCCTCGGATTCGTCGTCGAGAATGACAGAGTCTCGGAGTAAAAGCCTGCTCTTGCCTGTTTTCTCGTCTACGGCCCAGACTTCATTGCGGCCGCGCCAGAAGCGGAAGTTCCAATTTTCGCCGCGGGATGTCCGGCCTTGCGTTACCCAGTCTAGCACACACAGACTACTCCTCTGGTCGCCCTTTGCCGTAGCGTCAACGGTGAATGTTTGGATTTGGGCGTAGCGGCTGTTTTGGAAGGGAACTGAAGGGTCGGGGAGGTAGCAGAGGGCTGCTTGGCGGCCAATTTTCACATCGAGAGATTGCTGGCTCATGTCGGAGATACTGGGATTTGCGGGCATTTGCTTGCGGTGGCCCTTGATGACATTGGGGCTGTTTGCGCTGTTTGGGTCTGTTTTGAAGATCTTTGTGCTGCCCTGTGGGGTTGTGACTACCATACGGGTCTTCGGTTCTAGCGTAATGGAGACTTCGATGTGGTCACCTGGTAGCAACCCGCCGCCGTAAGTGAGGAGATAGAGGTGCACTGGGTGTGAGGGGCATGAGTCGGAGAAGGCGGAGGATTCGGGGCTCGGGACGAAGCCGCCGGTTCTGGGGACGAGCTTCAATGGGTATTTATAGGTGAGGGTTGTGAGGGTCGGGTTCGCTGGTGGGAGGAGAGAGAGAACGACTTTCCCCTGTCCCGGCTTCGCAATGGAGGATTGGAAGGGCGAGGGAATGGGTGCTGCTGGTTGTCGCATTGTGGATGGTTGTGCTACACGGCCAGGCATGGGGGCTGTTGTATGTGTGATTGATATGAAATGAAAAACGGAGGAAGAGGAGTGATATAAGAGAGTCCATGTCGAAAAATAGATTTACCCCGGAATCTGCGCGGGAAGGTACTGCCACGGCAGTGACAATCTTAGTCACCGCTACGAGCGGGGCCTCGCAAGTGACCAAGTGCAATCTTGACTTGGCCCCAATACTGAAGATTCAGGCGGTGGATACTGGGAGATCATTGGCACTCGCATAACCACAAGTCCGAATGAAAGGCTACAGGTGTTTCTATGACAAAGAGTATCTCCGCATTTCCACTAGGACCGGCGGGTTACTTCTTGGCGCTTTGTTTTATGTCATTTGATCTGCAGGTAATACTAGTCTAGACTCCAGAGGATAGGGATGCAGGGAAGGAGGAATACAGGAGAAAGGGGCAATAGTCATGGGACCTGACTATTGACTGTCATAGAAAAATATAGAATGACCACATGACCCTAGACTCCATTAACTTTGAAGGCCAAGGGACTATAGACTGTATATAGATGTACGGTGACGCAAACTTTGCAGCTATATTACACGTATCACTCCGTCAAAGTGTGTAGGATGGGCTTTCTCTTTTCCGGTATAGTCGGACTATTCCCCGCTGAGGTCCGAGGCCTGTGCATATCGAGAGCTCTTCAGGCTGGAGGGTTGATCTGATTCAAGACCCTGAGGCGCCTACATGTTGGTTCTAACTAAAACAAATACTAGACTATCTGTGATATTCACGGGTCTATCATTGCAACTATAACGTGCTGATGAATGATAGTCCCAGCACGACTTCCAAGGTTGTTACTATACTTGCATGAAGCACGCAAGTTGGTCGGACTTCACGGAAATAACATCAGGCGAGGTCAGCCTGATACCTAATTTCCAAGGCACCACATTTGCCTCACAAACCAGGCGCCAGGTACAGAGCATGTACTGTGGCAGTTCGATGGAGCAGTCCACTTGATTTATTGAGGTTGATACCTGTCAACAATGTGCTCACTACCCTGTTCGAGAACCTCATCCTGCATTGATTCGAATCATAACACATAAATCAGAGGCCCCTCGGTGTGAAATATAGGAAAGAGACCGTCTAGGTTACCACGGTGTCTGCCGTTGGTCCTGGAAGATACCGCCCTCAATTAATTGTTGGAAGGAGACAAGCATATCCAAGAGAGTATGACGTACTTGGTAATGGTACTTTCAGTTTAAGATTTGCAAAGGTGCTATACGTATACATGAGAGTGCTAAGCTGACACCTGACATACAAGGCACCATGTCCAGGCACCACTTTCGGCCCCATAAATCAGGCGGTCAATCAGGCGTCAAGGCACGAGTCGCGTCTCCTTTCGATCTTCCCCCACTCTGTCTCTGGACAATTTCGAGTCCTTCGATTGACCACCGTTTAACTTCGGCCAGCAGTGCGCTTGTCGCAATTACACGACACAGTCACTTTTGTCTTGTTACGCCCATTCGTTTCGTTTGCTCGGTACCAACCGCGCGTTGCACGGAGCGCGTCCCATTACACTCACTACCAGATCCACCACCTCCATCCGAGGCGATTGATCAACGCGCCTTTTCCAATATTGCACATTCGTATTTCACATTAATCCACCACAATGGATATCGACAAACCACCGTTATCAAGCCCCGGTCAGTCCACCCCCGCCGAAGACCGACGCAAATCTGGTCGGATGACGCGACGACCGGAGGTGTTTTCGCAAAGCCAACACTCCGAAGAAATTGCTGGAGGGAAACGCAAGCGAGGCGAGGCACGCGATGACGAGGATGGCGACGAAGAAGACGCGTCTGAGTCTGAGAGCGATGCCGGTGACGATGAAGCCGACGAGGAGGAGTTCAGAGAGAAGCGACGTGCTGCACGTGGCACTGGTGCTAAGAAATCCTCAAAGTCAAAGCCAAAGTCCAAGTCGCATGCATCTAAGAAGCCCAAGGTCGCCAGCAAGGGATTGGGTAGACTCGCTTTTCGTCCTGCTGCCAATGGCCGACTTCCGACTGCTCGACCCCGGAAACCTAAGGTTCGACCTAGTCTTGCGGCGGGCGAACGTGGACTATTTGGTGAGTGGTATCTACAAGCACACAAGCACATTTGACTTAGAGCTAATACTTGACTAGCGGAGGTTTTCGGAAAGAGCAGCAACCCCGACACAGTCGCCGCCCAGTGGTTGTCACAATATCAACGCAATAATGGCCAGGCTATGCGAGACCTAGTCAACTTTATCCTGCGATGCGCCGGAACTGACCTCGAGGTCTCCACTGATGAAGCTGTAGATGTCGATAATGCCGTTGGTCGAATTGAAGATCTCCAGGCCCTGTACCAAGCTGAGGGCATCACCGAATATCCTCTAATTTCCAAGTCGAAAAAGTTCCGCGCTTTCCAGCCTCTCCTCGAAGATTTCATGGTTGCTTTAATCAAAACCTTCCATGCCTCGTCCATCCTATACACCGATGATGCTGTGCTCGAAAACATCCAAATCTGGGTCTCTACTATGTCGACCTCCAAGTGCCGCCCCTTTAGACATACAGCCACGATTATCTCCCTCGATATCATGAACGCCCTGTGTGATATTGCCCGCGAGGTCACGACCAGTGTGACAACCTCCCGCAAACAATTTGAGAGTGAAAAGAAGAAGAAAAACGTCAACAAGGGGCGCGCGGAGGCGATCCAAACAGCTATCACAGAGGGTGAACAGAAGGTCGAGCAACTTGACGAATTCCTACAAGATTGGTTTGATACTATCTTTGTACACCGCTACCGAGATATTGATGGTCAGATCCGAGCCGAATGTCTGACAGCTCTAGGTGGATGGATTCGCGCATACCGGGAAGTCTTCTTCGAAGGCCAGTATCTACGGTATCTGGGGTGGACGCTTGCCGATATTATGCCGCAGACCAGACTTGTTGTTCTGTCTGAGCTGATCGTTTTATACGGGAACCGAGACAACATTGCTGGTCTGCACTCATTCACTGAGCGTTTCCGTCAACGCATTGTGGAGATTGCCGTTCAGGATGCCGATCCTTCTGTGCGCGCGGCTGCCGTTGAACTGCTCACCCATCTCCGCGAAGGAGGTCTCCTTGAACCAGATGACATCGATGCCATTGGTCGACTGGTGTTCGACCTGGAACCCCGTATTCGGAAAATAGCAGGCCGCTTCTTTGTGTCCAATGCCGAGGACGCCTTCGAGTCGATCACTGAGGAGGTTGGAGAAGAGCTTAATGAGCTGCTAGCTGATGACGACGAGGATGACTACGAGTCGCCTAAGCGTTCATGGATCAAGTTCAAATGCCTGACCGATCTGTTCCAGTCTTACGACGCACAGCACGCTGAACAGCAACCGCAGCCATCCTCTCGTGACAGACTATTGGGAGTTCCCGTGGAGTCACGCTTTGCTCTGGCTACCGAAGCTGTCTACGCTCATATGGAAGAGCTTGGTCAATGGCCCTCGCTGGCTGGGTATCTGCTCTACGATCACTCTCAGATCACAGACGAGCCGTCCGAAGATGACACTGCAGGCGTTGTGAAGAATCTGTACAAGATGGAAGAAGGACAAGAAGCCATTCTTCTTGAGGTTCTCTGTGCCGCAGTCAAGCTCAAGGTTCTAGATGTTGCCAAATCCGACATTGACAAGCGTGGTCGCAAGGTCAAGGCTCTGACACAAAAGATTCCCGAGCTTCAAGAAGAAGTCTCCCACAACCTTGCACAGATCATCCCACGTCTCCTCAACAAATTCGGATCATCACCCGAATCAGCTTCTGCTGTCCTGCGCCTGGAGCACCTCGTGGACCTGGATACAATCCAGGATCTCCAGAAGGATGCCACTGCTTATTCTTCCCTGCTCAATGATATTAACAAGCAATTCTTGACCCACTCTGATCAAGACGTTCTGGCTGAGGCTAGTGTTGCTTTCTTGCATGCAAAGAGCTCCGATGAGATGAAGGAAGCGCTGGAGAGCAAGGTCCAAGAGTTGTGGGATGACATGGTCGAGACACTAGGCGCTCTATCACGGAAGAAGGACGTGCAAGAAGGTGGCTCGATATCTGATCCTACTCTCACTGACCTGACCAACACCGTTACCCGCATCTCCAATCTCGCTGGTATCACAGACTGCACCGCAATTCTCGAAACCGTGCCCAACTCCCGCTCAAAGTCCAAGAAGGACCATCCCGAAGCTCCCTTCAACACCCTTATCCGCCTCGCCGAGCGCGGCCTCCGCATGGAAGATGACGACGAAGACATCGCCATGACTGAGACTGAGCTAGTGACAAGCAGCATCCGCACACTGCTATTTTATTTCATGTGGAAGGTGCAGGCACTGTCCACAGCTCTCAACGAAGGAAAAGCCACATTCACAACCTCCTACTTCGAAGCCCTCACAAAAAGCCGCGAAGCCTTCACCGACACCCTAGTCAACATCATGAACTCCCGCACAGGCCTCGATAACCTCCGCGTAATAGCAGCAACAACCTACCTCGACCTCCAAACCCTCTTCAGCACCCTCCGCAATCTAGGCACCGGCAGCACAAACGACGAAGAGACAGTCTTCCAGACCCAAAGCCTAATTCACGAAATCGGCCCAGACACCCAAGCCCTCCTCTCCAAAATCCACAACAGCGCCGAAAGAACCTGGGCGAAGAAATCAGGTCTGGACCTCGACCCTGCAGACGACGACGAGCCAGCCTCAGAAGACGAACCCGAAGACGAAGACGAAGCCAGTGATGAAGAAGACGAAGCCGTCCTCAACGAACGCCTCCGCTCTAGCATCTTTGCTGAGCAGCGTCTCTGCGAAATCACAGGCAAACTCGTGCTGGCCATTATCGCCCGTGTCATCGATGCATCTGGCGCGAAGCGTGGCGCGTTGAAAAAACGCCTACTTCGGAATAAGACCGCTCTTGGTCAAAATTATCGCGAGGTCTTGTCTTATCTTGAAGAGAAGAAGCCTAGAGCTGCGCCTTCTAGAGGGAAGGGCAAGCAAGCTGCTAAATCTGCTGCTGCTGCTGCCCCTTCTACTCCTGCCAAGGAGAGTAAGTCTGCGGAACATGTCAATGATGAGGAAGAGGAACATGTTGATAGTGTTGAGGAAGATGGAGATGAAGATTTGCGGACACGCGGTCTGGTCGAGGGGGACATTGATCGTGAGAATGGAGACGGGGATGGAGAAGAGGACGAGGGGTCAAATTCTGCGCCCGAGGATGAGGATGAGGTGATGGGTGATTGAATTTGATGGAATAGTTTCTGCTGCAACTGATGGGTTAACGTTTGTTCTGAAAAATAATCCCTTTTTCTTTTCTTTTCTTTTTCAGATCTTCTTTTCATGTCATCTATGTGACGAGGTGGCTTGGCTTGATTGTTTCCTTTTTTGCCTTTGCTCATGTTTGCGTGGACATCGATATACTCATTCTGTATGTTATATTCTTCTTTTGCTTTCACTTGCTTTGCTTTGATGAGTTGAATCTATTCCCCTCTTTTTTTCGCTGTATGTTCTTTTGACTTTTGGTCATGCTACATAGCAATGCATATTTGGGGCTTCGATCTTGGAACTAGCTGCATAATATCACGAATCACATGAACCATTGCAACTCTGGGAAGTCGAGCAATATATATGAACTTTTCCAGGAAAGGTCAAGATGGTCCAGGGCAAAGAAGCTCTTACGATAACTACGAAGTAGATGGAATAGATTGATCAATAAATCGGCATTTTTCCTGGAAAACTTCAAGGTGACCATGAGAAAAGCACAATCGACAAACATTTTCAGGGGCATGTCTAGGTCAGGATGTAGACGACACACTAGGGCTATCGTCCACAAACAGGCCCCTGTTGTCATCGAGCGAGGGGAAGCTCCCGCGCAGGAGACCAAAACCCCGCTAGGGAACACCAGGGGGTTGGAGGACATTAACATAACTGGAACGAAACCGATCCTACAAACAAATACGCCTGTGTATGAGGATGCTAAAAGGGGGTGGGGAGGGGGAGGGGGATACATGACGGTGAATCTTGTTTATCGTGAAATCAAAAAAAAGTGGAAAAAAAAGGGAAAGGGGGAGGGAAAGATGAAAATCGTAACAAGAGCGCGAGGTAGAAGAAGGCAGGAGTTAGAAGAGCTCCAGGTACTATTCAGACACACGGTCAGACCGAGAAGCACCTAAAGTGCGAAGCAAACGAAGTGGCTTTTTGCGAGCAAGTTGGACTCTCGATGGCCCAATGCTGTCCCACCCGAGCGAGGATGTACTGGGTGCAACTTCGACGAGTTTGTGCAAGGAAAACAAGCAAGGCAACGTATGGATATAGCAAATTGGTGTCTTTACATGTCCATGGTGTCGCCGCCGTTGGAAAAGTTAAATCCACCAGGCTGCTGCTGGCCGGTGCCGAGGGAGAATCCAGTCTGAGTCTGTTGGGGAGCAAGCTCCTCAATGTCACCACCGGCCTCATCCTCGTCGGAGAAGTACTTCTCAATGATGTTGTAAGCCTTCATGTAGATCTCCTCGTTGGCGTTGTTCTGGCAGTCGTGGATCTTCTCCATACCACCAGCCTCCTCGATGAAGAGAGCATAGCGGTTGACGCGGGCCTCACCGGGCTGGCCAGCCTCCTTGTCCATATCGCCGACCTTCAGGATGTTCTCAAGGCCATCGAGAGCGACCTGAATGATCTTGTTATCGGGGCAGGCGAGGAGGTCGCACAGGGGCTTGATGCAGCCTTGGGAAACAAGGTAGCGAATCTGATCGGGCTTCTGGAGACCACCGGAGGTGGCGTTGGAGATAGCCCAGCAAGCCTCCTTGCGGGTCTTGAAGTCACCGTTGGCGAGCAGGTTGATCAGAGGGGCAATGATGCCAGCGTCAATGACAGCCTGGATCTGGCTGGAGTTACCAGCGGTAACGTTAGAGATGGTCCAGCAGGCCTCCTTGCGGATACCGTCCTTGGTGGAGCTCAGGAGAGAGAGCAGGGCGGGGAGAGAGCCACAGTTAATGATGACCTGAGTCTGGACATCGTCACCGGTGACAATGTTACCCACGGAACGGAGGGCGGGAGTCTGAACGGAGGTGGAAGCGTGCATGAGGAGCTCCACCAGGCGGCGGGGGATACCGGCCTCAATAACGGCCTGGATCTTGTCGTTGGCGCCATCGGACAGGTAGGAGATAGCCCAACAGGCGTCAATCAGGACCTCATCGTCAAGCATGTAGATGAGCTTGGCAAGGACGGGAAGAGCAGGGGCAATGGTGTTCCAATCGGGCTGCGGGGTCTTGCCACGGCAGAAGTTACTAAGGGTCCAGGTGGCATTGCGGAGCATGCTAAGCTTGCGGCCATCGTTGATGAGGTTCAGGAGGGGGCGGAGAGCACCGGCACCGAGAACGAAGTCGCGGCAGTGAGGGCTGTCACCGGCAATGTTACCGAGGGCCCAGACGGCCTGCTCGCGGACATCGGGCTCAGGGCTGCTGAGCAGCTCGACGAAGATAGGTACGGCACCAGCCTCGATGACGACCTGGGTTTGCTGAGCGGAACCGGAGGCAATATTGGTCAGAGCCCAAGCAGACTCGAACTGAACCAGAGTGTGGGGGGAGCGAAGGAACTCGACGAAACGGGCAACGACACCGGTCTCAATGACCCGCTCGATAGGAGGGTTGCGCTCCTTGGAAAGCAATTTGCGGAACTTGGTGGTGGCTTGGATCTGTTCCTCAACCTGGTCGGAGAAGACACCCTTCACCATCAAAGGAAGCTCGACGTTGAGCTAAAAAAAGAAAAGAGCATCGCGTTAGCTTTGTAATCCAAACAATGTTATTTTTACAGTGGGGCGTAGGCTAAAAGACCCGACTTTGGAGGGGCCATGGCAACAGGGCGGTGAAAAAAATTCCTTGTTGATGATCGCATCATGAAAACAAAGGAATTATAAGTGCCCAGGGGGTGGCAACGACACCACGGTCGCTGAAGAGCCGGATCCCAGTAGATAGAAGAAATGAGCGCTCAGGTGCTGAATGGAAATTTTCAAACATACCTCACTCTCGATAGCACTAGCTTCATCGTCGCTCTCAGTGGCGGCGTTCACGCCACTAACACTGATGCCACCATCCCGTGTCTGGATACCACGTCTCTTGGCCAAGTTGTCCTCACGCTTCTGCTTCCGGATCTCAACTTGCTGCTCCTCACGGCGACGGCGGAGCTCATCGGGCTTGAACTGGCCTCGGGCCTTGAACTGCGTCCGGCGGTGTTCGGGGATATAACGTTCCGCCATGGTGAATATGAGAAGAGCTGAATGAAGCGCGCCACGTAAATCAGAAAGGAGGTAAGTGATGTAGATTGGGCGCGCTGTGGATGGAAAAAGGAAGAGAGAGATGTGGGGGAGAAGAAGAGAGGAAGAAAGAGGAACGTCTTGTGTGGAAGGAGGGGGGATCATGTGATCACCCATTTTATTTACTCTTCGCGGTAACGTGCACAACTTCATTTTGTTTGTAACTGGGAAGATTCAATTTCGCTTTACTTCTGACTATGGGTGGGAATTGTCCAGCTTCTGGTGTTTTCTGAGTTGCAACTTCGTGATATCCAAGCATCGGGAGCTTGCAGGACACCCCGTGGACCTGCGACTTCGACCACAGCTATGGCTCTGGGAGATTTAGTCTCTATTTCCACTGCTTGTACTTCTAGAGGGACCTTCAGTGTGCTTGGCGTGGTGGTTGATACTCTGCCACTCTTTCGAACCAAAGGCTCCTCCGCATGCGTCACATTCACCATTAAAGACTCCGAATTTGATGCACCGCACTGGCAAGGGGGCCTGAAAGTCAAATATTTCAACGATGATGAGAGTCATCTTCCCAATGTTCAGGTCAACGACCTAGTTCTGCTACGAAGCATTCGGGTCAGTGACATTGAATGACATCAAGACTAAAGCTAATGCCGCGTTCAGGTGAGCATCTACCAGAACAAGCCGACAGGAGTTGTCTCTCAGCAGGAGAGTGTTTCCTGGATAGTATTTCGACCAGAGCCAGGTCCAGGCTCTAGTCTGTCCACCACCACTGGTCCGGTTCCTTTTGAGCCGAGCTTATGGGAAAAGGACCAGGCACAAGCACTCTTGGATCTAGTGACTGCCGAGGGGCATATTGTGCAACCATCCATATCACGCAGTGTACCAGTCTCTCAAAAGTCTTCCCAGGTTATTCAGGCTTCTACCTCGAACCCGAAATTTGGATTGCCCTTCTCACTCATTAAAGATGTCAAACCGGGCAAATTTGCACAACTGCTCGGTCAAGCTATCAAGCTGGAAACGCATGACAGCGAGAAAAGCCTAATTCTCATGACTGATTACACCGAGAATCCACAACTTGATGACTACAAGAAACCCTGGGAAGAAGACGATGAGCCAGGGCCTGATGGCGATCCTTTCAACTACCTAACACGGAGACAAAAAGACTGGCCTGGTCCGTTTGGTCAATTAACAATCCGAGTGACCTTATGGGAACCTCATGCCACATATGCTCGCGAACATGTCAAGCCAGGTGATATTGTTCTCTTGACCTATGTACGGATCAAAGAAAACCGTGGCTTGGAGGCTTCTGTTCATGAAGACAGGAGATTCCCAGAAAAGATCCATATCAAGGTACTGAACGGTGGCCATGACGAGCGCGAACAGGCGTTGTTGAAACGTCGGGCAGAGTACTGGAAAATCCATGGCGAACCCAAGGCAGATACCAAGAATGCCAAAAAGCGGAATAAGAAGGCTCAAGAGCAGCAAAAAGCAGCCAAGAAAGAAGCAGGCCAGCTCATTTTGCCAGCAGCTACCGGAACCAAGTTAAACCCTAACAGTGAGTGAAACTTGTGCGGGAGAGTACACTGGCTAATAGTTGAATTATAGTCAAACCAAACGTCTACACTGCCTCAATTTCTTCTCTTGAGAAGATTTTGCGAGCAGAATCCCACATCAACCATGCGCCAGGGGGCATTGTCTATCAACTACCGTTTCAAAATGTCAACTATATCTCTGAACTCCGTGTGGTCGATTTCTTTCCCCCAGATCTAGAGGATTTTGCCGTGCAAACTCAACAAGCTGCTGAGTCAGAAGACACCGAGACATTAACTGGCTGGGAATGGCGCTTTTGTCTTCTTGTAGAAGGAGTCAATCCACAGCCTTTTAAGCAGCAGCCCCGGGAACGAATGAAGCTTTTCGTGTCTGGTCACGATGGTGATTGTCTCCTGGACATGGTAGCAACAGAGTGAGATACACGTTCCATCGCCATATTGCTTCCGAAATTATGCTGATTCCTTTTTTAGTCTCCGCAGAAAATCTCGAAGATTGAATCTTATGAGAGAGAAGCTCTTCCATCTTTGGGGCAATCTCGAAGAGCGAAAGCAAGCCATAGCTTCTGGTAACTCAGACCCAGAACCACTCAGCTCGTTGCCATTCAAATGCCTCATCAAGGAATACGGAGTGCCGTGTACCCACGAAAAGGACCCCAATGCAATGGAAGTCGATGGAGAGGACTGCAGCCAGCCCGACTGCTTTGGATGGGAGAGACGCTTCGGCATATTCGGCACAACTATTCACTCATGAAGTTTACGATCTAATTGTATTGTTATGAACACAGATACCCTCAGAAAATTCCCTTTTTATGATCCCTAATAATACAATTTAAGTGAGATAATAAGTGTTGGGGTCCCTCCCAATCATCTTTATTACCCATATGAAAAAAAAATTGACGTTGAATTCTCCATGTAAAGCAAGCCTTGCCCCCATGCACCGTCCACAACTCCCGAATGAACGAAATCCTGTTAATGCCATGGGTGCTTTCCGATGAACCTTTCCCCCGTTAAACCCAAACCCGGTCGCGCCGAAGTCAGTAGAAAATATTAAGGGACTTTTGAAGTGCGTAAGATCCAGATGGGCGAACCAGCTTAGATCTTAGTCACTTTCACAATGTTTGTGTCGATGCCATGCGCCACAGGGTCGAAACGGCAAGTCTCGCCTCGAAAGCATGTCTTTTTGCCTGGCTCGCTCTGAGGGCAACGGTGGCCGTAGATACACTCCACATCGTCACATTCCAGCCCGAATCGACAGGGGGTCATACGGGCAATGGCAGATAGGATGTGCAGTTCTTGGCGGCTCAATTTGCGATCATGGTCGTGATAGCAGTTCTCTTCATTAGGACATTCGCCAAGCAAAAAGTGATAGTTGCACAATTTGAGTTTCTTCAGGCGATTAAGATCATCCCGGGGAATACTCTTGAAATCAAGTCGATCGACACGCTGGCCGTACTTGTTTCGTTCCACGGTCTTAGGAGATGTTGAGCTAGATACCTTCTGTCGAACAACCTGGAAGTCAGGAGTCTCGGAGGGCGAAGGCTTATTGACCATGGCAGTAGACAGCGGAACGCCCAGACCCGACATACTGGTACTCGTAGATGTTCTTGACAAAGGAGCAGGAGTCTGATATTGTTGGGTAGGCGATGGCGTGAGCAAACTCCTCGAAGGAAGCGAGCTCTTCCAGGGTGCCGTCCATATGGGTGCAATCTTTGAAGTGCGAAAGACATCTGGGAACTTCGTAGTCCGATATGTGCTTTTCAGGGTATCAAATTCCTTGTCGAAAGGAAGGCCTTCGAGTAGCGAAACCCGACCAGTGTAATCCCCATCGACTAACACATCTTCCAGGAACCGGGCATATTCTTCAGTGGAGGCGCAACCCAGGAATAGTTGGTGACAATGGCAATTGTATAAGTAGAGCTTGAATGCCTCTGATAGACAAGAGCAAATTAGCACCTTGTTCCATTGTCAGAAGCTGGACCACGTACCTTTGATCTTATCGTGTGCTTTGTTCTTGCCTGTTCCAACATCGACGATCTCAAAGAACGAAGTGCTTTCATTGAATCCCCGAATAAATTCCCCGATTGCAGATGCCTCTAGGGTGATCCCACCCCGGCTGCAAGCCTCAGTGAAACCCTTCACATCAAGGTAGATCTTGGTCATTATCTTCGGCTCCGTAATCGTTGAGAGGTTCGCCGTCACATATCCCTGGAGAGAGGTCCAGAGCTGCTTGGCCGCATTCCGTCCACCTTGTTCTCCCAGCTGCAGAAATTCGTCCTTGAATATTATGCCTTCGCCATCTAAGAGCAGAACGACGAATGGCTCCCGATCCTAAAATGAAGAATGTGTCAGCGCACGTTCAAATGCCATTCCACCACTGCGCTCACCATAATAGTCTTGATTCGCGATATTTGATCCATCAACTCCATCTCATGCAACTGAATATCGCGATTGAATCGGGTCTCGCGCTCATGGTCAAGTTTTTCCTGCTGGAAGGAGTTTTCTAACGTAGTCACTCGTTGGAGAAGTTCCTGAGAGCAAGAGATGTTAGCAGTGTCCGAACCAAGGGAGAGGTGATCGCTACCTCGATAAAATCATTCTTCTGCTGGTCCAAGGCGCTAATCTGGCGATAGCGCTCTAAATAAGCCTGAGCTGCCATCTTGCAAGTGATAAAGGGCGAAAGATCTGAGGTGAAAGCAGAGAATGCGACAACCTGGAAGATAAGAGAAAGAAGGTAAGGGAGAGAAGCCGGTTTCAAGACTGAAAGCAAAGTCCGGTTAGGCGCTTTGCAGGCGATCTACACAGCGCGTAAATCAAGAAGTCACAGAAACCCAGTGCGCCTCTCTTATTATATTGAAATTATAGCACGCGTCTTCTTTTACTTCAAAAAAAATCGATCTAAGAAACGCGGATGCTATCTTGCTGAGTCAGCCCCCGGTTTTGCCATACGTGGAGCCAACTCACCTTCTCCTCTTCTACCTCTTCCCTCTCTCTCTCTTGTTTCGCTTTTGGTTTACACAATGACTCGCTTCGGTTTCCTCTCTCTGGCTGTCTTCTCTCTCCAGGCCTTTGTTGGCACCAGCTTTGCTGCTGTATGTTTGTCACGTCCTTGACGTCCTTTCGCGTCGTTCACGTCCACTGTCGCAGACTCAATTGAACTGACTCATTCTTGATTTCTTGTTATAGGATGCTGAGAAGGCCGCGGAACCAGAGACTGTTAGCCTGGCTGTCACTGCCCAGGCTTCCTTCCCTGCTTCCGAGATCTTCGGCATCAAGCTTGTCAACGGTCACCCGACCCAGGCACTGATTGATGTCTCCAACGATGAGCCGAACCCTATCACCGTGAACTTCATCGGTGGAAGCCTGCGGAACCCTGATGATCAGACCCAAGTCATCCGCAACTTGACTGCCGTTCGTTACGGTGTCGAGATCCCGGCCGGTCAGAAGGAGACCATCAGCTACAGCTTTGCCACCGAGATGCACCCCCAGGATCTCCTGATGACTCTCTCTGCCATCATCTCTGACAGCGAGGGCAACTTCCTCCCTGTCACTGCCCACAATGGCACTGTCACCGTTGTTGAGGCCGACACCAGCATTTTCGACCCTCAGATGTAATACCCCTCCTTGGACCCTGGTCGCGTGAGGTCAATTGAACTAACGATCACTTCCAGTCTCTTCCTCTACTTCTTCCTCTTGGCATGTGTCTCTGGTACCGGATACTTCTTCTACTCCGTCTGGATCGCGCCCTACTTCCCCCAGAAGCGCAAGGCTGGAAAGCCCGCTGAGAAGCGCACCCAGGGCTCCAAGCGCGTTGAGGAGCAGGGCACCGAGGAGACCTCTGGCACTGCCGTTTCTTCCGCCACCACCTACAACGCCGACTGGATTCCCTCCCACCACATCACCCGCCCCGAGGCCCGCAAGTCCAAGGGCCGCTCCAAGGCTCGTGCGTAAATGCACCGAAGTGTGGGAGATTGGCATCAATTGCACACATCTACCTCGAATTCTTGTCCAGTGAAGCCTATATCTGACATGCTGGAAATGCATTGTTCGTTACTTGCTGAATTGTCGCTGTAGACATGTATATTTACCAGATAGAAGATTTTGGCACAGTCAAGCATCTTCGAAACGCAGACTGGAAGGCCTGTAGAAGTCAAATCCATCATCATACCACGCTGTGCCTTGAATGGCAGCGCTGGTCTATCTTCGCATTCATTGCTATCATAGTCTCTTCCATTCCATAAACTCCTGCTCAAGATGTTGCTTCAATTCCACAAAGCGGTTCCCGAACCCCCTTCCACAGCGCCAGCAAATGAAATCTTTCTGGAGATATCCCTCTCCGGTGGGATTCCTCCGTACATCATCTTCCGCCAACGGGAAGTCATCAATGGGAACGAAGAACGGCGTAGAGAAGCTATTATAGTGCTTCCGGTGCTTCAGGCGATCACTATACCGATCAACAGATAGCACATGGACATGGAGGTGATTCATCGACGGCACAGCATGCACCCCGACCACAATCTCCTGTTCCCAATCCCGACCCTGCGGCAGCTCATCCGGCGGCGGATCAGCACTCAAGGCTACCTGTCTTGCCTGCTCCTGCGCAGAATCCTTTCCATATTTGCGCCGTAACTCCTCTGCTGCTAGTATTCGAAGCTTGGATGTTTCTGCCTTCACTTTAGCTAAGAATTCGGCATCTTCGAAAGCATCGAATGGGTGGAGACGCGTCTTGGTTTGGTCGCGTGGGAGAAGGAGTAGGTGTAGTGATGACTTTGGGAACATGTCGTGGATCGCGACAAAATCCGCATTGTGGTATACTACCACATTAGGTAGGTAGTTTTCTGGCTTTGCGATATAGGCGCCTAGTCCGTCGCGGGCACCGAAGGTAGCTTGGCCTCTGGAAGCGTTGCGATCAGATGGGGCTCTGGGCGTATGCTTCGGCTGCTTTTGTTTTGGGGCGAGGAGCTCTGTGACTATTGGATTAATATATGTCAGTTTAGTCTCAAGAAAAAGCCCGAGAAGCTGCATTACAAGCATTTCTCTTCTCCGATGTCCCAGGTTGCTCCTTCGGATCATGCTTGCTAGGGCTGCGGTTTTGTTCTGTATTGGACATGATGAATTGAGACACGGAGTCACGTAGTTATTGGTAGCATTGTCGACAAAGTCAAGAATCACATTCGGATCTCCGACGGAAGTTAAAGAATCTGGTGAATCGGGGTCCCAAAATGCTCCCCGCAAATCCCAAAGTAGTTTAGTGCGGGACAGCCCGTCAAGAAAGTTGATCTCCAATTTTTGCGAACATTCACCATTCTACACAGATGGCCCCCAAGAAGAAAGGCGATGGCCATGGAGGCCCCAAGCCTGGCACGAAACAGGCCAAAGCTGCCGCTGAGAAAGCAGGCGATGCGAAAAAGCCAGCGCCCCCAGAGGAGCCCAAGAAACCCTCTGTGAAGGAGGTTATCGGCGGCGCATCATGGACAGGCAAGCTACCAGTCAATATGCTGGCAGAGCATTGCCAGAAGCAAAAATGGGAGAAACCAGAGTACAGCATGGTATCTATATTTCCGACATGGTGTCCGCAGACACGTGTACTCAGTCCGATACTGATGAATTGCGATAAAATTGCAGATCAAAACATCCGATGGCTTTGTTTCCGCCGTTACTATGAAGAAGATAGATTCTAAGACCAAGGAATTGATCGTTATTCCGCCGATGAAGCTCCCTCCCACCCACAAGCAACTCGCCGGACATCCCACAGCCCTTGAGGCGCGCCATTTCGCTGCGGCGTTTGCTCTATTCAGAGTATGCAATATGCGCAATATCCATATGATGATGCCTCCGACATACAAGAAACTTTGGAAGGAAGACTTTGGTGCAATCAAGGCAGCAGATACTCGGGAAGGCAAGGGCTGGATGTACGAGGCAGATCCTTTCTTAGCCAAACAGGAGCGCGAAAGCGCTGCTGCTGATTTGGTGAAGAAGAGGGCTGATCGTGAGAAGGCCCAGGCAAAGGAGAAGGCCTCTGGTGTGGACTTAGGGTTAGGGAATGGCGATGCCAAGGGGAAACGCATCTGGTCCCAGGCACCCAAGGTTGACATGGGAACACGCATTCGACGAGATATTGAAGGGCTTTTACGGCAGCATACAATCTGGAACCCCTACGGAGTGAAGATACCAGAGAATCAAAAGAAGGCTATTGTTGAGGAATTCTCTGGGTTAGGGTTTCGTCGCAGTCACGTTGATGAAGCTACTGCGGAGTGCAAAGACCGCGAAGAGGTTCTGGAGTGGCTTCTGATCTATGTTCCTGATGATGACCTCCCGCGGTGGAGTCTGCCAGAAGGTTATTCAGCTGGAGTTAGTATCGGTTCGGCCGATCTTGCTCGTGAAGGCAAGATAAAGCGCTTGGCTTCAGTGGGTTATCCAGCTGATATGTGCTCTCAAATTTTGGATAACAAAAATGGCGATGAGTTGACGGCTGCGGAGTACTTGCAAGGTACTCTTGTCCATGGGTCACATTTCACATCTCCATCTGTGGTCGACGAGGAGGATGAAGTCTGGACAGAAGAGCAATCTACCTTGGAGGCCATTTTCGGTGAGCGCTATCATCGTATCTCTGAAAAGATTTGCGAGATCAATAGCGAGGCCTCTGATATTCCAGAGAACACGACCTTCCGCTTCCAAAAGCCCTCTGCTCATTACCCTACCTCGGCTCCTGTTATCTCAATCTACTCCAAGGGTGTCCCAGCTTATATACGCCTCAGCGCGATCCGTCGTGCAGTACAGTATGCTGAGGAGAATTACTCTGGTGAATCTATGATATTTAACATCCTGGATTGGCTGGAAGTCAATCTACCGAATATTATGGAGAATCCAGGCAAGTTGCGCGAGATTTCTTCAGTGACAGCCTCATTATCTGCTGAAACCACCGAGATTCCAGTGCGCTCCTCGCGCAAACAGAAGAGGGGCATTGATTGGAAGGTCGATTCGCCACGGAGTTTGGCTGTTAGAGACGCCTGGGAAGCCAAACAGACGACTGCTCCGCAGATGGACATGTGTCGGAAACGACAAGCACTCCCTGCATGGAACACTCAAGACGCTATCATTGAAGCAGTCAACTCGCACCAGGTTACTATCATTTCCGGTGAAACTGGTAGTGGTAAGAGTACACAATCCGTACAGTTCATCCTGGACGATATGATCAAGCGTGGACTTGGAGGCGCTGCCAACATCATCTGTACGCAACCGCGTCGAATCTCAGCCCTCGGTCTCGCCGACCGAGTCAGTGATGAGCGGTGCGCTACAGTGGGTGAGGAAGTCGGATATGTAATTCGAGGCGAGTCAAAGGCCAAGCCGGGCTCCACAAAGATCACCTTTGTAACTACTGGTGTTCTGCTTCGTCGTATTCAGTCTGGTGGTGATGCGGATGGCAATGTCTCGAGCTCCCTCGCGGACGTATCCCATGTGGTCGTTGACGAAGTTCACGAGCGCAGTCTGGATACTGACTTCCTTCTGGCCCTCCTGAGGGATGTTCTGCGTTATCGTAAGGACTTAAAGGTTATTCTTATGAGTGCCACCCTTGATGCTGGCATCTTCATAAACTACTTTGGTAGTCAGAGGTCTGTTGGGCTGGTCAACATCCCTGGTCGAACATTTCCTGTTGAAGATTACTACTTGGACGATGTCATCAGGAACACAGGCTTTGCGCCGGAAGTTGCCGACGAGTGGGACGATGAAGAGTTTCCTCGTGGCGAAGAGTCCCTGGGCAAAGCCCTAAGAAGTGTAGGCATGGGAATCAACTATGATCTGATCGCGTCGACTGTCGAATACATTGATGCCCAGCTAGGAGACCAACCAGGCGGAATCCTGATCTTCCTTCCTGGTACACTCGAAATCGACAGGTGTCTGACAGCAGTGAAAAGAATCCCCAACACACACCCTCTACCATTACATGCGTCTCTACTCCCAGCGGAGCAGCGCCGAGTCTTCCAAAGCCCACCAAAAGGCAAGCGAAAGATCATCGCAGCCACAAACGTTGCCGAAACATCCATTACAATCGAAGACGTAGTCGCCGTTATCGACACAGGCCGAGTCAAAGAAACAAGCTACGACCCGAAAGACAACATGGTTCGCCTCCAAGAAGTATGGGCCTCCCAGGCCGCCTGCAAGCAGCGCCGTGGTCGAGCAGGCCGTGTCCGCGCCGGTACATGCTACAAGCTATACACTCGCAAAGCAGAATCAAACATGGCACAACGTCCCGACCCAGAAATCCGCCGCGTGCCTCTAGAACAACTCTGCCTCTCAGTGAAATCAATGAAAGGAATCGAAGATGTGGCAACCTTCCTAGCAAACACAATCACCCCACCAGAAAGCATAGCAGTCGAAGGCGCCCTAACCTTCCTGCACCGAGTCGGAGCCCTAGACCACGACAAACTCACAGCCCTAGGCCGCTACCTCTCCATGATCCCCGCCGACCTGCGCTGCGCAAAACTAATGATCTACGGCTCGATCTTCGGCTGCATGGAACCATGTCTCACAATCGCTGCCATGCTAACAGTCAAAAGCCCCTTCGTCTCACCCCGCGAGAAACGCGACGAAGCTGACGCAGCCAAAGCCTCCTTCTCCCGTCTCGGCGACGGCGACCTCCTAACCGACCTTTCAGCCTACCAAGCCTGGTCAGAACGCACCCGCTCTCAGGGCGGGTACTGGGGAACACAGTCATGGTGCGCAGCGAATTTCCTCTCGCACCAGACACTACGCGACATCTCCTCCAACCGCGCCCAGTTCATCACATCGCTCAAAGACGCAGGTATCCTACCCGTCACTTATTCCGATGCAAGTACAGCCTGGAACCGCAATGCGGGTAACAGGAATTTGATCCGCGCGCTCGTCGCTGGTGCCTTCCAGCCTCAGGTGGCGCAGATCTCGTTCCCGGATAAGAAGTTCGCTAGTTCTGTTACTGGTACTGTGGAGGTTGACCCTGATGCCCGCACGATCAAGTACTTCAATCAGGAGAATGGGCGTGTCTTCATTCATCCTAGTTCTATTCTCTTCTCGGCGCAGGGTTATCCTAATGCGGCTGCTTATCTTAGTTATTTTACTAAGATGGCTACTAGCAAGGTGTTTATTCGGGATCTTACTCGTAAGTTACAGTCTCTCTTTCTTTTTGTTTGATGAGATTCGATACTCGAAACTCGAGACTCGTCACCCTTCGTCTGAAGATCAATTTCTAACTTCCTTTCCTTGCAGCCTTCAATGCATACTCCCTTCTCCTCTTCTGCGGCTCGATCGAACTAGATACCGTAGGTCGCGGTCTAGTAGTAGACGGCTGGCTCCGTCTACGCGGATGGGCACGCATCGGCGTGCTCGTTTCACGGCTTCGAACTATGTTAGATGAAGCTCTTGCGGAGCGGTTCGATAGTCCATCCTTGGGTGTTGACGGAAGCAATAGTATTGGTAATCGTGTGATTGAAGCTGTGAAAAAGTTGATTGAGTTCAATGGACTTGATCAATGATTTGGATAGATGGGGGCTGATTTCAAAAAGTGTTGGTTCACGTTGACTAGCTATATTGTTGCATGACGTACATACTAGAGTTCGTTAGATAGGTTGAATGATTTATGATATACCAGGTTTTACAGATACAGATCGAGTGGGTTCAAAGGATGCTTTAGTCGAAACGCATTTGCAGTAGAGGCTTTAATCCGAGACTAATGTACGGTTCCTGAAGATTGGATTGTGTATAAACAATGGAAGTCATTCGTTCAAAGACCAAAGTAGACTAAGAAAAAGCTCGTAGCTGACAGTTGGTGTTGCCAGGACTGGGCATAAGTCAAAAAGACCAAAAAGACCAAGAGACCAAAAGACATCAAAAGCAGAGACTTATCCAAGTCACTTTTGTCAACACTCTGGCCAAAAAGGCTACAAAAAGAAAATTGGGAGAAAGGATCAGGAGTTGGGGACACAAATTTGGATCCATTTGCTGCTATCTGGGAAAGCACCATCCCTAAGGCTATATCAATATGCAATGATCACACGATAATAGCTGCTATGTAGCAATAATCACGTAGTAAAAGATGCATGAGACACGCCATGGGAAAGCAAAGTATGTAACGACCTTGGGGCAATTTGCAAGCAGTGCGTTGGGGGAAAGATCATTAGGGCAAAGACAGTTCCATGGAGAAGACATCGACACGGACGGGGGAATTACGCATGAACAAATGGAATGAGGTATGTTCCCGAGAAGAAAAAAAACATAAAGCAAATCAAGGACGCCGAGCGAGCAAAGGTCCAACGTCCAACGCCTTCCGATCATTTATCCCATGTCCGGAAATTTGAGGCGTCAAGTCATCTCGTCGTCAGCCGAGAGGGGGAAGGAAAGAAAACGTGAAACATAAGGCCACCGATTTAACGCCATGCAGAAAAGAACCCATTCGCCTGTTCAAACCGAAACGCCCTGCGTTGAACAACAAGCAGTGAATGAAAGCAGAGAACGTGGAGGGCTATGGATACCGATGGTCTCGATACGGCTCGCATGGTATATGCAAACCACAAGGTAGAGGTCGGGAAGAAGATGGCCTAGTAGTTGGCCGTACCATCGAGGCGATCAGGGTTACTCAGGCTGGAGATTTCCGGGAGAGCAAATTCGTGTGCAAGCTCGGCTTCAACAAACACCGAAGCGCGCTTGAAGCGACGGTCGGAATATTTCTCGAAGATGGCCGCGTGGTGACGGCGAGGGTTCTCACAGCAGTCGAGCATAGTGAGGAGCACGGGAATCAATTGGGCATAGAGGTAGCCACTGTAGTAAGCATGGGCAGGGGTCTGTTGTCAAATGTTAGCAATGTTACCAGAGGAGATAGTGATGAGGAAAATATACCCATTGGCCCTTGTTCAACAACATGCGAGCGAGGCAATGAGCTCCGGCAGCAACGAAGCTGGGAGGAGTGCAGACAAATCGCTCGTCCATAATGGTGAGCTCAAGGAAGTACTTAGCCACAGTACGAGTTTCGAGATCATACTCATCAGCCTTGCTGATGCGTCGGAGAAAGCTCATCGGGCCAGGCCATCCCAGGTCAAAGTCGAGAATGGTAAGCATGAAGCGCTCAGCCTTCAGGATTTCATCCACAGTGTAGCCACCGTCAACCATGTAAACAATCTCTTGGACCGAAGGGGCCGTGATCTCTTCAAACTTGGCCGCAATGAAGATGGCAGTTGCACCCACAAGCTGCAACTTGCCCAGTGAAACAATCTTGTGAGACAGGAAGCGGTCGATGTAGTTGACAGTGAGATAAAGAGTCTCAGGAAGCAGGTTGAAGCGTTGGTGAACTTGGACGAGCCAGTCCATGAGGACCGAACGCATAGACCACTGGATTTCGGATTGATTCGCCATGTAGTCAGGGAGAGGGAGCATGTCAATCTGAATCGAGGGTTAGTCAAATTCATCATATTTTCCGTTGACAGTGTAACATACCTCCTTATTCCGCAGGTGCAAGAATATTTCCTCATTGTATTCTGCGACCATGGTGGTATCATACCGATCCTCGATGATGTCCTCCTCAGTCAATTGGCTCTCGACAATCTCCTTAGCCAGGAACATCTGACGCCTGGTCATGGCATTCATCTTGGGGTAAATAACAGCAGTCCCGCCGGTGGTGTTGTCTCCGCGTGAGGAATAGGTAGGAGCGGCATAGTATTCGGTCTCATCTTCTTCCCAGTATTCTTCAGGTTCCGACACGGTCAACACTGATTCCTTGACTTGAATCTCCTTCATGTCTTCGGGCTCGGATATGGTGGCGTCGGATTCGATGTGGCTTGGAAGATCCACGTTAAGCGACTTGTATGATTCGGGAGCAATGGTAGCCTTCTCGATTTCCTTGGTGATGACATTGGCTTCGATGGGCTTCGCGGGGACTGGGACTGTTTCAACGTTCCGGTTGTTTTCCTTGGATGTGTCCTTCTCGAGGACGGGTTGCAGTTGATCTTTGAAGATAGTGTTGTTGCGCTTGGTCTTCTGGGCTTTTCCGGCAGGGTTCATCGGCTTGGCCCCGGTGGCCTTGTCAACGAGACCTTTGGTCACAGCTAGAGGGATCTGTCGCTGTGCTGGTTGAGACAATCCCTTCTCGGGCAGAGCAGTTGGCTTCCCAACCAAGGCAGAATCGTCACGGCTGACACCCTTGGTGTTGCTGACATCGCCGAAAGCACGGCGCACACCAGGCTTCGTAGAATTCTGGGCCATCATGTTCAGAGCGGGGCTGGACTTGTTGCGCTGGTGAATTGTCTTGTGGTTTTGCAAGGACGAAGGGGGCATGTTTTCGTCCCCACAGACGCGGAATCTCTGTGGCTTGAATTTCAATCAGTTTAATGTCTCAATCTGGACGCGATGAAGAGCGCGATTTAGGTCACCAGAAGACCCGATAGAAATAGACGATGTGTTGCCTAAGGTGCAGGGTAACAACAACGCGGCATATCTTCAACCCACGCGATTGACGCGTAGATATTTTGAAGAAAAGAGTACGAAGTAAGAGCATTCAAGAACGATTGTGAGCTTACCTTCGCATCCATGATGAATGATCTTGCTGGGAGCGTTGCAAGAAGTGTTGATATCGAGTATGCAGGTGGAAGACGTTGTTTACTTTTTGCTCAACTAAGTGACGGGTAGTCGGGGGCGGCTGATTGGTTGACCCGGGCAAAATAAACAGTCCTCGGACCCGCTCAAAGAGCAACTCGTTACTTATCCGTTGTTTTCTCGTTAGCTTGCTGGACGTGAAAGGAGCGAAAAAGTACAACAAAGCACCGGGGATGTGACGAAGCGAAATAGGGAGGATTGTGCAAGAAAGGGCGGTCCTGTCTAAGAAATGTGTTTGTACACAAATATGCCGCTATTCCTTTTTTGGAAGACCGTACGGCAAGCTGTGCCTACCCGTTGCGCAGAAGCTGCTGACTACTGGAACGTCAGGTACGCCCAGGGCCCAGATCGAAGTCTGAGACTTGAGGCAAGGCAGCTACCATGCTTGGTGGAAGGGGGGCTATCTACACAATTTAATTTCCTAATTTACAGTGAGGATCTCATGGTCGGCATGTCCATTTATATACTTTGATCAGCAATGGACGTTAAAAGAAGGGCTGAATGTTTGTTCCGTTTGGTATGGTTTGCATCGTTTGTTGGTTGGTTGACGTCATAACTTCATCGGCGCGTCTCCTCCGAAGCCGATCAAATATCATTTTGGCTCAGCCTGCGCAACCCAGAATACCGAAAGCAATAAAAATTTGACTTGAGGTGCCTACTATAATAATTTACAATTCCCGTACGTAAAATATCAAAAGAGCCCATTATTCAGCCTATAATCGCCCTTTCCGGAGAATATCTAGATCCAACGCGCTATCCACACGAGACCACGTGAGAGCCACACCGCCGTCGCCGGAATCAAGCGGTTCCTGTTTGGCAGCTTTGTGATCAGCCGAAACCCACCTGCCTCATCATTGCGAGTCTTTTGTCTTCTGCGGGGCCCCCCGTGTACTCTCGTGGTCTACTGTACATGTGCTCGCACTTCGGATCCGAAATTAGCCAGATTCTTAGCTCAATTCGTAGATCTTTCAACATGCGACTCCACCTAGAACATTCCCCCTATTTATTGAGCAAATCAATAGATAGGTGGAATCGCTGCCTTGCGGAGACCGTAAGTTTCAGTGCGAATCCAAGAATGCTCAGTAATTCCGATGCGGGATTCACTTCAGAAGGTCCCGAGGAGGGGTAAATTCAGTGCAGATCATGCGAGACGCTCCAAAACAGTCATGCGATTTAGGCCCTTCTTTTGGGAGGAGAGAGTGTGTACTAGTAAGAGCTTATGGCTTGTGGCGATGTCCTTTGCGCATAAGTCTCCAGACCGGTCGATCAGAGGACCTCTATAGCTGCAATTCCACTCCATGAATGTTACATTCAAAGACATTACAAGTGTCGCGGCCACTCGTATTATCATTCCCGTATAGCCAATGAATCATGCGACAAGGTTAGTGGCAAGGATTGGGCTGGGCGACGTTCAATTCGGTGTCTGGAGTGGACCACAAAAAGGGCATCGCTACGTGGTCGAGCTAGAAAACTAGCTGCACGCCAGAGAATCCATTGGGCGCTATTTCTTTATCTTAATTTGCGCCTCGAAAGAGTTGCTTCTCTGCTTTGTACTGGCGCAAAAGTCAAGTCTAGTATCTTCAATCTACATCACATTCTACAGATTACACTCTGCATTTCGAACACAAGGGGGGTTAGACAGACTGTTCGGCGCAATGGCATCCGGCTTGCGACAGCTTTTTGCGCATTGCCAATAGACAGACTATTAGGACTATTTTGTATGTTTAAAATATCGTAGGCAGTTCAAACATCTGTGAATGAGCCAATTTCAAGGTCTATGGAATGTGATGGCGATTTCGATGCCGGAAGCGCAAATCGCCATGTCACCGACCCAGGCCGTTTTCTCGCTTTAGGTGAAACCATCGTACGCACCCACCTCAACCTTCCTTCCTTTCTTCAAGTCAGCATTGCCAACATTGTTGAGTACGTTTCTCTCCTACTGTTCTCTCCTGTTCGCTTCTATGACCTCGTTTCCACTCTGGAGATGTCACCGCTGACACAGCCTTAGCGCTTCGTAGAATCGCCAATCCCTCCACCTCGAATCCCCCCATCGAACGAACCCTTCGACCCTATCTTAGACCATCCGGATAACTTTGCGACACTGGAGAATTCGATTTAAGTCGAATTAGGTGTGTTTGTGTTCCTCTCCATCCTCTTCCGGGTCCTCTCGCTTGCTTTCTCCCCCAAGCCCGCTCCCAAGGTCGGCCGGACTCGGTTAGCGACACATCCATCATCCCCCTCTGACAAAACCCATCCTCATTGCATATTTGAGCGCTTGAAATCCCATTGTGCTAATCTGGTGCGGTTTGTCCTCGATCAGGTTTACCGACGTCTGCCCTTCTGAGTTGCTCCCGGCTCTTGCGACTACACATTCCCCTCACCATCGAAGGCTCTGCTTCGAAGGTTTTTATACATCAAGACCCGGGAGTGGTCCATCCACCAGCCTGATCTTTCGAATTCTATTATTTTGGTAGGTTCGATGGATTCTTCCCTCTACACCTGCCCTTCTCCTCTCGCCATGGACCCCATTCCCGCCCTCTATCGCACACAAGCAGTGGGTTGATGCAGTCTTTGGTATAGCAGTGAAGGACTCCCTCGTATTCTGGATTCGCCATGCAAGCGGTCCATGAAGGGCACTCTGGCCTTGAGCAGCCGGGTCTGGCAGAGACTGCCGTAAGAGACCCGTCGCTCAAGGGCCCAGCACCCAAGAACATCGCCTTCGAGTTGCTTTTGGATGAAAACTCCAAGGTTCGAGCTCGTATTCCCATGCGCGTTCAAATTTATCCTCATGATACGACGGATTCGATTGTGACGACGGTCAAAAATTTCTATGGCATCTACGATGGTACTGCCAGTGGGGTTAGCTTCGAGGATGAACATGGAATCACCCTCATCGCAAGGTACGAGAACCTCAAAAACAACAGGACTGTATATGTGCGAGTCATTCCCATCCAACCTTTCGGGGAGAATTTCTACAATGGCTTCCCTGTCGAGCCTCGCAAGCGGCCTAGTCTGGCGGAGCCTTTCCAGATGGCCGATGGCATGGCGCCAGTGCTGGACCAGCCATCGCGCCCTGCATCACGCATGGCTAGGAAGCGCAGCACTTCCCCTTCCAATAGGAGTATGCGCAGCGCTTCTCAGCACAAGCCAGGCTCTCGTGCGGGTAACAAAAGCCGTGGCTCGAGTATCCATGGTGGCTTCAATGATGATGACTACAGTGATACAGAGAGCGCTTATGCTCGCAGGGCTCGCAATGAACTCTTCGCTAGCTCTGATATCAGCATGGAAAACATACTACAAGATGGTCGTCGGAAACGACCCAAGTTCGACAGCTCTGTAAGTGACTCAACATTCTCGCCTTTTCAATCCAGCGCTAATATTCCTTTCTCTTAGGAACTTCCCTTATTTGTTCCTCCTCAAGTGCCCCTCACTACCTCTACCTCCTCCGTCTCTCCTCAACGTCGATCGATTGGTCAGGAAGGCGCTGGGTCGCCTTTTGCCCGCCCTCCTCAACGCCCATATAGTTATCAACAAGCGCTTCCATCGCCGCAAAGCTATGGTCACAGCGAATATGGTGTTCAATCGGGCCGCAATACGATGTATGCGACACCCGTTGTCCCCGACAATAATCGCATGCGCGACGCCTCCGGAGGCTACTCGGCTAGCCGAGTGAGTGGCCCGGGGGTATTGCCCACGCCTGATCCCACTATTGCAAGCTGCATCTCTGATGAAGATGTCGCGATGCAATTGATACGTCTGGGCGATGCGTCCAATTTCTCTCACGGTCGCACGTCGGCCTCAACATTGGACGACGCCTTTAGCGGTGCTGCTGATGCCGCCTCATCTACTGGCGCTACCAGTGATGGTGAAGACTTTAGTGAGGATGAGGATGACTTGCCAGCTCGTCGCCAGAGGCTAGACTCCAGTCCAATGCTTCCACCTGGCACCATCAAGCGCCACCACAAGGGACTGGATGACATCCTCCCTAGCGCTGACAGCAGTGACCACAGCTCAGATGGTGCCGATGACGGCATCAAGAGTGAAGGTGAAGAGGACATCCTGTACAAGGAGTTCGCTCCCAAGGCAAAGAAGCCCAAGAGCCGTCCTATGTCATTTAAGGTTCGCAGCCAGAAGCAGCCATCTGTGAAGCAGGTCAAGAGCAAGATCGCTGCGCCGGCTCCCCGTAAGCCGTCTGACAAGTCGGCCCCTCCTGTGCCGCCTCTCAGTCCAGCTTCTTCCCGTAAGGTCTCGGGAGGCTCGGTCAACTTCCAGCATCAACTCGGTGCGGATGAGGAAGACCTGTCGACCAAGCCTCGCTGCCAACGATGCCGCAAGAGCAAGAAAGGCTGTGACCGCCAACGTCCCTGCGGACGCTGCAAGGACGCCGGAATTGGTATTGAAGGCTGTGTTAGTGAAGACGAAGGAAACGGCCGCAAAGGCCGTTACGGCCGTCACATGGGCGTTCCCGTGAAGAAGAACGGAGAAGAAATGCTAGAAGACGAAGACGAGTTTCCAGCAATGCCAGCGACGCCTCCTATTTCTGCGTCTATGGCAGACAAGAATAAGAAGCGGAAGCGCTAGTCGAGCTTCTGGCAGCGATTGTCGTCGCCACGTTTGAGCGCAATGCATCGGATGTCCACCCCTCCGTGACCATGGGATCTCTCATTTATCTTGCCATCCTCACTCCCTCCTATCCCCTCTTTTCTGGCCATCTCCAGCAGGTCTATACACTCCTTATACTGTCGTCATCTGTCCTTCCTCCTCTACACTCCCTTCCTTGGTCATAAGCCATGCTTTTGACCTCATTATACACTGCCAAGCGGTTGAGTTGTTGTTGCGTCCCTTCGGCGTCTTAGTGTTTCTGCGGGCTATATGCTTCTTGTCACTTCCATTCGCTCCTTCGGAATCAATGCTACTGGGTATTATCTCTGTTTATGTCGATTTGATGTGGTGTTCGGTTTGACCAATAATGGAAATATATACTTCCACGTCGGGCCATATGTAACAGCAGTAAGACACGAGATGTGCCAATCTCGCTTTTGGTAGATTTTCGGGTAACCTGAGATTCTATTACGGGTGTACACAATTTTATACACAATTCCATACAATTGTGCTTCATCACTAACGAGTCGCAGAGGGGTGGTTATGTCACGTGACCAAAGCGGTGAGAATGGCCCCGCAATTTTTTTGAAGAGCTCAACCTTCACGACTTCAAATGCCCGCATGGATCACCGTCGAATTGATCTTCGCATAATTCTGTCTCGTTCCCCCGAGACCCAAAAGTTTCACGCTTACAAGTCCCAGCGCACCCTCAAAAACGACCGCACTTCAATCCAATCTTTCCTACAACCTTTTTTCAACCCTCCAGCAAGCCTCTCCGAGCGCCTTGACTGAGCAACAATGCCTCCAAAAGGAGCAACCCGCGGCAGCACCCGTGGGGGCACAGCAGCACGCGGTGCACGCACAACCGCAACCTCTACAACTCCCGCAGGCGGGGATTCAACGCAAGAAACACCCGCGCCAGCCAGCGCCGCCAACCGATCCTCGGTGCAACGACTGCAATCTCTGAACAAGCGCACACCCTCCGGCAGCATTGCGCCGAGTAGCCGACCGCCCTCCGCTCTAGGCGGTGAGCCTGCAAAACCCGTTCTGAAATATAAGCCCAAGGCTGTTGGGCGGCGCAGCAAGCAGGAGCGAGAGGAGATTGAGAGGCTTGAGCAGGAACGGTACAATGAGCGGCTTAAAGAGGCTGCTGCTATTCAGCGTGGGCGTGGGGGTGCGGCTCGTCGTGCTGGGTTCCGTGGTCGTGGTGGTATGGGTATGAGTATGGGTGGTGGAAGAGGTGGTAAGAGAGGTCGTGGTGGTGGTGGGTTTGGTGGAGGATACGGCGGTGGTGGCGGCGGTGGTGGTGTTGGCTCTGGGCGGAATCGCTCTGGGTTTACTGGTGGTGACCGTTCGCATGGGAATGACTCTTCGGACGACGAGAGTGGACTTCGCATGAGCATTGATCATATCAACCTTGATAGTGATGAGGATGAATGGGATACTGGCAAGGATGCGAAAGGGAAGATGCCTAGTCGGTCTCGGACTGAACGGGCTCTTCGTCCTGTTCGTATTCCGCGCCATGAGCATGAAGAGCGGGTTATCAGTGTCAACATGGAGTCCAGCTCCAGCAGAGCTGCGGAGCTTCGCGACAAGGCAGAGAAGGAGAAAGTCGCCAAGGAGTCTGAGAAGAGGCGCACAGATGAGCCTTGTATCAAGCCTGATCCCGAGGACGAGGATACTGTTATGGCGGGTGATATCCCTTACGCCGACGACGATGGGTTCCTTCCCACGCAGAGCGTTCGTGTCCGCTCAGCTTTGAGCCAGAGCCCTACCAAGAGACGTACAGCAGAACGATCTTCGCAACCCGTACCCTCCCCGGAACCCGAGGTTCCAGACCCACGCAGCCTCCTTCACACCAAGGAGGAAATCGATGAATATGACCGTCACATGGAAGATCTATCTATGATCAAGGAACTTCTCGTGCCCCCACCCTCGCAGAAGAAGGCTACACCAGAAGCACAGACAGAGGGCGCCACAGAAGCTGCAACAGCAGATGCCAGCACCACTGCAGAGGGAGAGGATGCCGAGAAAGAAACCGAAGAGGCAGAAGAAGAGTCCTACCTAAGCGGCAAGCTTTTCCTCATGCAATTCCCGCCCATGACACCAAACCTTCATATTGTCGGCTCAGAGATAACCCAAGAACAACCCGCAGCCGCTCCTCAAAACCAGAACCCGATAAAACGCGAAGGAGGTGACGAAGTTGAGATCGTCGAAACTACACAGCCCACGGTAGCACCCCAAGAAAAAGACATCATCACCGCCAACAAGCCCTGGTCCCTACCAGCAGGCCGCGTTGGCAAATTGAACGTCCACAAGTCCGGACGTGTGACCCTCGACTGGGGTGGCATCAGCATGGAACTAGACCGCGGTGCACCCGTTCAATTTGTGCAGGAGGCAGTCATCGTCTCGCCTCCTGTCAACCCCAACGCAGATGCTGAAGAAGATGATCCCGACGCTGACCAGTCCGAGAATCGGGTTTGGTCAATGGGTGAAGTGGCTGGCAAGTTTACTGTCACGCCTAACTGGGATGAGATGCTATGAATGTCCCAATGCATTCTAAACCCATAATGATTTGAAGGAAATTAGAGAAAAGGTCATAGCGATATATATTTCTGTTCATTTATGCATGAGTAATTACATCTGGCTGTCAATAGAATAGAAGAGTTGCCCTAAGAGCACCAAACGATGCAAACATTCCAAGGATCTACCTAAGCCGCTTAGTAACAACCTTGTGTCAGCCTGATGCTTCAGGCACATAAGGCAAATATGCCAAGACCTGGCTCGCGCATCCATCGCGGTGGGAGTCTCAAGCTCATATCTTTTGCATTAAGCCTTCCACCGCTCTAACAGGGCTTTCAACCTAGTCATTCACCACGCAAATATCTAAGATGCCTTTATGAGCCAACCGAGTGCCCTCAGCGCGAAATTTTGCGATGTCGCTGCGTCCTTTCCTACATCATGTGCCTGCCTTTCGCCATGGCCAGAATATCAAATCAATTCTCCAATTCCTGAGGCCCTTTTCCCGACTTCATGAATGCATTCGCGCAGACCACCTCAAAACGAGACACATTAACATAGTTCTCTCTACACCGAGACCACTTTGCGATCTACCGAGACCTGCGCACACCATTCAAATCCATGACAAAACCTCCCTGATCAGCCAATGCCGTCATAAATCCACACTCAGTGAGCGAGAGCCCTGCGCCCACTGCGGAGGCAGCGTAAATCCGAAGCGCCGAAGACGAGCTGATCCCGACGACCGCACGAAGGGCTGGCACTGCAGCGCCTGCTTCCAGACCCTCAGCCAGCACGGTGCCCTCCCAAATGAGGAGCAACTAGCATCGATGCGTAGAAGAAGACTTTTGAGGGAAAACTTTGCGAAGAACAGATCGAGTCCGTGTCTTAAATGCGGGACTGAAACGACGCCAGGCTCAAAGCGCAAAATGGTCGACCCGGACGACCCCCACGCAGGCTGGCACTGCCGGTCATGTGTTCAGCGTGAGCACTACCAGGCCCTTGTTCAAATGGAAGATGCCCAGAATAAGATCCAGCATAGTGATCTCGGGTCTAGTTCTGAGCATCCGGTTGCGCAGGCGCATAACCGCGAATACCCTTGTGATCATTGTGGTGAGCCTGCTACGCCAGAGAAGAAGCGGTCATCTGTTAGTTCTGGAGATTCATCGGCTGGGTATTACTGTCGGTCTTGTGCGCGGCGGTTGGGTCTTGAAGATAAATTGCCCACCGAGGAGCAGTTAAAGGCTGTTAAGGTGTTACGTGGGAAATTGGCTAAGTTTGTCACTGCGCGAAAACAGAAGAGTCCTTGTCAGCACTGTGGTGATATCACTTTGCCCGGGAGCAGGCGTAGACTTGTTGATGCTGGAGACTTTTCTTCTGGGTATTACTGCCGGCCTTGTGGTAGGAATTTGCAGATGAGGGATGAATTGCCTAGTGAGACAATGATTAGGGCTCGCAGGCTGCGCAAATATCTCAAGCTTAAACGCCTGGGTTTGTTGGACCCTCAGCAGGAACTGGAGTCCAACACAGACCAGGCAGAGCCGGTCAAGCCAGAGGTCCCGGGAGAGAAGGATCAATGCTGATATTGAGGGTGGCTGGTTCAAATTGGCACTTCAGAATCCCTGTATTGGAGGACTGCAGGGCAGTGTATTATCCAAAGGGGCCATCGGGGCCATCATTTCTAAATAGCCCCAATATGCAACAAATAGCTCATACAAGCCGCAAATAGCTACATGAAGCCATCTGCACGGGAGCTCTCAGCCAATCACATGACGCCTTTGGGGGCAGCCTGTGGGGGCGTCCCTGAGACTGCAACGGGCCAATCACCAGGAATTTGCTTCTTACTTTTCCCCCTTTCTCCTTTCTTTCATTCAGATTCGAGATCTGATTTCAGGGGGAGAGCAAGGGCGAGTCCTGAGATTCAAGTGAGGAGGCTCTGTACGGACGACCGATTTGGCCCCCTATTCCCGGTTGCCTGACTCCGACAATCCGACACAATAAACGGGCGTGGCATGTCCTGAACCCCCTCCAAGTCCAATCCTGATTCCGAGATCCAAGACATATTATCCGAGTACCCTCATCTCCGCCAAACCCCAGACACTACTTGCAACCGTTGCGTGTTGCCTCGCCAACTTAAGACAACCCCACGACCACGACCCGCACCAACCCAGCTTGGCGTTGCTTGTCTCTCGCAGGCACCAGCCCAAGTAGTCAAGCGCGCGCATACCAGTCAATCTCCATACATACCCGCCTTCTATACTCTCGAAATCTTCTATTCCCCGCGGCTACAATGAAACCAGCAACTCTCCTAGCTCTGTTGGCCCCGGCTGCAGCTCTCGCCGAATCACAACAACAACCCGCGACGGGGTCTGCCGTTTCGTCTGATTTCGCGCACATCTCGCCCACCGTCTCATTAGCGGAAATGGGTATCCGCGATCGGGGCCGTTTCGTTCCTGTTGCTGGATTGGACTCGGTGTTGGTTGACGAGACGGGAAAGTTGGCTGCGAGGCATGTGCTTCAGGCGCGCAGTGAGGGTTCCCTGGGTCAGACGCCGTGGATTGGTATGGCTATTGGCCTGACTTTTACTGCTTTGGCGGCTGTCATGCTCGGGTGATTTCACTCCTTCGCGGAGTGGATTGCTAGTATGATACGGCCAACGCTTGAACCCTTGTTTACCTTCATCATTTCCTTTCGACTTCACCTTCTTCACCTTCGATTCTGATCTATATGCCATTCTCCACGACCTTTTTCTCTCTTCTCGACACGACATGTGAAACGCCGGACCCACCTCCCCCCCTCCCCCAAGTCCACCTCTTGATCCGCTCACACCAAGTGGACTTTTTATCCATTTTCATTCCATTTCCAGTTCAGTTCAGACGTTGCAGCGGATTTCTGACCATTTCATTGTCTATCATGCATCCATGGCCTTTCTCAGGCGTGGGATTGGATCATCACCATTACCATTTGAGCCTTTTTTTTTCCTTTTTTTTTTTATCATTTCTTTGCATCTGTCCTGACGTGCCAACTCGATGTTTGTTCCTGTGTACCTGATGTGTACCAGCCATGCTGCCGGGAGTATAGATTTGCAGTTTGTATACATGTTGTACATGATACCTATTTTGTTCTTGTTGAAATGTTCCTTTGTGTACATGTCATGACTTTACTTAACCTTTAATTAGTGTATATAGATATGGCCAATACGATGTGATTATACCATTTACAATTATTGCTTTTGCTTTTTCCGTTTCTGTTTCTTTATTCACTTCTACTTCGATGGTCTGCGCCTCCTTTCATACTGTCCAGGGTCTTGGACATGGGATGTGTTTCTTTCTTTCTCACGCATCCTCACTTTACAGTATAGTATCGCTCAACTTTGGACATCTGTTTTGCTCTTTCTGGTTCTGACATATGGAATGAAACTCACATCTTTACCTCTATCCACCCCCGAACTCCTGCGGTGAAGAAGCAAACAACCCATAGAGCAAACGAAACTACTGTAGGCTATCAAATTGCTTCACACTGCACTTCGCTTTGTCGAGTGTCTACTCTAATTATTCTCTACCCTTTTATTATTTATCACATCGAGTTTGGCACGAGAGTGAACACTTTACCCCAGCTGAAGTGTCACTTCCTCGAATCCTCGAATAAACTCCTCCCCATACTCCCCAACCATGGCCGTCAACACAGGGCCACCCTATACACCGATGCCCTCCCTCGGCCTCGAACTAGGTTTAATTTTCGGGTTCTCCTCTCTCTATACCGCGTCGTGATAGCTTTATACGTTGTTGTCTGGCGCGGTGAGTTACATCTCATTATCTGAATTGCCTGACTCTGCTCTACTTCTTCGCAAAACAAAATCTGAACCCCGCTCCACTCCAATCCCATACCAAACCCTACCTCCCAATTATTTCCATGATATGATACAAACCAAATCTAATGGGGGTGAAAAGCCTTCGAAAACCGCCTCCAAACTCAAGACCTCGCCCGTCGTAAAGGCCTCCATAGGAACGAGAGTAACACGCCAGACCCTCGCGGAACGAAAACGACTGTTACGAGGGGTAAAAATGGTGTAGGAGTCACGACGTCTAAGGGGGTGTTTGCTTTTGGTGATGGTGGTGTTCATGAGAAAATGTTGGATCGGTATGCCATTCCCGAGGGGCGGGTTGAGTTGCCCGTTCATGGGATGGATACTGGGATGGATATTGGTGTTAGTATGGGATGAGTCCTGTTGAGATTGGGCCTGGGATTGAGGTTGAGGTTGAGGATGTGGAGAAGAAATCAGAGAAGACGGAGCAGGAAAAGGAGTAGGAAGCTTTTATATGTTTAGGATGGTTGGCGGTGATGATGAATTAGTTTAGGTTGATATCCTAAGAGTAATATGATGTTCATCTCAAGCCTGTAGTATACATTATATTAGCATTGATCTATTTAGACTAAAAGACACCAAGCTAGACAGACGCCATCACCCACAGACAGGATCATCAAACCCACGAGTCCACAGCAAAGAACCCATGATAACAACCAAGAACCCAAGGGCAACAGCCACACTAGTGAAGCCATAAAGATAAGAAAATCGACGACGAGACAGACCATCCAACTCAGAAACCCAAGTACTAACAGTTGTCGTACTCCCGCAAAACCCATCCATAACACCCTGCAGCACCTGACACCCAGTCAAAGCAGCAGGAACCATAGCCCCAAGGCCATTGACATGCTGAAGATCATAGCAAATGCCCTCGATAACAGTTCCAAAGATATTAACCGTAAACGTACCAAGTGGGAACGTAGGAATACGGCTATTGAGATACAACGAGACATAAAACCTCAGCAGACATCCAAGTGGCGCGAAGACGAGTGCAAACACAGCTCGACCACGCCAGGCATCCGGCCCATCGTGTCGATCTGGCGGCCAAATCGCCAGAAAGACCGCGCCTAGCCAGCAGCCCCATGCCAAAACAACAAACACACGGTCTAGAACACGTCGCGTGAACTTGAATGGAACAGTAGGGGTAAAGCGCGTCAATGCGAGAGCAACGTGCGCGCCGAAGATCAGCGCTGAGATACTCAGCGATACCGTCAACAGAACAACGGCAACCAGCGCCATGAAGCTATATCCGCCATTTCGCGACGCAATAGCCGATCCAGCCGGCAGCGACGGATCCGGCAGGGCATTAGCAAGTGCAAGAAACACATCCCGGATAAACGACGAGAAGGACGTAAAGCAGCCACAGAAGCCAGTCGTCAGGCCGATATACAGCGGAATAGTCTTCTTGACGGCTTTATGTCTCTTCACGCTGGCTTCGACAGCTTGCACATCTTGTGGTGCGTCTTTATCGTGTTGCACTGGCTTCTCGCCCCATTCCTCCAAAAACAAATTCTTGTCTTCGGTTAGGAAGCCCATTACCAGGCTGCCGCCTACGTTCGCCCATAGTACGCCGGTGACGACGGGCGCGCCCGTGTAGAATGTTAAGGCTTGGAGGCCGAGGCGGGCTAGTGTACCCAGTAATGAGAAGAATATTAGGTAGGAGACGGCGTAGAGGTGGGTTGCGTGTTTAGAGAGGGGTGCAGATGCGAGCTCGGGCGCGTGTTCGGGGGGATGCCATTGTTGAGTTGGGTTTGTAGGTTGGGGTTCAAGTTGAGACGTTGTTTGTAGTGGGTTACCGACCTCTGGGAGGTCAGTTTGTGGCATTGCCTCGTTATCAGAGGAAGAGAAGAGAAGAGAAGAAGAGATAGAGAACGCCAAGACCCGGAGACCGATGTGGGTCAGGTGGAGATAACATTAGTATAGAGGGGAAGTAGATAAGGCACTGCTACTCCCCTCTTCTTCCTCTTCTCTCTATCTCTTTCTCCTCTTCATACTCTTCTCACATTCATCATGTCTCTTCCGCGGAATGTCCACGTCTCTGTTCACCCCTGTCTGCAAGCTAAGCTCTCCCTGATCCGCTCAGAGTCCACCACTCCTCGCGAGACAAGAGGTCTAGTTCATGACATCGCCACTATTCTGGGCGTGGAGGCGTTTGCAGGACTCAAGACGATCAAGACCGGAACCGTAAGAAGCTTGTTCACTCATAAGAGCCATGAGGAAAACCCCGAACACGAACGCTAACATCCCCTGCAGGACCGCACCCCTCTCGGTGTCGAATATGAAACCCAAGGCATTGATCCGGCGGACCTGGCTCTAGTTCCGATCCTGCGGTCTGGTCTAGGCATGGTTGATGGTAAGTACTTGATGTCTGTGCTACAAGCTTCTTTCCTACCAGCGTCTTGCCTACCTATCTACATTACTTGGGCCATTGCTCCCCCCTTCCTATTACTTCATTTCTGCACCTACACCCCAATCCAAAACCCAAAGCCGCATCAAAACCTGCAATGCAACCAAACCATCTCTTCCCCCCCCTAACCAAAGACCCAACTAACAAACCCAAGCCCTGAACGACCTCCTCCCGACCCCAGTCCCAGTCTACCACCTAGGTCTCTTCCGCGAAAAAGCAACCCTCCAACCCGTAGAATACTACAACAACCTTCCCTTCCACAGAAGCGAGCTCTCCCCCGCCTCCCCAGCATCCTTAAACCAAGGCACAAACAGCGCAGCCGCAAGCCTAGCAGTCCTCCTGGACCCAGTCATTGCAACAGGCGCCACGGCCGAAGCAGCCATCCTTCTCTTGCGGGATTGGGGCGTTAAGAAGGTTATTATGCTTAGCTTGCTTGCCTCTGAGGAGGGTATAAAGCGTGCTGCTGGGACTTGGGCTGAAGGGGTGGAGGTTTGGGCTGGGGCTATTGATTCGGGTGTTAATGAGAAGGGAATGATTGTGCCTGGTCTCGGGGATATTGGGGATCGGTTGTTTGTTGCTATTGGGAAGTAAGCGGGTTTATCGCTTTACTTTCTTTGTCGTTATGATTGTGATGTTTAGTTGAGGTGGAGATGAGATGTTGGTCTTTACGGAGAACGTCGGTTTTGGCATTTCGGGAGATAGTACTCTGTACGTAGAGTTGTTACTATTTACTCACTTATTAGCTATGCATACAAGTTACCATTACAATGATCATGGTTGTCCCCGCAAATAATAAATTCATCGATTACGTATAGTACATATAAACGGCATAAAAGCATGTGCAAGGAAAACAAAGGCGAGAAGAAGACTCAAACAATGCGGAACAGTTCGCAAGAGCAAGATGAGCGGGGCAAAGGACATAGCAATTAACGTCAAATACAGCGACTGGAAAACCCAGCCAGAAAAACGCAGATGCAGAACAAAGGAAATGAGAAAAAAATCAAGTCAAATCAAATAACGCGGAAGAAAAAGACAAAAGGTATCGAGAGCACGAAAAGCAGATGGACTGGGGGGCACGATTAGGGGTTAAGATGAACCGAATCAAAGGAAGAAAACTCCATGGAGTGCGAGATAACACACAGGACCAGCCAGGTGTCGAAGACGGAAAGCAGAAACACCACACTGGACTCCCTGGTGCAGAAAAGCAGGAAGATGCAAGGAAAAAGCAAAGCAAAGATGGAAAAAAAAAGAGAAAGATAAAAATCAATCCAAAGAACCCGGAACCACCAAGAGGGATATCAAGCGAAGTATTCAATCCCAAACACCCCGCCTTGCCCACTGGTATTGTCCAGTCCCGTTGCCGAAGTGTCCCAAAGCATCCAACAAAGGAGAGTAAGAACCCGAAATCAAAAGCAGAACTCAAGGAAAAACTCAAAGAAATTTAATAAGCAGTGCCGACGCTAGCAAGCGACTTGGTTGGCACTGCGTGGATCGGCTGGTCCTTGCCGACGCGGAGGGAATCCTCGTAGCCAACTAGGGCCTGGGAGTGCAGCTTGAACGACTCGCCCATGAGTTTGGTGATACTAGGAAGTGTTAGTAGAGATCAATAGAAGGGAAGGTGGGAGGACTTACCCCCATACAACCACGCCGTCTAGGATGTTACCCCATACACGAGCGACGGTGGAGCTGAGCTTGCCAAAGGCATCGATGGCATCGTCGTCAAACAGGTTGCGCACTTTGTTGTAGATGGCCATTTCGGCCTCAGTCGCCGGCTCATCGTCATGTTCCAGGCGGTAGAGCCAGAGGCTCAAGATGACCATCAGATCCAGGCCGCAGAGAGGGTGCTCGACACTCCAGTTAGTGGCGGAGGTCTTGGCGACCCAGTTGATGCCTTGAATAGCGGCAATCTCAATGCATTCGAAGCATTGCTGAACAACCTTGTTCATCTCCTGCGAGCGCTTGACCTTCTCACGAGCGACGGTCATAGCGGCCGCGACTTCGTACGAGGAGTGGTACCGCATGGCCTCCTGGATGGATTTCAGGTCAACTTCCAGGCGGGCACGAGTGTTGCGGTAGACTGCCATCGAGTTGAAGATCAGTGGGTGGCCCTTTTGAGGGGTGCTGAGCGGGACAACGATAGTCTCGGGCTCGCAAACCTCGAGGGAGCTCTCCCAGGTTTCGAGAGCAAGACGCAGCTTGTACTCTGTAACCACATCCTGCAAAGCCTCGAAGCTACGCTTGTGGTTCCAGACCTGCAAGAACAGGGCATTGATCAGGACGCGAGTGGCGAAAGCACTGTAGCGGGTCTGCTCGCCCTGGAAGAGGAAGTCATGGGCCTCGCGCACAGTGAGGGCACTGGTGGCAACACTGCGGCGCCAGGTGTCCTCATCGGCGGCGTCAAGGTTCCACAAGGACTCGGAGGATGGAAGCTCCAAGTCGTCAAACTCATCGAAGCTCATGGCGGGAGTGTGGTTGAAGGTGAGAGTCAACATGCCGAAGAAGATATACACGGCGAAATATGTACGACGACAAGACTCATCCTCGATCCACTCCTCACGAGACGGATGCACACTCTGGCGGGCCTGGGTGCGCACCTTAAGCTGGTACCGGTTGCCGGCGACCATGTTGGCAAGAAGACTCTTGATGGAGCAAGTCCATTCGAGGCCCTTCGGGTCACCACTCCAGCTCTCAAAGACCATGTTCAACAGAGTAGCCTGCATCAACCAGAGGGGGCACTTGCGAGAGTCGAAGTTGTCCTTGTGTTGGAGGAACTGGTTTACCAGAACCTTGGAGCCGACGTGGAGCATGAAAGCGTGCTCGCGCTCGAAAGTGTACAGAGCGCCAATTGACAAAACTGCAAGAAGTAGTGGTGCGGAGATATGAGCGGGCTGGAACGATTCCTGGTGAAGGAAGGGTAGGTGAGGGTGGTAAAGGTTAAAGTAAGTAGAGAGATAACGGTTCAGTGCGATGGTGGGGGGAAGCTGGAAAGTGTCAGGCAGCGCACCCAAAGAGTCAGCACTCTGTACTCGGTCAACCACGTAGTTACGTTCCATCTCATTAGCGAGTTGAGGCGCCTTGGGGAGAGTGAGGGCTTGGCTGGGGCCAGGCGAACGACGGTAGTTGACAGGGCTAACCGGACCCGTCATGGAGGGGTACGGCGAAAGGGCATTCGGGGTAGAGTTGCCAGACATGGGAAGGGAATTGGACAGGAGAACGTCTCCGACGGGGCCATGGCGATCGACGAGGGTAGGCATCGAGCCAGTTTCCGCGGGGGAGACAAGAGTGTCCCAGGGCATCTGAGGCAGAGTGGCGTTGCCTGACAGGTAGGGCTCGTAGCCGCGTCCGGGCGAAAGCGATTCGGAACGCTCGGAGACCTGGCCGGTCGCCGCTGCTGCAGCCTTATGTTGGAAATCTGTCATCAACATGGCTGCAGTTTCAAGGTCGACCATACCATCGCTGCTGGCCTCAATCTGCTCCAACGTCGTCGGGTCCACGGTGACCGACGGTTTCGATGGTGCAGATGAGTTTTTCTGAACCCCTCCACCACGTCTGCGGCCCTCGGCGACGAGGGGAATTCCACCATCCTTGGCGTGCACAGTTCGATCATGGCGCAATAGAAGATCGCGACGGACAAAGGTACTGCGGCATTTTAAGCACTTGAAGGGTCTCTCTTTTGTGTCTAGTTGTTGTTAGTGAGAGGGGTTAGAGGGGGATATGGGGACCCAGCCATCCGCTGTACTTACGGGAGCGTTCATGACGACTGCGATGTTCGCTTCTACTGAATGCGCGATTGCAAAACTGGCACTTGTATTTCTTCTCTGGGGCTGAGGCTTTCTTAGCCGGCGAGTTGGCTGCTCCGGGAGCGGAAGGAGCCATGTCGATGTTGAAGATCGACTTAGAGTGTAAACGGTGGTATTGTCCCCTGGGTAAGTTCGCACCGGTTTTGTAGGCGTGTCGACGACAGGAGTTCGTTGGGGAGTCTGATCATTCCTTGAGAAAGTGGGAAAACAAAGGGTATCAATAAGTGTGTCCAGCCACAAAAGGTAAAAATTAGAAAAAATCAACGCTGAAAGAAAGGTGGGATGGGGGGGTAAGAGGAGGGGAGGATGAGGAGAATAAGAAGGAATTTGAGGAAACCGAGGGGGAAAGTGAGAAGGGAGGGGGAGGGTCGTGGGCCCAAGCATCGCTTACTCAGTCACCAGCCCCCTGCACTATCACCACGCACTCCCTCCTTTCTTTACCATACAAATTCGACACGTAATTATTCTCGATCACCCATGTGGCTCCCCTGAGAGTCGATCATAGTGGATAGCCCCTCGCTCTGAGATGAGGCATGTGAGACTACCCCCTACAGGGATTATACATCTGTGTACCTGTATCGATATCGGTGTCTACTGTATACTGAGTCTGTAGTATGTGCGCGCAAGAGATGTCAAGATTGGTACCATGGCTCGACCCCTCCCCCTCCGATCTGCGACACAACTCCGAACAGGAATTTGTGTTGATTTGCATACCTGATTTATATCACCATGCCCGGATCTGTCTTGGGCTCGTACTTTTGCTTGCCTCATTAACTGACTGGTCCAGATCCCGTCTCGTCACCCCGCCTTGTGGCTGTTGTGTGCCACTTAACATTCTACCCCTCTGTTTTCCCTTATCACCTGCCATAATGCATAGATCTACACGAATCGGAACTTTGGGCGATACTCGATCTAAAGGCCTAACTTGCCCTGGGTCCACTATGGTGAGGTCAACGTACAGTATTAGACCATGTACAGCTAGTACACCGCTGACAGTAATTTGAGTGGGGGACTTACATCACCCGGTGATCCCGGACGCGGTTACTAAGGAGACGCGCTCGCGTCGAGATTACAATGTATGTATACAGTAATGTACACTTGGGCCTTGGTTTTGATATGGAGATATCAAATTATTGCCCCTCGCCCCTGCCCCCTTGATCCGGAACCTCCAAACAAACTCCCGAACTCCCGGCAGATCATCGAAGAATCGAAACTTCTCCGATCTGGTCCTTTCTATTCATGTACGGTGAAGCCCGGGTGGCTTTGGACGAAAAGCACGATCCACTTCCCGATGCAGCGGACCGACCCCGTTAACGTTCTCGACCACAAATGACGATGGTCAGGATATCGGTGACTTGACCGTCTATTGGAGTGCCTAGCATCCAAAACTACATATATGTACACTGAAGACCTTACCTCCCGGTCCACCCATTCCCAATCCCTTGGTCAATCCCTCTCCCATTCCATCAAGAATCAAAAATCCACCGAGATCCCGTGTAATGGATCTGCAATATGAGGATCCAATCGGACCAGTTATGAATCAGACCTCTAGTTGTTCCTGGCAAGAATTTCAGGAACTTCTTCCCCGGCGCCGGCCCCTGAACTAGTGGACACCGCCATCGTCCCGACAACTCCAGGCCCAGGTCTGGAATTTCCTATCCAAGCTAACCAACCTAACTGACACTACGGGAACACCTTAATAAAGCTCACTTGTCGGTGAAGACGACTTCGTGTCAGTATCCCCCTCACCGCTTCTGCAAAAGCATCAATCTAAGCCCAACTCCAGTTAGG